CATGCGCCGATTTTTTTTTTTAAAAAAAAAAGTATATATATTGTCAATAAACAGAAAATTTAGTTATTCGTTTTCTTCAAGTCAATAAAGTTAAGTATTCAGTTTCTGTCTCAACTTTTATTGTCCTTCAATATACACTCAATAAGTCACAAAAGTTTCATACTCAACAAATCATTTTATTTGTCTTAAGCAATTTTCAATTGAATCAAAAAAGGTGTTAAGAAAAATGTTTCGTATATATACTAAGACTTTTGGCGGGAAAATTTGGAGCAGTTTGCACAGAGTTTTCCCTGGCAACATTTTCGGCCAAAATTTAAAAAAAGGCTACCTTTAAAAATAATCGCCAAAAATAATGAAACAGCATCTCGTGCAAAAAAGTGTACTCGTAAACGCCAATTTCTGCTTCGTTTCTTTCAAAAGATGGTCTGACTCGACAATGTTTATCTCTTAGCCAAGGTTTTTTTAGACTACAATTATTTGCACGAGATGTGTGGAAGTTTCTAACGCAAAAGCATCGTGGCAAGCTAATTTTTTTTTCGGAGTGAAAGATCTTTTAAGTTACCAGATTTCGAATGCAACACAGGACGCAGCTTTGAAAAGCACCGAAAATATTCATCACAGAACTGAAGCAAATTCCCCATTCAAAATTTCCTATTTTTTTATGAATTTTGAATGAAAAAGCTTTTTGATTATTGTAGAATACTCTTTGAATTTTATTGTAGCTACAAGAGCTAGAACATTTTACAATAAGGCTCTAAATTTTCTTATGCCAACTACTTAGCGGAGCATTTTTTGATTGTATCAGTTGTTGGAATAAAACTTAGCTGATCAGGCTGCAATAGCCAATTAGGCTCCAAATTTCTTTAAAATTTGTTAAGAAATTTAGCAAAATTGTATAAAGATTTTAAGTGTGAGCGAACTCTTTGTATTTGGTTTCAGCCTCTAAGGCTACGATATTCAACAATTAGGCTTCAAGGTTCTGAAATGAGGTTCGAAAAGTTATTTGAGAAATGAAATAGTATCAATTGTTGAAACAGACTCTTTGAGTTCTATTTTCGTCAGAAGTTAGACTCTAAGTTACTCACGATAAATTCCTGCAGCGAGTTGTTCTAAGAGATTTTGTCGTTATTTAGTCTGTTCTATTTTTATTGTGAACAAAATTTCATAGTTTAGTTGATGATTTTTCTTTTATGTATTCCTGTGTTACACCGAGTAATTGCACAAAAGATCTTCCCTCAATTAACAATAATGAGTAAATAAACTAAGATATATTTTAAAACTAAATGCCTGGTCCAAAGGGTAACAAGTGTTCCTTTTATCGAATGCGACCTAATTTAAAAATTTTGTGGCCTACTAGAAGGTTTGTATCACAGAAGCAATTTCATATAAACCTGCAAAATGACAACCATCGCGGTAAAGGAATAAGAAGCACTAGCGTTTCAAGGCGAGAACACAAACTCTTTTATTTTCCACAAATTGAATACCACTAATTTGTATTTTTGGTTCGATCTTCGGTTTCGTAAAAGCAACGTGCTCTAAGTACAGATTTTAATTCTGAAATCGGTGGATATGTTCATAATTCTTAAATCCCATAAAACTCGTCATCAATATGTGAAAGCATGACAATTATTTTTATTTCGTAAACTATCAAATAATTCCCAATTTTGTTTGTTTACTTTTCTGATCTCAACGTTCGTCTGAAAAATCAACGTTTTTTATCAAAAATTTGTAAATCTTGTTCGTGTGAGACAAGAAGATGATCTTTTATTTCGACAATATTTTATTGGTCAAAAGATTGACTGGCTTATTCACGTTGATCTTCGTTCAGTCTATATACTATTTTCCAACGATTTTCGAAAGAATACAACATCTCAATTTCTATCGAATGAAATCTTCTCTTAAAATGAAAACCTACATCTCTTTGTTGTAAAAGATGTACATTTAGACTGGTTTATAGAAAGGTAAATGTCAACTTGATCACTTTCTCGAAAGGGCTCGTGACCAGGCATCAGAGTTTTAAAACATACATTACTTCCAAACGGAAACCGAACTCAGTAAATGGCACAAAAATAAAGGAGATAATCTAAGATGGCACTTTACTAAATTCTTAATTCTTGTATGAATAACAAAAACTTCCTTCCTGGAATTAAAGTTTCTGATGAATTTTCAATTTAATCAATATACTTTTGGCCAACTTTTTGTCTTGGTCTCACTCAGCTGTCAATCGTGAAGTAAGATCGTCCGGGTGAGAATAGTCCTGAAGATGTTTGTTGTCGAAACTACAGACTGGCCGAGTAGAAGTCATCAGATTCGAGTGAACAATTGTTTATAAGTGGAACGTTACAACTTTGGCCTTTAAAACTGTTGGTCAGTTTTCCACTAAAGTGGCTGTCAGACTTAAATGGCGTTCGTCCGGTGATTAGTCAGTTTCGATCAGTTGGTAAGGTTTGTTTGTTCTGTATGGTCCGATGGTGACCGCGTTGGATTTTTTCTAAGTAGTTCGTAAGGCGCCGATAGTTAGTGTATCTAATACACAACTTTCATAATGGCGGACGTAGCGCGCGGCCTTGTGAGAACAGCATGATAGCGAGGTCACAAAGGCTTCTAGGGTCCATTTCGCAGCTGATAAACTAGCTTTTCAAGGTCAGTCTTTGAAAGTAGCGTAAGTCGACAGCGTTCATCAATGTGAGTTTTAACGTATAGAAAATATTCAAAATTGATCAAACTCATCGAAAGATCTCAATTTGGAATTTCATTTGGCCGAAGTATTTTGGTAAAGTGCCACCTTAATATTACCTTTGTGTCACATCAACTGCAATAGAACTGGTATACTGACTGTTAAACAAACCAAAACAATGAACGATCAAACAGCTCTTAAGTTAGTAATTTAAGAGTCAGCAATCCGTAGTCAGGATTTTGACAGTTTCCAGTTGTTCTATCTTTAACTCGATGCAATAAAATTATCTGAGATAAATTATTCCAAATTATAGCTAGCAATTCACACAAATCAAATGATCGCTCAGGGTTTGCATAACAATCTGTAACACAACAAACTACTCCAAAAATGGTGGCTAATTGAGAACTATTCACTTACCATGTGAATCAGTTTTATCCATTCCAAGACAATTGGTTCCGAAAAGAACGAAAACTTTGTATAGTTATATGATATTTAATTAAAAGGCCACCATTTTTGCTAGTATTACTGGAAAAATAAACTTCTTAGCTTTGGAGTATCCACTAAAAATTCAGTTATTCCGGTGTCTTCTCATGACCAAATTCTTTGTTTTTCCATCCTTCTGACAACATTGCTCTTCCTGATAGTAAAAAAATATATATTATCAGGGAATGCTTACTTTCCACGAGGACGAAAACTAAGAATTAAAATTCTGGATAATTTTTTTGCTCTTTGACACTATTATAAAAAAAGGGAGAGCATCACACACTTTTAAAATGTTATTTACAATGAAGCAAAGGCACTGAGTAGACGAGTCATCAGACCTCCACGTGGCTGCATTAGTTCATATACAAAATGAATTTCCCAACAGGTTTTGCGATTGAAACATTTCCTTATAGTTTTCACCTAAAATATTCCATCTACAGTCATAGCTTTCCTTATCTCGAAGCCAGCACCCTAATTTAGTCTAATTTCGAGTTGACGTGCCGCTCAGACCGAGAAACTGATTCGTACTACATCGTTGATCCGAGATAATACTACTTGTTTTGACCTCTCAGGGAGCTTAAGGCGATATTATTCCAAGGCAATGCTCACCTGCCGTTATAATGACATAAGAATGCTATCTTTGCGCTTCTTTATAGGTCCAATGTCTCCTTCCTTCTAAAACACAACGTTATGTTTAGCACAACAGATCGGCAGCACGTCTTCACTCGAAGACGGACAGCGTGGTTTGCTGAATGTTCTGCAACTCCTGATGAATATGGATTAACGACTGCAGCCAATAATCGGCTGCCACGTCGCAAATTTGGCGCGGTGTTCCGTTTGCACGCTCAGCCAGCTAATTAAGAACAAAGCTAAATGAAAGGCATTGCATTGTGAGTGACGGATTGGCATGCGAGATTAGGGAAAAATTTACATCAACTGAAATTTAGGAACTGCTATGCGGCCAGGAAATTAATCGGAGAGAGCTAATTTTAAAGACTGATTTTATCAAAATAGTAGATCTCAGTAAAGAATGAGGAACTATTCAAGGCCTCCTTTTGATTGTGAGTGAATAAGTGGATAATTGTTCGTTATCCTCTTACGAAGGGAACGCACGCATTGTAATTTACCACTGAAAGAAAAAATGACATGAAGAAATTAGAATTAACGCATTGTTACTCTCTCAGGAATGAAAAACAAGATAAAAAGTACGTAAATGAACTAAAATCGCTGTCATGTTATCACACAAAGAGAGAGTAACATGAGCACTGAGTTACATTCCTTATTGACAAAATGACAAGCCGTACACCGCATCGAGCGACAGTAGACCTATCAGTTAGGACTGATACAAAGTTATACGTAAACAAATTAAAAAATAAAAGGTAAAATGAACTTGAAAGGAGGGAGATGTGGAGGAAGATGTTCACTCGTCTTGTCTAGAGCGTAGGACAAAGAAAAGAAATATCACTTCCCCTAAAGAATCATCCGCTCACCTAAACAGCTGAAAAACTTAATTGATGCTGTTCCACTGGATAGTGCTACGTCGACCTCAGGGAGCCACGTCCAGTATTGAGACATTACGTTACAAATAGAGAATTCTCGAGTGTGCTTTGTTCTGTTGTAAAGTACGTAGGAGGCGGTTAGAACAGAAAAGAAGTGTCGGGGGAAAAAAAGAGACGTGGTGTTTTACCTTCTTCGTAAGTGCTCTAGCCGCTTCCTGAGTGGTTTACAACAAAAAAGAGTACAGTCGAGGCTTCGTTATTTGTTTCATAATAAATAATAAATTAATTTCCACACGCATTTATAATTTTCAAAACAAACTTTATTTTCCACTTGGGATGTTGGGAGAACACTTGGAAAATGAGTAAATCATTCGCCTTCGACTCCTGATTTAAATGAAATATTACGGCAGTAAACCGATAGAAAGCGCGGTCTATCTCTTAAAATTTATGCGTCTGTCCTCCAAAAGCTAAGATAATAAGCGAGAGCCAATCAAAATACGTGGATAATTGACCTAATAATAGAATGCGTGATAGAGCCAGTAGTTTCCATTTGGCCGGTTAAGCCACAAAATACAGTAAGTGAAACGCTCCTACCACTTTTTCTTCAGCCATATCTTCAATCAGCTTAGTTTTGGCCACCGCCATTACAGATTAATTCATGTATCAATTTAAAAATTTAAAGTGAAAGCTATATTTTTTCCTTTTAAATTTAAGCTTGGTAATAGCAGCTTTTTTCATAACTTATCACCTTCCTATAGCTTTTCTATAATTCGTTCTGATATTTTTTCTTGCTCCTTGGCAAATTGGCTAATTTTATTAGCCAAGGGTATGACAGTTCCAAGTATATATATTACATTTAAACGTAATACGAATTTATTTCACACAGGGCGATTTTCAAAGGGGTGTAGAAATCGTTTTACCATTTCAACTTAAGGTAGCTACAATCGCTAACAGGCCTCTTTCGTCCAGATCTGGTCACAACCTGAACAGCAAATTCTATAGAGGAACATGTTTTCGACACAGCTATCTGACCAATTCGATACGCCTCCACAAAAGCTCGACCCAAAAAAATATTGGATCCTTCCGCCACTCTAAAGATGTTGTAGTGCGCTGGCTCGTCGACCTGGCCATCGTTGATCGGACAATGCCACATGAGAGTGAGGCTCAAGTGGTACCCCTTCTCTGTGGACTTCCACTCGATGTCCTGGCACCTTAGATCCCTTGCTAACACAATCGGTTGTTTGATAACTCGTGGATCAATAATCTGGAGCAAAGTAGAGCAGCAGAGTAAAAAGTCAAACGCGGATTCTTTACCTTCGCCCGCATAGAGATTTATACACGTAGGTTTGAAGAATTTGAATATCAAAGCCGTGTCAAAGAGTGTCGAAAGTAATCCAAGATTTCCCTGGATTTTGCCTTAATTTGCTCTATAAATGGTCCAAAAAACTCGCGTCACTCTCCGGCTAAACCAATCAGATGCAAAAGAAAAACCAATCACGACTTGGTCACCCGCGTTTTCCCGCGTTTTCCCGCGCTTCAAAAGTTTGCTTTTTGGTAAAAAATCACATTGGTTCTTCAGGGAATTTTCTCTTCCTCTGATAGGCCGTTATGATAACTTTGGTTTTGGTTTTGGTTTTACAACACTCAATCGAAAAGTGCTCCATTGGAGATCAGTTCGCCATAATCACAACCTACACGCTTGATGTCACACCCATGATTAAACGAGAAATTAGATGCAAGCTTTCTTAACCCTTTCCACCCTAACATCAGTATGCATATTCTCCACACTGTTCTATATACATTTCCTAAGGTGCTGACAAGGAGAATTTGTTTAACAATCAAAAGCTTCTTAAGTTGGTGATCATTTCTTGTATTCTTGTGACCTTAATGTTTGAATCAGGGGTGATATTGTAAGGAGAAATTAGATGCTGGTCAGTCTTAGTGGTTAAGGGTTAATGGAGCAAAACCAAATAACGTCTCTAACTTATGAAAACTATCGACCTCTTCGTTAAAAGCGATGATATTCACCCTTTACACCCTAACATCAGTATGCATATTCTCCATACTGTTCACTGTACATTTCCTAATGTGCTGACAAGGAGAACTAGCTTAACGATCCTGAGCTTCTGTTGTTGTTGATCATTTCCATTATTCTCCCGACCTTAATGTGTGATTCAGGGTGATATTGTAAGGAGAAATTAGATGCTAGTCACTGTTAGGGGTTAAAGAGTTAACAACACATTCTGAGCCTTGACTTAAAAAGATATCAAAACTCGTCCATTCTTTGAGATTTTTGAGAACGAAAACCTATGGAACGATTCGTAACAATCTTAAAAAAGCCACGAGGCGTTTCTACGTTATATAATGACAATGAACAAGCATTTGAAGCAACCATTATCAATTGATATTTCGATAGTATCTTTAGAAAAATCCTCTTGAACAAAGAATGACAGCAAAAAAGGTTAAGACATGCTTTTTAATAAAACCCAAAACGAAGAGATGGTTAAAACGACAAAAACTTGAGAGAAGCGAAGAACGAACGCCTTAAAATTTCCTCCAAAACACATTTTTGTGCTCTCCTTTAGTTGAAAACTTGTCAAAAAGATAATCTGCTACAGAAAAAGGGAAATCAGTCACCTTAATTTCTCCAACGTGAAGTTTGAAGGCTCCTGTAGTTTGTGCACCTAAAATAAATGATATTACAAATGTTCAGATTGCTGTCTGGCAAATTACAGTACTAACTCTCTTGTCTTTTTTTTTTGTGTTGTTTTGTATCATTGTTGTTATTGTTTCTTAACATGAAAAAGCAAGGATGATGCACTGTGATGATCACCATCCACTTTTTCACTAACATTTTTATTCATTTTCTTACATATATATACAAGATATTCCTTTGATAGCAGATGCTAATCAAGGCGGGTAAATTTTTTTCTTAACCAAATTAAATTTAACTTTGTTAAATTACACTGGCACTAATACAAAAATGAAGAAATAACACGTAAAAAGACATTTAAGATACTCAAGAAAAGAAAAAGGGGAAAATGAAAGACGTTCATTGTAACGGAGAAAAAGTCCTTGAGTTTCTAAGTGTACGAAAAAATATTGTAGAACTGGTTCAATTTGTTTTAATTTTGCCGTGTTTGAATTTTTAGCATTATTTTTTGAGCATTAGAATTATTTGGCAACATTTTAAAGAAGTTGCATCTTATCGCTATGCTTCCTAACATCGATGTGCATATTCTCCATACTGTTCTCTATATATAACATAGACAACTGAAAAGGAAAATAGTTGAACGATCAAGAGATTCTGGATCAATATCAGTATCTGGGCAACTGCCCACCTACCCCTCCCCTAACCCAACAACAGTCTATCGGTAACAAGTTAGGGTTAATGTTGGGTTAGGGGAGGGGTAAGTGGGCAGTTGCCCAGATACTGATATTGATCCGAGATTCTCTAGTTGGTGATCATTTCCTTAATTCTCGTGACCCTTAGTGTTTGATTCGATGGTGATATTGTAAGGAGAATTTAGATGCACCCCAAGGCTTTGAAGGGTTGAACTCTCATGAGTGATCTACGGTTCAGTATAAAATTTCTCCTCACAATATGCGCACATTATTGCTGGTAAAGGTGAAGAACCAGTTAGCATATAAAAGGACCTCTTGTTGCAGCGTTTAGATCACCCCTGATGAAGGCACTAGACAGGAGTGTCGAAACGTTGGGTCTATGAATCGTAACTTCATCGGTTACATTCATTACATCTGCAAACCAGAATATCGTCAAACTATGCCCAAAAATGGTACTAATCTTAAAAAACTTCCAGTTGCTATTATATGATAATGCCTGCCAATCAAGGGGGAATCTACTCGTTGAATTTGCGTCAAGGGAATGTTTATCATTAATGTTAATTTGAATAAACATGAATATGAAACAGAGCTTTCAGTCAACAAGCGCAGCTCGGATGAAATTTCGTCATCTTACCAGGACATACAGCACAAATCACTCGGATTTCCTGAACTTTGAGACCCACTAACTCTTTTTCAGCAAGCAGGTAGTACCTACAGGGACACAGGTTGTAAAAATACATAATTAACATAGTGCATATTGATGAACAGTCGACTAGGAGAGGCGTGTGAATGTTTATGACCTCAAATTACAGTTTTAAATATAACTTGAATGGATGGTTTGCAAATTAAATTAAATTTTAAAAAAGGGGCAGATAGCGGTGAATTAGTCAAATAGCAGGAACGTCCATCAATAGGATATGCAACTTTTCCAAGATTCGGGCCCCTGGTTTCCATCACAAACCCCTCCGCCATTCTCAGTACAAACCTTGTGTGCCAATCTGAACCGCAGTCAACTCTGCTTTCTTTTAATCCGTGAGCCTGCTGTACTGAGTCATGAAAAGAACCGGTCAGAGGTTGAAACAATCTATAATGCTCCTGACTAATAGGAGACATGAACACTGATGACGTTAACGGCCGGGACTTCGGCACTCCATATCGACGAATCAGCTTGTTATATTGTTCAGTCTCCTCTGAGTTACCAGGATCTGAAAAAAAAAAAAAGAGTATACACTTTAAAACGAAAATCAAATGTGCTCTAGATATTTTTAAACCTTTCTGACTACATTAACTCCTCCCCGCAGCTTTCGTCTGGCTTCTTAAAGCGAGCAATGACTGTAAAACCCAACAAAACATTTTTTGATGAAATTGTTTGGTAAAACACCACTTTCGATTGAGCGTCGTAAAAAAAAAATACAAGACTAAAAGTCAGCTCAACGACCAATCGAAAAACAAGGTACACAACACAACCAACTGGTGAGAATTCAAATTCGATAAAATCATAGCCTGCGAGCACGCGCGAGCAGGGCGGAGAGAGGTTGGGAACCTCTCTCCGTCATGGGCACGAGCGTTTCCTCGCCGGCAGGAAAGTGAGAGGAATGCAAGGCCCGGGGAAAGAACCAGGCCCCCTAGTCTCAAATCTTCCCTCGTTCGAAGACACGCACGTCCCACAGCGCTAATAAAAGGGGCCTGCTTACGGGTTAATGCAACGATCTAACGAGTCTTAGGCGCGGGAAAACGTGTGTGACCAACTCGCGATGGGTTTTAACCTCTGCTTCCGATTGGTTGGTACAGTGACACGAGTTTTTTAGGACCAATCACACATCGACACTCATTTGAAAATTACTATAATGTGAAGACGACTATTTTTCACAACACCTTGGTCATCTGATGAGGCAGGACAGAGAAGAATGTAAGTAGGCATTGTGTCGAGATGAAGCTGAAGCGCCACTAACACGGGAACACTTGGACACAACTTGAAAGACAATGACACCAGAAAAGGACCTGTCATGAGCATGTCCGTTTTAAACAGCCTAACGAACAAACACAAAAAAAGACATTAAACAAGTTGTATGGAAAGAAACCACAACTGGCCTGACAACTAAACTTCACACTCAAAATTCTCTCATGGCTCTTGTGGCACAAGTTCCCTCCCCCCCTCGCATATCCGAGGCAGTGCAACGTCCAGATAAGGAATTGTGCAACTGGATTTTGGACGGGGTTGGGGGCTATGGCCACTGTCCAGGACGGCACGTCAAGTTCATTAGAGAAACCTGGACACCATAGCAAGCTTGACGAAGTTGTAAACTGTGATTACCTTGCATTCCTTCCTTGGGGTGGGGGGGGGAGGAGTTAATTACCACTAACACCAGTTGTGCAAAGGGCATATGAACCTATCCAAAAGTAGTCACTATCCAGAAGATAAGTTTTAACAAAACATGCTGTGCTATTCATAGATTACAGATTTATCCAGTGGATAGCGATATCCACCATTCAAACCACTGAAGCAAGATAACTAAGTGTAAAAGGGACCCAACCCAAGAGAGCTGCTCAAATTGAGTCTATAAGCTCTATACCAGGAATACCTAACTGGGATGATAAACTAACAAGATATGAGACTCACACTCAGGTAAATTAAAGCTATGATAGCATCTATAAGAGCATCTGACATCCACAGTAACAAAAAAATTTAAAGTTTGATTTGGAGGATCAAAATTCAAGGGTAAGAGCCTCACCTCACCACACCCCTGGATATGGCTTGTGAGGAGTTGACACAACCACTGATCACCTGACAACCTCCACCATTGTATGCCTCATCAGTGGTGAACTCTACAGAGCTGATTATCAAGCCATCCTTGTCACCCAGACTGAAGAATGTATCATTGAATGAGGGCTGGTATTGCTGTGCACTAAGGTTTGTCCAAGGTGTTGATAGGACAGCCTTAATCAAATACAGACATCAACAGTGAAACCAATAAGCAAATTACTATTCAAATGAATGTTATGATGCACTATGAATATAATGCTGCCATGCATTACTAAGATTTTTCATCTCACTTCTGAGGTGCACAGGTAACTATTGTACAACCTCAGGGTGACAGAAAATTTGTCATTTCGCCAGACACCCCATGTAACTTGTTTGGAAGACCATTGGCTAATTGCATGGCAACAGCATAGGTTCAGGTTTCAGACTAATGAACAACTTGTAATTATCACCTTTCCATCAATGCTAGCAGTCTTTCCATAGCCACGGCACATGGATGTCACAAAGGGCATCTGTTTTAAAGAGGTGTGTACAGTACAAAAGGGATCCAAAAGATTCCAAAACCTGCCATTTAATGGTACAAACAATGAACACATGCTACTGATCAGTAAGAGACTTTGAACTGCAAACAGATCCAAAGTTATGAGGGATTAAACGACTTCAGTCTATAAAACCCATAAAATTGCTGCTGAGGGATTATTTTATTTAAGTGAAAGGTTTAAACAGCCTGCAGTAAGCATGCTCATGTAAATCATCAGATGTAGTTAACAGGTGTTGGTAAATTAACTTGAATTCACCTGCTCAACAAAGATTTCCTTCAAGTCTCAAGATGCTTTCCTTCGATAAAGGAAAGTACTATTCAAGTGTTGCAAATTTAGCTCTACTGCCATAGGATTATCAACCACATGCTAACAAGGTACATTATCTTATACACCAAAAAAATGCTCAAATATGTGCAAAAAATAGTTTTTGTCTCAGAGAAGAGACTTATCAGTGATCTTTAACTTTTGGAACTTTCCACCAGAGGAATTGAGCATCTCACCTATGCTTTCATTATTTTGACCATCTTTTGTAGTTAAAACTTCTGGAGAATATAATATACTTCTGGAGAACTTGATTGGGGACAATTACCAAGTAAAGTAAAGCAAGTTTAACCCTTTAATCCCTAAGAGTGACAAGCATCTAATTTCTCCTTAAAGTATCTCCCCAAAATCACAGGTTAAGGTCACAAGAATAAAAAGAAGCTCTTGATTGTGAAACAAATTCTCCTTTTCAGAACATAGGGAAATATCTAGAGGACAGAAAGGAGAATATGCATACTGATGTTAGGGTGTAAAGGGTTTATTTGAACTCACTCTTAAAGTGCCAAACCCTTACTTGTCATTATTGACAGTGAAATGTTCACTTCCATGTTCCTCCATAACCCATCCTGGAGCAAACAGTGCTGCAGATAGCTTCTCATCTCTAATCACCTTAAATGCCTAAAACAAATTAAAAAATAGTTTATTTATTTCAAAGAATTTGGCTATATCCTCATTGAATATCTGTCTTGATATGAGAGAGTCAGTTAAGGGTTTTAGCACTTATCCAATCACTTTTTTCAGACCTTATTGTCTGGGCCTGCTTATTACCTTCAAAATTTTTTCAGCTATGCCCAACATTTGTACCACAGAAGTTATATAAATGTTTATACAAACTTAAATCTGGCTCAAAATGCAAGCAAAAGCCTTTTCTGGTTAAAATGAGTTTTCAAATTTGTGTTAAATTGTTCACAACATTTCCAAAAACATAAAACTTTGGTTGAATGTTGGCAGAGATTGAACAAGCATTAATACATTTTTTTTAACTTGGCATGTACACATTCTTGGCTTGTGGAGAAGAGTTGCATGCACCTGACAGTTATAGTTTTGAACTGCATGATTGTTGCACAGGACTCTGAATCACAAGTTCAGATTCAACCCCAGGCCAGGTACCTGTATCGCACCCTTTGGCAATTTAAGATAATTATGTTTCACAGTGCCTCTTGTCACCCAAGAGTACAAATGGGTCCAAGCAAAGTGACAGGAGACCTGATAAAATGCTGGGAGGTTAATTGTGATGGACAAGAATGAAAGCCAGGACTGACATGTATTAGACATTCAAGCCCAAGACTTAAGCTTTACAGTACCAAGGCAAGTACATATTAGGAATCTTTTTTTAGTCCAATACTGAACATACCACTTTTGAGTTATAACCACCACCCCCATAGCAGCCACGCCCAAAAACATCCACCCCAACATAGACATCAGTTTGACGTTGCCGTCCTGCAGCAGCAGCTGATCTCATCAGATGAGCCTCCTTCCAACCATAGTTCAAAAATATACCATCAGAGACATCAAAAAAAATTCTGCAGGGAGAGTAAAACAACAGAAAATTGATCACCTAATTCAAACTAATAAATTGACTAAAAACAATTAAAACAAATCAGTAATTAATATGAAATCTCTCTGATACCTTTAACCCTTTAACTCCCATAAGTGACCAAGATAGAATTTCTCCTTTTGATATCAATACTATATCAAGCAGACAAGTGATGAGAATAAAGAAAAATATCAATTAGGGGATTATCAGTTGATCGACAATACCAAATTCTCAAAACTAACATCACAAGAACTGTATGGCAGACAGTAAGGAGGATTACTAATGAAATCTTGGGAGTTAAAGGGTTAATATGGTACATAACAAGCTATTTTTTATCCAAAAAGAAGTGAACAATAGTATTTGTTACCGGTTGTTTGCATTCAGCTCATTCTGCCAAGCAAGGTTTCCTTTGTAAGTTACACTGTCATACCAGATAACAAGTGAATTAGGGATGCGTTCATGCATCTCAGTCGTCAAGCTCTTCACAAATTCCTCAAGATTGTTGATCTGAACTGGCTGCAAAAAAAAGGAACACAATTACACATTTCTATGATCATTACCTCAATAGAACTCCAAATCAATTTAAAATTTCGAGTCATCTTGATTAGTTAGCCGAGACAATTCAGAAAAATTACTGTAAACAATAGAGTATACACCACGCATTTTTTCCCACAGTTTTCGTAATAAATCAGGGGTGTAAATTATTTGCCAGAACATCTAGAAAATGTGCCACAAATTTGTATAAATCAACACTATTCATCTGAATTTTTTAAGTTGGTAGAGCAAATGAACATGAACTTCATCAAAATGATAGAAATTGATAGAAATTGATCATTGCTTTTGCAAGTTTGGTGGCTCCTAAAAGAACAGTTTTTCGCATTTCTTGCTGTTGATTGGCATACAATACCAGAGTAATATCAAACATAAGTTTAGGTTGCTAGATGTAATGTCCACCATATCACAACCAAAATTTAAAGGCAAGGATTCAAAGCATTCTCTACTTTGAAAGTTGGTGACTCTGCCTGCATGTACATTCCATGAAGCAACAAAACCAGAGTAACTTTCTTAAGACTCCACTTTCTTTCGATTTGTTTTCCAAAACTTTTTTCCACAATTTGAGTCAATGGCAGCTTGGAGCACTGAGTTAATTACCTGAATAGGATTTTCAATGTTTAAAAGCCATCCATCGAATCCATAATACTCAGCTATATTGACAAGCTGATTCACAAGAGCCTCTACTGATGATATATCCTTTAAAAATTTACTGCACCTAACTACGCCATCTTCGTTTTCTGTGATTAAAGTTCCTAACACTGGTACCCCATGGGTGTGGGCAGCATTGGTCCAACACGGGGGTGGTATTGTAACAAAGTGATGACTGAAGTACACAAATATATCAATAAGCTGCCAGTGGTATATCCGGTAACAATCACATGAGCTGTAGCCTTGTACAAACCTATGAGAATGAATTTGCATGAATTTTGTGAAACAACATTTATCATATCCTCCTCAAGGTTTGTTGCTGTGGAGAACAACCCAAAGATTGAAAACCCCCTTTAACCCTTGGTAATATCTATATTTTCCATTATTTATTCACACGATCCAAAAACATTATTATGAAGAAAAAATTTTTGAACTGGTAAAAGAGACTTTTATAACTTCAAAAAATTCAATGTTGAACATAATTACAGTAGATATAATATAAAGTTAAGTCTGTTCTAAGCCAAGAAGCCCCACTAGCCAGAGCTTATCTGTGGTTCTATTGCACAAAAAGACTAGAAGTATCACTTCTCCCCCCAGGATGGATGCTAGTCCATCACAAGGTTATCCCCCCCCCAGCATTGCATCAGGCTTCCCTGACAATTTGCCACTGCCCATTTATACTCCTGGATGTAGAAAGGTACTGCCAAAGAACACAACACAATATCACCACTAGATCTCAGACCTGGACCTCTCTACCCAGAGTCCAGTGCACCAAACATTAGGCCACCATGTCTCCCACAGATATATTATAACTGCTTAGTAAATTATCCACCATTTGATAATTTCCAATATTTTGTAGACTATCACTGCCTTTTAAAGTGACAACTGCTAATGCTTTGATTTGATTGACAGGTCAGTCATGAACTAACCAATTACGATTAAGTCCAGCACGCAAGTGTAAACCTCAAACCCACAAACTATGAACTACTACTGTTTGTTGTACAATCTTCTGATGCTTAATTGGCTTTTCTTTGAGACTCAAAGACCTCCAGAAATATTTTTGGTATCCAGGGTTTCCCGAATTTCACAGTAATATCTCCAGGTCATATTTACACTGGAGAACTGGTGAAAAATATCCACAAACCTGTCAGAAATATACCCTCCCATCATGTCATGACACACTAAAGTCCGAGGTCTCTTCTCCATCTTCCTGCCCTTTTCACTCAATGGAACTGAGGCTACGTTAAAAAAGTCAAATCCCTGCCTCCAAGACAAGGCCTCATCTAATGTTTTAAGTGGTCGAGTAATCGGCATACCCGTTTCTGGATCGAAACTGTTGTCTGCGACTTGGCTGACTCCGCTAATCTTACTCGGTCCGTCAATGAACTTGGTGTACTGCAAAGAAGGCTGGCGAGCTACAGAATCTAGTTTAGCGTCAGTTACGTCTGGTTCTCTTTCCTCTTCTCTCGTTTCTTCCGAGGAAATAATCTCAAATTTTGCACCAAAATTAGTGGACATGTCACGAGTTTCGCTTGTGACTACTTCCTGGTTACCAATAAAATATTTCAAACGCGCCTCTTTTACAGTTTCAGAGGCTTGAACAGTTAAATTTTTCTGTGATTTGGTATTCCCAGATCTAAGATACTTCCAGAGCGTATATATTCCAAACACAACTGCCAAAACTGTCCAAAACAGAATCAGCAACGTATCGCCCGCCATGTTTCGTTTCGTTAGATTCCAGGCTTAACCGGTGCCACGTATTTGCAGCATTATGCAAAGCTCGTCCCCAGGAGTTTATCGGTCAATTTTTAAGATGACGCCTGATCGAGAAAGTCGATGCAAGTTGATGCTTGTTTGCGCGTCACAAGCGGGTGCTATTGCCATGTATTTCCCCGAGTTGTTTTTTATAAGAAAACTTGAACCGATGACTCGTTTATTTCTCAATTTTTTCACTGTTTCGATGAATTGGTAACAAGACATCTTGTCGTCGAATTATGTCTGTAATCAAACTCTAAGTAACAAGTTGGACTCACGCTTCGGGGTCGTCCAATTTTGTTAATCACTCGTATGATTACAAAATAAACTGGAATCCATTCATTCCTGTTAACACCTCCAAAATTCAAAGATTTCCAATGACGCACATAATACACAATGACTACACAATAAGGGTTTCTATGTTCAAACAAAGACGAACACGCTTTGGTTCACAGGGGAGATTTTTTCTTTATTTTTAGCAGCGTGAAGATACCGTTTCTTATTATAGCCATATTATTTACGGAACAAAGTAGGCATAGTACTAGAATGTTCCACAGTTGAACCTCTGAACGTTGTCTTGACAGATCACACACACTTTAAGGTTCGTGGTTTAAACGTTGTCAGTAACCAATAAGAGATATTCATTTAACTCCGCGATGCAAAGGAGAAATAGTTATTCTAGGAGTATATATGCTCCAACAACAGCATCTCGAATCGCTGATGCAAAAAACAAGCGTGAAACTCGGCTGCTTGTGCAAACCAGCAGAGGATTGTCGTGCGAAAAAGACTGGACACTGAAAAACTTTTTCAGAGAGAAGGCCAAAACTAATGCCTTTTTGAAAAAGATCCACCGAAGTAGCCCTGGAATGCTGCATTTTCAGCGTAGGAAAAATGGAAGGCTTGCTCTAGACTGGAGGAATGGTTTCGTAGCTGGAAATGACACAAAAATTCCAGTGAAAACTCATGGTGGAAGACAACATAGTCGGGTCCTTAATCACAGAGAAGAAATGCAAGAACCAATACAAGAGTCTTTAGTGCGAGATTTCCCAAGCAGGGCGTCCAAAAATTTAGAAGATAGCTCTGAGTTGAATGGACAGAATTTCGAAGATGGATTTGAAAAAGAAAATTTAAGTTCCGACGTACAACCATTTCAAGCAACCACTTTAAGACACTCTGAAGACGAAAGTGCTAAAGACGTGGAGAAAACGAATGTTTCTGTTAAAAATCCTTTTAAAGTTCGCTCAAGAACATCAGGGATATGCTTTTGTCATTGTCAGGAACTAAATTTACCCCCCATAAACCTGCCAAAAAATGGAAGAAGATTTTCAGAAACTGGATTTGGTCTGAAGTTTCCATGCAACTTTGAAAGAAACTCGAACCGAAAGCTCAGCATGCCTCTTATTGCAAGGCATGGTAGGCTGTTGTGATAATTGAGGCGTGAAAGACTATTGACGTCAATTCTCATCATCCCGCTGCGAGGAATGTCGTAACACATTAATGCCATCGTGGTGAGAACTACTGAGTCTGTGAGTCCAAAAAGTTGTTCAAAGTGTCGATCAATCCTTTCACCCTTTTTTTAACCAATCACTGAATTTTCTTATAAGTTTTGGTAGTTCATATATCATCTGGTCGTAATTTTGAACGGCCTAGGAAAAAGAGTGCATTTAAGAACAAAAAAGCATTGATGAACGCACTGTGCTTTGTTTTGTTAAAGAAAATTCTGGATGAATTGCTATTTTAAGATTTGCGGTTTTTGGTCAATTATAAATACTATTTTAAATAGAAACTACTCAATCAAACTGTTCCCCATCTGTGATCTTCGAGAACCTTACTGCAGCTTCATTTGTCATTCTTTGGCTGTCAGTGGTCTTAAATTACTTACTAAACGGGAACACTGGCATTCTAAAGAGTGAACATGGAACAGTAGTAAAAACGGATTTAGCTCAAATGAAAAAAGAACGTCTTTGTTCTTCGTATTTCGTTATACTTATCTAATTTGTGGGTGATTAAAAAAGTTTTAAAAAGTTGATTTAGCACGGTGTGATTACTCTACATGCGTTTTTAACAAATTAGATTTTTGCTAACCACAACTGGGTGTAATCCCTGCTTAACAAATTAAACTCAGCTACCTTAAATTAAATTACAAATTTCAAGTTCAAACATGTTGTGACCCTTGACCTTTTCCTTTAGTAATGACGTCAATTCCAGCTGTTAATTGTATTGTAAAATGATTACGAATCGACTGAACCATGAGAGCAGTTGACATCATATATCGGATAGGCCTGCTATGAAATGCCACGACGTGATGAAGCAACTCCGAAATGTTTGAATTCGGAAACTCCGGAAGAGGTATTTAGAATAAATTGAAACAGCAGGCTTTTCAGAAGTATTCAAAGAGCTGGCGAGGCGCCAATACGATAACTCCAGTAATTTAAGACCACTGACAGCCAAAGAATGACAAATGAAGCTGCAGGAAGGTTCTCGAAGATCACAGATGCTAATACCATTTGGTTACTAAACGCTGAAAAAAATTAAAGTACATGTCACATTTTAACTTAAACTTTGTCAAACGCGAAAGCATCACTGACGAAAATGAAACAATGATCTATTTTATTCATAATTGAGAGATGACAGGCTAAAACATTCTTCATTTTAGATTAGTGCTCGCAATGAATCTTCGAGTTTAAACTCAAGACAAATTCACAACCCCTCTTAACAATGATACTAGATAGAACAGCCATGTGGTCACATGAAATATTTAACTGTTCTAGTCTTTCAATAATGAAAAAATTGCCGCAGAAACAGATTTCGAGGAGAATTTTCAAGTAGGAGCCATCAGTTGATTTAAAAAACTCTCACCATCCACTTAGCCAATCAAATGCAAAGACACGATCAATCTCAACCCGGTCACTCGCGTTTTCCCGCGCTTGATGCAATTTCTGTTTATTTGTGTTATGTTCTCGTTGCCTGTTTTTGTCGCTACTGCCTCTTACAGGTGTTGACGAAGCCAATTATGCCGTTGAGATAAGTGAGCCGTGAGTGATGGGGACTTTAGAATTCCGTTCTTGACCCAATTGAAGTTTCCCGGTGCTACTTATTGTTTGTTTCGGAGTACTCCAGAAGACGATAAACACCTCACAATAATTTCAGGGTGGCGCGCGAAAAAACCAAAGCTTTTCCTTGCAGAAATATCTTAAAAGGTGTGATTGGCGCATAATGAAAACTTAAACGAAATTTTTTTTCTTCGAAGAAACGACACGGAATGCCTTGTTGTATAAAACAGAAGTCTCACAAAAATTTAATTGCGATGAAATAAGAAAATAATTTATAATTAACAAGCAAAATTAAAAGAATAGTTTAATTATTATTGGAGACTAGAGGATAGAGGAACAGTGAGTGGCCACATACTGTTTTAAACTGCCTATTCGTTATATTGATTTATGTAAGACTGGCTCTCGAGATTTGAAACTCAGTTGAAAAATGTCGAAAAACGCTCTGATGGTTGTAATGAAATGTTTGATACCAAAATTGTCATTGAAAACATTACTGCCAATTTATGCAGTGGCCTTCACTTGCGCTTTCAAAGTGGAAACGGAGCGATAGTCTCAAGCTTTTGTTTATGACTCGAGTGTATTGGCCATGACACAGTTTAATAGCTGGCCATATTTATGCCTCTCTCAAAAGTCTTTCCACAACTGCTTCGACCATCGAGAAAGAATATAATATTGCGCTTTGTTTGCTTCAGAGGTCCGTAAATGACTTATTCTCTTCCCCAGTCCATAGAGGCCACGAAGTTAAGCAAGAAAACTTAAAACCGGCCTAGAAAAGATATACGACGACCGCTGTCTGAGTCTCTCCACAGGAAGCCCAAATACTTATTTTCCGTACAAAACATGTCCAAGCATGCCTGACAGAATTTTCAAGTACCAGAGTTAAATAAAAAACTTTGCTTTTCTGTCGGCATTGGAGTAAGGCACCTTCTCTTCACCACAATTTTGCCTGCGGATGTTTTTTCTTTCGCCGTTAAGGGTCGATGAGAGTTCGTGACATTATCAAGTTTTGTAAGTCTCTGTGATATCTGAGTAACTACAAGCGGAGAGCTAAGATTTCGATGCGAGCTCTCCCTAAGGATACAAGGAGATCTCACTGGAAATAAAGGTTCTGAAAATTTCCTTTGCATTTTTGCCATGTTGTTTGCAGAAGGCAAATGAGAGTGACAATGTGAGAGGCATATACCAGAGACTCGCGAACGAACCCGGAAAGGAGCTTTAGAAGTAACTTGCTCTTTTCCGTGACTTTCAGAGCCTTTCGTATCAAAAAGAGCGTCTAAATTAAATCCTTCCTCTCCAAAGACATTTCCGGCGCTTTCTACTTTCGATTTTTCTCTTTGGGTGTCTTTAGACTGTCCACTTTGTCCCGGTAATTCTCGCGTTAAAAATTCTTGAATTCTTTTCCTCGTTTCGTCCGTCTTATTGGCATCCAGGCTTACTCGTCGTACTCTTGGAGCTTTCACCTCATCTTTCTCTTCGCTCCTCGACTGAAAACTGTTCGTTTCCGCGTTACTTTGGATTTTAAAGCCATCGCTCTTCGCGTTCAACAAACCATACCTTCGTTCGTAAAGTTGTTGCAGATACGCAATAGCCTTGGCTCTCTCTCTGAAAATATTTTTAAGCGTTATGTCCGTTTCAGTGGCAAACCCTTGGCTGGCTTTTGCCAGTAGCAGACTTTCCCGCATGTTTCTTACTTCAGCTACACGGGAAGCTGTTGTAGGTCTAAGAAAAGGCCTGGAATAGCTATTTCTTCTTTCCATTCTGGATCTACAGTAAAATAATTCTTCTCAGTAAAAATAGAGAGGGTTCGAAACGGGTCGCGTCCGGATAACCGGTCTATAAGATTCAATCTGACCGAATGATAACTGGTAATACTTAGTAAAAGTCAGGGCGGTTCTCTAAGATAATAAAAAGCATTCACACGTCACCCATGTTTCTTGATAAAAGTCTCAAAGCTGTAAAATAAGCCAAAATTTCGACTAATCATATTTCACGCTGAGTGAGGCTATAGATTTTAAAACAAATACCCGCACTTAGTGGATATATTTGTACTAATAAACAAAGAAAAATTTTCCTTCTTTGTTACTGAGGTCCTGACCTACTGATATGTTTTATGTTTTGGTCGCCTAGCTGTAGCTTTGCCATTGTAGTCATTACATTGGGAGGTTCAATTTTTTTACCGAAATTTTTTTACCGAAGGCATTCACGCAGACGTTCAAAGCAGGGGAAATTAGGAAGAATCTGGAGCAAGACGTGGCAATTCCAAGCTACAGATGTAGATAAAACACATCTGAATGAATTAAACAATAACGTAGCGCTGTATTTTAAAAGTACCACCATATACTTATGAACACGGTCATATGTACAAAAAAATGCATAAGCCTTAATCCCCAAAAGCGAGACTAGTTGGAAATTATTACAAAATATAAAAAACATTAAGAGATCAAAATTCTGTCGTCTCTGATAACCAGAGTAGAAAGAAAGCGCCGTATTTGAAGCTTTGAATTGATGCAGGCTGGCTTGATAGAATAAAATGAGTTATGTAAAGCAGTTCCAATCTCCAAGCCCCCCTAGGTGTTTAATGAACACAATGCCAAAGGAGCGTTAAATCTAAGTTGCCAGTAACTTCTATGATAAAGTTATCGAAACAATTCGTTCTATAGAATCGGGAATATGTATTTTAGACATAATCATAGAGTTTTCTCGAAATTTATGTCTTGCTTCGAAAACTTTTAAACAGATGTTCTTTCCCATAGTTTAGCAGACTTGCACAACCATTTTTTTTTTTCTCACGGGTCTATTCATAGCTTTTAATTTAAATCAATAATTAAATGGTATTTCAAGTTCCGACACCTATTGTTCAGGTTGTGGTAAGCAAAATTTCTACTGACCACAAACAACGAGAAAAATTTTGTTAAAAAATTTCCACATTTGAATAACAAGAAGCAATACTGTCAGTAAACAGTAAACATCCCTGCTCCTAATTAAAATGCATCGAGCAAATTAACTTCGCAATTTATGACGCAAATTTTCATGCTTCGCTAAATTTCTTTTTAGGTCTCTAGTTTGAATACCAGACACAAATTAAAGTAAACTGTTTCACCATTGTTTATAAGTGTTTATGTGTAGGGAGAGCTGTCCGTTCATGTAAGTTCAACTCTATTACGCCTTCAGCTGAGAGATCAACCAGTAAAGAACGTTTTGGCTTTTCCTTGCAAATCTGCGCACGAGTAGCTCGTCCCAAGTTTTTTAGTGGAAGAAAAGAGGAGAGACCCTGGGACCGATCGTAGACTTTCTAGAAGTGGTTCCTTTTTTTAATTTCTCAACAGGAGCTCTTTGATTGTTTCTCCAGAAAAAGGGGAAGAACACGCGCACACAGACACTTCAATATACATATATTTTACATCATAAATTTCATGACATTTTATTATTTTATGTTGTCCGTTACTTATGTCATTTATATTACAGACTTCCTAAGTTTTTCCAGATCCGGAAAACGGGTGTGGTAATTAAAAAATGAAATTATTTCAGTAAATCTGATTTGTATGCGCTAAGATACTACCCATTGTACACAGCAAAATTTTTTTAAGATCCGGAAAAATATCTTTTTTGTATCTGCTCATAATCTTTTTCGGCCACTTAAAAAAAGGAGTAATATTCTGTGCTAGACTCATAAATTACTATCAATTAATTTTACCTACAAACCCCTGGTGGGCACGATTTATGAAACTCTCTTGCGCCATATGCATAAGTGTAAGCGCGAGCAAGTTTCCATGCAGGATCTTGCGCCTAAATTCAACAACTAATTCCCGTTGTCAAGGAACGGAAAATGTGATAAAAGATCCAATTTTTCCAAGAGAATTCTGGTGAAACGTTCGAGAATATATTGATTACCGGTAGATTTCTAAAAGCGATAGGCACAAGCTGTATAAATATTCAAGAAAGATCTACGACAAGTAGCGTATCCGAAGTAAGAATTTATTTACACTTCATCAGCGGAAGTGGAGCCGATTGTTTGCTTTTTCGCTCAAGTCTCGACAAAAAATCTTGAATTGATTGCTCTTGCCTCTTTGATTTCTCGAGGACTGTACACAAAAACAGCCTTGAGTCCCTGACAGCCAATCGGGGCGCGCTTCTCCTATGTTCAAGACAGTCTTTTACAATGAGCTTCTCTATAGATCTTTGTCAAAAACGCCAGTACATTTGCAAATAACATTTATCATTTACTGCACACCTCGGCAACAAACGTAATAAATTAAAATGAGAGATAATGGCCCGGTTATCGGGCAGGATCTTTCAGGTTCTGTCTAAATGCATTCTAAATATCGCAAATCTACATTCGTTACAATAATTAAAAAAATGAATTAAAGATTTCCATGCCACAGAGATGATCTCTAGCTGTCATGGATCGGACCGCGCATCTGACGTTTGACCGTTTCGTTTAATGTAACAATAGAAACATCGTAGTCATTTACTTTATTAAAATCCCAAATGCGTTATATCTTTCTGAAAGACGACCCTGATCAAACACTTCGTCCAGTGATAATGCCAGGGCTTTATCAATCTGACACTGTGAAGGATAATGACCCATTCTATTCTTTGACTTACAACCAATTCTGATTTGAAGTGGAAATGTCACATAACGAAGTTTACATACGTCTTCGAGGACAGTGTCACTTAGAATTAGAGACGTACGCGGGTGAGTCACAATACACAACTTTCCTCAAGGCCGAAAACACCTCTTTAAAACTAAGCTGGCTTTCAAACACGGCGTTTTTTTTCTCCACGTTTTGGTGACTTTCAGATCGACCCGACCAAAAATGTGCTTTGAGGACGAACCTGAAAACTAGAAGAAGCAATATTTGCAGTTTCAATAGCGGAAAGCGAGCGATTACTTTGGTTTGAAACGTTTAAAACTCAACCAAGAATTTATAAACAGCAAGCAAATTCGATGTCGTCTGCCTCCTTCATCGTGAAAGCTCTGCTCACTCGATCTATTTTTGCCGGCCATATTATCGTGTCTGTTTGGTGGGTCGTGCAACTGACACGCAATACAAAATTATGGAATCTGGCATTTTTCGAAGGATTGCTATTTCTGGAAACGCTGTTCTCTGTGTTCTACCGAGGGGGACAAGAATTCAAATGGTAAGAAGAACATTGATTTGTCTTTATCATTATCATTATTTGGTTGCTAGTGATCGCTAATAGCGGACTCGGGACTTTAACTATAGCTCTGGTTTATAACTGAAACATTACCTTGGAAAAAAGTTGTTTGGTCAGGAAAAACTCAAACATTTGGCGCACGAGAGACTAGAAATAATTTAGAACGAACTTGAATTTGAACACTGCTCGGCATAGGAAGAAAAATTGTTGGAGAATTTAGGCCAGCGAACCACTTCAGTCTTTTAACTTCATAGCATGGTAAATCCTCAGGCGCCATATTTTTTGTTTATTTCAAATTACGTTCTTCTTGGTTTGTTTTGACAAAATGATATAAGATTCTGCAGCATATGCTCACAATTCTAACGTAAGATGGCAAGAGAAACGAAAACAATTAGAAATACCACGTTATTTCATATGGCAAACTTCCCAGCTATACACCTTGCTCACAATTTTCCATTCGACAGAAGGAACAATTTTGAATGCTCAGGAAAACTTCATGATCACTAGCATAATTTGTGCAGTATTGACAAATATATTTTTTCAATTTGATTTCTTGAAACAGTTTTATCCAAATTCAAGACTGATGTGGCATTTCCAGCCAACAGTCTTCGAAATCTTATGTCTTTAAATTAGCTTTGTACGTTGCGTTAATTGCCGGCTGAAGAATTCTGTACCATTAAAGTTAAATTACGCTATTGTCTTTCAAATTCTAGCGCACTGATAATTAACAACCTTCAGAACAAAGTAGGCGTGAAATCGTTGTTATGAAATATTACAAATAAGGGTTCTTGCACCAAAGCGATAACAATTTACGATACAAAAAAACTGCTCAATTTTGAAAAAACGGAGAGAGTCCTTTCAAGTCTGGATATTTTGCAATGACAACCTTATTATTATTATGCTATAGCGGACAGATTTTTCACAATTTCAGTTTCATTCGGAATCTTACCTTTATCCTAACTAGGATATAGAACGTTTTCGTCCACAAATCCGGCCATTGCAGGTGTTTTAAATCGAAGTGCAGTGTACAGGAAATCCCAGAATATCATTTAATTTTCAGTAAGCTTCCACTCAGGCTTAAGTGAGTCTTTTGTGTGTTGTTTGAGAGCAACTAAATTAAAAAGGTCCTATACTGGAAAGCACTCGATAACGTGTTAAAAAGAAAGTTTCTCAGCTAAAAAATGGCTCTTTTTCAACTCCTTGACAGCTGATATTTTGCGCTTAATTATGATCCAGCTTCGAAAAGAAAAAAACTTCTATTTAAGAACTTTTCATTGACAACGATTCACTCGTTTTTCAAAAAGGAAAAACGGAGAATTAAGAAATATCCCATTTTATTTTATTAGCAGCCGACAAACTGGTGCAAGCTGAGGCGTAATTAAAGAAACTCGTTGAAAATGGTTGTCTTCACCTTCCTTAATTAACATGACATAGCTCGTTCTCAAAAAATCTCTTAAAATGAAGGTATGATTTTTTGTTTACCTGGAAAGAAATTATGTAAGGAACGCATGATCCAGCAAATATCAAAACGGGGCTGAAATCAACTCTTTTTCAGTATTTTAATTAAGGCAATATTCTGGATACTTTCATCATTTTTTTTTAATATTCAAAACTGTTTGTAACAATCACATATTTAGGTTTAGCATGAAAAATATGAAGGTTCCAAAAATTTTGCAAGTTAATTAAGATCAGGTTTTAAATATTTCTCATTAAAATCACTTATAAAAAGTGCAATTTGTTTTACTACTTAGACGCGTAACTCCAGCTTGAAACTTCGAAAAAAGCTGCATGAACATTGACACGTATGTATGATGCTGGCCTTGACAAGAGGAAAATGAAAAAATCGTCTCCGCCTCTTCATCTTCCCCGCATTTTATAACGGATTATTGATGTTTACTATACCGAAATAATGAGAAAATCTGCAGACAAAAGAAATTACTCTTGAGAAGCCGAGAATCTCTGATTCATCCTGCCTATCTATCTAGGGTCTACCCGACTGCAATAAAACCTTTCAGTATCAATTATGAGAGAAAACAAACAATGAAAATATACAAGAAATTACTTCCTAAATTTGACTATCAACCCTTTCACAGGTTCCCAGCGGGAGGTTGCTTTCGAAATCTTTTCCATTTCCAGCTTTGAAATCACTTATCTAAATTTCCGCGCGCATCAACATTTTTTATTTCACCTTTCATTTCTTTCAGAGTAAATATTACTGTAAGCAAGAGCAAGTGTGGAAGATGGCGATTGGCAGCGTGTGACTTGGCCTTAATTCAATTCATCGATTTTAAGCAGATTCGGGGATTTAATTTATTTTTAATTTATAGAGGACTGATGTCAATATATCGGGGATCCGCGGTAAATGCACTTTGGACAAACCAAGAAAAAGTTCACATGACTTGCTTTTACTAGGAAAAACTACACAGTTTCACGTATTTTTTCCTGATCATCCACAAGATGTTGCCTCGGGTTAAACATAAAGTCTTACTTCCTTTGATAATCGAAATCAATCTAAACTTTACTCGATAACTTAATTATTTTTACTTGAAAAGGAAAATATTTGCTTTTTTATCGACTGATTTCCTATCCATGATCCACTCGAACAGTGGATTCGACGACAATGTTAAGTAGTATGCTAGACATGTTTTAGTGTTTTCCTCCCAATTTGTATTATCATACAAGTGAATTTCCACTTGAAGTAAGATCAGATTACAACAACTAAAATTTGACTCGATTTTCTCATGCTGGAAATAAGAGATAATGAAAGAACTGAGAGAGATAATTATCGATTGACTTGTGGTATTAATTTGCATTTGTTATTTCTCGTTGTTCTCATTTTTACTAATTTGATAAACGCAAAATGAGTTCGAGGTTGAAGAATCTTATAACCATGTTGACTAAATGTGATACTCCCTCTTCTGGACTTTTCATTATTTGAAATCGTACCGTACCATTTACTAAATGTCACTTATATTGTGTATCATCTCTTAGGTTTTCTCCTTCAATTTTTTGTCACCTGATTGGAATCATTCCCTGTGCATGGATCTTGGAATTTCATCTTCTGGAGGCGAGAAAAAATGGCAATTTGACCAGTGACAAGGTAAAAGATTCTATGATATCACTCCCGGTTGTTGAACGAATGAGAATAATAATAATAATAATCATCATCATCATCATCATCATCATCATTATTATCATCACCTTTGTTCAGTGAGGGTAGTACAAACCCTCTTAAAAAAAACAAAAAGACAAAAAACAAAACAAAACAAAAAAACAAAAAACAAACCAAAAAAATTAGAAACTAACAAAATTGCCATGTAAATAATAACAGAATTGCAGTGGATAGAAAGCTAATGTAGCACAGTAAGATCGTTTTCCTAATTTGTCGATGAATGACCTCAGGGAGCAGCAGTCCCTTATTTCATCACGAAGAGACTGAAAAACATAAGGAAATCCTGAGGGGACCAGCCATTTTTCTCGCCTAAGGAGGGGGGGGGAGAATTCTGGGGAGGATCACTTGGTTTTTGAGAAGGAACCGAGAGGGGATCACTCGTCGCCGATAGAGTATAAAGGGAGGACTATACAAAATGTACTGCCAATTAACTGCCCATGAGTAGGAGGGGGGGGGGGGGGGTCAGAAATATTACAGAACCTTATGGGGGGATCTTGTAAATTGTTTGGTGATAAAACCGAAATCCTCCAACCCATCCCTCCCCCCAGTTGATAAATGATGACCGGCTCGTAAAGAGGCGGTTTGGTTCAAGTGACCCACTAGAGCAAAGACAGAAACTGACCACACCACACCCAACTGCTAATCAACCAATGATTATTTCTGTTCTTTTGCAGCTTGATTCGAACGTGCTGATAGTTTCAGCAGAGAGGTGGACAGATTTAATAGAACAGACAACCATGTTGATGATGATTCTAGGCCGCTGGCTGCTCCCTACAGCACGAGGCATGACAAAGGACTCCCTCTCACAGCTCCTCCTTGTCAACCTAGCCATGTGCGCAGATATCATCGAGTTCTTCGACATTCTTAAACTGAGCTTCGTGAAATCTTCTCAGACGCTCATTGTGACAATTCTTTGCCTATGGACTTGGAGTTTGATGCAGTTTCCATTCAACACCATGTTAAAACTTGACATCGAAGATGAAGGGTCGGACGAGAAAAAGACAGCAAAAAATATCGGTAAAACTTTGCGGGGGAAAAGAGCAATTGCGCCGTATGAAGAGGAGATGGATATGCCAAACAGAGCTTCAATGACGTCAATAGACTTTAGGCAAGCCATTGCTGCCAAGAGAATGTCACGTGACATTCTACTGATGTCACATAACTATTCACGCGGATTACCAGCGGGTTATTTGCCAGATTTTCGGCGAAATTCATATCAGCCTCATGTAAGGGGCAATGATTATCCCGGGCCTAACACGAACCACGCCCAAGAAGGCATTTTAAATGGGCAATCGAGAGGACCTGGGCGCTTTTCCTTAGATGTGGGACAAATGAGACCGAAAGGCCCGACGGGAAATATGACGACATCAATTACGTCACCGAATCTCAGGCTTGACTTGAAGGGGCTCCAGGAGGACACGATTCGCTCCAAGGAAAAATCTGCACGAGCCAGTTCAGACGCACTGGAGACAAATGTCGATATAGAGGCTGATTCCTCAGAGGAGGAAGAAACGAAAAAGTCACGCATTACAATAGAACTGCTAGGGATTCTTATGTCTCTATTCATGCAAGACGGACCATTCCTTACCTTTCGTTTATTCATAATCGCCCAATATGGCGCATACGAGTACATGGTGATTTTCTTGACCGCAAAAAATGCGCTAGTCCTGGCGTTACAAGTATACCGGCTTTGTGTTCTTCATTGCGCGTGTTATGACCATAAGGAGAACGATTTCTCGCCCGAGAACGAGATCGATGCTAATTCTCGGCTCAAAAACGTCCAGGTAGCCATATCACACGGGGGTAATGAAGAATCCGAGGACGAGTCTATTCATGCAATGGGCTGGAATTTCTCGAGGAAATGGCGGAGGAGCTTTAAAAATCCATTTTCTTCCTCGCACTTATCTGATTCGCAAGCACATTTAGCGCCATAATACGCTAAACATGCTTAGCCATTACGGTGGAAAGAAGGGGTGGGGAAGAGACACTGTGCTCTCTGATGAGACAATTCACCCCTCCCCACCCCCCTGACGAGCTCCGGCCTTCTTGATTTCACTCCGAAAATTTGGTTTGTGTTCTAAGTTACTGAGTACTCCCTAATTTACCTGGTAAATAAAGATAAGAGCCGCATATTTATACTATCATGATTGAGACTTACAGATCATGAATTCGAAATTTTTCTCTCTCTTGTTCACTGAGTTGATCAAGCTGATAAATCAAGTGACTTTTATCAACATTTTAAAATTTTATTAAGGTATTCACTGGCACTTTTACACAACTAAAGACGGCGGAATTTTGTGAGAGAAGTTTTACATGAAAATATCGAGATAGCTAATTACTTTACGAAATGGCTTCCGCGTCGAATATTTGAGACTTTATAAAGAGATTACTGTAATTAAGAGCTTTAACGAAAGTTTGCTGACCGTAGTTCACTTGAAAATACAAATGGGCCATAACGCTCTGAGGAATGAAAATACGAAAAACCGAGTTTTGTGGAATTGCTTCATATTTTGGAGTTAGCCAAAGATAAGATTATGCCGTGAAATTAAAAGCTTTATGATAACAGAATTCTGTCTAAATATTTTAAGAACAAGTGATAATCCATGAGGACAATGTTGAAATTAAGCCAGTTTCCATTACCGGATTAAGATTTTTTCAGAAGCAAATTTAACGCGTTATTATAAACTAATTGGTGTCTTATAGAAGCGTCACATCAAGCGCTGATAAACGAATTGAAAAATAAAATCTTCATTTTTCACAACTATTTCTACCATATCTTTATAGAAAACAAAATCTGCAGTCTAAAACTTGTACTAAAACCGCGACCTACAAACAAAGGTTTGAAAATCTTTCACATTTGTACAATTTTGTACAGTCGTGCAGTCAAAACAATTAAGAAGAACGTATGCAAGTCATGCAGTTTTACTTAACTTGGGCAGAAGGTAAATGGCATGGTTGCCGTCATTACGGAAAATACTACTTTTTTTAAGCCAAAAATAACACCTTTGTTATCTTACTTACTAGCCTTTGGTGTTTCTAGCCGTACCGTACATTTTCGACGTTAAGACTTTTCGCTTTCTAACGTGGCTTTTTATATACTAGTGAAAAATTGACTTATAGTTCCTGAGTTTCTGGAGCAAAACTTTTAAAAACACCTTTCATGAACTGGACGTTATATTCTTCTGTTTACAGACGGAGAAAGTTTTTTCTTTTGTGTTTTTCTTGCTTGCTGCGAAATTTTCTTTCTCTCTCAACCTTATCATGCATGCAACAACATTCTCCTCCTCGCTTATGAAAAGGATTCGTAATATTTCAAGTCCTCTATCGGGAGGTTTTACATAAAAAAAAAAAACAGTTGTAGGAGGTTTAGCACTGCCTATAAGTCCTTTAACCATCGTCTATTTAGCCAGCTGCGAGCTTGTTCTTGTGCACTTGTCTGGGTTTAGCTTTACGGTCCCTTCTCGGGCACAACCGCCTGTTAGGTAGCCGCGTATGAAAAAAAAAGTTATTAAAACCACTTTCTCCACCCTCTCAATACACTGAGGTTGACAAAATACTTTATAAACGGCACTTTCTTATCTCTTTTTCTAAGAGGCGGTTAAGGTTTATCTCTTATCACTTTCAGCGAAATCTCATTACACACTTATGCAATACTCTTCCTTCTGGTGGTTCTAAGATATCGACAGTATTTCAAGTCTTCTAAGCCATCTGAACCGGATCTTGTCCCTCTCTCGTATTCAAAATCCTTTTCAAAATTTCTAGTAGATAGTTTCGTTGGTCGTATCTGGTAAATCGGGGGTAAGCGAACCGTCGGCGGGAGTCGGATGGGTTCGTCGTCGCCCTCGTTGTTTTCGAAAACTGACCCTCGCCTGCTTGCAGGCTCTTCCTCCAAAGGGTTTAGAAAAGGCTTTGAGTTATCTGCCAAACGAGATTTTCCTGCTAAACCTTCGTTCAGCTTCCGAAGATCTAATAGTGATAAACTTGCTCGTCTTCGAAAAACTCGCTTTTGCTCAGAACTAACAGTGCTAGTTTGAGCTGACGATTCGCTTGAAATGGATGAACGCCGTTGGCGTGTTCTTACCAGATTTTCTTGTTTCATGGCTTCCCCTTGACCCATAGTGAAACTCGTTGCTCGGCTTCTTGGTGTTGTTATTACCTTGGATGCTTCCTCGTAAAATTGGTACGTTCCACTGCTTCCCCTGAGTTTCTCTTGATATTTCAGCATTTCGTTTTTGTCCTTTTCCATTTTACTCTCGGAAAAGAGTCGAATCTTCTCCAGCGACTTTTTCACTCTTTCCCAGTTACTATTCAGCTGGTTGTTTTGTATTGAAACTCTTCGGCCCAGATTTTTCGCTCGCAAAATTGGCTCCTGTTGCAGCTGACTTCCTATCGGTGATAGATTCATGTCGGCGTGACAAAGTAACCAAGAAAGTACGAATTCAAGAGTTTAATATTCCAGTCCTTCAATTTTTACCACACACGAGCCTTTTACTCGCGACGCCGGTTTGTAAACTGAAAGACCCGCTCAATAACAGACGTATTTACATTGGGATGGCCTTCATCTGGTTTATTGCCCGTAGAAAGTCATCATGAAAGCGATATTTTCATGCAAATTCACCCTAACAATTGCTTTATTTCAAGGAATAAGGTATTTAAGTCCAATGTGTTAATGAAATAAAGGAAGGCGGGATGGAATCGAATGCTATTCATATCAAGAGAAAAACCCTGGTTGATAAACAAAGGCAGGTGCATACTTTAAGAGCTATTTTTGTCTTTTACACATGGTACAATACTAAAGTGTTAAGCTCTTTTTCTTGTTTTCACTTTTGCCAGAACTTAGTATGCTTAGCACAACGTTTGCAGAAAAATTCATAACAGACATCACTCTGCTCCGAAACCCTGTTGTAAGGTAATACTGATCGAATGTGCGCCGGCGTTTTTCGCCTAATTACACATTTTCAGTTAAGTTTTTGTTCCCGTCACCAAGTCTCTTGATTTAATTCACAAAAGGTTGTTGATAATTACTGTAATTTGAATTTCATTGGCTTCTTGCTGATTAGAACTAAACTTACAAAAGTTCAATGCCACTTGTTTCCCTAACAGGTCTAAATAACCGTTATACCTTTTACCATTATAATTGTTGATATCACCCGAACCAGATGTGTTTGTTAACCTAGTGCATTCATACATGTCGTGGGTCCAAAATCACAATTAATACTATCATTGTTGCAATTACAGAACCGCTCAATAAAGTTGACAGTCTCGACTCTAAACTCGAGGATCGAGGCTTGGCTGTAGAGTCGATACTTTCTACTTACTATTTAGCGGTTCTCTTTAAAACTTCCCCTATTATTTCGATCTGATGTTAAATTATTCTTTTTTTCCCTTCTTAAGCCCAGTTTTAAAGTGGTATTTGCTATTGCTATAGGGATCGTGGTGATGGTTGTGGTTAAGCTGTCACGTGACGAGCATGAATCGTGAAGCAATCAATTCTTCCCTGCGTCACCTGATCAAGGCCCAGGTTCCGACTCGCTAAGATGAGAAATGGTAAGAGTGAAAAAAGCCCATATAAACTAACTGGCGATCTACAAACGTGAGTTCAGAATGAATCTCTGATACTTCTGTTTAAAAGCGAAATATAGGCTTTTAAAAGTTAATATCCACAATAAATATGTTAAATAAAAACTGATGATCACGTTATAATCTACTCACTGCGATGCTAACCGCAACTAGTGTTGACATAGTCTAGAAGTGTTTCTGTCACGGTCCGCTTTGAGTCAACAAAACAGTTAAGAAAAGGCGCCGCCTAGCTGATTAAGGGAAATATGGTTGGCAGTTTTTGAATGATGTCAAAAATACATTGATGAGAGAGAAACACGATCCGTAAAAGTAGGATTATTATGGAAGGAAGCCGGTAATTTGTCAAGGGGCCAATGGGTATAGGAAAGAAATTAGCTAGGCCAAACCACGTATGTGATACCCACTTTCCACTGTCCATCGCAGCAAAAAGGGGACCAAAAACGCAGCTGAAAAGAACGAATTTTTCAATAGCAGCTAAAATCAAATTTATTGCCAATCAATTACAAGGGCAATTTATACAGCTTTACAAGGGAAATATACAAATATACAAAAAGATCACTATAAGGCTAGTTCAATATTTTCATTTCAGAATTGCTGGCTTGTATAAACATAAATCTATTTCATCTATCATCTGTCAACTCTAATCAATCAATCAATCAATCAATCAATTAATTAATCATTTAAAGTTAGACAAGCGTTTTGACTACTGCAACAAAGGCAAAGCAAATAAGAATGTATTCATAATTCAAAGCAATAATATGAAATTAACTCTTAAAAAGTCTTAAAAAAAACCAAAAATTTTGTGTTGACTGCATTTTAGTTGAAGTTAAACTCACTTGATTATCTTCTTGACTGATAATCTACACTCCTAAACATAATCATACCCATCACAAATTCCTCAAATGTTATCGGTGGATTACTAGTTTATTTTAACTCCTTTTTCTGTCAATTGTAATCAAAGTATAATTGGACGGTTGGCTGTACTCAGACACCTGTGATCAGACAGTAAAGGCAGCCAATTATATCAAGTCCACTTTGCTAAATCCATCAATCACAGGATTGATTGCAATAACAATAGCAACAACCACTTGCCCAACAAAACTAGGTAATTCACAAAATGAAGAAATTTTTTGCAATGTCTCTACCAGACATATTTTCTTAAATAAATGTACATTTTTTTGGAAATTGTAATGGTTATGAATTATTGGTAACATGAATTCCTTTTGTCCAGTTCGGTCTGCAATCATACTTATGATTGACAAATCAGACTTCCACCTAATGGTCTTCCAAGTTTGTAATCACTTGTATGATGACAGACAGAATTAGACTCCATACTGTCCTATTACCATTATTTATTTGTTGGGACACTTCTCTGTAATAATATCTATGATAGTCACCCCTCCCCCTGCCCAATGTTGTTAATTGCAAATTGATGTTTCTACACCATTCACTACCTATATATTTCCATGCCATAGCCTTCCAATGCTTCTATGCCATTAACTGCCAATGTTTCAATTATATCTTGTGGACCAACACTGAGGGTGGCAGGGGAGGCAGTAGGTGTGCCAACAATTGTGTTTGGGAGTATAGTTCCCAAGGAATAAGATTAAATAACAAGAAGAATTTAAAACTTGATTACATCAATACCATGCCAATTGCTGGAGAGACACTGAGCATTGCCCACTGAAGACTATCACTTTGAAGCTTCAGAAGCTAAAAGTTGGTAAAATGCTTGTACCAAATTTCAGTTAAACTTCCTAGTGGGGAGAATTAACATTCAAATCTTGGGAGTTGAAGGGTTAAGTTAAGTAGGGTAGGTAACCTTTTCACTTTCAGAAGAGATCAGCAGTGAATTTCTCCTTACCTAAGTGTGCTCTCAAGCAGAAACACAATGAGAAGCAAGAAATTGTCATCAAGGGATATTACTTGACTCAATAATTAATTTGAAGAGCCTAGCTTGTAGATAATGCATGGAAGACATTGGGGAGAACTGATATGATATCTAAGGAGTAAAGTGACATGAAACCAAAAAGAGAAACAAGAATGGAGAAATATTGGGAAAGATAGAGATGAGGAAAGATGAAAAGATCGAATGAAACCAAACCCTGACAATCCCAAGCCTTTCAGTTAATACAGGGGGCTTTTTGATTAATTTACTCCAAATGTCTCCTTGATGTCCTCATGTGTTATGCACTTCACAAGAAATGGTGCAATCTCATAGAATTATCAAAACGCAATTTTTTTTGCTGTCAAAAACAAAAAGCAATATTACAATTTTAAGAAATAGTCCTATTTTCTGTAAAACAACAAAGTCTTAGAATTACTTTAAAATTCTATTTGTCACAAGCACAGACAATGAATGTTGCTAATAAATTTTGATATCCCCCCTCCCACTCCACCAAATAATATATGACTCACGGCCTCTTTTTACTCACACCTCTACACACTGTCCTTGATTAGGTAACTGTTTGTAGGGTGGGAGCAATAATTATACTTTGGGAAGGGGGGGTAAGTAAACTATCCTATTAAACTTGATGCTACATTCTTAGTCCTTGCAGTCGTAAAGTCTGAAAGAAAGTTCAAAACAGCAGTTTAGTAAAACCCATGAATCAAATTTCTTCTAGAAATCAATAAACCAAGAGTTTATGATTATAATCTTTTTTTATAATAGTTTTTCTGATAAGAGTTTAGATGATAAAATGAAGGTTATTAAAAGTTCATTCAATCTGTAATGAATTTGTGGAAATGCATTCACACATGACACACAAAAATTGTACATCATACATCAATGACCTCCTCCAATCAACCCTTGAAAATCAGTTATTTCATGCAGCACAAAAAATTTTGAATGATATTTAATTTCATTCAGAGTATCATTACTTCTCTCATTACCTTTGCCTTATCACTTTGTTCAGTCCCTCCTGCCCCTTGTTCTTGTGAATCAGACACATCTCTTGACACAACACATAAAAATTCTGCTTGATCTTCACTACCATAGTTGTAATTACTGCCAACACTTATTAGCTGGAAATGAAGATATATATCACAAATTTGATGAATTAAGGAAAAAAAAATCTATACTGTTTTCCTTCTATAGGGTATTAACTTAACTTTAAAATCCCACCTTGTGTTAGAACCAGTTTAAATTTTCTTTTACACCAAAAAAAATTCACTTATTCCTGTTTCTTATAGTCACTGTGAAGATATCCCTCATGGCTGGTTTTAATAAGTGAGAGATTTGGAACTAGAATCAAATCTGGAGTGGTAAGAATGCTTGTGACCTTGTGAACACCTTAAAATCAGAGATAATGTATAACTGATGGCTAAATAACAACAGCGCGTGGACATGATGGTTACTGTTCGATTACACCATCCAATTACAAGCATCACGCATACACTGTCCTATTAGTGCTCAAATTGGGTTGATGATAACCAATCATATTCAAGAGTTTTGTAGTAATTTTTATTAAGATACTTGTATCCATGCAGGTAACTGTTTGTTTCTCTTCTTTGTCATAGTTTTGATTAATTATGGGATTTGAACCCATGACCACTGCAATACCAGTGCAGTGCTCCACCAACTGAGCTGGTCATTATGCTGGTTCTTAATAAACCCGTGAAGTGATGAACCAACAAATGAAAATCATAGATGTTAACTGCGGTTTTTAACCCTTTAAGTCCCACTAGTGACTTAGACAGAATTTCTCCTCACACAATCAGTACAATATCAAGCAGACAAGTAATAAGAATAAAGAAATATATCAATTGGGGGATTATTGGTTGTTCCAATTCCAAATTCCCCAAACTAACATCATATGAATTGTTTGGCAGACAGTAAGGAGAATTACTTATGAGATCTTGGGAGTTAAAGGGTTAAGAAATGAAAATGAAAGTGATCTTTGCAGTAATGAACATCAGTTAAGCAGTGATGGGAGGTCTAGGTTCAAATCCTGGACAGGACACAATTTTTTTGGGCCTTGTTTTCACTACTGCTAAAATATTGTTCACACCAAAGATGGACTTCACCCATTCCTATTTCCATGCATTACAAATCTCTGTGGTAAGTACATGTATTTTCTTACATATGCTAGAAATACTCTTGTACATCAAGTAACCAACAAGCAGTAATTAATATTGCCTAACTTTTATCAAAACCAAAACTATTCCTTATTTTACAACTAAAATCAGCTCAGCCAGGGAAAGATTTATTAAGCAAACTAAACAAACCTGTTCAAATCTCCAACCATCTGACATTGTAGAAACCATTTGAGTGAGTTCGTCTTCATGGCACTGCAGTACTCTGTACACATGTTTCTTTGATTGAAGCTGATGAGGAAATGACACCAAATTATTCATGAGGGTAAAATATCATGTAACCTTGTATCAATAAAATATTCATAGTTGAGAGTTTGTCTCACAATGTGATCACTTCCTAGTCATGACCTTTAAGAACAGTTTCCCATTCAGTGTTGGAACAAGCAAAATCAAAGGAATTCTGCGGCCAATCAGAACAATGGTTTAAATTATATTTAGCCAAAAAGAGCTCAAAGTGAGAACAAGGAAACTTCTTAATCCTTTAACTCCCATGAGTGACCAAGACCAAATTTCTCCTTACAATATCAATACAATATCTGCCAGATAAGTGATGAGAATAAAGAAAAATATCCATTTGGAGATAATTAGTTGATCCAACCCTAAATTCTTTGAACTTACATTATGAGAATTGTAGGGTTGACAATAAGGAGAATTACAATTTTTATCTGAGAGTTAAAGGGTTAAAGCACGGGAAATGTGAGTGAACAAGTCAGAATTGTTTTAAGTTTGGCATCTGATTGGTTGTGAGAATGGTGAGAATTTTCTGGACCAATAACAGACTACATGAAGCCTTGTATATTGCTTTGATTAGTCAACCTCAAAACAACAAAAGGAGCAGTAGAATGGAAAATTTGGAAAATTCCAGAAGCATAATGCCCACAACAAGAAGCACAACTTGTTTCAATGATTCACCTTAAAAGAGGAAAAAGGTCAGAGTACTTACTGGGATCTTTTGACGTGCCTCTCTTGACTGTATTCTTTCTTTTATTATTTTAACAAGAGGGTCAATATTATAAAATTCTGCTTCTTCTAATACACCTAAGAAGAATAAATAACATTTAAATATATTGGAACCCTTCTCTAAGTAATAGACTAATGATTACAAAACTAGTTTAACTTTTTAAGGGGAACAGGTTTTTATTAAATTTCTCATTACAAAACTACCCTTAAAGCATTAATGTAAAACTCATGAGAATTATGGAAATGATCGGCAATTCAAGAAGTTACTAGATGGTCAAACAAATTCTCCTTGTCATTACCACTAGAAATGTAGAAGTCACAAGTTTCCCTTTTCCATACATATCTGTATGTTGCTGTTAACAGATTTACAAGAATATCTTTGTATTTCATTGCAAACCCTGAGTTAAAGTAGTTGTTCTTATGTTTTCCTCCAAAGTTAAGAGTGGGACATGGTGTGTAGCTGGCTTAACTTGATGGACACACGCAAATAACCCAAAAACTCCCATGAGAGACCAAGAAATTATTCTCCTTACAATAACAATACAATATCAAACAGACAAGTGATGAAAATAAAGAGAACTATTAACTAGGTGATTAATATTTGTTCAAATACCAAATTCTCTACACTAACATCAAATGAATTCAATGACAGACCGTAAAGAGGATTACTGATGAGATCTTGGGAATGAAATGGTTACTTTTGTTGTGAGGCTTCCTAAGCAATACCTGTCAGCATGAAGGTAAGCTGCTGTTCACATAGCACTACAGGCTCACTAAATTAGTTTCCCAACTTTTTTTTTTTTTGGGTATTTTTGACTCTTTTTCTTATTGTTCATGTCACAAATCAGTTTTGGAAGCAAAACACTTCTGATGAATAAAACAGTACTGTCTATGTATGTCATAATCAGAGAGAGCAGCCATCATTCACAACTCATGTAAATTAGTTGAGTGTCATGTAGCCATCTGTTTGCATTGAAATTATGTGTGTTAAAATGGATTGCTCTTTTTATTTGTGAAACCTAAACAGAATATTCATTTAATTTCTTTACTTCGCAGAAAATTACTAGTTAGAAAGTTGAGGGTTCCTTTCTGTGAATAAATCCTTGTAACAGACACCAGAGCTGTACATAACGTGTTCAGAGCTCACCGACTATTATAAAATGTTCCAGCAGTGCTTGCCAGAATTTCATGCTTAAAATTACCCAAGATGCAACGAAACTTTTTACTTTGGCAGATTTCCCCATTTCAAAAATGCCTAGTACGTTAAAAAAGCGATCACTTTTCGAGTTTTCTTCTAAATCCACCGAGATCTCGTAAATACAAGTTGAAGTTTCTGCGAGTACAGAAACAGAATTGACATGGCGGAATCATACATGAATTCGTAGTTCTGCCACGACAATTGGTATAAGCATGTTTACTCTAAGAAATATTTAGTATGTATTTTGGCGTAAATTTTTACTAACCAGTGAGCCGACACTTGAGCCCCCCAATGCGTCAAGAGAGATTTTGAGAAAGGATAAAACAGCCGAAATCAACAATACTCGTTCTCCGCTGCATATAAGACTTGAATGAGTTCTGCATACGTTAAATAGACTGAATTCTTTCGAACGAAAATTAATTTAGAAGTAGCATGTTCTTTCCACGGCTCAAATGAAGACTTTTTGAAACTAGAGCACACATTAATAAGGCATTTACCAAGAGAACGTCCAAGCCCATACGCTTCAAGCCAAATGTTTACTTAGCAAAATGCCAAAAGCGAAGTGAACTTCGAACCAAGAATCTAAAATACGTTAACTTTCAATGCTCTCACCTTCTTCAAGGAGGTCTTTATCGATTATAAGTTTGCCATGTCGTAGATAGTTTAAAACAGGTCCAAAATAGCGAGGATCTCGATCTATCATATAAGCACCGCTGTCGTCCTGAAATGTCAAAATGCCTACTTGTTTAGCTGGGTAGAACATTTCACAAATTTTGACTGAAATGCGTATTCTTACCTTGTCCGAGGGTAAATCAGGATCTTCTGCACAAAGTCTATGTAAAAAGGAGTTAGGGTGTCTACAAAGCGTTTGTTTTGTCGTTAAGAAGTACGTTCCACCGACATTTAACTTCACCCAGTTGTTACTTGGAGTAGCCATCTTGTACTCATCATGTTATGAACATGAATTCGCCGAAAGATAATAATTCGGTAAATCGTATTGATTGGTCGGCAGCTGTGCTAAAAATAGCTTGCTAAATTTAGCTTCTGTTAATTTGGACAAATTCACCTGGCTTCCTTGATCTAAATCTGTAAATTCCCAGCACAGAAAAAGCGTTTTGAAAAGAAAACTTTGCTTACGAGGGCTTCCGATGATTTCCGAAGGGTTCCGACAAAGAAGCACAATTTTCAGAACGCCCACGCAAAAAATGTAAAGCATGGCCTTTGAATTGGTGTACAGCTGCAATGGAAAAATAAGTTTAAATTCTCGGTGATTTCTTCGTCGGGTCCAATTTTTTCTCCTACACTGTCAAAACGAAGCGTCTAAAGTTATTAAAACTATCCATAAATTGACAGTGCTAGGCCATTTTGATCGGTTTTTGGTCAAAAAAGTTTGGTCTACTAAAAACTTGGTCTTCCTCTAAATGCTAATAGCCAGTTGGCTGAAAGAAAGAAAAAAAAATTAATTATCCGAGCTTTCTCTCAAAAGTTTCTTTCACTGGCGAGGGAAAAAAAGTATAACTTTCTTTGTTTAAGACTTGTTTGATCATCGATTATTTATTTGTGGAATCTATAAAAGATAATTTTGTATCCATAAAGCAGTAAAAAGAATTTTAAAATTTTGTGAATCGTGGAGTCATGCTAAAGTTCCTTCCACAGACCAAAAGATGAATTTAAAAGTTCCAATTTAAAAATGATGGCTATATTTCCTCTCATTATAAACAAAAAGGAGATGATGCTTTGTTGAACTGCCTGAAATGGCTTTTTAAAAAGGTTGGAGGGGAGGGGGGGTTCCTGGTTCCTGCACACGTTTCACGCACATTAAAAAGTAACAATAAGGCATCACGAAAAATCGGATAAACGGCTTTGAGGTTCACATATCGCGAAAGGCAACATAAAAGTACAGTTCATGGGGTTTTAATTTCGTATTTCCGCTGTTCACGAAAATTAAGAACTCTTAATCCCTTATCGCGCGATATTCCTCTCCCCCCCTTTAAAAAGTATACCAGCTCAGATGAGGTTGCAGGTGAACGTCAAATGTGTGGGCATCTCTTACAGACATATTCTAATAAAAGTTTTCTCCTTCGTGCTCTGATCTATTTTTTCTCCTTCAATTCCCTCCCACTCATCCTCCCACTTAGATTGAATGTCTCTATTTTTAAGCACGGGGGAGGTTAAATCATATTTCAATTTCCCCCTTGTGTAGGTGATATTTTAACTAATATTAAACTAAAGCAGCTGCTCTCATGCGACAAACAATTTTTCTAACTGAAACCCGTCGTTCGACTGTAAAATTACACGTGTGATTTCAGACGAAATAGAAACCTCCCACTTCAAATACCATTATGGAAACAATGAGAATTTTCAAGAAGATAATGAGCGAAGGGTACAATTTCTTATACCTATAGATCTCTTCCAGCTTTTCATTAGGAATATATAGTATGCATATTTTTTTTACGTCAAGAAATAAAGGGGTTAAGTCTAAAGAAACCTTGTGCTGCGTCGGTGGGAGAGCATAACAAGGTAATTTAGTATTATCAACGGAGTTGATGATGTAAATTGGCCACCGTAAAGAGTTCAAAAGATGACGTTTCGAGCTTTAGCCCTTCGTCAGAGCGATTGGGAATTACCCTGAATGATCTGGAGTTTTTCTCCTTCATACAACTTCACAAAAGACTGAAAAATTCTGGATAAGATACTGCATCCTTGGAATCCAAAACTAACAGTCCGACTTGAGGTAATCATTTTATGCTACATTCAAATCGTCCTTAGAAATCTGATACTTACATATTGCAGATTTTATGAGATAATTTGGATGATATTTAAAATTATGTGGGAATGACGTAAGAAAATGCGACTAATTACGTGAAATTGTATTTACTTCAGCACGTATAACCTGGACTTCCACGTGCCCCAACTTCACCGTGCATACCTGCCCCACCCGTGGGAAAACTTTTTAACTTGGAAACGAGGTTTACGTTTGGCGCGTTGAATAAACTCACGAAGTGTATCTGTCGTTACTTTCAAAAAGGGAAAATACACATAGATTTGATTAGCATTTGATTTTGAAAGGAATTCACTTTTAAAACAGTCTTCAAACTTCGACAGATATGACTGCACGTCAAAAATCGCGTTCAGATCGCAGTTCCAATCTTTTATCATTAGGTAAGATTTACCCGAGGATTTCACTCTTGACTGTTACTTTTGAGTTTCATATCACTGCGAAATTGAAAGCAATGTACACATTACAAGTTGTACCAATATGTATCAAGCTTCCTGACATGCTTTGTATAGCGATTTTTCGTTGCAATTTTTTGATTAAGACTTAAGTTATCGCGATCATTATCAGTCGATGAAAATCCTAGGCGTTACTTCAAAACGAATTGTTAAGCTTTACCTAACAGAAATAACGTTTGTTAGTTTTTCAATTTTGCTTCTTTGTATATCTGTCCAATCCTGTTCAGCTTGTTTGTTTCGGTAGTTCAAACTTTGAACTATTTTTGTGTTTAAGTTTGGTTAAAAAGTAGCTTTGAATTTTTGCACTCTGCGAAATTAAAATTTGTGATGATGCATTATTGAAAACCTGTGACTTTCTTTTCTATTAACAGATGATACTCCTAAGAGACGCAGCACAAGAGGTCGAGTTTTGACAAGCACTCCTGGTGCAGTTGACAAAAGGGTTTCGGAAGAAATAGAGAAACAATCAGGTTCTACTCGGGTAGTCAAGCGGTCAAGTACAAGTCAACAGAAAGATACATTGTTCAGCGATGATGAGGTGGATCACAGTGAGCCGTTAGTCCATTCTGATAAAAATCATAATATCGCCAACAACACCTCAACGTTTGACGATAGACCAGAACACTTGTACGGTAAGAACAGCTACAGCTGCTTTTATTATTAATTGCATTAATTACCAATAGGTGGAGTTGTCTAAGAGGAAGGGTTGTACCGGTACTCGATAAAGTTGTCTGCAAGTATACAGGGGTTCTACGCTAAGATGGAAGACTTTTCCTTTTCTGGAGAATGCCCTTTTGTAAAACCGGGAGTTTACTACTTTCATCGAATGACAGTGTCCACAAAAAATTTTGCAGAGTAAAGACAAAAGGGGGGTTTGGTTTGAGTAATTTGCCTCTCACCCAATTTTCTTTAGAACAAACCATCCCAGTTTATGATTATGTAAATCTATACCTCAACATGTGCCACCCCATCCCTTTTAAAGACCACGATCCTATAAAAGGAATCTCTTTTGGACAGGGTATCTCTTTGAGGTTTCATTCCCCCCACCCCAATGTGTGGTAGATGCTGTGACCCAGCTATCAGTGGACTGGAAGGATCAGGCCCATGATTTGGGCCCATCCCTTAATCAGGTCCTGATTATTCCATTGGGTGGCAGAACATCAGTGCCTCTCTTCACCAAGGAGTGTAATGTTGTAGTGGGGAATTGCCTAGGGAGCCTAACAAAATGCTGACTGAGCACAAACTTAATGAATTTTATATTATGAAAAGTCCACCATTGCTACATGAGGAAATCACATGAATTTTACTTTTCAGGCTTAGACAATCCAACAAAAATTTTGTCAGGGGGCAAAGATGAAAGTGAGAGTGTTCAAGCTAAACCAACATCTAAGGTAAAAAAAATTAATTTATAAGTTCTCTCAGACTTAACCCAGGAAAAATTTTGTTTCTCTAACCATTCGGCCATGCTGCCCTACTTGTTGCAAGAAATTATGTTGAATAGGGATTGATCCTCCTGGACTGAGGATAGATCTTAAGTAGTACTTCAGTTGCATTGAAAAATTTTCAGATGATCATAATTGATGATTGATTTATTCAAATACACAGCATCTCATGAAATGTTTGGTAGTTGTTATTGCTTGCCTCTGCTTCATTTTTCTGATGGCTTTGATGGGATTACTCTCAGACCATCTTAAGCGAAAGGTAACTTAAGACTCTTCTTGTTTTACCCTACCAACAGCAACTTAAGAACAACTCACAGTATGTTGCAAAGAAAATGTAAAAAACTCCTTTCAACATTCTGCATTCTTACTTCATAATGCATATTCTCCATATATTTCCTAAGGTGTTGACAGGGAGAATTGTTTAACAATGAAGGGCTTCCTTGGTTGGTGATCATTTCTTTTATCCTTGTGACCTTAAGGATGTGATTTAGGGGTGAAATTATGGGAAGAAACTAAAGTCTATCTTATAGTCATAGGGGTTGAAGGGTTGGGTGAAATTAATTTGGGCAATGAGAAAAAAAGAAACTTGTCCTCCAAGCTATTTATAGCTAAATAAAATTATAACCTTTTGAAATTCTCACAGAGATAAGATGGATTAGGACAATGAAAAAGAACTTTTTATTAAACAATTCATATTGCTTTTTACACGCTACCTTTTGATCATTAATTACTGAACAGCAACACCATGGAGATGATACAGCAGAAATCAAACTGTTGAAAAATCGTATTAGGAAACTGGAACAAGTACAATCCCGCCAGAGCATAAAAAGTAAGTAATTACAGCACAGGAGTAAGTGTGAAGAAATACCAGCTCCACTTGTCCTGTAAAGCACTTTTCCAAGGGAGGAATGGAGAGGGCTGAAGATACAGAACCAGCTGTATCTATTTCTCATATCCCTTTCAAAGGCAGGGGGGAAGGTTGGGTTAGGATACAGACAACACCTATGAAGATTTCTGTGCTTTGAAAATAAGAGTTGAAATTTGATAATTAAATTTTAAAGTGTCAATACACCAATATCAGTAGCAACTTATGTACCATTATAAAAGTGATAAACTTACATGATCTAAGCATCAATTTGATTATAAGGAAAAGTGTAATTGTTTTTCGAGAAGGGGAGGTGGGGTGTGAAAGATCTTGTGGCAGACTTCAATATAACCAGAGACATTGGAGAACTCAAGATTTCAGGCTTAGAACTTTTTGGAAACAATACCGGTTTTGACTTCTGTGAATGTATAAATATATTACAATCAATGTCATTCGACAGAGGTTTTAGTCACCACATTTCTGAGGTCATCTCTGGCTTCCTTTGATTTTATAACTACTGAAAAATGCGGTTCCTTTAACAGCAAACAGAGAACATGCTTACCAGAAAGTTTTACTAAAAGGCCAGGTATGTAGAATATTATCACGTATGCAGATTCAGTTGAGGGAACCCTCTTCCAACTCTGGTGTTGTACTGTTTATTATTATTATTATTATTATTATTATCATTATCATTATCATTATCATTATCATTATCATTATCATTATCATTATCATTATCATTATCATCATCATCATCATCATCATTATTATTATTATTATTATTATTATTAATATTATATTGATTTCATTAAGCTTGATTAGATGGCACCATATATGTGCATAAGGTATTTTCTGGGTGGAGGGACCTTATACAGCCAAAATCTTATGAGGAAAAAGATCTCTGAGGTTAATTCTCCTAATCCTTTCTGTCTCAGCCCAGAGTAACTTAAAAGGAATTTGTATTTTCGTCATTGTGAATTAAGCTAGGGTTAAACACTCGGTTTATATTTGTCTCCAGTCAAAAACCTGGGAAGTAGAACCTGTGGAAAATAAAATTGAAGAAGCACTTCGTCGTTGGGATGCGGACAAGATTGGTATCCCTGATTATGCCTTGGAATCAGCAGGTTGGTACTTGATTTAGTGCTGAAATTTAACACCAACCTTTATGTCTAATTCATCATGTTCTTTATTTGGTTGGAATCACTTGAAAGGTGGTCAGATACACGGTTCAAATCATTCTCCTACCTTTGCTAATGGAGCCATTCCTCAAGTGTTAGTGTTTGGTATAGCTGTGTGGTATGAAGTCAAGCTACCAAGGGTGATCATTCAGGTCAGTAGCAGAGCAGATAGCGAAGTACTCTATGGTCTGTTCTCCGGAAGCCTTAGTGTTTCCGAGTTGGCGTGCATTTACATGGATTTCTCATGATTTTTAAGTAAAGTCACGATTTCAGGTTGCTTAGTAGAGTAATTTACAAATGAGTCGCGAAAATTATTTTAAATTTTCTGTTAGCTTTACTTCGCCCTATGATTGGTCCAGAAAACTCGCGTCATTCTCTCAACCAATCAGATGCAAAAGTAAAACCAATCATGCCTTGCTCACCCGCAGCTAGTTCATTTTTACTTAGCCCTCCCATTGATTCCTTGTGATATTTTCCCTTGCTCTGATTGGCTGTGGTGATAATTTGGTTTTGTTTCACGAAACTCTGTCAAAAAGTGCTCAAAAGCTCCAAGTTTTGGCAGTCACGCTGTACACGTCTTAATACATCGTCAGTCAGCTTGCACCGCGCGAGCATACAAATATTTGTATTTCATTTCCAAGATTTGTTTTGACTTTGTTTTTCTTCGTTTAATTTTAGCCTGGAAGCACCCCTGGAGAATGTTGGGCTTTTCATGGGAGCTCTGGTTTTGTCGTGATCAAGGTTGATATCAATCGATGTTTAATTATACATTTTGACATCTCCATTTGTTATTCTTTTTTTTGCTAGTTTGTTGTGGTGAACGTCACTGTTTGCAGCTCGGTGGAACATGCAACCAATCACAAACAATGTAACAACTACAATACTACAACTACTTACAATACTACAATGCTGCATCAACGCTACAGTTACGTACAATTAATGACGGCATGATGGTCTTGCAAGTTAGCTTGCAACCAGGCCCTCTTAATTAGTACTGTAGGACGCGCTTTTTTCCGCCTGCGGGAGGAGTTGAGACGAGCTGGGGAGAGATTTGTTTGCCGGGGGTCTGAAATTTCAGTGCTAGCCCTTTTTAACTCGTGAATTGCGCGCATGCGCAAGAGCGAGTTATAGATACCATGTGGGGAATGGCATTCGCTCGCTCGCTCGCTCGCTCGATTGGTCGATTCCTGTAAACTTTTTTTAGATTTTAGGCTTTTGAGTGCATTTGATAGTTTTTAGCGAACAGTAAACAGAAGAAATGGCGACCTTTGTTGCTAAGAATAGTGGTGGGGTGAAAAAGAAGCCAATGATAATCTTAAAAGAGTTTTTCTTTTCGTTTTAGTTTCAACAAGCGGCGCCAGCGACTGGCAGGCATGCAAGGATTCACACTGAAATAACAGAACAACCTTCGTTTTTCATAAAATTGTAATTTACAATCCTTGAACTCGAAAACAATCCGAAGATTCATTGAAAATATTACTTACTGCGAAGCGCTCGAAGTTTACAGATGTTCAAAAGCTTTTTCTATTATGGCGTGAGATTGAGGACAAAATTGATCATTACGTTTCGTCGCGTGTGTTTTTCCTGTGTGAAGCAACAGAAGATGCCGGCGACTGACGAAATTACAAGTTAACACGAAAATCAGATAACACCTAAACAAACAATTTTAGCTACCGATGTTCAGTGAATTTTTAAAGAACAGTTTTCTTTTAAGTTTCAAGACAATTTGAAGATTCAACATACATACAACGTACTAAAATGCGAAAGTTACACACCACAAAATTGATAAATAGGCCTGAAATGAAATTCTATCTTGTTATTGATTATACGTTGCCTAGCACGTGACTTAAATCTACCCAGGCGGAGATCCAAAATGACGGTGGCAGGCTTGGCTTAGTTATATCACTCAAAACTCGTTCCAGTTTGTCTGATTTGATAAAGAGGGAATCGTTAATGTTTTCATTAAGACAGTATTGCCTTGATTTTCTAATATTTAAAATGAAAGACAGTACATTTCACTTTTCACCCACATTTACTTCCAACCTTTTCTTTTGAACCAGAAACAAGAATAATAGACGTTTAAAACACATGACATCATCCACCTTGTCAAATGTAATAGCATGATCATTTCAATTGTAATGCCTTCTTATCCCAACGTTACTTTGTTTCTTTGCTACATTAGCGAATGCTGAACTACTGCTCGTACTCTAGATATGACAATCAACCACAAAATTCCCTAAACCAGATAACATTAAACATCATGTGTCAAAATCATGTGTCAATTCACGAGTTTACTCACAGAGCACTTTGATTGTTTTAGGCTTAATACTTTCTCGCGGGTGAAGAAACACTCGTGCCGAAATAGGGCCCGCTCGCAGGCCATGGCCAATTCAGGCAATTAAAAACAAACATTACTTACAATTCAATCGTTTACTCACAATACGTACACAGCATTCCGACTATTTATATGAAAGTTGGAACAAATAAATAACTGATAGAGAACAAAAAAATTACTTGTAGTCGATGAAATAATACTTTATATTGTTTTTTTTTTTACCAGCTTTCCCGTTTGATCAAACCCACTTCTTTCACATTGGAACACATGGCCACAACTTTGTCCCAGTTTGAAGATCACAGTATTCCAAGTGCGCCTAAAGAATTCTCTGTCTGGGTGAGTAAGGAACACAATCACTTAAGCAAAGCTTGTTTCAATTCGCAGTGTCACAGATTTTCACAGAAATTATTTATCCCACACGAAGCGAATTTTCGGTGCGACTTGTCATGTGTAAGATGGTCTGGAAACGCGCTCTACCCTCTCAACCAATCAAATGCCATACTAAGCCCAACCACGACCTGGTCGTCCGCGTTTTCCCGCGCGTTTGTCGGCTTGTTTTTACGATGAGTTTTCGTTGGCTCTTTACGGTATTTTGCTATCTTCTGATTGGCGGTTATGATTACTTTGATATTCCTTTAAGGATACTCAGTCGAAAAGCGTGCTAACATCGACAAAACCTAATCTACGTCAATCCCTCGATTGCACTTTCCGGGTCCTTAAACTATGCTGCGGTGATGTTTGCAAAGCTTTTTTGAGTATGATCAGTACAGACTGACACGAATTCTCAATTAGTTTGGTTGGTTATCAACAATAAACTGTTAAAGGCACCTTAGCCCACCGCAGCAAATTTTCCACGGCTGACGTTTGGAGAGTGAGCTCTTCCTCAAACAGTCAGCTCTTCGAACATTCGCTACGGCGGCAACTTTTTGTTTCACTTGTCCATCACCGCTTCCCAACAGTTTCTTCATAAACTCATAACCGCGTTCATTTGCCTTTCCACAGGGCTGGGCTGATGCCCGTGGTAGTGAAAAGGTACTATTGGGCGAGTATTTGTATAATGATAGAGGACACGCTCTTCAAAATTTTCCTGTACAGGTGAGGATAAAATAGTGCTTCCAAGTTGATCCCACCGATGATCGTTACAGCTGTTACTAAGTACTTGAGTGATGTTTTTTTCGCTTTTGGGTTTAGGCAACCACCGTACCAGAATTTCGATATATTGAGCTCAAAGTGCTTTCCAACTATGGGAATCCTGCCTTTACCTGCCTGTACAGATTTAGAGTGCACGGACTGCCGTACAAAACAGATAACTGACACACACGATTACTCAATTTTGCAAAGTAGGAACAGTTTTGTAATGTAAATATAATTCAAAGTAAAAGTAAAGACTGTAAATGGGAGCGTATATTTTTGATATTGGTTTCTATGTTGTTGCGTATAGGATAACCTTGATTATACTTTGTTTCTGCCAAGTTCATTAAGCTCTGTGATTGGTCTTAAATACTCACACCGCTCCCTCGACCAATCAGGTACGAAATTAAACCATGCAGATAAGGTCACGTCACGTGCCTTTCTAGATCTCATGAGCTCCTTGTAATATATTTCTCTGTTGAAGTTCGACATCGTGTGCAGATTGATTTTGCAACACTCAATCGAAAAGCGCTTTATCGAAGTAAGGTAACCAGCTTCGTGCGAAAAAAAAGTATGTTATCATATTGGTATTTAAGTCTAATTAATGAGAATTTTCTTAGAATATCAACAGGAAAGCATAAAAAAAGATTGATTTGCACTTTTTGATGTAACAAAGCTAAGGCATCAGTTTTAACTGATGTTTGGCGACGTTTAGTCGCTTCTTAACTGAATTGGCCAGTGAGTAAAATGTTCGAGTCAGCTTTGCATTTCCATCTACATTCACGGGCCATTTGGCTGACCGGATTAAAATGACAATTTTTTTCTTCCTTTTCCAGCGATTTCAACTATCATTTGAACTGAAAATGATAACACTTAGTTGTTGTGCCGTCAATCAAGACTTAAATAACTAATTTTTATCTTGAAATGCTTTTTGAAAACTTTGTGTCAATTGCTCTCTACTAACATTGTCAGTTATACCGAAAGAAATTTGTAGTTGCGTGGTTGGCTCCAAATTAAGTGGGCCCAGTTTGTAAACCAGTAGATATCTTGATGACTTTTCAATATTTTTTGTTTTATTCTCGTTGCTAATAATCAAGTGATAGCGACATAAAAATCTGCCAAAACCCCGCGTCTCACTGTATGTAGAGTTTTAATTTAAAGCGTCCACTAAGCTTAGGTTGAATTCCTGTTTCCAGTATGGCACCTTTACTTTATAGGCTATGAGTGAAAAATCGTTAAAAGAAAAGTTGACCGCGATCCTTGAAAAGAAGCGAAACACCTATGTAGAAAGAGCTAAATACTTGTTTTATTACTGGGTTAAGGCTATACATTTCCTAGAATCAAAGAGCTCTTGTTATTTGGGGTAAACAAAATCTCCTGCTGGGCCCAGTTGTATGAAATGCGGATAACGCTATCCAACAGATAAATCGCTATCCGGATAGCAAAACGTATAGCGTTATCGACCGGATAGAGTTTTATCCAGTGGATAGCGTTATCCAACCTTCGAACAATCGGGGCCTGATGTTTGAGGATCGCAGTATTCCAAGTGCTCTCATAGAATTCTCGGTCTGGGTTAGTAAGGGACTTAGTCATTCATTTCAACAAGTTTGTATCCGTCTAATTTATCGTAGCATCAAATTTGGGGTTTAACAAAATCTCCTGCTGATGTTTTCATCCTTCTGCCCTCAACATTGCAAGCAGAAATTACTTATTGGTCACCCTGATAATAAAAAGAGTTAAACAGGTGCTCGTTATAATGCGGAGTTGACAGTTTAATGGATGGCAATTTTTATGGCTTTACAATTCATCCCCAAATGTAATTTCTCGCTGGATTTGGATTATTTTGACTTCTGTGATCAGTGGATAAACTGGCATACTCTCATACGCACACTACCACAGAGAAAAGAAAGTTGAAAGGACGCAATGAATGCGACGCTTACAACTACAGAATTGTTCTCCCGACAATTACAAAGTCGAACATCGGCAATCCGATTCGTAGAATCTTTTATGATGCTTCTTATCAATCTAACGTCTTTTGCCGGCAATCTTCTGCTTGGAATCGCCGCCAAAAAAAAATCCATCTCTTGGGAGATCTGTTACCAATTTGTACATCATAACTCTGGCGTTCTCCGACTTTCTTATCTCTTTGTTGGGAATTCCATTTTCAGTAGCCACTCTCATTGTTGGGCGATGGCCGTTCAATAATTTTCTCTGTCAGCTTCAGGGTTTTGGGTTCTCCTTATGAGTGCAATTTCCCTCGAAACTCTCGCCGTTACTGCTGTAAACAGGTATTTTCGAGTTGTGCATTCTCGTGCGCTCTATCAAAAAATTTTCAACGCAAAGAAAATCAGAGCAACAATTGCGATTCTGTGGATCATCGCTTTCCTCGCACCCCTTCCTTACGTCGTTGCCGGACACGAATTTTCTTTCCATCCTGCAAAGGCTATGTGCGCACACAACTCAGAAAGCCTGCTTAAAGGCTACGGAGCCTTCTTGGTCCTCGTGTACGTAGCCGTTCCATTAATTTTAATCATAGCGTGCTATACCAGGGTGTTCATGAAGGTGCGGAAACACAATTTGAATTTCATCTTTCGGCTTCGAAGTAGTTGCAGATCTGAGCCATCGACAAACCGGTGCCTATCAGTGGACGAAGTTAACGTGACTTACACTCTTCTAGTCGTCGTGACAGGTTTTCTAGTTTGCTGGACGCCTGTTGTAGTAATCGACTTGATCGACTTTCTTAATTCAGATTGGAAACTTAAACGACAAGTGTACGTGAGTTACACTTGTTTCGCCTTCACGAGCGCCTCTCTCAACCCAATCATTTATGGCGTCATGAATCGTTCCTTTCGAGTAGAGTACTTGCGCATCTTGGCGGCCTTCAAGTTCTGGTCTTACCGCAGAGGTATTCAAGTTGAAAATCGTATCAAAACAGTAAAAGAGGATGTAATTCTTGAGATGAGACAAATAAAGTAAAGGGAAAAAGAGGAGAGAAAGCAACAACACAGGCACTTTCAAAACTTGCAGTTTTAATCATTATAAATGAGGAGTTTGGTTAGTCAACGAAACTCTCTTGGGTAGATTTACATTTTAGAATTTGTCTTTGAGCTGACTGTTGAATACTGTACAATGTTTAGAATTTTTCCGTGGAGTTTCTGTCATTGTGGCTTTTTTTAATTTATTTGGGATCATCGCTGTTAAATTATTAATAGTCTATGTTAGTAAGATAGGTTTTTTGGCTGTCGTGACATATCTGGCGCCTATCCTCAATCTTTTTAGCACCGTTGGCGTCAATGTTTTTCTAACTGTGCGATGCTGAGAATCGATTAAAATGAAATATCACGTAAACGTTATAAAGTATGCCTAATAGTTTTTTTCAAGTATTTTAACATTATAAATGCAGGATAAGGCGCACAGAATACAGGAAAGAACCTTCAATTTGCGTCATTGAGGCACTCGTACTTATGGTAGTGGTAATTTCGGCGTTTTTGTGGGGTCTTTTAGCGTGATCAATTTTAATTCAGGTGACATTTTAATTTAACCCAAGTAGAATAAATTAAGCCATCTGACACTCAGTAACTATGAAATACGCATATTACAATTGTTTTTTCTCTCGGCATCAAACGTCACCAGAGAAAAAGTTTAGTTTAAGATCGGTTCGAGTTGAAGTAAAGATATCTTACTGGCAAGCTTTTATTTCGATTTTCTTTCTTATTGACATAATGTCTTCGTTCTCTTTCTCTGATATATTATCTTAATATTAAGATCAGCTCTTTTTAGGATAAATGTATAAATGGCATACTCTTAAAAACATCACAAGGAAATAGTTAGCTCTTTTTTGGGATACGAAGTCTGAAGATCGATGGCTATTTGTGTTTCGTGATATGATTTGGGATGAAGATAAGTTGAGTGCAAGCTTTAACGTCAAATTTAAAATTTTAGGGAGCATGGCAATATGAAAAGGAATGGCAAAATTACCAAGAGCATCACACTCTTACATTTCTGAATGCACTAGACACAAATCACAAAGTGCAGTGAAACAAACGTAATTCCCATGTAATGTCTTACAAAGCCATGAAGTGCATGGCATTTCATTTTGCTGCGAGGTTGTTTAGTTATGGACCACGGATGATGTAAAAATAAGGAAGGAACATAAAAGGTGGCAGCTGCAAACCTCACTCTTTGGGTCCTCTCTCTTCCTGACTCAATGACGTAAGAGAAAGGACTCTAAAAGACGTGGTTTGCCGGCTAGCTCCCAGGCCGTTACCTCACTCTTCGGAAGAAGGCAGCCTGGACCCGGCCAAGAACTAGGCTACGTCACAGTTCTTAGAACAGAAGTATTCCGAGAAAGTTTCGCTCTCTTTAAGCTTTTTTGCTACGGACGACTTAACAGACAATCGTTAATTAACAATTTTAATCAAATTCGTCATTAAAAGGATTACAACTGACAACGAAGCTGGTAATTAACTTATTGGAGAGGAGAAAAATTTAAAAAGTAGCGTCATGTTTCGAAACTGTCATTTGACGGAATGAAATAAAAGGAAGAGAAAGCCTTTATTGCCCTTTTGTTTTGACGAGATCAGTGGCTTTCAACAAAGCACCTTATTTACATGCACGGATAACAAAGCAACCTTTACGTAAGGTGTGAAACGATTTAACGTAATTAATTTAGCTCTATAAGGTCATTGTATAGTCGGGCTTTGTGAAAAATGCACGCAAGAAAGAAGTAGAACAAAAAAGTGAGCCACTTGAGTTAACAAGTTTCTCCCCCACGAAGCTTGGCGACGTGTTTTGATAGAAACGACGGACTAACGCAACAACAATCTATCGTAGAGATCGGTGGAAAGGGTAATATAAGCAATCAACAGGTTTATTTGCACAAAGACTTATTAAGTCGATCCTGAGTGTCGAGTAGAATCCAGACGTAAATACAGACGTTTGCATTCGTTCTGTTCTTGACAAGTTATGGCTAGCGCGCCCCGAGAGAGCTTACAAGTGGAGCCTGCAGTGAAAGCTAGAGGAGCAAACCATGATTTGCGGCAGAAAAACAACCGCGCCTCGCACAACTGGCAAAAAGTCAGGCTTGCGCTGGAGATGGAAAAGAAAAATTGGGTGAAAGGAGCTCAAGATGATCGTAATAAACTTTTGAAGCAACGCGAAGTGCTACGGAGCACATCGTTGAATCTATCAAGTTCCGATTCGGTTCAAACAGAGGAAGGAGCCTCCGCACAACTTAAGCCACGTCCGCTGTCTTTGAAAGATGTATACGATGCGTTGTTAAAGTCTTCTAAACAACAGCCAAACAACAACGGATCCGACGTGAAAAGCGTAAAATCCGAACCAGCGCCAGCTTTAGACAGACGCCAATCGACTGTAAGCTTTGAACAGAAGCGAGTGGGTAGAAAACCAATCACTTTCTCTTTGCACGGACTACAGAAAGCAAACAGCAATCTGCAGAGTAAAAACAAGCTATGGAGAAAGCTCAACAGCGGGTTCTCACAGCTGAGGATTCAAATCAAATCGAGCGACCTCAATCTGGACCACCGCCAAGCCATTTCGACCTGAACGAGGAGGAACTCAGCTTAGGACCGACGCTAAAACTTCCACCAACACATCTACCACCCATAACGAAGGGCATTTCTTTTAAACCTCATGTTCGGAGTTTTAAAAAGGACGAAGAGTTTAAGAAGCGAGCAAAAGGCGGCGAACATTCATTTGATGATATTCGCTACTGCCGATATCTACGAAAGAGAGGGCGTTCAAGGTCTGATACAACTGAACCAATGAAACTGCATCAACAGCGCCGATCTGCTAGATCTTTACCCTCATAAAGACGAGGTAACGACAAGAAATAAATTGTAATGGAAAAAGAACAAGTGGTTTAATATTGCGTCGATCGAAAGTACTCTTGTTACGAAAGGAGGCTGTTAATTTGCATTCAGGTCTTGCGCCTTCTCATTTCACGCTCGACACAAGCCATTGCAGTTTTCTTTAATCGACGCCAGGTTTTTGGAAGTTCACAACACGAAATAACGAGGAAGAAACAAAAGAGATAATGCGCCTTCTGGCAAAATAAACAACGGTGAGGAAGATCAGGACAAAGGAAACAGGAAAACGCTGTTATGAATTTTTATTATGTGTTTTATAAATAATAACTTTGCTTTATTGAAAAAAAAAAGAAAGCAACTTATTCAAAAATTGAACTCGTAACAACTCAATGTAAATTTAAAACAAAAAGTGAATCTAAATGAAACGAGGTAGAAATAAAATCTGAGGAAGTTGTAAATGATCGCTATTCAAGAATCAAGATAATAACACGAGGATAATGGAATAATAAAATCAATTCTAGACATAGATGTTTCTGGATACTTCGTGCAATAATTTCAATACATTTGAAAATCGGCTGTCGAGAAAATTCTACCAACATGCAAGAAATGACTGGAATGTGTTTTTCAATTCAGAATTAAATAACTCATCCAAAGTAAACGTTTATTCAAATGAATAAAATGTTTTTTTGTAATAACTATTCATAACCTTATCAGTTTTATAAGTCAAAAGAATACGGTTAATGTAAAACGTCCGCGCGAAAATTCTGAATATCTTTAAAAAAACTCTAATCAAGAGTTGGTTAGTATCTACGGAGCAAAAATTTGCTTGGATACGGTAATAGCAGGGCTTTATTGCGTGTTTTGTCGACAAATACATGCTTTATTTAAATTTCAAACGAAGCACTTAAGTATATTTGCATTACAACAGTTTGTCGCGCTCACGAAATGACGTTTATTGCAGAGGTCACGGAAAGATGGTCACATGATCATGCGCTGTCAAATGTAAAGCGGAAAGTCGAATTGAAAACTAATTGTACTTTAGGTGACATTCAGAACAGGGCTAGGTCAAGGTATGACAGGTATTAGTCATCTATTCTGACAAGATCATCAAGTTTCTCTGCTCCTTAGACTACCCCAACAACAGCCATTCTTGTTCCCAGGGCCTATCTTCTTATCGCCTCCAGGAGCGACAGAACCAATGAGCTCTAACGAGTGCTTAAGGAAGAGAGACCCTGGGAACGAGTTTGGAGTCGAGCTCAATTAGCTCCTCAATCAGGCCGCCCTTCAGTCTTTTTTACGAACAGATCGCTTGGAATGGACAACAATCCTTTGCAGTCGTAATCAATTTTGTCCAGTTGTACTACTTTGTGCTTTCTTCACTGTTTTCCATCCAATTGCCTACCCCTTTATACTCCTGTTTCTTTACATTTCTGAAATTTACTTGTTTGAAGAAGGGTGGCTATCACTGCAGGCAAAAGATGAAAAGCATGTTTTAGGAGGGAACACATCGGGCATTGTATTCGTGGGTCTTCTCTAGTTCGGATCAGATTATGCTGGCATTATTTTGCGCATAATGCTATAGTCAGAGCATCGAGCATAAATGCTGGCAAATTGATGATGGGCTCCTGATTAAACTTCTTAAAAATTCCCTTGATGTTAAAGTTCAACAAGAGATAAATTCTGTACCTTGAATACTGTCAATAGCTAGCCTGCTTTTCCTGCTTGCACTTTAAGAATAAATAATTTCTCCATGCTTAGCGTACGTATATTGAGTAATGAATTTACGCGAGAAGTTTGGAGAGCACGAGAGAAGCGTAAGAGTTGCACGGGGCTGGGCCCCGGGCAACTCTAGCTTCTTGCGTGCTCTCAAAACTTCCCAAGTGCATCCATAACTTGATATACGGACAGTTAAAGCATGAACCTATTATTTTATAACATAACATGCAGACACAAGTTGTGCTTAAAAAAAAAAGGTTTATTACACCTTTGTCGGGTTGATCAAGTGATAGTGTTCTACCCCAAAAACATGAATAAATGACAGAGCAAAAACGACCAAGAAATATTTCGAGACCAAATCTTTATTCAAAGAATTGTAAATTTTCTGTTTAGAAGCGAAAAACGGACGAGTTTGTTGCATGTACGAAACTGCGTAGTAGTGTCATGTTGTATTGGGTTTGTATTTTACGTTTTAATGAGCCAAACTGAAACGCCTTACCCCCATCAGACCAAATCTCTGGTTCACGGGCTGCTCTCTAGCAGCCTTCGTGTCGTCTTACCCTCTCCCTTTAACCTTATGGTGAAACGGAGGCAAGACAACCTTCCTTATTATTATTATTATTATTATTGTCATATTGCTTTTTGCCGGTCAAATAAAGTCGACTTGTCGAAACTAAACGTTCCGAGTGCGTTTACTCGGGCTTCGTATCGCAATATCAAATTGTACTTTACAAGTATCGAACTTAGAAAAAGTCAAATTAAAGAATGGGCCCGGTTGTTCAAAACCGCGATTAAACTAATCACCGATTAGGCCTAATCGGCGATTAAATTTCTTAATCGTGGGTTAGTTAATCGTTGGTTAAAAAACGGTTGTTCAAAGGGAGATTACTCGGTCGATTTACTAATCCGCGATTAAGCATAAAATGAATTATATTAATTAATTATAATTTATTTTGTGCCAGTTTACGTCATAAAATTGCCGGAAATTTATTTTTGTCAATATGGCTTCTCCAGCGAAGAAAGTGCGGAAAGCAAACTTTTCACCCGCTGAAATTTCCGTTTTAACGGAAAAATTTGAAGAAAATATGGACATTCTTCAAAGTAAATTTACCAACAGTATAACAAATGCAAAAAAAACCAGATTTGGGAAGAAATCTCGGAGGCGGTAAACGCCGTCGGTGTGACAGCAAGATCAACGCAGGAAGTACGAGACAAGTGGAAAAACCTCCAGAGTCACGCAAAAAAGAGAATTCAGTTCCTTTAAAAGTGAACAGAAGAAGACAGGTGGTGGCCATGCTCCCCCGAACCCATCAGAAGCCAGTTTAAAAATAATAAACATGTTCAGTGACACACCGTCATTTACTGGGTTACAGGGGTTTGAAACAGGTAAGTTTATAAATGGAAACATTATTGTAATACCTCTCAATGTCCATACCTTGCATAAAATGTATACTTCGCTAACAAACACAAAGCAAAGTGAAAATTAACGGACTTTAGACTTTTGTTTCTTTCTTATTTTCTTTTTTACATGTACTCCCATGTAAACAAAAAAAAACAAATGGCGCCGAAAAGTCTGCCTCGGCACACTCTTCTCTTCTCGGCTTCAAAATACAATCTTCGGCCAGCGGCCAACTCTAATCAATTAAATATGGCTGCCTTTTAGAAAGGCAGTCAAGTGCAGTTCAAAACACTGCATTTCAACAGATTGTGGTGCTTCGTTATCTAATAAGACTGGCTGGTCCGTAGGTCCAGAAACTCTTGTCCTCGAGGTGGTGTCGAGCGAGACCTCTGCCGATGAGACCCCTAATTCTGTTGCTGAGAAGCCCGACGAGTTAATAAGCAAACACGAAGCCGTGACCAAAGTTGTCGAAGACACCGCTTCCTGTAAAAAAACTATCAAGGAGGTAAGCGAAAAGCCCCCAAAGAGGAAAATAACCCACGACATGGTGCTGGAAGAGCAGTACAAGGCTTTACTATTAAAGCAGAGTAATTTGAAGCTTTATAAGAAGAAACTTGAATTGGAGATTGCTCTGTTGGAGCAAAAATGTGCAAATATTAAGGAAACGGAGACCTGTGGTAATTTGATGACCACAATCAATTTAAGCCCTATAGTGGCTGGTCGATCTTTCCTCCCGTAAATTTACATATTTGTCAAGCTGGCTGCAAAAATTTTAAACCATTAAGTACTTGGCTGTTATAAATGCTGACCAACACTTCCTTTTCGGTAAATGGTTTTTTGACAGAAAAAGAAAAAACAATGAAAATAAATAAATAGGCAGAGCTCACCAGTGTTTATCACACTGTGTTACTTACAAGTATATAAGTTACTGAAGGGTGAAAGTATTAATCATATACCTAAGTACAGCAGGCTTAAGTGCCCCACAACCAGGAAGAAATCCTTTCATAGTTTATTTTCCAAGTTCAGTAGGTCATAGCCACTTTGATTTCACTGGCCATCAAACATATGGAATGAGCTGCTTTTATAACTTTTAATCAAGTAAACAGTTCCAAGAAGTGAAGAACTGCAAACATATCGACAATGTCATGCAACCTGTGGTGGACATTCATCATGCTATGTACTTCCATGGCAAAGGAATGTGAACAATTCAATGGAGGGGCGTTATTAGTTTGGAAATCCCTTGGTATTACTATATAGAGATCAAGCATTCTTAGCAAGTGCACAAAGAAATTTAAGTTGCAAAATAGAGAAAGTTTTTGACTGCTGAGTATACATTGTTTTTCTAAAAAAACTCAGTGCCTGTGAGCTGTTATAGTATGCTAAAGTTGAATTGGTCCACTACAAATTAAAGCACTATTGGTGTGGCATTTCCAAACAAATATCAAGTGCTCTTAGAGGGTTTACACTTGACTGAATTTTTGAGAGTTCACTCCAGAGTCAGAGCATGAATATTTTCTAAGTGTTGAGACATCAAGTTTTGTAGTAAGCCTAAGCTCAAAAATTTCCTCAACTACAAAATAATACTTGAAGTCGCTTGAAATTTGTAAACAAAGATCTACCATTGTCAATTAGAAGAAGAATATTATTGAATGAGCTGTTCCATAGAAATTCAGATCTATAATAATTTCAGACTGCCAGGTATCTAGTTTTTTGAAATCACTTCCTGGTAGTCAGGTATCAAGACCCAGTGGGTGGGGGGAGGTGCAGGTTACTCTCCGATAGGGTCTATTAAGGTATGTATGTGCGCCTAAGGCGTATGACTTTTCAGCCTCTTTAGCCATAAATAGGGTATCGATTTAAGCCATTTTGATCATTATAGGGTCTGTTTTTTGCTCTCTAGTCCTGAATTTGGCATGTTTTTCAGAAGAAGCTACTTGTTTATCATTATTGATAAGACTGATCAATGAAAGCCCTTCATGATACCTTTAACATTGAACTGAACAAGGAACTAAGTATAAGGCAAGTTTGAAACAAAGTATTGATTTAGGGTCAGGTCATAAATAGGGTATTGAAAATCACAGATTTTGGTCATAAATAGGGTAAGGGTTTTGCAGAGTGGTCTGCACACCCCCACCCAATTGTTCTAGAGTACCCCTGGATCTAGAGACAGTGTATTAAAATAACATACTTAAGATGCTCTTAACAGTCAGTGAATTATTATATAAATAAAACAAGAAAAGAGTGGTTAAGTTATTTGTTAATATTATATATATCTTTATACATACAATAATAAAATGTCAACCTTTTACAAGCAGCAAAAGAAGTATTTTATTTTTGTATAATAATAACTCTTGCTTTGATTATATAGTAAACAAGAATGATTTATGCACCTAAGTCGTACCACTTGTATTGATTTCATAGTGAAGAATGTTGGAAATGTTGTACTCTGCTGTCACTTTGAAGCTGGAATAACCCCCTGTCCCTTGGTTGTGTTGAACACAAAACATAAATGTAATTTTATTCTTTTTTTGTAAACCATGTAGATTACAACAACAATTGGGCATGACCTTGAAAACTTCATTGAAAAAGTTGAGTCTTGATGCTCAAAATGCCAACTTAGTAATTCTTAGTATGGCGGCGAGTTTATTTTTCAGGTATCTTCACCATAAATAATATTGTTGCAAATTGCAGACAAAATCCCCAGTTTGGATATGAGATATTGCAAATTATATTTTTAGGTAATTTTGATGTGGGAAAAGATGATGGGTAATACATTGAAGTGAAACTGATTTAAGGGAGAAGAACCATTGCAAGCTAAGCCTATTTTAAGAAGGAAAAAATATGCAGACTGGAACTGTCAAAAACAATTTCACATCCCAAAAATAAAAAACTTGAATGAGCAAGGAAAACTGAAAATTCTCCACCCAATTATTTTTCTTTGGTACATTACTTATGATACATTTGGTCAAAAGGATGGCATCTAGCTGAAATAGGTTTGAGTAATGTGATTTCTGACAGCTTGTCCTTGATTAGGACCACAGTACACATAATCCTCATTTGCTTCCCCACCAACATCTCCATCCTCCATTGGCTCACTGAGGAAAATTGCGATATTGTGCAAAAACAGCACATGCACCAATGATGATGCACACTTTTTCTGGAGCCATACGAATTTCAGAATGGAGAACATGAAAGCGACGTTTCCAGCGGCCAAAAGTTTGTTCAATGATTACCCTTGTTTTACAATGAGCATCATTGTAAGCAACTTGAGCTGGGGTGCTTGGGTTGATATACGGGGTCATCATAAATGGGCGCAATGCATACCCACTGTCCCCGAGGAGAATTCCATCATCCAGTGAGTGATGATTTTCCTCTATGTAGCTACATAGATTTGAGGACCTGAACATGAAGCTGTCATGTGTACTTCCTGGCCATCGAGCTACAATGTTAGTAAACAAACCTGAAATAAAGGCAAACAATGATATCATGTAAGGTAATCTGCAAAGGGATTTTACTTCAATGGTGAAACGTTCACTGCAGCCAATCAGTGTGAATGTGACAAAATTTTCAAGTCTACTCAGTGTAGATCACTTAATTGTGTCTATCCCCTGCTGCTATTGAGTAATCTTACTTGAAGGGACAGGTATAGTTGACTGTGTGTTACATGACGGTTAAGACGTTATCTGAAAATGCAACAGTCTACCAAGATGTAAGAAATGATTTTAAAAGCATCGATTACCTTCGTGGTTACATATGCCTTGGACATTGATAGAGTGGAAACCTTTACGGTTCACGTAGCTGTTCTCGTTCTTGTTGGGCGCTTGGATTCGGATATGCGTGCCATCGACGCATCCGATCACGCAGGGAAATCGTCCTCGCTGGTAAAAGGCAGTTTTTAAACTGCCCAGCTCTTTGCTGTTGTCTTGGCCACTTGACATACTCTTGTTGTCTAGCAACAAGTGCCAGGGATACATTTGCCACCACTCGTGACACTGTCGACTTGTCAACACCAACGGTGTCTCCCACCACTTGAAGGAAGCTGCCACTTGCGTAGAAGCGCAAAGCAATGAGGACTTGTTGGAGAGCGGAGAGAGGATGATTGCGGTTGGTTTTACGACGAAGATTATCTGCCAAAAGGTCGGTAATATACTCTATAGACTCCTTTCCAAAGCGATACCTTGCTCTTAATTCTTCGTCTGTATATCCATCTATCGTGAAACCGATGCTCCTAAACTCTCTTTGCTTCCTTTTTCTTCGCCCATCAACACCAACACAACCATACAACAAGTCAGCCATGTTGTGATTTTTATTTTTTAATCTGCCGATTAAGGATTTAATCCACCTAGCGAGCAGGGTTAGATTTAACCCTTGGTTTGATCGAAGGTTAGGAATAATCGGGCTTTGAACAACAGAAACTAATCGGCGACTTAAATTTAATCGGCGATTAGCCTATTTAATCGTGGATTAGCGCTAATCGCAGTTTTGAACAACCGGGCAGGATATTTAACACAAGAGTCAAGCTTACGTATTTACTATTCAAGTTGGTTCGTTGAGTATCCTCTTCATCCAATAGCTTATTGTTTTCCTCACCTTCGATGTTCACGAAGATTTTTTATTTTTCCAATTCAACATCTGAGGTGTTCGTCTGGGCATCATAGTCATCATTTAACAATTGGTTCATATGTCAGCGTGCGTTCATCGAGATATGAAGCACGCGAGAAGTTTGGAGAGCGCGAAAGATGCGTAAGAGTTGCTCGAGGCGTAGCCGAGAGCAACTCTAGCTTCTTGAGTGCTCTCCAAACTTCCCAAGTGCTTCATATCTCGATGAACGCACAGCTGACGTATGAACCAATTGTTTTATAACATTTTCAACCCGAAGGAAAACTTTTTTCTCGAGGGATTTATTTGCTGACGTCATGAGCGTGCACAATAGGAATATGAAGCACGCTCGCGCAATTGAATTTTATTAGACAAATTTACTGGCTATGTTATAAAGTTTGTTGTTTAATAAGTCAGTAGTCGTAGTTTTGACAATGTTTTCGTAGTTTGAACTCATATATGGCCCATTAGTTATCTCGCGAGAACTGTTAAGTACTTTGCTAATTTGGCTATCTTTCAATATTTGCAGCCACTCGTGGCTCCAAGAGGCTTGCGTACGAATTGAGAAGACGTCTACGTCATCTTAACTATTTTTTGATATACCGGCAATCATGTTTATGTCGAAGCTTTGCCCAATCTCCTTCCGTACGGTAACTATCTTTATGTCAGGAAAGGGTATAACGTGGTTTTTGAATTCGTTTAGGTCTTTATTTACGTCTAATTTGGCTATCTTTCAATTTGCGGCCACTCGTGGCTCCAAGAGGCTTGCGTACGAATTGAATAGACGTCTACGTCACCTTAACTATTTTTTGATACACACGCAGTATTTGTGTCACGCGCTTGTAAAATAGCAAACACGTATCACCTACGTTGTGAGGACGCCGATAATTTGGGTTCGATCACGCGTCACCCTGCGAGTTGTGTGGCCGTCACGCGTGTGCCATTCTCTGTCAGTAGTTGTTGACAGTTGGTAGTTGTTCGGATAGAAGACACGCTCGATTACTGTTAGAAGCACTTGTGTGATTCCTAGATGACAAATGAATAATGGGAATTATACAACAAACTAAATACCTCGTTCTGAAAAATTTCCACATCAAAAAACGGAACAAGCGGGAAACTTTGCAAGAGATACTCATCCCAATTTGGTGGATTGTGCTGTTGGTGATCATAAGAAGAACCATCCCGACGGAGCTAAAACCAGCTGTAGGAGAAAATGAAATACCCACAGCGAACATTTCCAGCATGGGACTGGCTGGATCGCCGGGAAATGCGAGCTCCAAGCCAAATATCGGTTACGTTACCAACAATCTCGCAAGTGCCGGTCCGGTTATGGAGATAGTTAGGAACGCCTCGAAGGACGGTGCGAATTATCTTGAGTTTAACAGTACAGACAGTTTGCTAGCCTTTTACAAGGAGCACACCAACCTTCTTGTGGGGATCGAATTCGAAAAAGGTAAAGAGAAAGGACTTGCTTACACACTTCGCGTCCCGGAAGGACTTCCTTCACCAAAGAACAAACTTGTCGGTGAGTGCAGCTACATACATGTATATGCTCGAATGCATTATTTTCATTGATTATCTACGAGATCAACCGCTTATATTAGGAGCGGAATAAGAGGTGTGGTTCTAAAACCAGTATGACAGGGTGACATTTGTATTCAAATCTAAACTCCATGACCTGAAACATTGACCCACTACCTGAAATGTGAACTAGTCAGCGCAGCAGGTGGAACTATCAGGCAGAATGTTGCTTTCTTGTTCGTTCGAAATTAACCTGTATTGTTAAATAAGCAATTTTACATCGATATTTTGATTTCAAATTTCCCTTTTCTCCAAACCTCTTAAGTAAAGAATCAATGACGTGAAAATTTCACATACCCTCATATACCCTCTTTAGAGGCCATGGCCCTGAAAACGATTGGTTGTTTGGTATCTCATACCCATCCAGGCTAGGAAAAGATAGTATCCTCCCCCCCTGAAATGTTCCTACTTCAAGCATACATCTCATGAGATTATTTTGACATGATTGGGTGAAAAATTGTGTCAGCCTAAATTAATATGTGGGGTGGGTGGGGTAGGATATCATTCTTGTGTCGAGCGTTGCGACTTGAAAATGTATTAACACAAATATTCAATTTTTTTTACTATTTTCCTTCTTTTAGGTCTAGGTGAATGTCATGATGTCAACAGTTTGTTTTCGGGCGGCTGCCCTGCCAATTCTTATATTGTAATGAAAATAGCAACCCTGCAAACAATAATTGATGCTGCTATTACAAAGGTAATTGTTGGTGATATATAATTTTTCCTTAGACAGACCCAGGAATTAGTGAGGGGAGGAGAGGTTTCCAAAAAAGGAGGCATGCCTCTGCCAAGGTCAGGAGGCATGCTCCTACCAAGAATGTTGAATGAAAGGTCTTGAAAAAAATTATTTCCAGTGTTTTAAGGGATAATTGTAAAAAAAAAACAAACAAACAAACAAACAATGAATTGCATGTTTTAGATGATTTTCAGTTCAGTGTCAGGGGTTCAACCAAACTACCTGGATCACCTCTGGATCTGCCTTAGTTTTTTTTTATACATAGCTTGTATTTCAGTTTACTTAAAGTTGTCAATTATCTTTCAACATTGTGTGGGAAAATGGGATGGTAAGCAGACTGATTATAGAATATAAAAATCACTTGTGTTTTTTTTCATAATGCAATACTTGTCTAATTTAAGTATCAGCCATACATAGTGAGTTAAGAAAAGAACTTCTGGAAGGTATACAAGGTTATTTTCAGACAAATTTTAATTTTAATCCTCTGACTTGTGACTTGCTTTAAGTATTGGAAGTGATTCGATTGATGATATTTTTCTTGTCAAAGGTTGAGGTGAATTTATCTCACTACAATGTCCCAGACATCCAGGCAAAGATGATGCCAAAGGGATCTTACAAGCAACCTGTAGGAGGGTTTGCCATCACTATTTTGATATACATGGTCATGGCCTTTGCACCTTACATCACTGTACTGCTTGTCAATTTAGTGCAAGAGAAGGAACTTAAACTGAAGGAGTTGTTGAGGATCATGGGTACTTCTGATATAGCATACTGGTTGTCATGGATTATTACATATGCAGTAATCATGCTAGTAGCCGTCCTCATTTTGAATGCAATCACAATACTGGGAAACATATTTTCCAATAGCAACTATATTGTTATAGTCATCATCTGCTACCTGTATGGCTTAAGCATCATCACAATGTCTTTCATGTTTACACCATTCTTCAAAAGTGCCAAGAGTGCTGGCCTTTTTGCATCTCTGGTGACAACAATTCTTGCTACCATTGCCATACCCTTGGTCCTTGTTGAAGTGTCTAATGTGGTGAAGTGGTTATTATCACTCTTTTCACCAACAGCATTTGCTCTTGCCTTGTATGAGGTAGGTTGATGTTATTTTCTTTCTCATTCATTACACCATTATTTGCAAATTCAATGCATTTAAAGAACTATAAGGCTGTTAAAACTCATACGTAGAATAGACATTCATTTGTCTCAAATTGAAGAAGTAAGTATAGATGAATGAAGATATTGGTTTGTCCACAGTTCCTTGAAAAATTGTTCCATATTAAAATTTTAGGCTGTTGAAGGGAAGGTCTGAACTTTGACAACTGGTCCACTAAAGGGAGTTTTCCATCCATGTATCCCACTCTGATGCTGCTGGTGGACACTGTTTTGTATCTTTTGTTGGCTCTGTACTTTGATGCAGTGATTCCTGGTGAGTATGGTCAGCATAGGCCCCCTACTTCATTTTTACACCATCCTTTTGGAAAAGTATCTGTAGCAAGAAGGAGCAACAGAAAGCACCTTCCAGACAGCTTTCTGCAAGAGTGGAGGAGGCATCTGAAGATATTGAGGCCATGCCAGCAGACTTACAGGGGAGTGAGGTTATAAGGTATTACAAACAAGTGTAATTATTGTAACAGTGCTTGAATGAGATAGAGAAAAACTGTCACTTGTGTTTATGTGCCAAATGAATTTTACTTTGTGACTGTATTCTGTTTCTGTATTTTTCTTCCAGCATTCACAAATTGAGGAAAGTTTACCATGGGAAAGAAGAGGTTGTTGCAGTTGATGGTAAGAGCTATTAAACTTATCATTAGTCAGTTAGTCAGTGAGTTGTCAGTCTGTCAGTCAGTCAGTCAGTCAGTCAGTCAGTCAGTGAGGCATCAGTCCGTCAGTTACCAGTCAGTCAGTCAGTCACCAGTCAGTCAGTCAATCAGCAGTCAGTAAGTCACCAGTCACCAGTCAGTCAGTTAGTTTATAACCAGCCAATCACCAGTCAGTCAGTTAGTCAGTCACCAGTCAGCCAGTCAGTCAGTCACCAGTCAGTAAGTCAGTCAGTCCATCAGTCAGTCAGTCAATTAGTCAGTCAGTCAGTCAGTCAGTCAGTCCATCAGTCAGTCAGTCATGAGATGGTTAGTCAGCTAAGCAGGACAGGAAGTAGTCATGTAGATAGACAGTTATCAGTCGATCATTCAAGAATCAGATTGTTATTTAACACAGTCAGTCAGTCAGTCAGTCCATCTGTCAGTAAGGCAAGTGAACATGAGATGTGCCAAATGTCAGTGATATAAATACATAAATAGACAAGCATTAGGTCAGTCACTTTTTCAGTCAGCCAGTCAGCTGTTCACTCATATAGTTATAGTCAGTCAGTTTTGAAAGCATGTAAACTTCTAACAAATGCAGTTCTCCCTTTTAAATGGAACAGACAGAACTTTCTTCTATCTTTGAAGATTAACTCCTCAGGTTGAGACTCCTTAATGAAAACTTTTGTGTCTCACCTAAAGGGGTCAGCATGGATATATATGAAGGTCACGTGACTGCACTGTTGGGTCACAATGGAGCAGGTAAAACAACTCTGATAGCCATGATGACTGGAATGGTTCCTGCTACTGAGGGTTATGCCACTGTCTACGGAAAGGACATCACTGACCCCAATCAGATGCAGGAAATAAGAAAAGGCATTGGTGAGAATGCAAATTAAGTGTATTTTTCCCTCTCTGACAACCAGTTCTCATTGATAACCCAGATCAGTATCAATATCTGACCAACTGCCCACCTACCCCTCCCCTAACCAAACATCAATGAACTACATGATAACAACTAAGGGTTAATGTGGAATTAGGGGAAGGGTAGATGAGCAGCTTCTTAGATACCAACATCAATGCAATCACCCTACCTAGTGTGAAATTTACTACATTTTCTTTGTCAGTAATCTTGGTTTTGACTGTGTCTTATCAGTGTGGTGTTTGATGATCCTTTAGATATAACTAATTTTCATCTTGTTTGCTTTTGTTTTATGCAAGGTGTATGTCAGCAGCAGAATGTACTCTTTGACTTTGTGAGTGTGAAAGAACATTTAGAGTTCTACTCTGGCCTGAAAGAAGTGCCAGTGGAGCAGAGAGGTGACATGGTAAAGTTGCTACTTGCATATAACAAATCTCTGTTGCATGTGAAAATCTTTGCCACTTGTATAAATTAGTGACAAGGCAGTACATGATCTATGATGTTACCTCAGGCCTTTTATTTAGAATGGAACCTGCAACTGCCACAGGCCAGTTTTGGAGTAATGACGCTTTTCAGATACCCTTACACATGTGATTCTTCATGATACTGCCAGAATAGTGGTTCATCTATTCTACAGAGAAATTAAATTGCTTCCTTTGAAAAGGATAAAGAGAGAAATGATAGGACTCCCTAATTTTTCATGAGAAAATGATGATTTGCCTTATTTGAATCACCTCTGGCTGTAGATGAAAAGCCACGATTTCTTTCAATCTGTGTACTTGCATGCAAATCATGTGAAGTGATGAATTTTAAAGATGCAGAGTGCAATGCAGGGAAATGATATCAAGTAACTTGCACTTTTTTCAAGGTGGGTTCATTGTTGAAGGAAATTGACTTGGCAGACCAAAGGGACACTTTGTCAAAAGATTTGAGTGGAGGCCAGAAGAGGAAATTAAGTGTTGGCATAGCACTCATTGGAGATCCAAAGGTATATACCTGTATTTGTTAACTTGTAAGTGTTATGAGAAAATGGAAACCCAATGTCATTTCTATAACCCAACCCCTGTTGACCTTTCCAGAAGACAAATATCAAAATTTCAATTCTCTTTACTGTCTGCCTTGTATTCCTGATCATTCTAGTCCTGTGTTTTTAGTGTTAAATCAAACCATATGCCTACAGTAGCTGATATTTTTCTGTCTTGTCATCACCCTTCTGCTTGGAAATGTAGTGATGTGGTTTCAAGAAATTTAGTTTCCATCTCTCCTTGGAGTGAATTAAAGGTCAACCCTTTGATCCGTGAAATATTGCCTTTCTATCAGGCAGGATGTCAATCCAGGGGCCCATTTCTCATAGGTAATTAAAAGCTGTTCTGGTTTTCTTTAAGATGGGGGTTTCAAAAGTTTTTAAAGTTATACAATAAAACTATCAGCCAAAGAAACAAACTGGACTGGTTGAGATGTCAGAACCTGCTTCTCTAACCTTAAAATTTTGATTTCAAATATGGCTTCTGGCCCCGTTTAGTTACAGGGACTTTTGAGAAATGGACCTCAGAACAGAGAATCCTTCCTTTTAAGTATTTTGCTAAGTGATTGTGGGACAGTGTTTAACCCCCATATAGAGAAAGGCAATTTTAGAGTTACCGATAGTGTCGTATCCAATAGGCTTCAACTCAGTGACCCTTGTGGGTCCAGGCTTGAAATCAGAGTTCTTGGCCAGGACTCAAGTGTACTTGTGTAAGCAAGTTTGTCAACTCAAATAACATATTTGATATTTATTGTGTACACAATTGAAAGGTGGTCATCTTAGATGAACCCACAAGTGGAATGGATCCATATTCAAGACGACTCATGTGGTCCTTGTTGAAAGAGAAGTGTAAGAACCGAGTGGTTCTCCTTACAACACATTTTATGGATGAGGCTGACATTTTAGCTGGTAAATAAATTATTTAATTATTAACTGATATCTGACTGTAACAAGTAACTGTTCCTTGTGGTTTGTATCTCTGCTTTGACTGGCTCTTAATTCGTCATTTTTTTTGCAGAACACTCTTTCATAAAGCCCTCCCTCTTTTCCATATGGTTCTCTGATCAAAAATTGTTTAAAATATGGGGAAAAAAATTCAGTGGGAATTTTTATATCAGGATCGAATAATTATTCAAATGCTGAATAAATGAATATGTGTTTCTATACTCCCAGATTACAAGGCTATTTTATCTAAAGGAAAACTGCGCTGTGCAGGAAGCTCGCTTTTTCTCAAGAATCGCTTTGGAATCGGATATCATTTGAAGTAAGTATTGACCAGAAGGTTAAATGTTACCATATAGTTTCTTTCAGTCTGGAGTTTCTTAACCCTTTTACTCCCAAGATCTCATTTTTAGTAATTCTCCTTACTGTTGGCAATGTTTGTTTTGGAAAATTTGGTAAATCCTCCCCTTATTGATATTTTTCTTTATTCTCATCACTTGTTTGCTTGATATTGTATTGATATTGGGAGTTAAAGGGTTAAGTCCAGTTGGACTTGGTCTTTCATATTTTCCTGCACTTAAAGTGGTTCGCTAGTTTTTGTTTTGAGTTCTCTTTGACTCCTGATATATTTTTCCAATTGGCTGTTGTGATTACTTTTACTCACTGGTTTTAATTTTATGACAATTGCAAAGCACTCTCTTTCTTTGAGTAACAATATTTTTTCCCTTCAGTATGGCTCTAGCTGAGAATTGTAATACTCAGCCATTAATTGAGCTTGTTCAAAGCAAAGTAGAAGGTGCAGAAGCTATCCGTCACCATGGCAAAGAAATGTCATTTGCTCTTCCTATGGAACAAGTATCATGTTTTCCAGGTAAAATTAATGAATTACTGCCTGTTACAAATGGCCGATTTCAAGTTACTTTCAATTGGTGGTATATTTCTTGTAATATAAAAATAATGACTAAGCCTAACTCGGCTGTAAATTAATTTTCTTCCCATATTTACCCTGAGATGAACCCATTGTTTTAACCCTTTACACCCTAATATCAATATGCATATTCTCCACACTGTTTTCCATACTTTTTCTAAGGTGCTGATAAGGAGTATTTGTTTAACAGTCAAGACCTTCTTTAGTTTACGATCATTTCAAAACTTTCATGTGTTTTTGGTGTTGATATTATAAGGAGAAATTAGATGCTAGTCACTCTTTGCAGTGAAAGGGTTTACAGACACTTCTATTAGGCAATTATCAACACCAAAATTGATCACTGCCAGTAATTGTTATTAGAAACCTGTCTGTCTGATTGCGTAATCTGGTCATCTGAGTGAAGGTAGCTTGGACAAGAATTGTTGTGGATATATTGGTGAATAACATTTTGACAACCTTAGCAGAAGTCATCATCAGAATCAAGTAAAAAAGTGTTTCAGTAGAGTGTTTTAGGTGCGGTCTGTGTAGATTGATTGGTCGGTTTAGCTGTGATGTTATTGGCTGTAATACTCAAGTGGTGTAAACTTGTCATGATCACCCTTAGGGGTGTCTGCTTGTGAAAGATGTTTCCCTGATGACACCTTTTCCTATTGATATGTTATCACTCAATTTTCACATACATTCCAGATCTACTCAAGGCACTTGAGGACAACAATGACAGTTCGGAAGGCTGTGCTGCCCCTTTATTAGGTGTGACAAGTTATGGTGTTTCCATGACAACTCTAGAAGAAGTATTTCTTCAATTAGAAGACACCTCTGAAGAGAGTGAAAAATCAACAGATGATGCACAAGAAACAGTAAGAAATCCTTGCATTTAAAATTGGAAACTAATACTGTAACAGTGGGGCAGGGCATGCTTGAATGGTTGACTAGCTTTCCAGAGTCTTTATTCTTTTATGTCTCCCCCACAGTAATGTGTTTTAAAAACTGGATTTCACTGAACGTTTGACCTTTTTTGCATTACTGTGAGTGAAAATTGCCTTCCTTTACCTTAGAGTAACCCATATTAATGTCCTTTCTATTCTATCTTTTTATGAAAGTTCGATCAAAGTAGAGCAAATCTGTTGGCACCTTCAGATGCCGTCAACATTGAAGATGGAGGCAGTAGGATTTCTGGATCCTTTAATGCCCTACATAACACAGGAGTGGAACTGAATAATACAGAACTGATGGCTGATTCACAGAAATTAGTCTGGAAGGCAAAACAACAAGTCTTAGGATTACTGTGGGTATGTTACTTTTCAACACAAACTAGAGCAGATTTTCTTTTTTCTGGATTTGCATTTATACTATGGCTGAACTTAAAGAGCTTTACTTTTCTGTTTCTTTCCAGATTCGCTGGTTAATGTCAATCCGTTCACCAGCCAAGATATTTTTCCTAATTATTATTCCACCAATTCTCATGATATCTGGTCTTTTAATTTTGCGTGGAGCCAAGAATGACAGCCAATCAGCAACTGGTTTGGAGCCTCTCAAACTGACACCTGAGATGTATCTGAAACCTGGAAGTAAAGAGAGTTACGCCTCCTTTGCTCTTCTCCAGAACTCAACCAAAGAAACTATGGATCATGTTATGAAGTACCTGAGTGATTATAATGTTGGCACCATGTTGGTGTCTTCTATAAGTAGCATATTGAGCAAGTCATCACATGATCTGTACAATTTGGGATTTAACATTCTCAAGTTTCCTGCAGACAATTTGTCACCATCCAGCGTAAGTAAATTAAAGCATTTCGGCGAGAGCATTTGACCCACATTTTCAAAATAGTAGGCCATATCCAAGTTCCAAGGGCACTTGCTACAAAAATGAAACTTGCTGTGAAACCCCTATTCATATGTAAAATTTAATTTTATCTGCATGAGAATGTAAATTGATTCCTATATCATACACTGTGCCTCATTTTGAAACAGAGGCTTGGGGCATCTCGGAAATGGCCCATTCATTAGAAAAAGGCTCTGGAATTTATATCTGAATAAAAAGAACCTAATTAGTATGCATTAATTCTTATTACTTAACCTTTTCACCCTAGATTAATATTCATACTCTCCCACTTTTCTCTTTAAATTTACTATGGTACTGACAATGAGGTTTTGTTTGACAATGAGAAACTTCTTAAATTGGTGATTATTTCCTTTAGTCCCATGACCTTTGCATTTGATTCAAGGGTAATACTGTAGAGAGAAATTAGAAGCCAGTCATTCTTTGAGGTTAAAGGGTCATCAAGAAAGTTTTTGTCAGTGTGTCACTCACATTGCCTAGCACTGCCTTTCAGGATATTTCATCAAGCTTTGAGATGCGTTACAACGACACAGCTGTACATAGTGTACCTGTTGGCATCAACATTTTGGGATCTATCCTGCACATGAATGCTCTAAAAAGTCAAAACAAAACGCCTTATCCACTGGAGTCAACCATTCTTGCCTTCCCTGACCTAAAACCTCAGTGGACTTATGACAACACAGCATTTGTGTCAATCCTTCTCATTGGGATGGCTCTCGCTATTATTCCAGGTAGCTTTGGAATTTTGGTTGTAGCAGAACGGCAGGTGAGAACGAAGGAATGGATAACTAAAAGGTTTCTGTGTTTGTTTATGGGTCTTCGTGATAAAACTGTTTTTGGATGATTGTTGCCACACAAAACTGACAGAGATTATTTCATCAGCCAATCAGAAAAAGGATAGATATCACAAAGATTCATTAGATTTTAAAGTAAATCCTTCAACACCAGTGTGAATCATAGGAAAATTCAGCAAACAGTTGGAAAGTTAGTATTACAAGTTATTTTAGTTTTGCATTTGATTATTTCAAAAGGCAACAACAATATTCTAGACCGGTCATAGAAAATAGTAAACTGCAAAACCAATGTCATTCCAAGTTGCTTTTATTTGCTTTCTGTGGAAAATTCTGGTAATCATCTGTGGTGTAGTTAATAGTTAATACACTAAAGGTTAAATAAATTTGAGGAAAAAAGAAAATTTTGCAACACAGAGAGTTTGAAAAGATTTCAATTCAATAATAGGCCTATTGTCACCTTTTAATTATCATAATGACACCTACAGTGTTTATAAATAAATGTTACTTCTGTCTTGCAGATGAAGATGCGCCATTTACTGAGGGTGTCTGGAGTATCATCCTTTGTGTATTGGCTGGAGCTTCTTATCTCTGATGGCATTGTAGTCTTAATTCCAGTGATACTGATGTTGATACTTATACCAGCCTTTCAGCTGCCTTCGCTGTCTCCTCCCCCTGCTATGGGCTGCTTAGTGATTGCAGCCCTCCTGTACATACCTGCTGGGATACTGTTCTCGTATCTCATGTCATTTATGTTCAATGCATGGGATGTCTCCCAGCAAGTTTTGCCAAATGTGTTCACCTTTGTAAGTATGATGATAATCAATGGTTGTTTATTGTTAAGCCCCATTCAAAAATGGCTACGACAGTCGATCATGGTTGATCATGGTTTCAACTTTTTTTCACTATCATTGACTGTCATGTTTGCATTCCAAATGGTGCATTATAGTTGATAGTGGTTGAGAAAATCATGCAATGAGATTGCATAATTATAAACAGGTATTATAATAGCACACACTAAGGTCAGCAATTTTGGTGGCATTTGAAATTTGGTCCAGAGGTAGTAAGTTGAAGATACTTATAAAGCCTACCAGGTGATGAATAGAATGAGTTACGAGACGCAAAATTTTGATGGCTACTTTAGTCACACTTAATGAAAGCAGTAGCAAAAGAAGTCTAGGGAGGCTTAGTTGTTTTCATGCATGTCTGAAATTTTTGCAGTTTTTAGTATGAAATACCAAAAAGTTTTGTCATATAAGAACGCAGGTGTGACACATAAAAAAGTGCACACCATATTTAGTGGCATCTATCCACTGAGTGTAGTTGCCCCTCTGAATTTGGTGGTAGCTTTTTTTTTTTCGTTGTTGTTCCATAGTAATGTTTCTTTTTATTTATTTATTTTTTTTCTCTAGACTGCAATAATTCCATTCTTGACTGTATCACTCGTGGATATGACAGCAAGCCGAGATACTGCTATTGTTCTTCATTACGTGTTTGTATTCCTGTTGCCTCCATATCCAGTATTTGGAGCTTTGTATTACATTGACAGTGTGAGTATAAATACAAATCTTTCACAAATGTACAAAGAGATTTTCACCCACAATTTTATCTGATCTCTAGTAAGCTTGATGAAATTAGGGTATGATGTTCGCTTTTCCTGTATTCCCTCAATGGATGATGTAGAGGCCTTATGGTCAATGCACTGGACTCCTGCTCAACAGGTCTAGGTTTGAGACCTGAATGGGTCATTGCGTTGTGTTATTGTGAAAAACACTAACACTAACTTTCATAGTATCTCTCTCCACCCAGAAGTATAAATGGGTATCGGCAAATTGTCAGGGAAGGGCTAATGAGATGCTGGTGGTGGGGGGTAACCTTGTGATGGACTGGCCTCTCATCCAGAGGGGAGTAGTAATACATTATAATACATTAGTAGCTTCATTATAAGGAAACCCAGATGAGCTTGGGCTGCTTGGGCTGCATGAGCTGCTTGGCTCACATGCAGACTTGTCATTCTCTCTGTTATTCTACCTTTGAAATGAAGACTCACTTGGTAAAATATGTCCTTTACATTTCTCTTTTAATCACTATGTTTTTCAGGTGTACAGGTATGAGTCAATTTTAGCAGCATTTAGAGCTGGTGGTCAATCTGTTGATGTAGAAGTCACTGCAAGCAACTACTTCAAGTGGACCAAATACAATGGCATCCCGGCTGCATTGATTGCTGTACGTTCTTACTTAAGTGGTTCACCACTGAACCATGTTATTCCTGCACTCTGAGTATCATAATTACCAGATATGCTTCAGTGTACTTAAGCACTGTGCTGTGGCCATTGCTCAACTGCATTACTGCTACAGCATTGTGTTTTTATGTCAGGAGGGTTCCTGTTTATGTTTAATATTAAAAAGATGCATTGAGGGGGGAAGGGTGGGGGCATATTTATTTCCTGGGCATTCTGATCAGTTGCTGTTTTGTGTAGAAGTAGGGGGGGGTTATGGGGATTGTTAGAAAATCATAGAAAATAAAAATGGGATTCAATGTCTCTCTTCTAAATTCCCGCCCAGCTGTAATGAATATACTGCATTTACAGAATGCATTTCTTTGGTTTAAAAAACTACAACCTTCAAAATGGAAAATGAGACAAGCCCTCAATTACATGTTCAGTACTATTTGAACTGAACACAACTCAGCCTAAATGTTTGATAATAATTTACTTACAATTAAAACAATTTCCAGTCAGCTGCATGGGGGGGGGGGGGACAATTTCAATTTGGAGTATTTGTGTGGAGCAACTCAAAGCTCTAAACAGGGGCCAAGTCAAAGAGGGATGGCATAATATTGGAATTCAGTTGTATGCATCTGACATGAAGTTTTGATCATCATGTCTTGCATTGATGTCTTTTCTATTTTGTCATTTCTCAGCCTGTTTTTCATGCTATCCTGTTTTCTGGGCTGATATATCTCTTGGACCAACATAAAACTGGTGGTGCTGTGAGTTGCAAGTGTTCCAAAAGGTAATGAAGTGTACTTATTAATTCATGATAGTAGATAGCTGTAAAAATGTGTAATTTTAGCCCTTTACACCCTGACATCAGTATGCATATTCTCCATACTGTCCTCCATACTTTTCTAAAGAGGCTGACAAGGAGAATTATTTTTTGCAATCAAGAATTACTTTAGTTGGTGATCATCTCCTCTATTCTCATGACTTTCATGATTTGATTCAGGGTGATATAGTGAGGAGAAATTAGATGCTAGTCATTCTTAGGGGCTAAAGGATTAGCGAGACGTATGCTCCTTAACAAAAGAATCCAGCTTGGACCAAAACTCAGAATCCAATTATTAGATACCTTAACCCTTTAACTCCAAGATCAAATTTGTCATTCTCCTTACTGTCAACCATACAGTTCTTACAGTGTTAGTTCAAAGAATTTAGTATTGGATCAACTAATTATCCCCAAATTAATATTTTTCTTCATTCTCATCACTTATCTGGCTGATGTTGTATTGTTACTGTAAGGAGAAATTCTGTCTTGGTCACTCATGGGAGTTAAAGGGTTAAGGTTCCTTTATAAATGCATTTTATTGACCTTTGCCAAGTTAATGCTCTCTTGTCCCCTCCCTTTCCTTTTCTTGTTTGTCGTGGAGTGCTTTAGTCAGAGTCCTATTGCTTCTTTAGCATGACTGACAAGAACAATGTGCACGTAGACCGAAGTTTCAGTTTCATGCAACAGGGAAGTAAGCAATCATTGGATGAAACCGATGAGGATGTTAGGAGGGAAAAAGAAAAAGTCTCAAACATGGTTTCCATAGAAGATTCTACCTTTTCTGCAATAGTAAAGGTGAGAAAGAGGAAGTTTTCTTAGGGAATGTTGTGTACTTTGTACTTTGTACTTTGATCTTTTCAAAAAGTTCATCCTTTTATGTATGACTGTAATAGCAAATCAGCCAGTCAGAGTTATCCTGCTTACCATAAAGCTGCATTTTTAGACTGGTGAGGTATTTTTACAGCCTATTCGGCAATTTTACCCTTTAACTCCCAGAGGTGAATAACAGTGATGTAACTTCTCCATAAATTATCCAGCCAGCAGGTAATGAGAATACTCATACTTATCAGGTAGAACTTGTTATCTTGATCTAACACCAAATCCTCATTACTAATTTTTGAGGAAATGTACATGTTACAGCAAGAGAGGAGAATCAACAATCAGTTCTTGAGCGTTAGAGCATTTAACGATTGTAATCTTTCATTAATGTTATTGGCTTAATGTGAGACTCCAAGACAATCAGTCAGGTTTGATCTGTCATTTAAGATTGCTGAGAGCTTCTTTTCAAAGCCTCCCCCTTATCTGAACAATATTACACAGCTAAGAATTGATAAGAGTAATTTAGTATTATTAACTGAATTGATAACGTAAATTGGCCACTGTAAAGAGTTTGAAATATGACATTTTGAGCATATAAGCCCTTTGTCAGAGCAAATGAAGAAGGCAAACACTCAGAAGGTCAGGTTTCAAAGTCCTTATGGTGGCCAATTGACATTGTCAACTCAGTTGATAATACTAAATTACCCTGTTATACTCTTCCACCAAAGCACCACCACAGTTCCTTTAGAAACTTACCCCCTTCAAGAATTGATAGATTTGCACTCAATTATTGATAGTATTACTTTTATCAACATAGTTAAAGCTTATGGTGTTATTTGCGTTTGCTTAGGGACTATGGAAGAGATTTGGCTCAGGAAAGAAGGCTAAAACAGTTGTCAAAGACCTGTACTTTGGTGTTGAGCAAGGAGAGGTTTTCGGACTTCTTGGTCCAAATGGAGCTGGCAAGACAACCTCCCTTAACATGGTCACAGCTGACATTCCACCAACAAGAGGAAAGGTAAATAAATATAAGCAACTTGATCTGTGATATTCTGATGCAAATCTTAACCCTTTACTCCCTGACATCAGTTGTTGTATTCTGCATACTACTCCCAATACATTTCCTAAGGTTCTGACAAGGAGAATTTGTTCAACAATCAAGAACTTCTTTAGTTGGTGATCATCTCCTTATTCTCATGACCTTAATTTTTGATTCTAGGGTGATATTGTAAGGAGAAATTAGATGCTAGTCACTCTTAGGGGTTAAAGGGTTAAATCAAATGAGGTTTTACTTTGACCTCTTCTTGACTCTTTGTACTAACCCTCACAACTTAATGTGTGATTACTTTTGCTCTGGTTTTACAATATGTTGTGGTCCCTGTGTTTAAAAAATTTTGCTCCTTTGTATTAAACACTCAGATTCTGTTTTGTCCTTCTTTGTCCCAGGTCTATGTAGCAGGTTACGATGTCAGAAAACAGTCCCATGAGGCATTTCAACACATGGGATTTTGCCCACAGGAAGATGCACTTTGGCCAATGATAACATTGCAAGAGCACCTTGAGGCTTTTGCTAAGATACGTGGTGTGCCTTGGGGAGAGGTCAAACGGGTTGTTGAGCAGTGAGTTAGTTTTTCTGACAGACGATATAAGCTCTGGCAAGCCTTAATTCATGCCTTATAAGAGTGCAACATTTCTCTTTCCTAAGCTATTGGTTAATTTAAAGGTAACCACCTTTTTCAATCAGGGCCATAATAGCAAGAATAATTGTTTTGCATATCCAATAGAAGCACTTTCTCATGAATGACTGAATCATTGTGCCTGTCTCATGCCTACTGCCTGGAATGTCTGCTTTTAGCCATTTTATAATTGAGTGAAAGTTGTTGCATTGTTTGGAAAGAACCAAAACCAGAGCTAGATTTGTGCAATTTTTGCATTTTTGCAGTAACTTGGTTATAAATCTATCTGATAACTGAACTGACCTCAGGCAAACAAGAATTTTGTTGTGTGTGTGTGTGTTGGGAGGGTGGTGGATAAAGATATCTGAGTCTAAAATCAAAAGTTTGTTAGGTTTATTCATTCCTAAGCTAATTCAGAAAGTGCTTTTTGTATCTTCACTTGGTTCTTTTCCTCTATTGATCTAAAAAATATTTTTGTCTATTTTAGTTATTTGTCTGCTTTGAGGATTACTGAGCATGCTAAAAAGAGGACTCAAGATCTTTCAGGAGGAACAAAACGAAAGGTCACTGTTTTTTAATATAAAATAATGTATGTCAGACCAATTTTTGTTCAGGTGCATCCTTAATTAAGTGGTAGTTTTTCAGTTATTCCTCTAATGTGGTGTAATGTACTGTTGCTCTTAGGAGACTATGTATTGGGTACTTCTTCTTGTTATAATGCTGGTTGACTGCAAGTGAGAAAGATGAAGCAAATCCTCTCTTCTCTGCTCAATGGATAGCAAGAAACAAAGCCTATCAGATCACAGCGTTTTTGTAGAATGGTAGTCTATTTATACTAATGCTTTATATCTCGTTCTCAAAGGTCAGTTTTGCCATGGCAATGCTGGGGGATCCACAGCTGTTGCTGCTTGACGAACCTTCCACAGGCATGGACCCTTCTGCCAGACGTTTCTTATGGTGAGAAGTTGACTGAACTTTATTATATCCTTCATGTTTAATCCTTTAACCCCTAGGAGTGACCAGCTTCTAATTTCTCCTGACAATATCACCCCTGAGTCAAACATTAGGGTCACAAGAAAAAAGGAAATGATCATTTACTAATATACAAATTCTCCTTGTCAACACCTTAAGAAATATGTAGAGAAAAGTGTGTAGAATATGCCTACTGATGTCAGTGGGTAAAGGGTTAATCCTTTACAACCTAACATCAATATGGATATTCTTCATACAGTACAGTACAGTACATTTCTTAATGTACTGACATGAAACTTTGTTTAAAAATTATAGCAAGAACTTCTTTAGCTGGTGATCATTTCTTTTCTTCTTGTGACCTTTACCCTTTAACTCCCAGGATCTGATTGTTAATTCTTCCATCTAGCTGCTACACATTTCCTTGTAAATTAGTTGCAAGAATTTGGTGTTAGATCAAGATAACAACTCCTACCTGATACATTTGAGTATTCTCATTACCTGTTTGTTGGATAGTGGGTGGATATTGTAGGGAGAAGTTACATGTGAATCACTTCTGGGATTTAAAGGGTTAATGTGTGATTCAGGAGTGATATTAAAAGGAGAAATTATTTGGTAGTCATGTGTTTATTTTCTTACGACAAACCATTTGCTGCTCTTGCTATAACTTCTGTTGTTTTAATTGTGACACACCACTTTCTGGCAACATCTAATTTTTGCCCTCATCTCACAGAAATTGTTATAACTCTTAGTGCAAACATTAACTTGTCTTTCACGGCTTTGGACATCTCTGTGTGACCTCATCACCACTATTAAACAAACTCACATATAAATGTTCAAAGTTAGGCAGTTTGCTGTATCAAAGTTGCTGCTTGTTTTCCTGTCTCATTATCAGGAACACCATTAGCAGGAATGTCCATGGAAACAGAGGAGCGGTTCTAACAACACATTCCATGGAGGAGGCTGATGCTTTGTGTTCACGAATTGGTATTATGGTTAAAGGCCAACTCAAGTAAGTTATATTTCAAACAAATGTCTTTTCTTTTATAAGGAAGAGTTGTTGTCCCCTTAACCTTTTTCTTGAATAATAGGTCATTTACAGTTGTGTACTTAGTTGCCAAGCCTTTGATCTAGAGTGAGGCTGAAGGCAACCTTGTTGTGATAGAGACCAGTATCTAGTTAGCATAATAACAAAGTAATTTACATTTGAAAAGCAGCAAGGTTTGTATCATAACAAGGTCAACCTTAACCTCATTCCTGGTTAAAGGCTTAGGAACCAAACATGCAACTGTAGAATAGACAATAACTCAACTTCTTGTGTTTTCAGGTGTCTTGGTTCAACACAACATCTAAAGAGTATTTATGGTAGTGGTTACACCTTGGAATTAAAACTGAAGCAAAGCCACACCTCGGGTCCATGCCCAGAAGGTTCAATGGAGCAGTTACACAACTATGTCATTGAGCTGCTTCCAGGTGCAACCCAGTCTGAAGTGTTTGGTGGAAGAGTGATATACAAGGTCCCAAAGGAAGGTGTTGGGGCACTATCAGTCATCTTTACTAAGCTTGAAAAAGGTATGGTGTATATCTTTGAGGATTGATTGGGCCTGATAGCATTCATCAACTTTGCTAAAATGGAAGGTGGGTGCCTGGAATATCAAGAGCCTTCCACTGTGGCAAGACAGCCCCAGATTAAATATGGCTGCAAAATTCCCTCAACCCAGCAATAAGCCCCTTTCCCAGGCCCCTTTCAATATTAATTAGATCTGAGTGGAAGAAAAATCTAGGAAGGGGAGATTGTGGCAGGTGGGGGAAGGGAAGACTCTCGAAAACAACCATTACAAATGTGCTTACAACTGCTGAGGAACAAACGCTACAAAACTGCTTAACCTGTAGAGACTAAAATCTAATTTCTCCCTGAAATATTACCCCTGAATCTTACACAGAAATATCACCAACTAAAGGAGCTCTTGATTAGTTAACAAATTCTCTTTGTTAGCATCTTACAAAATGTATAGAGAACAGTATGGAGAATATGTGTACTGATGTTCAGTTGTAAAGGGCCAAGAACTCAAACATGCCGGCTGTGACAGAGTTGCAACATTCCTTTTGAGCCTGCACCAAAAACACTGACTGACTACAAGTCTTTTTGTTTAGTAAAATGAGCAGTATTGTGCAAAAATCCTGAATCAAATTGGACAGGATTTGGTAGTATTCTTTTTCCATGACATTTTAAGCTGTGCTACAGAAGGGTTCCAGTCAAGAAGCTTTTGGTAGATTGGTAGAACCTCATGATTATGCCAGCACAGTTGTAACTTAATGTGTTTGTTCCAAAGCGCTTGACAGGGTTAAGGAGAACAACAATATTAAAGCAGTGTTTTAAGTACAACTTGATAGCATATTCATTCACTGATTCAGCTGTATGGTTTTTTTTAGGTAAGGAAGAAATTGGGATAGAGGAGTACAGTTTCAGTCAGTCTACACTGGAACAGGTATGAAATTTTTCTTGCTCCTTTGTGGTCAACAAATTGTAGCAAATTTTAGTTGAGAGTTGAATACAATTGGGGATTGGTTTTATTTTCCTTTACTCTGCCCTCAGCCTCTACGCATGGTCTGGGAAACTTGCACTACCTTCCCAACCAATCAGTTGCAACCAATCAGTTGCACTAATAGTGCCAGACCCCCAGCTAACCTCCCCAACTTATCTTAAATCTTCCTGTTGGCAGAGAATCCCGAATGAGGGCCTACTTGTAAGCCAACCACAACTGAACTGATAGACTTTTGCCAGCTGCTATTTAAATCTCAGTGAAATCAGTATTTTACTTACTTATTTTTATTATCTGTTTGCTTTTATTTGAAAAAATGGTATCACCACTTGCCTCTTCATTCAAAATAAAAACAATGCATCACTTTTCAACCCTGCTTCATATTGTGTTATATGACACTTGTTTCAAGAGGCCATTTTACAGTTGTGTACTTAGTTGCCAAGCCTTTGATTTGGAGTGAGGCTGAAGGTGACCTTGATGTGTTAGAGACCAGTATCCAGGTAGCATGATAACAAAATAATTTGCATTTGAAAAGCAGCAAGGTTTGTATCATAACAAGGTCACCCTTAGCCTCACTCCTGTTCAAAGGCTTGACAACCAAGCACACAACTGTAAAATGGGCTTTTGTTAACTGACTGATCAAACTGCTCAACTACAATGATATCCTCAGGTTTTTCTGGAGTTTGCAAAAGAACAAGATGATGACAGGACTGGAGCCAAAGATAACAAAGAAGAGATTGTATACGTACATAATGGTGGATCTCACCCAGCAGTGTAATTAGAGTGTCATGCATAGGACCTGCATCTCAAGGAGAGCCTTTTCCAGAGCTGTCCTTGGTATTCCAAGTTTGCAACTTTTAATTTGTTTATCTTTTCAATAGTATTGTTATAAATTTTTCTAATTAAGATATTTATTGACAAATGGGAACGAAAAGAAAAGAGACTTAGATTCAATTACACTTGTCAAAAAAGAATATTTGATAGTACTACAAAACCAGTAAATCAATTAAAAATCAATGACATCTTCAACAAAAAATATATATTAACCCAAAACCAAATAATTCCCAATGTGACTGTTAGTGAAATAAGCTTAATGCACCAATCAATTCAAAGCTTCAACGTATTGCTTATATGCAACAAAGTGGTATACTCATGACATGAAAGGATAATTTAATTGCATTCTGCCTTGCATCCTGTCATTGCATAAGTCTTGCTGTCAGATAAGTAGTAAAAATATACCCACAGCTCTTAGTGGAGGGGGATCAGAGCTCCCTGAACTGCCCCCCTTGATCTGCCATTGATTACAAAAGGAAATTTAAATGTAATCCCATCAGTAGGAAACAATTACACATATTAAAACAGGATTCTTTTAATGTATAGTCATTTTATCATTGTACTTGTGTGCCATCTTATTTCAAAAAACAATCAAGTAATATTTGAATAAAATGTTTTTATCCACATGTATAAAGACAGACCTGTTATGATTGTGTCTTAATAAATCATATTACAGCTGACAAGACAGAGTTCTAAGGTGGTTTTTACTATTTTGTAATATTTTTGGGCAGGTTGGCATTCCCCCTTTCCCTCTTTGTGGGCCAGTTAAATTACTTTTTCTAATTTCTGAGTCTCGTTGAACACCCAATTACTCACAAAAGTTGAGGCAAAGTTTGAATACAAGATTTCACTACACACGTGTAATATTTTTTACAAGTATTTTTTTCAAATAATTTTGTCTGTCTTATTTAAAGTTCACAAGAGGTACTCTATCACTCCATTTCTAAGAATGATTGCCTTATACGGACATGCAAATAAGAAATTTTTCAACAATTAAACCAAATTATTGTAAATACCAATCTAGGCAACATTCAGTCTGTGGTGAGGAGTGAGAGGTCAAATTTTAAGGATGTTTTTAGAAACTGAGCTGCTTATTTCAAAAACAAGTTCTACAGTAATGGTGCCAAGAAAACCATTATACTGATAAGAGGCATTGCAAAGACATTTTGCAGCATGATTTCCCAATCCAGGAGATCCCTTGATCCAATCCATATCTATGATGTTACTATGACCTTTAATCCTTCAAAGAGACTAATAAGATCGTTCGACAGTTGGGTTGTTAATTATCTCGCGGTCCGTTCGCAGCAACTGCTTCGCCGTTCGGTCACCGTTCTCGTACTGAACCCACAGGCTAAACATCTTTGCTTGCAGCTGTCGGTACATTCGTCGCGGGAGTCTGTACAGTTTATGCTTCGAAACCATTCGGATTTGGAGGGTCGTCAGGCGGCTCTCTTCGTGAAGCAGCTGGTCAGCATGTACAAGGGAAGCTAACTTTTTCCCTGAGGTGAAAAGGAGAATATATATATATATGTAAATAAAACACGAACTCGAAGGAGAAAATGTGCAACAAAACCGAGAAACTACTAACTCGCACTGAGGCAATAACCAAACGATACCTTAAATTAAAACTGCTGATGCAGTCCGGCGGCCATTGCGTCTGCCGAATTACAGCGGGTGGAGAATTAACGGAAGCTATTTTAGTGACACAGACTCGCTGATGAAAGGCGATACCATAGCGTAATGACAAGCAAATAGTTAACCTACCTGCGCTCGTCTGTTGAGCCCGTTGTGCCATCTTTCTACGTCGTTGTTTGTCCGGATGGCTCTTAGGTAAACACTCCAACAGGACAGCGGCCAGGTGTTGATGACGATCCAGTTCTGTTCTACGTAGTTGGCGGAGGCTTTCAGCTGGTCTGTGTTGGCCTTTCTTTTCAGCTTGAAGAACGCTTCTAGAATGGCGCCGGCTGGAAGGAATGGTAGGGCCATGAACTTGCGAAGCAATTGGTAAAATACCTCGGTCGTGATGGTATGACGATTGTAGGCCAGGTTCTTGAACCTGAAACAAAACAAAAATCAGGTATTTAATAAAGAGACTTACGACTTGTAAATTAATCGTCAGAGACGAGAATTCCTTCGTTTGTAACAAGGTTATAGTTCAGTTCTTTTTTTTTTTTTTTTTTTTAGATTTTGAGCTTTAATTGTAGTAAACAGAGTTAACACTTCTATATCTAGAGCTATGTAAATGGCCAAATGTACTTTCGTCCACTTTCTGACTCCTGACAGACTTAACATTGATTACATCGAACATTTAATTTGACATACCTTTCTCCATAGGCCGGCTTGTTTCCTATGAAAACAACAGCCCTGGATCGTCACTGCCGGCATGAGTTTTCGAAGGACACTCTAAACTGCTCTTCGGTAATGAAGTGTCGTTCGCTTCACGGATGGTGTTCTTAGCAGCAACTCGAATACAGCTTTCATCAGGGCTTTGTAGTCGCTTTTCTTTCTCCATGACATGATCGCAAACAGGAGCGGCACCTGCTTCGCACAGGAATCACTTCAAAGGCAAAGTTTGAAAGTACCGTCGATATACCAAGCCTTGGCGCTACATAACACCTCTAGCTGTTGCTGGGTGGCGAAGATAAGGTGACGACGGCCACATACTTGTAAAATTAAACAAAAACAACAACAAAACGTTATTCTAGCTGCTTAAGATATACTTTTCATGTTATCTTGGTAATTCAGCTTATCTATCTATCTTAAAACCTATATAAAATACAACTTAATAACTTCCCTAATAATACAATAAATAGTACAATAAACGCGTGCAACTATAACATTTGATAGTGAAAATATAAATGAAGTAGTTGCAAGAACTTTTTAACTTCGCTTGCAAGTGCCTTTCACATTGACTGTAGAATACTAACTTTAATATCTCCACGGAGAAAGTTCTCAGGGATGTGTTCGGGCTGGAATTCAAACTCGAACCTACAGAATCTGCTAGTCTCAATCGCTGCCGAAGAGGGTTAGCTGCTTTGGCGAGGTTTACCGGCTGTGGCAAACTGGGACAGGGATCATCTGTCTGCTCCTCCATTAGCACCTCGTTAACGACTGCAGACGGCGGCTTAAACAAATTCGCGACAGCCTCCTTTTTCTGTCCTTTTAGTAATTCGGGCTGCTGAGCCTGCGCCCACCTGCCTCGGGTGATTGTGCGTCGTGGGAGCCAAGACAAGTTCACCTGACGCCCTCTCAACTACAGAAACTCTACAGACATTACCCTATGAAGAACTTAATATACAACAACCAGATTATGAGGCCAACTATAGCGAGAGGACGCATAATCTAATTTTTAGATAAAAATTTTTCAGTTACTTTACATCAACAAATATTCAATAGCATTACATCAACAATTTTTCGATTGCCTTACATCAACAAATTTTCAGTTACATTAGATCAAGCGGTTCTTCTCGTCGCCCTTGATAATAACGACGTCCCCACTTGTTACAGATAGCTGCCTTTTGTTGTGTTTCATGTTGTGCCTTTCGCGTAGTCCCCTTAGGTACTCGGCAGACCACCTTTTCCAGATTACATCTTTGCATCTCGCTAGATATCTTGCACGCTTTCTCAGATCAGGATGCTCTTGATGGTGTGCTTCAGGATCAGGCAACAAGTTAGGGCGTCCGAACTGTAACATGTTAGGGGTCAACAAAGGAAGCTGTAGATCTTCTTCTACATAACTCAGAGGACGGTTGTTCAGCGCGACCTCCACGTCTAGCAGCACGTCCTGCAGTTCTGCCCAGGTGAGGGTTCCATTTCCGACAGACTTATTGAAGGCCTGCTTGACAATACCGACCATCCGTTCAAATTGCCCGCCCCACCATGGAGCTCTACTGAGATTGAACTGCCATTTGATATTCATCTTGGCAAGGTAGTCATGGAGGCGCTCGTCTTGCATTACATTCCATAGCCACTTTGCTGCAGCTACGAAGGTCCTACCATTGTCTGAATAGATTTTTACAGGAGGACCTTTTCTTGCTATGAACCGCTTCAAGGTAGTGATAAACTCTTCAGTCTCCATGGTCTTGGTCAACTCGAGGTACAAGGCTCGGGACAGGCTACAGGCATACAGGACTATGTACGCTTTTTCCTCTTTGTTTTTGCTGTCACGGTACTTGATCGGTCCGGCGTAGTCTATTCCAACAACCTGAAAGGGCGAGGTTCCCTCTGTTCTATCTGTAGGCAGGTTGCCTGGAGGAGGGTTGGCAAATGCTGATACATGAAATATTTTGCATCCATAGCACCGCTTGATAAGGCGTTTAACAAGCTGGCGCAATCTAGGTACCCAATACGTCTCGCGTACTTTGGCCATGGTCAAACCAACTCCCCCATGTAGGGTCTGGTTGTGGAAGTGTGTCACTAGTTTTCCAGTAAACACGCCATCGTCAGGTAGGTAAATTGGGTAGTGGCCTTGAATACGTCCTTGGCACTCGAATATCCCATCTAGGTTCTTCTGGAGGTTCAGTTTCATTTGGTCTTCATCAAACTTGATGGTGCCTTGACTCTTGACTTGTGATCTTCTTACCCAGAACTGCAACTGGTTGGCTGTCTCTTCGGTAGTGATTGGTCCGGTGATCCTTTGCTGGCGTTTAGCTCTGCAGTTCCTTGTAAATCGCACAACCCACGAGCAGATTCGGATGGCCTTCCATAAGTCGTACTTGTGCATCACCAGGTCTAGATCGTCATCCGTCTTCACAGTTACGCCCAGAACTCCCCTTATGATCTTGGCTTTGGCTTGTGATTCCTTGGTAGGAGTGGTGACAATATCTGCCGGCCAACTCTCTGGCAAAGGTAACCACGTTGGCCCACGCCACTACAGATCTGAGCAGTTACTAATTTGCCCGCCTCGGCTACCCAGGTCGGCAGGGTTTTCCTTGGTACCCACGTGCCTCCACTGGATGTACTTCTTCTCTTGGATTTTCCTCACTCGATTGCTAACAAACAGCTTGTAATCTCCGCCCCCCTTAATCCAGTGAAGAGCTACGCTGCTATCGAGCCAACAATAAACACCTTCAACTGGGAAACTTTGCAGTGCTTCTTTAACGTTATCTACAAGATTGGCTGCCATGTGCCCCGACACTAGTTCGAGTCTTGGTATGGTGAGTCCTTTCTTCGCCAGTCTAGACTTTGCTGTTACGAGCCCTTGTGATAGCCCCATCGCTTGATGTGTGACGGCGTAAACAGCAGCTGACACGCCCTGGCTGCTCGCGTCGCCAAAGGCATGCAGGTTGATGCTAGTGATCTCTTCTTGGTGCTGGGCAATGCTTCTTGGTACTTCTACCTTGTCTGTTAGATTGTTCTCCCAGGTTTGCCAACGGATCTCGAGTCCCTGTGGTAGCTCTTGGTCCCATGGGATTCGGGCTTCACACATTTCTCTGTAAAGAAATTTCCCTTCCAAAGTGATTGGTGATGCTAGACCGAGGGGATCGTAGATCTTAGCGATCTTTTCGAGGACTTCTCTCTTAGTTGCTTTCGAAATCGGATCAGGGAAACTGGTTTGTATTGTATCCTCTCGTTTATCCCATGGTACACCAAGCAGCTTCGTTTCTCCTTGCTTGACTCCTAACTGGTCCTTGGCATAGCTCTGGTTCTCACTTTGATGGGTGGTTGGTAGTTCTTTTATTGTTTCTTCGTGGGGTGAAGGCTGTTCCAGGGCCGGGACATTAGAGTGCCATTTGTGCAGTTCAAATTTCCCAGCTCTGAAAATGGACTGTGATGCTTGTTTCAGGTGTTGTGCGCCAGCCACGGTTTTATCACCGCTGATAAAGTCGTCCACGTAGAGGCTTCGTCGGATCTCTTCAACTTTCCTAGGGGTAAACGTTCTGAAGATTTTTTAGGTGCTGACCAATCACTCCCCCGAGGAAGAATGGTGACGTGGACAAGCCGAACAGTGCTCGTGTGAAGCGTAAAGTTTCCACGTGATTGGTGTCTAGGTCCTTGAGCCAGTGAAATCGCATCACGTCTCTGTCTTCCTCTCGGATTCTCACTTGTAGAAAAGCTTGCTTCAGGTCCCCTGCTAGGGCCACAGGTTGGAACTGGTTTCTCACGAGTACGCTCCAAAGTTTGTTTTGCAATGGTGGCCCAGTCTCTAGGCAGTCGTTGAGGGATGGTGCTTTCTCGTTCGCTCGGGCGGACGCAACGTAGACAATTCGAATCTTCGTGCTCTCTGTCGTCTCTCGAATCACGGCCTTGTGCGGGATGTAAAACTCCTTCCCTTCTGGTTCACTGTGCACTCGTTCGACTATTCCTTGAGATAACTGATCTTGAATGACCCCGTCATACTTCTGCAACATGCCTGGTTGTTTCTCTAGCTTTCTGACAAGGTTCTCTAGTCGTTTCAGGCTGCCATGTTTGTTATTAGGGAGGGTGGATGATTTCCCTTCCAAAGGAGGCCTGTTTTCGTACCATCCTTGCGGGTTTCTTGTTAGCTGCTCCTTGAATTCTTCGAATACGAGATCTTGGTCGCCAACTGGATGGTCTTGTAGACCAAGCACATCAAGTCTACACAAGGCTTCATAGTCAGCCGCAGAGGTTTGGGTCAGGAACATGTTTGTGAGGTCAGATTCACTTCCGGGTGACATGATAGTCCATCCTAATCTTGTTAATTCGGCAATGGGTTCTCCTGGTTTTCCGATCTTGGCTGTGGTCTCGGTCTTTATCTGCGCGTATTCGTTTGTTCCGAGGATAAGATGTACGGGAAGCTCCTCTTTCTCGTCTACGTCATCCATTGTGACTTCTTTCAGGTGATCGTATCTTTCCACCAACTCCTTGTACCGAGGGTTTTCCAAACTGAGTAGCGTTCCGCGGTCCACCTTAATCACTTCGGTTCGAAGCTGAAATTCCCCCGTCAAACTGCTGATAACAACATTGTAAATTTCGATCTCTCTGTTGCTCGCTTGCATCATCATTTCGATGCGTTTGAACTCTCTTCGAACTGGCTGTTTCCCCATGCGATCGAGCAAGGCCGCAGATGCGTAGGAGCTCCCAGCACCAGTGTCTAACAGTGCGCGGCAATGGATTCCACCCACACTCACGATGACCACCGGATAAGTGACGGATCCTTTCCCAGTAGCTACCAACATAGGCTCCGGCGATTGTTGAGGTATCTTCTCGGGACAAATTGACGAGTGGTGTCTTCGGTTGCAAAACTTGCAGCACGCAGAACAGCGACACTCTGGGGCCTTGTGATTTGCGCCGGTGCAGTTGAAGCACAACTGTTTACGATTCAACTCCCTTCTGCGCTCTTGTAGTGTGGTCACTTTGTCGCAGTTGACGGACTGATGGTTTACACTTTCGCAGTAAACGCACGGCCTTCTTTTTTGGTTCCCCTTGGCGTGTTTGGTAACTTCTGTTCTTCGATAAAAAAGGTTTCACAGGCTTGAACGGTGGCGGCTTGTCTTGGCTTTGTCTCTCTTCACTGTGTTTGGGCGGGTTTCTGATGGTCCACTTTCGTAATGCCTCAACAAGCTGCGGGAATCTCCATTCTTGCCAGTCATCATCGGTTCTCACCAAGTCTCCTCGAATTCCTTCTAGCTTGTTCAGTGTCATCCTTACGTAGTTATTCACCTCCCCGAGTTTGCCCATCGTTTCAAGTGCTTGAACATTTGAGCATAATTTTTCATAAAACTGCGACACCTTGTTTGGGTTTGCTCCATAAATCGAAGGAAGTGACATGATGCCGTCAACATAAGCATTTACGATTTCGCTTTCTTTCCCGAATTTTAACTTCAAAATATTCTTTGCTCGTTCGTAGCCTTCTGTGGTCAACGGGAGGCCATCTATGGACGGTCGAACTTGCGGCTCCAAAAGCTCCTTAAGATAGGAGAACTTCGTGATTTGTGAAATATCTGCTGCATCAATTTCCGCTGTGAATTGACCCCAGAACCGCATCCAGTCGGCGTGTGCTTTTAACTGAGTGATGACAAGTTTTGGCAACTTGGCGTTGATGTTTTGCTCATTTTTCTCTTCAATTTTCTTCTCGTATTTTTGCTTTTGCTCCAGCTTGGCTTTTTCGAACCGCATTTCCTCGTCGTACTTTTTCTCCCTGAGCTGTGCGTCATGCTCCTCCTTTTCTTTCTCTTCTGTTTGCGCTTCGACGCGTTTGCATTCCTTGATCGTCACGTCGAGCTGGTCGATTGTCGCCTCAAACACACTAACACGTTCTTCGATTTCTGTGCTCTGTTTCACGATCTCGTGTTCTTCCTTTTCTGCCTCAAACATCAGTTCTTGTATTTCAGTTTTCAGATCGTGGACTTCTTCAACTTTCTTCTTTAAGGTGTTTTGTATTCTCGCCATTGATATGACCGCTTTATTTCCGAACGCGGTGATTGCCTGTCCTTGGGTTAGTTTAAGGGTCTGCAGCTTTGCGTTGATCGCTTTCGTAAGCTGATCGACTGTTTTCGCCATCTTCTGTTCGCTGGGTCCCGTCGGAGGTGCCACTTTTTTCGGGAACGGGTATCCGACAAATAAGTCACAGGTTTAAATCTCAAACTGGTTTACTGTTGTTTTCCCTGATTACAGATATCTTCGAATAAAGGGGTAAGTTTCTAAAGAAACCGTGGTGCTGCGTCGGTGGGAGAGTATAGCAGGTAATTTAGTGTTAACAACTGGGTTGAAAACGTAAATTAGCCACCGTAAAGGGTAAAAAAGCTGACGTTTCGAGCGTTAGCCCTTAGTCAGAGCGATAGCGACGAAGGGCTAACGCTCGAAACGTCAGCTTTTTTACCCTTTACGGTGACTAATTTACGTTTTCAACCCAGTTGTTAACACTAAATTACCTACAGATATCTTCGGTTCGCTATCTCGCTCTGTCTCTCTCTAAAACACACACCCCTTCAAGGCCGATCTTATTACACTATTTCGCAATCAAGTCTAATGTTCAAAGGAGCTTGTCTTTCACTTAATATTAATAATAGTAATGCTTTCTTGTCACGTTATGTCATGCTATGTTACGATTTCCGTCATACCAGTTGTTTGTCGCGTCATACAAACATTTACAGAATATGCGCAGACAAAGCTCAGCGATTTAAAACAACAATCCCTTTATACTTTAAGGGTATTCGATGTCGATTACTGATCGAAGTACTTATGTGATTCCTAAATGACGAATAATGGGAATTGTACAACAAACTAAATACCTCGTTCTGAAAAACTTCCACATCAAAAAACGGAATAAGCGGGAAACTTTGCAAGAGATACTCATCCCAATTTGGTTCATTGTGACGTTAGCGATCGTAAAAAGAAGGTTAATAACGGAGCTGAAACCAGCTGTAAGAGAAAATGAAATACCGACAGCGAAAATTTCCAGCATGGGACTGGCTGGATTACCGGGAATTGCGAGCTCCAAGCCAAATATCGGCTATGTCACCAACAATCTCGCAAATGCTGGTTCGGTTATGGAGATAGTTAGGAACACCTCAAAGGACAGTGCAAAATATGTTGAGTTTAACACTACAGACAGTTTGATAGCCTTTTACATGGAGCACACCAACCTTCTTGTGGGAATCGAATTTTGGAATGGCAAAGAGAAAGGACTTGCTTACACACTTCGCGTCCCGAGAGGTCGACTCCCCTTACCAAAGAACAGACTTGTCGGTGAGTACAGCTACACATACGTGTATTATGGAATCGCACCCATTGAAAAACGTCCCACGGGAAAATGCAAATAAGCTAGAAAAGAGAAAGAGAGCATGCGTAACTTCACGCAGGCCTGTCAATCCGACTGTCAATCATGTAATCCCCCGTGTATGCCGTATTCACAAGTACTGTTTCTTGCTCAGACAACCGAAACGTAGTGCCATTCATCGAAGAAGAATAGACATAATTAGTAGCGTTATCTTGATTAGGCTATGTAGTTTAAATTACCTTTTAATGTCGGGTTTTTAATTGAAATGCGGCAGATTTACGAGATTCGACCATCAATTTCACCATGAAAGCAAAATAACATTACATAAATATTCCTTTTTAGCCCGTTATTGCGTTCATTTTCCGGTAACACGTCGGTAAAGTCTATTTACTTTTTTCATCACTTTCAAACAATATTAATTGTTCCAATTGTATCTCCATTGTCTCTACATGGACACAAGTGAAATTTTACAACTCCAGTTTGGGAATTCGTTAATTCAGATCTTAAGAGACCAAAGCTGGCAACCTCCTTCCCAGGTCACTGTGCCTGCAAAGCATCATGGGTACCCCACTTTTCCTGGGTGATGCTTTTTAATGGGCATGATTCCATAATGGTATATGATCGAATGCATTGTTTACATTGATCATTTATGACATCAACTCCTTAGACTCAGAATATTCACGAGGTGTGTTTTTGAAGACCTGGAACATTGATCCTCCTAAAATGTGAAGTGGCCAGATGGAATTATCAGACAGAATGTTGCCTTCTTTTTTTGCTCCAAATTTACCTGTATTGTAAAAAAAGCCTTCTTACATCAAATTTTCCCTGTCCCCAAACCTCTCAGGTAAAGAAGCAAGGATGTGAAAATTGTACCTTGTATATCCTCTTTAGGGTCCAAGACCCCAAAAACAGAAGGATGTTTGGTAACACATCCCCATCCAGACTAAAGAAAGAAATGTTCCTACTTCAAGCATACATCTCTTGAGATTATTTTGAAAGGTTGTTTGGTAGCACATCCCCATCCATAGTAGGGAAAGGTTGTACCCTCCTTCCCCTGAAATGTATCTAGACAAGCATACATCTCATGAGATTATTTTGACAAGATTTAAAAATGCGTAGTCTAAGACTGCATATAGCTGCACATTTTGCAGTGACCTTTACATTAAGTTGGTATTCAACCCGTTTAAAATTAAGAGTTGGTTTAGGGTCAAGGATTCTATCCCTGGGGGTTTATGATTGCAAATTATATATAACTTTTCATGTGCAAGCTGTAGTGCCTGTTATGTTGGTGAAACCAACAAACACACTGCCTCCGGCATCTGCAAACATTTCTCCTTTGACAAACATTCCCACATCTTTCAGCACCCAAGAGGTTCTAAAAATTGTTGCTCCCATTGTTCAGAAGATTGTTTTAAAATTCTGGACTCTGCTTCCACAAGCTTCCAATTGAAAATTGAGGAAGCCATGCACATCCTTTGGGAGCAGCCATCTTTAAATTCCCAGGTCAAACATCTTATTTATCCCTTTCATACTAATTAGTCTCCCTTCTTGGCTTAAATAGTTTCACTTTTTTTTAAAATTATTCTTGTTAACGTCTCACTTTGTTTTACTGTTTATTGCATAATTTCATTTTGCTTCTCATTAAACAACTGATGATGGATGATGTTTCATCTGAGACATGTTTTGTTTTCATTGAAAAATGTAAGAAAAATGAACTTCAAAAGCATTGTGTGGTTCATCAAAGCAACATGTATTAATAATAATAATAATAATAATGAATATTTTCATATTTCATCAACATGTCATCTTTTTGCTATAGCATATTGACATGACAAACTGTTTACCTTACATGTAGTTAAATTTACATATACATCTAAAAACAGTTGGTTAATGCGCAAACACCCCAGTGGTCAGAAAAATGTGTTTCTAAAATAAGGAAGCTGATTTGTGTTTCTGGTAGATTTGTGAATATAAGGTCAATACATGTTTTGCTGTTAGCAGTGGCACTTGAAACTTTTTTGTTTATAATTACTCCTTGTAAATTTATCTTAAAGAGATACTCTTTTGAAGTCACCCATAAACAGACAAGCACTAGAGTGCGAAGATTACTGTTCAAAAGTTCTAAAAGTTTTAGGCACAAATGCTCTTGTGGTACTATAAGGGAGCAACATAATACAACGAGTGTAATACGAGGAAGGTTCAAGAACCTCATTACAATCAACTCAATACCATTTGTATTGTAGCAATAAGGATAACTTATCAATTCATCATGTGCATTGTCAACATGGATTTTTTGTGTGTTAATAATGTATTCTGTGTTTGAATTGTTCTCAAATTCATTGAAATCATTAGTGCTATTGCTAACACCATTTAAACTCCTTCCAGAAATAACTGGACATGTTAATACACTATGCGTTTGACCTTTATGTCCTATGTATTCTAACCTTCAATTTGCTCTAGCATTTGCTGGTTCAACCAATGTAATTTCCATAAAATTCTCATCTGATTCTCCAATGTAAATCTTTAAATTCAAAGTATCAGCTACTGCTTGTGTTATCATGTTACCAGCCCATGTACCTTGCATAGACATAAGATAAATATTGATATTGAATCGCTCAGAATCAATTTTATCAATACATAACAATGTAATATAATTAAGTCTAGAATATTGAGTCATAATGTTACATTCAGAATCAAGCTGATCAATCACATACAAATCATCATGGCTGTTCAAATTCACACATGGAAGGACAGCCATGACTGAACAAGCATTTTGGTTGCAAGGTATAAAATCACCACAAAGTGTCAAAAAACCTGAAAAACTTTTGATAAACTAACACTTTACAAACATTTAGAAAACTGTGCCTGGATACTGATAAGGAATAAGGAAAAATCATTGTAAAATAGAGACAAAAAAACCCTAAAATCCACTGAGTATCTCATAGTCACATGGAGAGAACACACATGGAATGTCTCAATCGATAGGAAGCTGTGCTTGGGTCACATTTTGAAGTGTTGGTTTTGCATATTAAATCCTGTTGGTATGATTGAGTTCTTGTTGAGATCTACCAATCAGTGAGGGAGTACAGATTGTGTGCCATTATTGTATGTAAACTTATGACAAGTCATTACATAGTGACCAACAACAGGAAAGCACAATTTTAGAGTGACAGCTGCACATGTGCGATTTTCTTCCAGCCAACCACAAAGTACTCCACATTTGTCAGTGAATTGTATTTGTAACTGGTGTGCTAAACGAGTGTAATTTTGTTTGGCACCAATCATACTGCTATTAATGCTATAAACATGGTATTTTAGAATGATTGCATGGTTACATAGGAATCCCAACCAGGAAACAGCAATAACCTCACAAACTTGAGGCAAGTATTCAGCTGGGCTTCCTGTGGAAAGTTAACAACTTACACAAGCACTTACAAGGCAATGACATGATGGCTATGCATTCCCAGAATGCAGTAGCCACAAAAATTATATAAACCTGATTTAATTTGTAGGGTTGGGTGGGGAAGGATATCATTCCTGTGTAGAGCAATGTTACTTCAAAACATATTCACACAACTATTCAATTTTTAATTATTTTCCTCCTTTCAGGTCTAGGTGAATGTCATGATGTCAACAGCTTGTTTTCAGGGGGCTGCCCTGCCAATTCTTATATTACAACAAAAATAGCAACCCTGCAAACAATAATTGATGCTGCTATTACAAAGGTAATTGCTGGTGAAATGTAATTTTTCTCAGGCAGACCCAGGATTTAGTGAGGGGAGTTGGGGAGGGGGGGGGTGTTCAATAACTATCTACTGAAAAGAGGACAATCCTGAGGGAGGTCAGGAGGCATGCCCTTGCCAAGAATGTTGAATGAAATGTCTTGAAAAAAGTTATTTCCAGTGTTTTAAGGGAAAATTTGTAGAAAACAAAAGAAATAACAAATTTGCACATGTTAGATGATTTTCATTTTGACCAAACTGCCTGAATCACCTCTGGATCTGCCCCAGTTTTTTTTTAGCTGGTATTTCAGTTCCTTAACAGTCAATAATCTTTCAACATGAGTGGGAAAATGGGATGATAAGTAGATTGATTTTAGACTGTAAAAATCTCTTGGTCTTTTATTTTTCTTAATTCATTACTTGTCTAAGTATTAGCCATGCACAGTGATTAAAGAAAATAAATTCTGGAAGGTATACAGGGTTCTTTTCAGACAAATTTTAATTTTAGTCCTCTGACTTGTAATTTGCTTTAAGTAATAGAGGTGATTTGATCTATGAAATTTTTTGTTGTTAAAGGTTGAAGGGAATTTACCTCACTTAAATGTCCCAGACATCAAGGCAAAGATGATGCCAAAGGCATCTTACAGGCAACCTGAAGAAGATTTTGCCTTCCTTATTTTGATTTTCATGGTCTAAGCCTTTGTACCTTACTTCCTTGTAGTCCTTGTCAATCTGAAAGAGAAGGAACTTAAACTGAAGGAATTGTTGAGGATTGTGGGTACTTCTGATATCGCATACTTATTGTCGTGGATTATTACATATGCAGTGATCATGCTGGTAGCCGTCCTCATTTTGAATGTGATCACAATATTGGGAAACATATTTTCCAATAGCAACTATATTGTGATGGTCATCATCTGCTACCTGTATGGCTTAAGCATCATCACAATGTCTTTAATGCTGACACCATTCTTCAAAAGTGTCACGATTGCTGGCCTTTTGCATCTCTGGTGACAACAATTCTTGCCACAATTGCCAATCTCCTTGTCCTTTTTGAAGTGTCTAATGTGGTGAAGTGGTTATTGTCACTCTTTTCACCAACAGCATTTGTTTTTGCCTTGCATGAGGTAGGTTGATGTTATTTTCTTTCTCATTCATCACACCTTCATTATTTGCAAATTGAATGCATTTAAAGAACTATAAGGCTGTTAAAACTCACACATAGAATAGACATTCATTTGTCTGAAATTGAAGAAGTAAGTATAGATAAATGAAGACATTGGTTTGTCCACAGTTCCTTGAAAAATTGTTCCATATTAAAATTTTAGGCTGTTGCAGGGGAAGGTCTGAACTTTGACAACTGGTCCACCAAAGGGAGTTTTCCATCCATTTATCCCACTCTGATGCTGCTGGTGGACACTGTTTTGTATCTTTTGTTGGCTCTGTGCTTTGATGCAGTGATTCCTGGTAAGTGTGGTCAGTGTAGGCCCCCCTACTTCATCTTTACACCATCCTTTTGGAAAAGTATCTGTAGCAAAAAGGAACAAGGGACAGCACCTTCTGAACAGCTTTCCACAAGAGTGGAGGAGGTATCTGAAGATATTGAGGCCATGCCAGCAGATTTACAGGGGAATGAAGTAATAAGGTATTACAAACTGGTGTAATTTTAAGAGTGCTTGAATGAGAGAGAAAAACTGTCACTTGTGTTGATCTGCCAAATGAATTTTACTTTGTGGCTGTATTTTTGTTTCTGTTTTTTTTTTTTCTTCAGCATTCACAAATTAAGAAAAGTTTACCATGGGAAAGAAGAGGTTGTTGCAGTTGATGGTAAGAGCTATTAAACTTATCATCAGTCAGTTAGTCAGTGGGTGGTCAGTTGGTCAGTCAGTCAGTCAGTCACCAGTCAGTTAGTCAGTTAGTCACCAGTCAGTCAGTTGGTCAGTCATTCAATTAGTCAGTCATAAGATGGTCAGTCAGCTAAGCAGCATGGGAAGCAGTCATGTAGATAGACAGTTAATCAGTTAATCAGTCAAGAGTCAGCTTGTTATTCAACACAGTCAGTCAGTCAGTCAGTCAGTCCATCTGTCAGTAAGGCAAGTGAACATGAGGTAGTCAGTTCATCAGTCACATAAAGAGACAAGCATTAGGTCAGTCATTTTTCCAGTCAGCTAGTCAGCTGTTCACTCATATAGTTATAGTCAGTCATTTTAAAGCATGTAAACTTCTGACTAATGCACCAGTTCTCTCTTTTAAATTGAGCAGACAGAACTTTCTTCTATCTTTGAAGATTAAGTCCTCGTGTAGAGATCCTGGCCTTGATGATAACTTTTGTGTCACACCTTTAGGGGTCAGCATGGATATATATGAAGGTCATGTGACAGCGCTGTTGGGTCACAATGGAGCAGGTAAAACAACTCTAATAGCCATGATGACTGGAATGGTTCCTGCTACTGAGGGTTATGCTACTGTCTACGGAAAGGACATCACCGACCCCAGTCAGATGCAGGAAATAAGAAAAGGCATTGGTGAGAATGCAAATTAAGTGTAATTTTCCCTTTCTGCCATCAGTCCTCATTGATAACCCAGCTCAATGTCAATATATGAGCAACTTCCCACCAACCCATCCCCTAACCTAACAACACTCAACTGATAACAAGTAGGGGTTGAATTAAAGGAGGGGTAAACCCTACCTATTAGTGTGATATACTCCACAAATTTACTGCAATTTCCTTTGTTAGTAATCTTGGTTATGACCATGTCTTATGGATGGATGGATGGATGCCTCTATTTAAAAATAAAAATAAACCTCAGGGTAGCCCCATCAGAAGCCCTAAAGAGCCACCTGCTATCAATGGGAGCTCTGAGTATAAACTAAATAAAATATATTACAATTTCATGTGAAATACAAACACGAAGATATAAAACACATTTATTAGGCTTTAGATTTCTAAATTTAAAATTATGTGTATAAAAATTACTATTTATCAGTGTGGTGGTTTACAATCCTTTATATATAACTAATTTTTCATGTTATTTGCTTTTGTTTTATGCAAGGTGTATGTCAGCAGCAGAATGTACTCTTTGACTTTTTGACAGTGAAAGAACATTTAGAGCTCTACTCTGGCTTGAAAGAAGTGCCAGTGGAGCAGAGAGATGTCATGGTAAAGTTGCTAGTTGCTTGTAACAAATCTCTATTGCATGTTAACATCTTTGCCACTTGCATAGGTTAATGACAAGCCAGTACATGGTCTACAATGTTACCTCAGGCCTTTTCTTTAGAATGGAACCTGCACCTGCTACAGGCCAATTTTGGAGTAATGACACCTTTTGAATACCCATGTGATTCTTCATGATACTGCCAAAATAGTGGTTCATCTAACTTGCAGAGAGAATGAATTAAAATTGCTTCCTTTGAAAAGGAAAAAGAAAGAAATCATAAGACACCCTAATTTTCTCTGAGAAAAAGATGATTTGCTTTATTTGAATCAGCTTTGGCTGTAGATGAAAAGCCATGATTTTTCTTATAACCTGTGTGCCTGCAAATCATGTGAATTAAATGGTGCATTTTAAGGATGCAGAGTGGAATTCAGGGAAACGACATGAGGTAACACACTTTTTTTCAAGGTGAGTTCATTGTTGATGGAAATTGACTTGGCAGACCAAAGGGACACTTTGTCAAAAGATTTGAGTGGAGGCCAGAAGAGGAAATTAAGTGTTGGCATAGCACTCATTGGGGATCCAAAGGTATATACCTGTATTTGTTAACTTGTAAGTGTTATGAGAAAATTAAAACCAAATGTCATTTAATTTCTACAACCCAACCCCTGTTGACCTTTTCATTGGATGAAAATCACAGTTTCAACTTTCTTTCCTAGCTGTCTGCCTTATGTTTCTGATCATTTTAGTCCCATGTATTTAGTGTTTAACTTAAATTCAAACAACATGTTGACAGTAGCTTTTATTTTTCTTCCTTGTCCTTACCTTCTGCTTGGAAATATAGTGATTTTGTTTCAAGAAATTTTGTCTCCATCTCTCCTGAGAGTGAAAGGTGAACCCCTTTGTGCAAGAAATTTTAACCCCCAAAGGGAGAAAGGCAACTTCAGAGTTACTGGTGGTGGTAACCTGAAGAGCCTTCAACTCAGTAACCCTTGTGGGTCCAGGCTTGAAATTAGAGTTCTTGGCCAAGAGTCAAGTGCACCAGTGTTAGTAACTTGTTCAACTTAGTTTCCCAGTTAATGATCAAAAGGATTTAATAATTGTGTTCAAATTAAAGGTGATCATTTTAGATGAACCAACAAGTGGAATGGATCCATATGCACGACGACTCATATGGTCCTTGTTGAAAGAGAAGTGTAAAAACCGAGTGGTTCTCCTTACAACACATTTTATGGACGAGGCTGACATTTTAGCAGGTAAATAAATGATATGATTATCAACTGATTTCTGACTGTAACTAGTAACTAATTTGTGTTTCATATCTCTGCTCTGATTGGCTGTTAATTGGTTACTTTGGGCTTTTTTCACTGAACACTCTTCAGCTTTCACAAAGCCCTCCCTCTTTTTCATATCATAATGGTTCCCTACAGGATCACAAATTGTTTAAAATGTGGGGATGAAAATTTCTTGTGAATTTTTAAATCAGGATGGTATTGTCTATTGAATGGTTATGTTTCTATACTCCCAGATTACAAGGTTATTTTATCCAAAGGAAGAGTGCGCTGTTCAGGAAGCTCGCTTTTTCTCAAGAATCGCTTCGGAATTGGATATCATTTGAAGTAAGTATTGGCCAGAAGTTTATATCATAATTTCTTTCAGCCTGTAGTTTTTAACCATTTTACTCCCAAGATCTCATTTTCAGTAATTCTCCTTACTGTCCTACAGTGTTTGTTTTGGAGTATTTGGTAAATTCTTCCTTAATTTATATTTCTCTTTATTCTTGTCACTTGTTTTCTTGATATTGTTAGGGGCAATTCTGTCTCAGTCACTCTTGGGAGTTATAGGTTTAAGTCAATTTGGACTTGGTCTTTCATATTTTCCTGCACTTTATGTGGTTTGCTAGTTTTTACTTTGAGTTCTTTTTGACCCTTGATATATTTTTTTTTCTGATTGACTGTCATGTTACTTTTTTTACTCGACTGGTTTTTTTTTTATGGCAATTGCAAGGCACTCTTCAATTAACAATATTTTTTTCCCTTCAGTATGGCTCTAGCAGAGAATTGTAATACTCAGCCATTAATTGAGCTTGTTCAAAGCAAAGTGGAAGGTGCAGAAGCTATCCGTCACCATGGCAAAGAAATGGCATTTTCCTTCCTGTGGAACAAGTATCATGTTTTCCAGGTAAATTTAATGAACAATTAACTGCCTTGTAAAATGGCCAACTACAAGTTACCTTGGTGGTATTTTTCTTGTAATAAACATAATGAATTGACTTAACTCAGCTGTGAATTAATTTTCCTCCCATGTTTACTTTGAGATGAACCAGTTGTTAACCCTTAACACCCTGACATCAGTATGCATAATCTCCACACTGTTTTCCATACTTTTCCTAAGGTGCTGACAAGGAGCATTTGTGTAACAATCAAGACGTTCTTTAGTTGGTGATCATTTCCTTTGTTCTCATGACCTTTATGCATTTTTGGTGTTGATATTATAAGGAGAAATTAGATGCTAGTCACTCCAAGGGGTCAAAAGGTTAACAGACACTTCTATCAGGCAATTACCAGCACCAAAATTAATCACTATCAATAATTGTAACCAGAAAGCTGTCTGTCTGATCACGTAATCTGATCATCTAGGTGATGGTAGCTCAGACAAGAATTTTTGTTGATTTATTGGCCACTGATGTTTTGACAACTTTAGCAGGAGTCACAATCAGAGTGAAGTGAAAAGGTGTTTCAGTAGTAAGTGTTTTAACCCTTCAATCCCTGATAGTGGCTAGCACCTAATTTCTCCTCCTGATATCACCCATGAATCAAACATTTAGGTCATGAGAATATAGAAAATAATAATCAAATGAAGAAGCTTTTGATTGTTAAACAAATTCTCCTTGCCAGCACATCAGGGAATGTATGGAGAACAGTATGGAGAATATGCATACTGATGTTTTGGTGTAAAGGGTTAACTACAGTTTGTTTAAACTAATTGGTCAGTTTGTCTGCAATGATGTTGGCTGTAATACTCATTCAAGTGGTGTATATTTGTCATGATCATCCTTAGGGATGTCTGCCTATGAAAAATTTTTCTCTAAGGACATCTCCTATTAATATATAATCACTCAATTTTCAAGTACATACATTTCAGATCTATTCAAGGCACTTGAGGACAACAATGACAGTTCAGAAGGCTGTGCCGCCCCCTTATTAGGCGTGACAAGTTATGGTGTTTCCATGACAACTCTAGAAGAAGTATTTCTTCAACTAGAGGGCACCTCTGAAGAGAGTAAAATATCAACTGATGATGCACAAGAAACAGTACGAAATCCTTGAGTTTAAAATTGGAAATTAATACTCTAACAATGGGGTGGGGCATGCTGATATGATTAGCTAGTAATTTAGGATTATCAACTAAATTGATAATGGTGCCACAGCGATATGCTTTAGAAAATGGAATTTAATTGAGTGTACCACCATATTTGTGCTATTGTAACTGAAAATTATCTGCCTTTACCTTAAAGTAACCCCATTTGATGTCCTTTCTTTTCTATCTCTTTATGCAAGTTTGAGCAAAGTGATGCAAATCTGTTGGCACCTTCAGATGCCATGAACATTGAAGACAGAGGCTGTAGAATTTCTGGGTTTGTTGATGCCCCAAATAACACAGGGGTGGAACTGAATAATCCAGAACTGATGGCTGATTCACAGAAATCAGTCTGGAAGGCAAAACAACAAGTCTTAGGATTAATGCGGGTATGTTACTTCTCAAGACAAATTAGAGCAGATTTCCATTATATTGGATGTTGTAAAAGTAAAACTTTTTTTGTCTGGATTTGCATTTATACCATGGCTGAAATTAATGAGCTTTACTTTTCTGTTTCTTTTCAGATTCACTGGTTAATGTTAATCCGTTCACCAGCCACGTCATTTTTCAAAATTATTATTCTGCTATTTTTCATATTTGCTGGTCTTTCACTTTTACGTGTAGCCAAGAATGACAGCCAATCAGCAATTGGTTTGAAACTGACACCTAAGATGTATCTGAAACCTGGAAGTAAAAAGGGTTATGCCTCCTTTGCTCTTCTCCAGAATTCAACCAAAGAGGCCATGGACCATGTTATGAAATACCTGAGTGATTATAGTGTTGGCACCTTGTTGGTGTCCTCTATGAGTAGCATATTGAGCAACTCATCAAGTGATCTGTACAATCTGGGATTTGACATTCTCAAGTTTCCTGCAGACAATTTGTCGTCGTCCAGCGTAAGTAATAGTATTTTTGCCTGAATTAAAAAATACGACAAGAGCATTAGTTGTTTATTTCCCCACTTTTCTCTTTTTATGTTTGCTATCAATGGTACTGACAAGGAGATTTTGTTTGACAATTGGAAACATCTTAAATTGGTGATTATTTCCTTTAGCCTCATGACCTTTGCATTTGATTCAAGGGTAATACTGTAGAGAGAAATTAGAAGCCTTTCATTCTTAAGAGGTTGAAATTAAGGGTCAAAGAGAAAGTTTCTGTCAGGCTCTTTTCAGTGTGTCACTCAACACAAATGTACACTGTGAGACAAGTTAGCATTGCCTTTTAGGATCTTTCATCAAGCTTTGAGATGCGATACAACGACACAGCTGTACATAGTGTACCTGTTGGCATCAACATATTGGGATCTATCTTGCACATGAGTGCTCTAAAAAACAAAAAAAAGCACCTTATCCACTGGAGTCAACCATTCTTGCCTTCCCTGACGTAAAACCTCAGTGGACTTTCAACATTGTAGTACTTTCGTCATTCCTTCTCATTGGAAAAGCTTTCGGCACTATTCTAGGTGACCTTGGAGTTCTGATTGTAGCAGAACGGCAGGTGAGAATAAAGAAATGGATGAAGGTTTCTGTGTGTTTGGCTCTTTGTGATAAAGCCGTTTTTGAATGATTGTCGCCAGACAAAACCAAGGCTATTTTATCAGCCAATCAAAACAAGGATAAATATCACAAGTATTCATTAGATTTTAAAGTAAAAACCTTTAAAGCCAGTGTGGATCATAAGAAAATTCAGCAAACAATTGGAAAGTTAGTATTACAAGTTATTTTGGTTTTGCATTTGATTTCTGAAAAGGTGACAACAGTATTCTAGACCAGTCATAGAAGATAGTAAACTAAAAACCAATGTCATTCCAAGTTGCTTTTTATTTGCTCTCTGTGGAAAATTCTGGTACTCATCTGTGGTGTGATTAATAGTTATTCTAAAGGTTGAATAAATTTGAGGAAAAAGAAAATTTCACCACACAGAGAGTTTGAAAAGATTCCAATTCAAAGATAGGCCTATTGTCACCTTTTTAATCACAACACTTACAGTGTGGTAAAAACTCAATGTTACTTCTATCACAGATGAAGATGCGCCATTTACTGAGGGTGTCTGGAGTATCATCCTTTGTGTATTGGCTGGAGCGTCTTATCTCTGATGGCATTGTAGCATCGATTCCAGTGATACTGTTGTTGACACTTATACCAGTCTTACAGCCGCCCTCACTGTCTCCTCCCCCTGCTATGCACTGTGTAATGATTGCAACCCTTCTGTACATACCTGCTGGGATATTGTTTTCGTATCTCATGTCCTTTATGTGCAATTCAAGGGATTTCTCCAAGCAAGTTTTGCCAAGTGTGTTCGACGTTGTAAGTATGATGATAATTAATGGTCATTCATTGTAAAGCCCCATTCAAATATGGCCATGAAAGTTAATGATAGTTGATGATGGTTTCAACATTTGTTCACTATCATTGTCTGTCATGTTTGTATTTCAAATGGTTCATTGTTAAAGTTGATAATGGTTAAAAAATCATGTAATGAGATTGCACAATTGTAAATAAGTATAGCATGCACTAAGGTCAGCAATTTTGGCAGCATTTGAAATTTTAGTCAAGAAGTAGCAAGTTGAAGATACTAAAGCCTATCAGGAGATGAATAGAATGAGTAGCAAGATATTCTGCAAAATTTTGATGGCACTTTAGTCATTTTACCATTTGCCATTTTGGTTTGAGCTGGCTTAATTTTGGCAAAACTATGGACCAAAAAGCTATCGTTCACTATCATCTGCTGGTTCAAACAGCTAAAACTATCATCAGTTATCATGTTGAATTTGAAAATGTCCAAACTAAATAATAGTTGATGATAGCTGATGATAGTGCATGATAGTTGAAACTATCATCAACTATCAGGACTGTTTCATCTGGGCTTATAAGGATGGCTTTGCAAGCAGGCACCATGGAGCAAATCATGTGTTCAGGTTATCTACACAAGCTTATTTTGGCAATGGGGGTATGTGCTCCCTTGCTTGCTGTCTTGTTGGTTCAGGTTGTAGAGTGCCCAACTGCCACGCTGGAGGTTGAAGGTTCAAGCCTCAGGTTTCAGAGTAGGCTTCTTACCTCGATCCTGACTTCCAATGTTGTGGTCTGGCTTTGATTCTGAAATCAGGGGTTTCTGCAAAAATATTCTTCACACATTATTGTTGACCAGCTCAATGCAGTTTGGCCAAAGTACCCTGCAAAATATGGCTATAGAAATCCCTCATTACTCTTAACCCTTTAACCCCCAAGATCTGATTGTTAATTCTTCCCTCAAGCTGCTATACATTTCCTTGTAAATAAGTCAAAAGAATTTGGTGTTAGATCAAGACTACTAGCACCTACCTGATAAGTTTGAGTATTCTCATTAAATGTTGGCTGGATAATGTGTGGATGTTATAGGGAGAAGTTACATGTTAATCACTTATGGAGTTAATGGGTTAAATATTATTATTCTTATTACCTACACCTTATGAAAGCAGTAGCAAAAAGAAGTCCAGGGGAGGCTTAGTTCTTTTCATGCATGTCTGTGAAATTGTTGCACTTTTTTAGTATGAAATACAAGTAGGTTAGTTTTGTCATATAAAAACATGGGTGTGACACATAAGAAAGTGCACGCCATATCAAGAGGCATCTATCCACTGAGTGTAATTGCCCCTCTGAATTTGGCAGTGGCTTTTTTGTTGTTGTTGTTCCATAGTAATGTTTCTTTTTATTTATTTAATTTTTTCTTTAGACCGGAATAATTCCATACTTTACTGTATCTTTGGTGGATATGCGTGTAAGCCGAGATACTGCCATTGTTCTTCATTACGTGTTTGTATTCCTGTTGCCTCCATATCAAGTATTTGGAGCTTTGTATTACATTGACAGTGTGAGTATAAATACAAATCTTCCTCAAATGTACTAAGAGATTTTCAGCCACAATTTTATCTGATCTCTGGTAAGCTTGATGAAATTTTGGGTATGAAGTTCAGTTCTTTACCTCTATTCTCTCAGTGGATGATGCAAAGGCCTTATTATTGGTCATTGCACTGGATTCCTGCTCAACAGGTCTGGGTTTGAGACCTGAATGGGTCATTGTGTTGTGTTCTTATAAAAAACACTCTAGTTAGTCACTAACTTTCACAGGGCCTCTCCACCCAGGAGTACAAATGGGAACCAGCAAATTGTCTGGGAAGCGTGATGAAATGCTGGCGGGTAACCTAGTGATGGACTGGCATCTCATCTAGAGGGGAGTAGTAATACTCCTAGTTGTTTCATGATAAGGAAACCCAGATAAGCTTGGGCTGCATGGGCTACTTGGCTCACTTGCTAACTTTTCACTCTCTCTGTTATATGCTACCTTTGAAGTAAAGACTTACTTGGTAAAGGGCTTCCTTTATATGTCTCACTATGTTTTACAGGTGTACAGGTATGAGTCCATTATAGCAGCATTTAGAGCTGGTGGTCAATCTGTTGATGTAGAAGTCACTGCAAGCAACTACTTCAAGTGGACCAAATACAATGGCTTCCCAGCCGCATTGATTGCTGTATGTTCTTGCTCAATTCATTCATTACTCAGCCATGTTATTCAAGACATGCACTCTGAGAATCATAATTACCAGACATGCTTTAGAAGGGGCCTAAGTACTGTGCTGTGGCCATTGCTCAACTGCATTACCACTACAGCATTGTGCTTTATGTTGAATACTAAAAAGATGCCTTGAGGAGGGATGGGTGTGGTCATATTTATTTCCTGGGCATTCAGATCAGTTGCTGATTTGTGAGGAGGGAGGGGGGGTTGAGGGAATTGTTTAAAAATCATAGAAAATCAAAATATGACTCAATGTCTTTCTTCTGATTTCCAGCCCAGCTGTAATGAATACTTCATAATTTATACAGAATGCATTTTATTACCATCTTAAAAATGGAAACTGAGACTAGCGCTAAGGTGGTACATGTTAAGTACGATTTTAACTGAAACACAACTCAGCCTAAATGTTTACCTAAATGTTGATAATACTTAATTTATTTACAATAAGAAAATTTCCACAGCTGCATTTTTTATTTCCCTCCCCTTTTTTTTTTTGGCCAGGCAGGCCTCTCATTTTCAATTTGGAGCTTTTGGCTGAGGGACTCAAAGTTCTACATAGGGGTCAGGTGAAAGAAAGAGGGATGGCTTAACATTTGAATTTCAGTTACATGCATTTGACATGAAGTTTTGATCATTACGTCTTGCATTGTAATAACTGATGTCTCTTCTATTTTGTCATTTCTCAGCCTGTTTTTCATACCATTCTGTTTTCTGTGCTGATCTATTTCTTGGACCAACATAAAACTGGTGGTGCTGTGAGTTGCAAGTGTTCCAAAAGGTAATAAAGTGTAGCAATTAATATGATAGTTGTTGGCTGTAAAAATGTGTACTTTTGGTAAGAGGTAATATACTCCTTGACAAAAGAGCCCAGCTTGGAGCAAAACTCAGAATTCAATTATTGGATACCTCTAGGTTCATTAAGAATGCATTTTATTGACCTTTGCCAAGTTGATGCTCTCTTGCCCCCCCCCCCCTCCCTTTCCTTTTCTTGTTTGTTGTGGAGTGCTTTAGTCAGAGTTCTGCTTGCCTCTTTAGCATGAATGACAAGAACAACGCGCATGTAGACAGAAGTTTCAGTTACATGCGACTGGAAAGTGAGGAATCAATGGATCCAACCGATGAGGATGTTAGGAGGGAAAAAGAAAAAGTCTCAAACATGGTTTCCATAGAAGACTCCACCTTTTCTGCAATAGTAAAGGTGAGAAAGAGGAAGTTTTCTTTGGAAATGGTAGTGTACCTTATACTCTGATCTTTTCAAAAAGTCCATCCTTTTAAATTTGACCATAAGAGCAAAACAACCAGTCAGAGTTATCCTGCTTTAACCATAAAGCTGCATTTAGACTGGCGAGGTTTTTATACAGCCTTTTTGGCAATTTTACCCTGTAACTCCCAGGGTAAATAACAATGATGCAACTTCTCCATAAAGTATCCGGCCAACAGGTAATGAGAATTTTCACACTTATCAAGTAGAACTTGTTATCTTGATCTAACACCAAATTCTCATAACTAGTTTACAAGGAAATGCACATGTTACAGCTAAAGAGGAGAATTAACAATCAGATTGTGGAGTGAAAATGTTAACTGATTATAATATTTTGTTAATGTTTTTGGATTAATGTAAGACTCAAGACACTCAGTCAGTTTTGATCTATTATAAAAGTCAGCCGAGAGGTTCTTTTTGAGGCTTCCCCTTATCAGAACAATTACACTACAGAACTAAGAATTGATAGACTTATACTCATTATTATTGATAGTATAATTACTTTTACTGAAAAAGTTAAACCTTTTGGTATTATTTATGTTTGCTTAGGGACTATGGAAGAGATTTGGCTCAGGAAAGAAGGCTAAAACAGTTGTCAAAGATCTGTACTTTGGTGTTGAGCAAGGAGAAGTTTTTGGACTTCTTGGTCCAAATGGAGCTGGCAAGACAACCTCCCTTAACATGGTCACAGCAGACATTCCACCAACAAGAGGAAAGGTAATGTAAGCTACTTGATCTGTGATGTTCTGATGCAAATCTTAAAAGCAAATGTGGTTTGTTTGTTTTTACTTTGACCTTTTTTTGGCTCTTTGTTCCAACCCTCTTGACTAACTGCTTTGATTACTTTTGCTCTGGTTTTACAACACATTGTAATCCCTGTAAGTGTTTGTAAAGTTTGCTTTCAAATCAGCCCCTTCATATTAAACACTCAGATCCTGTTTTGTCCTTCTTTGTCCCAGGTCTATGTAGCAGGTTATGATGTCAGAAAACAGTCCCATGAGGCATTTCAACACATGGGATTTTGCCCACAGGAAGATGTACTCTGGCCAAAAATAACATTGCAAGAGCACCTTGAGGCTTTTGCCAGGATGCGTGGCAAGCCAAGGGGGGAGGTCAAACGGGTAGTTAAGCAGTGAGTTCATCTTTCTGAGAGACTAAAAGCTCAGGAAAACCTTCATGCCTTATAAGAGTACAACATTTCCCTTCCCTAAGCTATTGGCAAATTTAAGTTAGCCCCCTTTCTTTGAATCAGGGCCAGAAGAGCAAGAATAAATTGTTTGCATCAGTAGGAGTGCTTTCTCATGAATGGGTATCCAGTTACTTCGCCACCAAGCAGACTCGCCACCAGTGAACTCGCCACTAAGGAACGATCTCGCCACCAACGTACTCGCCACCAAGCGAAGTCTTCTCGCCACCAACCACCAATAAAGAGATTAGTCGAGGAGAGTAGGATGTTCGGCTGATAAGTTTGTTTGCTTGTCTGTACTCAAACTTTATAAACGTATGTTGTCGAAAGCACGTTCGAAACCGATAAGTTTGTTTGCTTGTCTGTACTCAAACTTTATAAATGTATGTTGTCGATAGCACGTTCGAAACCGAAGTAAGTTTTTATTCCTTGCATCGAGTTTTGCAATTTCTCCTCGCTTACGTGCAAAAGACAAACGTGATACGTTTTGATGTCAATGAGTTAGGAACGGAACACATCTAACACGTCGCTGAAGGTCATAATTTAAATACAGACAAGCGCACAAACGTATCGGCCGATTTGAATTGTGCTCGTTCGAACATCCTACTCTCCTCGACTACTTTATTCTAGTTTATCTCTTTATTGGTGGTTGGTGGCGAGAAGACTTTGCTTGGTGGCGAGTACGTTGGTGGCGAGATCGTTCCTTGGTGGCGAGTTCGCTGGTGGCGAGTCTCCCTGGTGGCAAGGTAACTGGTAACCCATGAATGACTGTGGCTTATTGTGTCTATCTCATGCCCAGTACCTGGCATGTCTGCTTTTAGCCATTTTGCAATTGAGTAACAGTTGTTGTATTGTTTAGAAAGAACCAAAACCAGAGCTAGATTTTTTTGCTATTTGTGCATTCTTGCAGTAAGCATGGTTTTAAATCTATCTGATAACTGAACTGGCCTCAGGCAAACAGGAAATTGAATGGGGGAAGGATGGTGGATAAAAATATTTGAGTCTAAAATTAAAAGTTTGTCAGGCTTATTCATTCCTTAGCTAATTCAGGTTCTTTTCCTCTAATGACCTAATAAATATTTCCATCTATTTTAGCTATTTGTCTGCTTTAGGGATTACTGAACATGCTAAGAAGAGAACTCAATATCTTTCAGGAGCAACAAAACGAAAGGTCATTGTTTTTTATAAATGTATGTTAGACTAATTTTTGTTCAGGTATATCCTTAATTAAGTGATAGTTTTTAGTTATTCTAATTTCTGGTAATATAATGTACTGTTGCTCAAAGGAGAAAATGTGTTTGGTACTTCTTGTTGTTATAATGCTGGTTCTGCAAGTGAGAAAGATGAAGCAAATCCCTTCTTCTCTGCTCAATGGATATCAAGAAACAAAGATCGCAGCATTTTTATAGAATGGTAGTAAATTTATACTAATTCTCTCTATCCCTTTTTCTCAAAGGCCAGTTTTGCCATGGCAATGCTGGGGGATCCACAGCTGTTGCTGCTTGATGAGCCTTCCAAAGGCGTGGACCCTTCTGCCAGACGTTGCTTATGGTGAGAAGTTGACTGAACTGTACTAGATCCTTCATGTTTAATCCTTTAACCCCTAAGAGTGACCAGCATCTAATTTCTCCTGAAAATATCACCCCTGAGTCAAACATTAGAGTCACGAGCAAAAAGAAAATGATCAACTAAATAAGTTCTGGAATGGTATACAAATTCTCCTTGTCAACACCTTAAGAAATATGTAGAGAAAAGTATGGAGAATATGCCTACTGATGTCAGTGGGTAAAGGGTTAATCCTTTACAACCTAACATCAATATGGATATTCTCCATATAGTACATTTCTTAATGTACTGACAAGAAAAATTTGTTTAAAAATTATATCAAGAGCTTCTTTAGCTGGTAATCATGTCTTTTCTTCTTGTGACCTTAACATGTGATTCAGGGGTGGTGTTGAAAGGAAAAATTTAGATAGAAGTCATTCTTAGAGGTCAGAGGGTTGATTGCATGTGTTTAGTTTCTTAAGACAAACCATTTGCTGCACCTGCTTTAGCTTCTGATGTTTTGTGATGTACAACTTTCTGGCAACAACTAGTTTTAGCCCTCAATTCTCACAAAAAATTGTTATATCTAAGTCCAAGTGTTAGTGTCTTTCACTGCTTTGGACGTTTCTGTGAGGCCATATCACCATTGCTAAATACACTCACATAAATGTACAAAGTTATGCAGATGTTTGCTGCATCAAAGTTACTGCTTGTTTTCCTGTCCCATTATCAGGAACACCATCAGCAGGAATGTCCATGGAAAGAGAGGAGCTGTTCTAACAACACATTCCATGGAGGAGGCTGATGCTTTGTGTTCACGAGTTGGAATCATGGTGAAAGGCCAACTCAAGTAAGTTATATTTCAAACAAATGCCTTTTCTTTTATAAGGAAGAGTTGTTGTCCCCTTAACCTTTTTCTTGAATAATAGGTCATTTACAGTTGTGTGCATTATAGTTGCTAAGCCTTTGATCTGGAGTGAGGCTGAAAGTAACCTTATTATGATTGAGACCAGTATCTAGTTAGCATAATAACAAAGTAATTTACATTTGAAATGCAGCAAGGTTTGTATCATAACAAGGTCAACCTTAGCCTCACTCCTGCTCAAAGGCTTAGGAACCAAACATGCAACTGTAGAATAGACAATATCTCAACTTCTTGTGTTTTCAGGTGTCTTGGTTCAACACAACATTTAAAGAGTACTTATGGCAGTGGTTACACCTTGGAATTAAAACTGAAGAAAACCCACACCTCAGGTCCATGCCCAGAAGGTTCAATGGAGCAGTTACACAACTATGTCATTGAGCTGCTTCCAGGTGCAACCCAGTCTGAAGTGTTTGGTGGAAGAGTGATATACAAGGTCCCAAAGGAAGGTGTTGGGGCACTATCAGTCATCTTTACTAAACTTGAAAAAGGTACGGTGTCTATCTTTTAGGATTGATTGGGCCTGATAGCATTCATTAACTTTGTGAAATGGAAGTTGGGTGCCTGGAGTATCAAGAGCCTTCCACTGTGGCAAGAGAGCCCCAGATAAAATATGGCTGCAAAAATTCCCTCAACCTAGCAATAAGTGGCTTTTCCAAGACCTTGCCAATATTAATTGTATCTGAGTGGAGGAACAATCAAGGAAGGGGCAGATTGAGGTGGGGGGACATTTGGAAACAACCATTAAAAATGTGCTTACAACTGCGAAGGACCAAATGCTATGAAACTGCTTAACCTGTAGAGACTAACATCTAATTTCTCCTTACAATTTTACCTCTGAATCTTGCACAAAGGTCACAAGAAAACAGAAATATCAACAACTAAAGGATTTCTTGATTGGTTTAAAAATTATCTTTGTCAGTACCTTACAAAATGAGTAGAGAACAGTATGGAGAATATGTGTACTGGTGTTCAGTTCTAAAGGGCTGAGAACTCAAACAGGCCAGCTGTGACAGAGTTGCAACATTCCTTTTGAGCCTGCACCAAAACCATTGACTGACTACAGTTCATTTTGTTCAGTAAAATGAACAGTGTTGAACAAAAACCCAGAATCAAATTGGACAGGATTAGTCAATCTGCTTTTTCTTAACATTTTAAGCTGTGCTACAGAAGGGGTTCCAGTCATGTAGCTCTTGGTAGATAGGTTGAACCTCATGATTATGCCACTATAGCTGTGACTTAATGTGTTTGTTCTAAAGCACTTGACAGGGTTAAGGAGAATTAAAAACAATCTCTCTTATTTCCATCTACAAACATTACACTATCGATATTGCTGATCCTAGCAGTATGCAGGATGCATGTTGTAGGAACTTCGTAATAGACCTCGCTCACTGTGGAGTCTCTATGGCTCAGTGGTAGAGCATTGGTGTGCGGAGTCTGAAGGTCTGAGGTTCGATTCCTCATGGGGACTCTGAATTTTTCTGTGTCCCACACTCATGACAAGACGAAAAATATCTTTCTCAACATTATAGCAGTGTTTTAAGTGCAATTTGATGGAATATTGATTCACTAAATTCAGCTGTGTTTATTTTTTTAGCTAAGGAAGAAATTGGGATAGAGGAGTACAGTTTCAGTCAGTCTACACTGGAACAGGTATAAAATGTTTTTTACTCTTTTATGGTCAGCAAATTGCAGCAAATTTTTGTGGAGAGTTGAATACAACCAGGGATTGGTTTTATTTTCCTTTACTCTGCCCTCAGCCTCTATGCATGGTGTGGGAAACTTGCAGTACCTTCTCAACCAATCAGTTGCAATCAATCAGTTGTGCTAATAGTGCCAGACCCCCAGCTAACCTCTCCCCAACTTATCTCAAATCTTCCTGTGGGCAGAGAACCCTGAACAAGGGCCTATTTGTAGGCCAACCACAACTGTACTGACAGACCTTTACAAGCTGCGCTGTAAATCTCAGTGAAATCAGTATTTTACTCATTTATTTTGATTTCTATTTGCTTTAATTTGAAACAATGGTATCACCACTTGCCTCTGAAATTCATTCAAAATAAAAACAATGCATCACTTTTCAACCCTACTTCATATTGTATTATATGACACTTGTTTCAAGAGGCCATTTTACAGTTGTGTACTTAGTTGCCAAGCCTTTTATTTGGAGTGAGGCTGAAGGTGACCTTGATGTGATAGAGACCAGTATCCAGTTAGCATGATAACAAAGTAATTACCATTTGAAAAGCAGCAAGCTTTGTATCATAACAAGATTACCCTTAGCCTCACTCCTGTTCAAAGGCTTGGCAACCAAGCACACAATTGTGAAATGGTCTATTTATAACTGACCAATCAAACTGCTCACTTTTAACTACAATGATATCCTCAGGTTTTTCTGGAGTTCACAAAAGAACAAGATGATGACAGGACTGGAGCTGAACATAACAGAGAAGAGAATGTACAAAATGGTGGATCCCACCCAGCAGTGTAACCTGAGTGTCATGCATAGGACCTGGGTCACAAGTAGAGCCTTTTACAGAGCTTCCCTTGGTATTCCAAGTTTGCAGTTTTTAATTCAAGTATATCTTTTCAATGGTATTGTTATAAACTCAACACTCATTTTTCCAATTAAAGACATTAATTGACTAATGGAAACCAAAATAAAAGAGACCTAAACTTAATTACACTTGTCAAAAAGTATATTTTATAATAATAATCCAAAAAATTAATTTAAAATCAATGATGTCCCATACAAACAAATAATAACTTAAAATCAAATAATTTCCAATGTGACAATTTGTGAAATGACCCTAATGCACCAATTAATTCAAAGCCTCAACATAAATTGCTTAGTATATACAACAAAATGGTATACTCATGACGTGAAAGGATAATTTCATTGCATTCTGCTTTGCATTCTGTCATTTTATAAGTCTTGGTATTGGACAAGAAGTAAAAGAATACCCACAGCTCTTGTTGGAGGGGGGATCAGAGCTCCCTGCACTGCCCCCCTGGATCTGCCATTGATTACTAAAGGAAATTTAAATGTAATCCCATCAGTAGGTAACAATTACACATGTTAAAACAGGATTCTTTTATAGTTGTACTTGTGTGCTATCTTATTTCAAAAAAAACAATCAAGTAATATTTGAATAAAATCTTTTTATCCACATTTATAAAGACAGACCTGTATGATTGTGTCTAAATAAATCATATTACTGCTGACAAGACAGAGTTCTAAGGTGGTTTTTATTATTTTTTCATATTTTTGAGCAGGTCAGAATTCCCTCCTTTCCCTCTTTGTGGGCCAGTTAAATTACTTTTCCTAATTTCTCGTTGAACACACAATTACTTACAAAAGTTGAGGCAAAGTTTGAATACAACATTTCACTACACATGTGTAATATTTTTCAAATAATTTTGTCTGTCTTATTTAAAGTTCAAGAGAGGTACTCTATCACTTCATTTCTAAGAATGGTTGCCTTGTACAGACATGCAAATAAGAAGTTTTTCCACAGTTGAACCAAATTATTGTAAATACCAATCTAGGCAACATTCAGTCTGTGGTGAGGAGTGAGAGGTCAAATTCTAAGGATGTTTTAAAAAAAATGAGTTGCTTATTTCAAAAACAAGTTCTACAACAACTTGGACAGAGATCTTCCACATCAAGCCAAGTTAGACTCATCAAACACAACTATGATGTAATTCCAACTTCATATTGATTAATACCAACCCTGCATGCAAGTGTACCCACGAGCACCTTCACTTATCTTTTTTGCTTGGACGTGGGGCATTGTTTTGAAGTTCAGTGTCCTCAGTAATTCTCAGACGGAATGTTCTGTTGTCAGTTTGTATGCCTTGCACAATATTACACCTCAGGACCTTCTCTGCACCCTCTGCCATTTGAATAAGTTCAGCAATTTTTGCTGGATCTGTCTCATTTTTGTGCTTTAGAAATTCAGTTCTTATCCTCTGTTTTCCAGCCTCTAAAGCAAAACTGTCATCTCTGAAAACTTTAAGCCGCGTCCTGTGAAGTGACCGGTAGCAAGACAACACCTGGTGTAATGGTGCCAAGAAAAACATTATACTGGTGAGAGGCATTGCAATGACAATTTGCGGCATGATTTCCCAATCCAGGAGATCCCTTGATCCAATCCATATCTATGATGTTACTTTGATCCTTTGACCCATTAGAGTCAGTAACATCTAATTGTTTTTTCTCTTGACAATATCACCCTTAAATCAAACACTAAGGTCGTGAGAGTAAAGGAAATGATCACCAACTAAAGAAGCTCTCGATTGTTAAACATATTCTCCTTGTCAGCACCTTGGGAACTGTATAGAGAATAGTATGGAAAGCATGCATAATGATGTTAGGGTGTAAGGGGTTAAGAAGGGAATCTGAAGTTCAGGAAACGGTGCAAGTCTGCGTTGTTCTGGTTCAGTACAGGGTAAGGGTTACTACTGGGTTTCAATTGCACACCTTCTGGAGATTCCAATATTCTACCATCCTCTCCCCCACCCCCTCACTCCTTGTAAAAAAAATTGTCTGCAAACGATGTGGTTGCAATTCTTTGTCCCATTTTTAGTTCACTTGTCACCATCAAGTTAGAAACGTTCTTTTTGAATTTAAACAAGAAACATCCTTATCTTTCAAAACCAGAAAAAAAGACAGTTCTATTGCTCATTGGATCAAAACTGTCTTAACTATGCCAAATTTGGATTACTGTTCCTACCTTTGATCTTAAACTGCTCATGAGGTTTTCTCAAGTTTTCTCTTTTCGAGTTTTCTCAGAATTTCCTTCCCTCGACCTCACAACATGTTCAAATCGGCCATTTGAAAAAAAAATTGCGAAAGAGGTCTGGTACGAGATTTAGTCCCAGTCCTTTCCCGGATGGAATCAAGATGGCGGCGGCAGCAAATTCACATGCAAGCAGGCGAAATGCAAGGAAGCAAATTTCTCAGCCGGTTGGTCCTCAGAGATCTGAAAATTTTCCCGGAAAGACATACAACATTTGGTATAATAAGAATGTTGGAGAAAGAGGTCATTTTCGCGAGAAGATTCCAGCTACCACTAGATGCAGTATCACAGAGGACAGTGGAACCACAAAAGGCAGTTCAAGACAGTGGGATGGGACATATATTTGCTTGAAATTTTCGAGAGGATGTTGTCCGTTAGGATATGAGTGTTCCTGGATCCATAATTTACCGTCGGATGAATTTGAATCAACTTTGGACACCACAAAAGACTGCTTCGGTAGAGAAAGACACGAACATGTACGAGACGACCAGAGTGGTGTTGGTTCGTTTTCTGCGGATGAACAAACTGCTAAGACCCTTTATGTCGGTGGAATATCGGTAACTTCCGACCTCCAATCGATTGTTTATAGACACTTCAAAGAGTGGGGAGAGATCGATAACGTTAGGGTGTTACAGTCAAAAGGTGTCGCGTTTGTTCGCTACAAAAACCGCTCCAACGCCGAATTTGCCAAAGAGGCCATGCAAAGTCAAGCTCTCGATAATAAAGAGATTTTGAATATACGGTGGGCCACAGAAGACCCAAACCCGTGGGTTAAGAAGCGTAAAATAGAGAACAGCAAAGAGAGACTTGCTTCTGCGATATTGCAAGACTATGATGGACCGCTCAGACTTCCACATCATGATAATGTTAAGGATAACTCTTTCCCACAGAAACGCCGTAACATTGATCATGACCTTAAAAGAGTGGAGAGGCAATTGGTTACTATCCAGATACAGATTATCAGTACTATGAGCCAAACACTGGCACAGATATGAAGTATGATGTACATGCAGCTCAGTTGACTGAGACTAATCAAGGATCAGGATACAATACAGTGAGTAAATCACCACCAAAGACACTTTCAGATCTTATTCAGTGGTCAAAACAGCAGGTGTCACTTAACAGAGCAAATGAACTGTCACATTCAAAACATCCAGGGAATGAGACAATTATGGAAAAGAAGGATGAACTAGGAAGCATCTCACTTATTTCTGCATACGATTCTTCTTCAGATGATGACATTGAAGGAACAGTTAAAAATTTGAAAAAAAAAAGTTACTGTTATATTCTACACAATAAAAATTCCCTATTAAGGTCAACTACCAAAGTTCTTGTCCTTTGATTTTTAAAAGTGCTACTTAAAAATGAAAAATTGGACCTGTCAATCCTTTAACCCCTAAGAGTGACTGACATCTAGTTCTCCTTACAATGTCACCCTGAATCAAACATTAAGATCGTGTGGATGAAGAAACTGATCACCAACTAGAGAAGTAAACAAATTCTCCTTTCCATCCGGCCCCACAAAATGAAGAGAGAACAGTATGGAGTAAGTGCTTTCATGATCCAATGATCACTTACTTGAGGTCAGTACCATCACCATTCCCAACATAATTTTGATGAGTCTTTTAAGTTCTGAAATTTTTCCTGAATGTGCATGTCAGTAGAACTTGAATTGAGGGAGCTGTTTCTTGCCACAGCCAGGAGCCTGTTAATAGGCTCCTTTCGAAGTGCAGTACAGCCTTTGCTAAATCTGCCAGCTGAGGCCTGGGTGGGCCTTTGCACAATCAAACTGCTTTTTTTTTTTCTTTTAATGCTATGTTATTTGAAGGAATATTTGAGCTAAAATCGTGAACCATTCCATACGAAGTATTGGAATATAATCTGAGAAGTATCAGTTACGGACAGAAATCGGGGACATTCAATAAAGGCTTACACAACGGAACAGTCAAACTATCTTGATAGACCAGAATTCTATTCGCACCGTGTTCCAACATGGTGGACGAATGAAACCGAAAGACGCTTTAAAGGCGCTTTCAATTTACTCTAAATAACAGTCCAACATGAAACGTCGTTCGGATGTATCTGAGGCTGCAGCATCAAAGAAAACTCGAAAAGATAGCTCTGTAACACAGAAAAGCTTTGCAGTCCAACCTGTGGAAGCTTTTCGAGGAAGACTTCCTTTTTATCGACAACCAATCGAAGTGGGGCATTTCTCTTTAGACGATCATAGAAGGTTTCACGATGATAAGAGACAATTGAAGTATTTTAGTCCTCCGCGTGATATAAACTTCGACCTCAGGGCTGGGTATGAAGACTTTGTGAAACGGAACGAAGATGTAAAAGAAGGGTTGGAAAACTTGTTGCAGTGGGTACAATGTCACCACGAGAAGTTTGAAATCGTTCAAAGTCCCACGAGCGAGACTCCTCCAGAAGGTAAAACTCAACTCTCCAGGTGAGATTATTTATATTTTAACAAACAAGTGTCTTCCTAGGAAATCTGCAGAGAAGACGTTTTTCTTTCCCATCTGAACCTCCAAGTAGGCTAAGATTCCTACACAGCCTTGTGCTATTGTAAACCGAATAGGTATTCCTAGAGGTAACCTATTGTTTTCGCCATCTGTCTAAGAACTTTATGTGTAATGAAATTTGGAGATATGCGGAAATCGCACCACTCCAAGTAGCCAGGTACGACAGTTTTTTTTTTTTTTTTTTTTTTTTTGCAAGGGGTCTACTCTTTTTCCATAAGAGGATTTTATTTTCTTACTGGTGCCAAAAGAAAACTGACCTTTAGGATTCCTCAGGGGGGTGGGTGTAGATAAAAAGCTGAGTATTTAATGTCACCAAGAAGCCAAACTTTACTACTGACTTGGCTTTGGGTGTTAATTTACCAAATATTGTAATTACAAAGAATTTATCAAAAGCAAATTGACCTAGCTTGCTTCATTAACCCTCAAATTATATAATAAATTATCATAGTGTAAGGCAATTTTTTTCTGATCACTGGATGATTTGTGAATCAAATTTCTTTTGGAACACAACAATTTTGCATTTTCAGACCTCAGACTTTCATTCAAGGAACTTGTTTTGGTCGTGATTCAAAATATATTTTTTCCAGTGAAAAGTTTGGTATCTAGGGCATCAGATCAAAACACATCTTCCTATTTTTTCAGCTTACACACAGATTTCATAACATGGAGGGGGCTCTTGACAAAGATAATGTGCACACCCTATGAAACAAGAGAATCTTGGCAAATGGCAGCTGTGCTACACAATGGAACAATCTACATTATGGAGATAGAAACTGAGGAAAACAGGGACAAGCGGGAGAACATGGAAGAAAGACACAAAGAGATGTGCTACTGGGGTCATAACTTTGAAAGCTATGTTACATCCCTGGTAGACAAAAGTCATCATAATAAAAATGAGGAAAAAGCCAAGGAAAGCCATGCTATTAATGATAGTGAGGAATTTGTCACTGTAATCAGGGCTAGGCTTAATAAACACTCATTGGTTTTTGGTGCTGAAGTGGACTGCTGCACCAAGGTATATTTTGTTTTAGTGCAGGGTTTTTGTGAAAATGTTAGTACTAAATGCATGATCTGAACTCAGTGTGCTTTCTCAGTAAGCATGTTTGTAACACACCCTCCTGGAGGGGTTGGGGAGGCTTACTCTGCTGGAAAAAATTGAAACCCTCTAAAACATGAATTGCAGCATTCTGGGGCATATTTGAGTACTGGTAATTCTGTTTAGCCAGACTTTTATGTTGAAATCAGTTCAAAAATACTTATTTTCTGTCTTTGCTCACAATTCACCAAGTAGCTCAGGGACCAAATGGTCTGACAGCCAGCAGGTTTCCACTGCCTGCCTACTGGATTCTAATAACAACCCTGTCGATGATATCTTAGTTGTGTAACATACAACCAAGTAAAGAAATAGAGAAAGATGTTTTTACTGTCTTTTTACAAGCATGGGACGAAGAAAAAAATCTGAGTACCCATGAGGAGCCGAACCTCAGACTTTCAGATTCTGTAAAGAAATGATCTTTGCATGTAAGCTCCAATTTGAAAAATTACAGATAGGAAGCCTGAAAAAAAATTAAGGTTTTGACAGAAAGGGAATCTGTGCCTCCCAGATACCAGTTGGGTGCCATTACTAACTTAACTATGAAGCCACATGTTGGGAGGGAGGCAAATTTTAGTGGGTTCTTCATTCTTGCAAAGGAATCTGATCAACCCTTTACACCCTAACATAGCTATTCATATTCTCCATACTTTTCTCTACACATTTCCCAAGGTGCTGACAAGGAGAATTTGTTTAACAATCGAGAGCTTCTTTAGTTGGTGATCATTTCCTTTATTCCTCGGGGATGATATTGTAAGGAGAAATTAGCTACTTATCATTCTTAGGGGTTAAAGGGTTAATAATTACATCACAGCTTAAAATTTAAATTCCATGTTTTCTTGTAGGATAATGAAGAAGCCCCAGCAAATTATATTGAATTGAAAACCTCCTTGAAACCTCACAACCACCACCACCACTACACCTTCAAACGCTTCAAACTGCTCAAGTGGTGGGCGCAGTCTTATTTGGCTGGTGTGCCAAAAATCATTTGTGGCTACAGGGATCACAGTGGCCATGTGAAAGAATTGCAAACATACAACACTCTGGCCATACCTAGACTTGCACGAGACGAGGAGGATCTCTGGGATTCTTCCATTTGTTTGAACTTTCTGGACAGATTTCTTGACTGGGTGAAGACAGTGGTTATAAAAAAGTGGACCAAGGGTGATGTACATGTTCTCCTGGAGAGAGCCATTTGAAGACGTGACAGTTACAGAGAAGTCTGATGAACTGCACTGTGTCCTCCCAGACTGGTATTTGAAAACTTTCACAAATACTGCCTCTCCATAGCTACAGTTGAAATTTTCCCATTTTACTACAGAGCTTCTTTATTCTTCTTTTTAGGATCATTATCATGTGCAGCATACATTTTGTAGTCGCTGATACACTGGATAGAGATTTATTTGTTGGATAGCATTATCTGCCCTTTATGCAACTGGGCCCTAAATTTCAAAAGGGGGGGGGAAGGAGCCTTATCAAAAACTTGAACTTCAAAACAGGGGGGGGGCTTATGAGAAACCTGAATTTCAAAACAGGGGAGAGGTAGGCTTATTAAAAACCTGAATTTCTTAAAGGGAGAGAGGGCTTTTTACAAAAAGGGGGGGCATACAAGGTGTTTGTAGTTCACAAAGTTCAAATAGTTATCAATCACAAACAAAGGAGTGTACTCAGAACAAATGAAATTGTTTTTAACCATCCAGTTATTCTGTTTAGTTTTAAATAAGGTAATTATTATTTAAATATGAAAAAACTAGTCATTGTAACATAGTAAAGTTGAGTTAGATTATTTATATTCTTATCGTAGTTATATGGTATTGATCTTCTCAGTATTTTATATAGAGAATAACTGTTAACATTGCCAATTTGTTCCCTATCATTACCACAATAAAAGCTTTAGATGATAAATTTTATTCAGTGTTCATGTATATCCTCATATTTCTTTCCCAATTCTTTTCCTTCTTCTCTTTAGCCACCCTTTCCCTCCTACAAGTCTTTTTCATTGTTCCTCTGTTCTTTTCCTTCTCGGTGATTGATTTTCTCCTCTTCACAGAACTGTGATCATGTGGACCAAAGTGTGTCACTCTTGCTGGTTGACATCCCTTATTACCAAATCCTAATCGATCTCTCTTGAGAACTGTTTTCACTGGGTATTTTCTTCCAACACCAGCTGGGCCTAAACCTGTGATGAACAGAATTTTTAAAAAAATTGGGATCAATATCAGTATCTGGGCAACTGCCCACCTACCCCTCCCTAACCCAACAACAGTCTATTGATAACAAGTAAGGATTAGTGTCGGTAGGTAGGGTTAATGTTGGGTTAGGGGAGGGGTAGGTGGGAAGTTGCCCAGATACTGATATTGATCCAAAAATTGACTATAAGATTAAATCTTTTTGAGCTGTAACTATTGTTGCTTATCACTGATTTCTGTAGCATGAAGTGACTAGACCTGTGTCTATTTCTCGTGGACAGTTCTCCATGCTACAGCTCTTTTTGTTGTCAGAGAGTAAAGAAAATCTTCATAATTTTAATCCTTTGATCCCTGAGAATGATTAGCTTCTAATTTCTCCTGACAAGATCACCCTGGAATCAAGCATCAAGGGTCACAAGAACAAAGGAAATGATCACCAATCTTAAAATTTGTGTGCAGCAGTGAAGCTGCTACCATTGGCATGCAATAATATAAATTGTTCATCATTTTCCTTTAATAAGCAATTGTGAAAAATTTTGAATTTCCGGTGGTGGTGTGCCAAATGGCAACTTTCAAAAACGTCTTGCTTGGAGCAATGCTGCTTGTCAAGTTGCCACAGTAACAGTAACACAGGTATGTGTTCTAAGTTGTGTTTATGTTAGCATAATTTCCTTGATGAGTTTTGCCTTAAACAATTTTCCTGGCAGTTTAGAAGGGGAAATGACAGTACTTCCTGCCCTTAATTCAGTATGAAACTAGTACTGTGGATTTAAAGAAAACGTGAGAATTAAGTTTACCTCGATCTTCATTCCAGCCAGACTTTAGCATCAATTGATACCCTACATTGCCTTCTGGAATATAATAGAATGTTTTTTGAGGCTTGCGTTGTATATTGAACAAATGCACAGTTGAACCTTCATGTGTACCCTTCAGATCAGTAAACTCTTGTTCGCATACAGAGCACCAAAATTTGGTTTGTGCTGTGATAGCAGAATGCTCTTCATAAGAGGATTTTATGCGTTGGCATTTACGCTGACCACTGTAAGATCTGAGAAGTTCTGCTATGTCATGGTGTCCTGCGATTTTTGCAAGGTCGAAAGCTGTTCTTCCTTGTGAGTCTTCATAAGATCTCCACAAAGCTCCGCTCTCAAGTAAATATTTAACAATGCGAATCTGCCCATTGTGAGATGCACACATCAATCCTGTCCATGAAAATTGGTCACATACATTTATGTCTACGCTATCATTGGAGAGCAGTTCTTGGACTCGTCTTAAATTTCCCTCTTGAGAATTTTTTAAGAAATCGTTTACTAGTCTGTGATCAGAAGTAGAACGAAATTTAGTAGGTATGGATCTGGAGTGACCACTATTCTTTTTGGATTTCAAATCCTTTTCAGATGGTTTTGAGTAGGTTGATTTTGCCAATGACCCATTTCCCTTTTGCCTTGACTTATTCTTTTCCGTTTTGTTATCCTTTGTCGCTAAAACGCTTCCTACATCAGAATTGGATGAAGAAAGAACAACTTCATAAAACGTTCTCGCTTCCTCCCCAGACATACTTCCATGTTCGTGAATTGTTTTTCCTTGGAATAGGATGTGAATTCTTCAGTTTCTTTCGCTGAAACAAACCTCTGTAAAATATATGGCGAATTACTCATCATTTACGCTAATTTCTCTACACTACAAGGACGAAAAACGAAAGTTTTGTTACTCCTCAAACAAATAGCGTTTCCTTGTAAGCGTCCGCCATCTTATCTGACGTCACACGAACGTCAAACTACTGGTTCCCATGTCGCACTCAGGTCTCCAAACATCTTTGGGGTTTTGCGTGAGCAAGTTGATTGCATTCAAATGCTGTAACTTCGAACAAAGTTAGACAACTATAGGACATTTCACCAAAGCTGAAAGATAGAGGAACAGTCATACATACCGTAGATGGCCTTTGGGTGAAAATGCGCCGAAATCCAACCGAATCATTTAATATTCCAGAAGATTTATTCGACCATTTCGATTGACTGTAGTAGAACGTCATTGTTTACGCCGTGTCTTCGGCCGCGATTAGATCTTTCTTGGAGTGTATTCAAGGAAATATTTGCGCTAATAGTACGCCTAGATCATGGATAAATTTGTAATTGTTGGAGGATTTTTTATGTTTTGCGGCCGATGTCTTCGCCATAGCGTCATTGGCAACTCCTGAGTGGGTAGTGATGGAGTTTGCGGGTAAGTCGCAATACATTTGATTAAAACCTGAATTTATTGTAAAGCGGTGATTATGGGGTTGGAGATCTATTTGCAGAGAGATTTCGTTTAATTTACGTACAAAGTTACGACGTTAATTTCCGAATTGATACCTTTGCGAAAAAAGGAAAATCTGCCTAGTAACCGTATATTGAGGAAAGAAACCTTTGCAAGCTAAGTGGGTTGGTATGTATTGTGAGCGTAGAGAAGTACAACAGGAAACGTGTCGACAGCGTGTGAAACTAGATATAGTGTGTGGAAAGAGAAATCAACGGACAAAACAATTTAGAAAATACGTAGCTGTAGTTTTTATGCTCAAGACCTGGAGATTCTTTTCTCGCAAATAATTGTATGTGACCATTTGAATCAAATTCACTTCAACTGTCATGTTTAATATGAAGCTATTCTTGGGAGTTTACCATTAAAATGCCAATAGGATTAAAATTGCCTTGTACAGACAAGGCTGGCATAATTTGATACTGAATTGTAGAAAATTAATGTTTGTGTTAATTTAATTAAATATTTGAAATTAAAACAATGCAGATTGAAGGGAAAAAAAAACTGAAGTTTGAATATGAGAGACATTGAGGACCAGTCATTTACACAAGGTCTCACCTCAACCATGGTTTTACGCAATCAGTGGGCCTCAAGCTTTCTCTCTAAGAGGCGTTGATTTAATTAAATAAATGTCCTTCTGCTATTAGCTTTCAGCCAACTTACTATTCACTTATTTTAGATGAATAAATGTTCAGATAAAAGTTTCTGCTAAATTTAGGATTGTGTAGGATGCAGTTTTGTGAAACAATGGCTAAACTTTCTTCAAATGACCAACCCTTACTATGTTCTTTTTTAGCAATAGACTTTCTGTTGGTTTACTGGCCTAATTACCCATGTGGGATGTTGGGAGAATACTAGAAAACTTTGTTATCACAAGCCAAAGGCAGTCAATATATACAAAGTTTTGGAGTGTTTTCCCAACTTTCCAAGTGGTTATTATACTAGCCAAATTGATTGAAAGAAAACGCGGCACATTTTAATATTGTATATGTTTACCTGTGCAATTATGGCGCTTATTAATATATATTAGCATTTTTCTTTATCACTTTTAACCCTTTAACTCCCAAGATCTTATCGTTAATTCTCCCCTCTAGCTGCTACACATTTCCTTGTAAATTAGTTATGAGAATTTGGTGTTAGATCGAGGTAACAACTTCTAACCAAGACATTTGAGTATTCTCATTGCCTGTTTGCTGGGTAGTGCATGGATATTGTAGGGGGGGAAAGTTACTTGTTAATCACTTAATGGGAGGTAAAGGGTTAGGATCTTCCAACATAAAAATACTTAATGCAAACTCTTGTTTAAAAGAGTTGGTGTTTGCTTTGGTTCATCGCTGGGTTTCAAAAAAAAAAAAAAAGCAATATAGAATTGATTGTTCTATTTTCAGAATATGTTCTAAATCTTCAATCTTCTCTTTTGTTCCAATAAGGTTCTGTTAGACTGGGGTTGACTGTCATGTGTCAGAAATCAGAGGGGCAACCAGAGGTGTGTGTTACCCCTGATTTACCCCAAGAGTGGCTGGCTACTCTATTGTTTATGATTTTGGGTGTGGTAGCTCTGACACTCACTTGCTTTTTGCTACTGGTGTCTCCCTGGAAACCTTCCATTGTGGATGCAGCCAAGTGGATTGTTTTTCTTGGAAGTAAGTATTAAAGATTTGAAGATTGCAACATGAATTTCTGAACTTTGTTGGTACATGCCAGAAGTTGAAGAATAATCTTTGATTTGACAAGTTAAGTTTCATTTTGCTTGTATGTATGCCAAGGTACAAATGACTGGAAGAGTTTTTTTTTTTAAATTGGTTGATCTTTTTACCCCTGTGAACGTATTTTCTTCAAATGATTATAACAAACTTCTCCATTTGCTCTTGTTAATTTACCCTACTGCTACTCATCATTCATAGTAAAAGGTACCAGTCTGTTATAGTTTATTTGCCACTTGTGCAGTAGAAATATTACAGACTGTCATGATGTGTATTTACCCTTTACACTCTAACATCAGTATGTAAGTTCTCCATACTGTTCTCTTTACATTTCCTGTGCTTCTCATAAGGAGAATTTGTTTAACAATCAGGAGCTTCTTGAGCTTGCAATCATTTCCTCAATTCTCATGAACTTAATGTTTGATTCAAGGGTGATACTGTTGGGAGAAATTAGATGCATAATGTTAGAAAATTTTGCATTAACATGTTCCTTTTCATTTTGTAGTGATAGTGTTCTGTCTGGCAGCCCTCACATTCCCAATGGGATTTCAAATGCCAGAGATTGGTGGAAAACCATACAAGTTACCGCAAGGAACACACGTTGGACCTTCATTTTTTCTTTATATATTTTGTATAGTTTTCACAATTGCTTCTGAACTTTTTATATTCAAAGTTTGTCCACTCTTGCTTAGGTAATGAAGAAAAAATATTACATTTTGGGTGAGAAAAATGCCAACAAATTGCTCAACAATACACAATATTGGAGTAAAAGAGGCCATACATTTAAAGAGATTAAGGATAACTGCACATGTCTATCTGTTGTTATTCTGCACTTTTGCCTTTAAAAGTAATTTTTTTTTAAAATAAATTTACTTTAACAATTTAGATAAGACAGGCTTTCTTAATCCTTTAACTCCCAGGATCTGATTGTTAATTCTCTCCTCTAGCTGCTGCAATTTTCTTTGTAAATTATTTATATGAATTTGATGTAAGATCAAGATGACAATATCTACCTGCTAAGCTTGAGTATTCTCAGTATCTGTTTGCTGGATAATTTATGGACATTATTGAGAGAAGTTACTGGTACATGTTTATGACCTCCGGGAGTTAAAGGGTTCACTTATAAAACTCTTGAGTAGTGCTGATAAGTTTGAGTATTCTCATCACCTGTTTGCTGGATCGTGTATGGATATTATATGGAGAAGTTACATGTTAATCACCTCTGGGAGTTAAAGTGTGAAAACTTTTCAGTAGTGCTGAAGTATAAGGCCATCTCAGGAAAATGTCGGTGTTGTTTCTGATGAATTTTCAAAACAAAAGTTGAACCTTACAGGGCAACACAGATAGTCACCCAGTATGTCTGAACATGCAAAAAACATTCTTCAATTTTATTTTTAGAGTATTATTTATTTAATTTTGCCAAATTCACTGTCGACTTACTTTTACTTAACAGCTGGAAAGAAACACAGTAGCAACAAGTAAATGAACCTCATGCTCTGTTTAGTGATAGTAAATGAAACAAAAGTTTCACTATTACTAGTCCAAGAACATCTAGATGTACATTGAACTCAACTATGAATGTAAAGTTTTCACAGCTGGTACTGTCTTGAGAGGTTAGCATACATAGTTCTAATTTTAGATTTTCAGGGAAACTCCTATTAAGGAAGCAACCATGGAAACCTTGTTACGTTAAACTGTGTAATAGTAAGAGTGAGAATGTTTCAGTTTGGTTTGGCATCAACCATACTTATCAACAGCTCAATGTGTCTGCTGGATGTAGCCTTGTTTAGACAAAATGGCTAGTGTGTCCTTTTTATTACATCCATCTTGAAATCATTGCAATTCCTTGCAATCTGATTGGCTCTCATCAGATTTATTCACAAATAGCACCATTTTTTGCTCTTAATCAAATGACATCTTTTCCCCAGCCAATGAGAAAGCTTCACTAAAACTCAAGAACCAAACACATTTCAATGCTTTTTCAAGGTAACCACTCAAATTGCAGGAAAATGAAATACAACTTTAACAACATTTTACAAACCAATTCAGTACTGGATCAGTATCATTTGTAAGGAGAAAAAAGTTCTATATTTTAGCCACTGAATTTTCCTATCTCAAATTGGATGTAATAAAGAAGTAATTGAACTTTGTGTTGTGTAAGTTTGGTCTGAAATCGCACTTGTGATTTCAAATAAAACTTGTGCTGCTTGCTTGTTTGATATTGAATTTGCCCTCTACTCAGTTTAATTACCATTATATACAGGGTGTTTCCTTAATTTGAGGTTCCCTTTATACAAGTTTCATTGTGTTGTACATGCATGTGATCCTATGAAGGGAAGCTATTATTTACATTGAAAAGTATTTATCTTATGCATGGGCTTTTGAATCTAGGTATTGTAACTTTGTACATAGTGTTACTAATTTTAATGAGATTGTGTCACGTGCAAAACATTTTCTTACTTTTACAACACTTCAGTTCAAACTTTAGATGAAGTGCATCTGCAATGTGACATAACCTTGCAGGGAAGGGTTGTTTTCAGTTTAATTCTTCTACCTAAGAATTGAAAGTTTTCTGATAAAGTGAAATTGCATTAATGTCACCCATGCAGTTAATGTCACCCATTTATGGAAAAAAGTCAGTTTTCCTTTCAAGCCACATTTAAGCCAACCAAGAGGATATTGAAAGTTGGTGGGCAATCAGGTATATCAGCCTGTCCAAGTTATCTTTGTGTATATTTTTTCTTTATTTATAGGGAGACTTTTAACTGTAGATTTCAATTAAATTGTGTTTATAATAGAAAGTTGTGTGGCATTGTATACCTGGTTATACTTTCAAATGAAACACAGGCTAGTAAAAGCAAATATGGTAAAAATATTAGAACTGGTGGTAAACCAGAAATCTTGAGATGAGTTTAAAATAAAGCTGTCCCTAATTTTTTAAACAATCTCCCATACCTGTGTCCAAATGTGTGCTTTTTCCTGCTCTCAAAGAAACTTATTTTCTGCTATTCAATCTGCAATTGGTTTTTAACATATGGATAAGGCCAAGCATCCTGTTAACCTATCTTAAACACAAAATTTACAATTGTCTTAATACTCAAGATCTGATTGTCAATTCTCCTTTCTAGCTGCAACACATTTCCTGGTAAACTAGTAATGTGAATTTGGTGTGAGATCATGACAACAACTACCTGGCAAGTTTGAGTATTCTCATTACTTGTTTGCTGGATAATGTATGGAAAATATGGTGAGAAGTTGCAAGTCAATCACCTCAGGGAGTTTAAGGGTTAAAACTGCAAGTTGGCCCTCATTACTGGTGCTTGGGCACAAGTATTTATTTCATGATGTGGGAAAGTATGAGCCTTAAATAAGATGAGTCAGCAAGAGGTCTGCAAGGTGTCTAACACTGACTTGACTATAATCTTTCCAAGAATGAAGAAAGGAGTCTCTTAAGCAGTCACTTCATTTCAAAGGCTACTTTCCTTTGTACCATTTTGCAGCCAATTACAGGGGTTTCAATAATAATTTGCACAGGTAGTTACTGATGGTGATGGGGTGGGAGCCTATAAAATTAACTGACTGGTAGAACAATCTAAAAAATTTAACTCAAAACAGACAGCAGTAGGGGGCTTTATATTGCCATAAAAACTGTGGTAAATCACCGGTAACCTCTCCACCTATCACCGATATAAGTTGAAAGCACTCTCAATCAAATTTCCATCCCTACTTTTCCACTGTATCTAAATCCCAATTTACTGTCATCAGCTACTTTTCAAAATGGATTCTTTTCCCTATCACAAGTACTGATTAGCTGCTACTGTTTTTTCGCTGCTAATTTTCAAGTGCTTTGATCACCTGTTCAGGAATGTTTTGCTGGTATCACACGTAGAGAGTTATTAAGCAGAATTTAAAGTTTAAGCAGCTTTGCAGGTCAATTGCCTGAGTGGGGTTTTGTTTTGAAAACCTAACCAAGGTGAAGGGTCACATTTATAACATCAAACACAAACAAGCTGTTTATTTACATTTTATTTCACTTCATGATGTAACAAAATTTCTACTTCAACTCCTTGACAGCCAAACCTGTAATTAAAAAGAGACATGGTCAATTACAGAAGAAAATCAACCAAACAAAACATACAGGGCCCACTTGCCCAGAAAGCAGAGAAAAGATGGCTAACTGATAATTAACCTTTTAAATCCCACAAGTGACCAAGATAGAATTTCTCCTTGTAATATCAATACAATATAAACCAAATAAGTGATAAGAATAGAGAAAAGTATCAATTTGGGGATAATTAGTAGACCGAATACTAAATTCTCTGTACTAACATAATAAGAATTGTATGGTAGACAGTAAGGAGAATTACAAATCTGATCTGTGAGTTAAAGGGTTCATAAGTGCAGTAAAAGATTATGTTGTAAAAAGCATCTAATCAGTGTACAACTGTCAAAAGATCAATATCTGTAAACTTAATCACTGCAATCTAGTGAATGCAAAATCTCTCCTCTAATAGAAAGTTGTAGATTTGGTTAGAAGGAGACCTCCTGAAATGACATACACATGAACAGGGAAGACCTACCTGGAGGAAGTGACTGCTTCAGTTTATCAGCCTTCTCTTTGTCCTGGATAACAAGGGTGTAGAGATAGCGGCTGCATCGCACCTTAAACTTAACTGTATCCTTAATCTTCTTTATCTTTACAGCTGTAAAAAGTGATAGCATTACAATTTATCTTCTCAAAAAAATGGCATTACATCTTTGTTAAGAGGAGGTTACTTTGTATATTAACAAGGTTTGGGAAGGCAGTTTCAGACTTGCACAGACAGCATTGAAAAACCAAGGTTGTAATTTAATTAAGCATTTAACAAAATCCTTTGAAATTCATTTTGAAATATTTTAGGAAAATGTAAGAATATTTCAACATTGCAAAAGACCACAACATTAAAAACATACATACTTACATGTTATCATATAAACTGAAAATATAAAAATCTTCCAATTTTGCATGCAGTTACTGTAATATTTATGGGAAAATTTTTAAAAAGATATGATTTTCCACTGATCTTCAGGTATTAGTCTGTCCATATGATGAAGTAATTTGATTTAGTCAGTTGAGTTGACAACATAAATTGACTACTGTAAAGAGTTTCAAAGCCAATGTTTCAAGCATTAGCCCTTCATTTTGCTCTGACAGCAGGGCTAACGCTTGAAACGTCAGTTTTGAAACTCTATACAATGGCCAATTTACACAATCAACTCGGTTGATAATATCAAACTAACTCATTATATCAATAACCTCTTTTAAGAGACCTCGTTATACTCTCCCACTGACGCTGCACCGCAGTTTCTTAAGAAACTTACCCCCTTTATTCATTTGTCCTATATGATGGTTATATCTTGCTCAATATGCATTTCTCTTTTAATAGTATACATGGAAAATTTCTGCATGCTAATTGGCAAAGAGAACGCCAATCGATCTCTAATGATTTCGAGTGCAGTTTTCAGTACAAATACAAATCATATTTGCACGAGCACTTACATTCCTACGACGAAGGATGATTCGAATACATTATGGTGCAAAGAAATATTGAAAGGAACGATTGATTACTCACATTTGGCGTCCTTTCTCCGTGCCGTAAGGAGAAAATCCTTAATTTCATGGATCTGTTTAGGCTGCAAAAAGAAATAAGAAAAAAAAAAGGGATCACCGAGACGTTACTAAGCTGCCAAAGCTACCGGTTCGGGCTTCATACATGGAGTATGCTTGATAACTTAACTTAAGAGTTAAAGCTTGAGTAGAATTTTGGAACTTACCATTGTGAAATGGACGTGACAGAAAGATGCCTACAACACAACAAGATAAAAGTTCTCGTTACCAATTTAACCGAGAATAAAAACCAAAATTTTTCAATTATGAAAGATGTAATAAGAAAATGCACGGTTGGATATGATTTATTTAAGAAATATTGGTATGATGTCTGGGATATAACAGGATTTCTTTCCCTCATTTCACTACCTTTCAAGCCAAGTCAAGATGGATTCCAAGAGATCGGATATGATACGTGCGCCTGCTTTTCAATCGTGCAGCGGATGCTACATGAATCAAAATGGCGGAAAAGGGTGCAAGTACGTGGAAGTAACTTTTCAAGGTTTTATTTGATTTTGATTGAAGTGGATGCATAATTTCTCTTTTTTATTGTAAATTACTCAGATTTGGTTAGAAGGAGACCTCCTCAAAAAGAGCAAAAACGTCGAAATGACATATACGTAAACAGGAAAACCGACTTTGCTGGACAACTAGAGCGATGTCAAAAGATCCTTGATTCAAGGTTTGCTGTAAATAGGCTTGATAAGACCACTTTTCGAATACTTTGATTCAATTTTGTTTTCACAAGTATAAAAATTTGAAAATAATTTAAAATCAGGCTGTGTCAGAGGCCTCCAAGGAATTGAAGAAAAAATGAAAAGTTTACTTAATTAAATTACTAACATAAATATCAGCTGTAAAAAACTTAAATCTAAGATATAGAAATGCCTGTAGTTTTTTGTATTACCGTTTTTAAAACTCTAAGTTATTCTTGCTTCGTGAAGATTTTTACGTTACTGCAAGTTTGCAAGGTTCCCTTTGCGTTGAAATTTCAGATTCTAACTCTTCTTTTCTATTTGAATTCCAAAGATTGCGCGACATATGCATCTCTTTCGTACTTTTTATTCGCTGGATTTCCATTTCTCCAGAACCATTCCGGTCAAAAAATTAAACATGTTTCAAGTTTTACATTTCTCCTTGCATACAAATTAATTCTACCCACATTAAATATGATTAAAGTATAATGCAATGGAACTACACATTATAAACCCAATAAACATTCCTCTACTTGCAAGTTTATCTGTATGTTTATCTGCTGCATGTGTAACATAAACATAAAAGGTTATACATGGATTACTGGCAGAGTTTTAGGATCAAGATCTCACACCAGGATACATACACCAGAAATCATTCTATTTGGAGGCACCAGACAAATTTAATGAGTACAATAAAGATATTTAAGGTGTTTTGGGTTAGTCTTACAGAAAGTGTAATTATTGATACACCTATGCTTATTTTCATTTCACTGCTGTAATTTTTTTTGTTAACAATGAGTGCTTTACAGTGCTATATGCTCTAAGCAATGACTATTTTTTAAAATATATAATGCCAGTTTTGGTGCATGGGTCCCTGTTTTAAGAGTAACTTGTGTTTTAGATTTGACTGACCAGAAACGATATGTGAACAACCTAAATAAATTTGGCTGGTCACTATGTCTGGAGACTCTCCAGAAATTATTTCAAGCCCTGATATACACAAAGCCATACAACTACTTGTCTAAAATTTTCAAACAAACCTCTCTATTTCAGTTCTGTTTTGTTTTGTTATTTAGTGAGCAAGAGGTGACTATTCATGGCTTGGGTTCTGCTATCAATCGTGCAATAAATCTAGCTCTGCAGCTTGAACAAAGAGGACAAGGAACTGTTGAGGTGACTTGAAAGAACAGTTTCTTCAAATTGTTGATAGGTAGCCTCCTAGAAAGGGAACATTTTTTAACACAGGGGGAATGACACCTATGAAAGGGCAAGAATAAAACACAGGTTACAGGTCACAGATGATGGATTGCAGGTCATGAGGCACAGGTGAGGGGTCAAGGGTCATGGCTCACCATTACCTGTCAAGAGAGAATTGCAGAAGCAGTTGCCTTTAAGTCTTCTGTGTTACAACAATGTAATAGGTGACAGTGACCATTGACATTTGATTGGTGATGCAGGACCTGTGTTTAAGACTTGAAAAAAGGATTTAGCCTGCATGGCTAGCAACCCAGGGTGTAAGAGGGGGGCGGGGGGGGAGTAAAGTTAGATTAATACACATGGAACAAAGAGAGCATATTCAATTGGTATGATTCCTGCTTTTTTCTTAAGTAAGGTCTTCTTTCCTCCCAAGGAGGGTAGGCTTGTCTCATAGTTATCAAGGGTTATAGACATTCATTCAAGTGCATGACAGTTAACTTACACATAGCAATTTTTTCTTTTTCAGTTATCAACAACAACTTCCAGTGTCAAACTAGTGGATGACTTTGAGCCTGAAGATGATGTAAGTATATGAAAAATAAGATTTATCTTAATGATTCCAGAGTACTCAAAGTCGATTGTGATCAAGTCAAAAATATCCTATCTGATTTTTCTCATTTGTATAACATGGCAACATCAAAATCCCAATGAGGTCATAAGTCATTGTGAAAATCCCTCCATCATGCCACTTTTGTCACCACTGGAAATTGTTTTCCTTTGTTACTTTTTCTTTCTCTTCAAAGACTTACGGAGTTTTTGCTGAGTGCCATTGTCATAAATTCAAATCTGGTAATACTTCACCCACAAATGTTACAGATTGCAGTACAGTAATGTTGAAACATGTCTTTTTCAAATACACATTGATAGTAGTCATTTTTTTTAACATTTTGTTGTTGATTTCCAGGACCAGGAAGGATATTCTAAAGTACGAACCAACTCAGCAGTGCACATAAGAGTTTTCAAGAAACCTATTTCCAAGGTTGATTCAGAAAGAACTTGTCCAACTTGAATCCCTACTCTTGGTAACCAAGAGGTCACTCTTTTTCACCAATGGGTCCTTTTCCCACCAAAATACTGTTGAGAAAAAGCCTGACAGATTGAAAGTTTTATTTATTGTTCAACACCTTTGAACAAGTGTTCAGAAAGATTGAGTACTAGTTCCTAATCTGTGCCATTTCAAAGATGCATTCAAAGCGAACAGTAGATATGATAGTATGGTTCATGTCTGTAAACCAAAAAAAATTGTCATTGATAGCTAATGGGAATGGCAGCACCTATTTGCAATTGTTAAATCCTGTGGCTCCAATATCTTTTGCCCTCTGGAGGTTGATATGAGAGACAACTACAGGTTCAAAGACAGAGTAGTCCAAGGCTTATTGACGTGTTATCTCCAACATCTGAATGGTGTGTAAATCAGACAGATTGGATCCACCAATGTTCCCATCATTTGCATTAAATCCCTCCAGTGGTATTTGGATACCTTTTAGACCCCATTTTTTCAACAAATATTCAATGGAATGACTGGAACTGCAACAAATTAAAGTATAAATTTTTAAAATAAAAAGGTGACATTAATCTGATGTCCAAAGTTGTGAAAAAACAGTATTTAATTAAGACATCTTTTAGCAGAGACACATTGAAGTAGTTTCCTGATTGGCTTTTTTTGGTGGAAAGACAATAACATTCCAGAAATATTTCTTAGTTCATGGTATTCTGAGATTCACAGTAATTTTAACCCTTTTAACTCCCAAGAGTGACCAAGACAGAATTTCTCTTTACAATATCACTACTATATCAAGCAGACGAATGATGAGAATAAAAAAATATATTAAATAGGGAATTATTATATGATCCAATACCAAATTCTCAAAACTAACAACACAAGAACTATATGGCAGACAGTAAGGAGAATTACTTATGAGATCAGGGAGTGAAAGGGTTAAATAATGTTGTAAATAGCATACTGTATGAAAGAATTCACCTTCTCTCTTGATATGTTGACCAAAACTTGGCCTGATAATTTTTCACCATTAGAAAGGAGACAGTTGCCAAAATGTCATCAAAATCTGTATCACAAAATTACAGAAAACAAAGATTACATAACTGTAGTCAGAGAGCAACTCAGAGTTTTGATTCAGTGGTGGGGAAAGTAATGGTGCCAAGTTACCTTTTGTGTCATAGAAACAGTCTGAACCAAGAATTATATCAGCCTTGGGAAGTTTTAAAAGGTTTGGTGTAAACTGTCCCCAGGTAATGCCAACAACTTGTATTGCCTTCTGACCATTAGCATGGCAGCTCTGTCTACAGTTTTCTAAGCATTGAGGATACTCTTCCTTGTCTGTCAGAGTAACATTTGCACCACACAATGAGGCAACCAAACCAGGTAAGGCTGTTCCTGCACCAATCTGTTGATCAAGTAAAGAAAAGGTAATCACTAACAGTGGATGCAGACTTGTCCAGCTTACAAAACAGTCATTTTTCAGAAGAGTATGATTTTCTCATAAAGGACATGCCTACAGGGCAAGTAGCATGTAGCTCTGCTTGCCTTAAATACGCTCCACAGAAATCGCGCATGTTCTACATTTTACATGTGTCTGGACTAATTTAACCCTCTTATGCCTATATACTCATTAATTCTCTTTACTGTTGATCAGAATTCTGATGATGTTAGTTTGGAAAATTTGGTATTGTAAGATCAACTGATAATATCTGAATTAATATTTTTTTTATTAAAAACCTTTTAGCCTTTTTCCAATATTGTAAGGAGAAATTCTGTCTCAGTCACTTCTGGGAGTTAAAGGGTTATGTCATACTTTTTTTGAGGTTTTGCATAGCTTAAGTTTTAATAAAGGGACAGTAATCTTCCATTATTTCACTTTCACATCCAGTCTGGAGTATTATCAAAATTCTCATTCTAGTACTGTCCTGTGAGCTTTGTTTGTGTTCAGAAATTCAATACTGATCTTCAGGACCATACTTGAATTTCTGAAGTTGCACTGAAAATTGACATATAACTTCATTATAACTCACTATTGTGTCACTCTTGCCAACATCAACAAATTATCTTATCAAAAATTTTTTTATCAAGTATAGATCCTTACTGACCATGACTATGTAACCCTTTCACCCCTGAGATCTTGTTAGTAATTCTCCCTTACCCTGTCCGCCGTACAATTCTTATGATGTTCGTTCAGTGAATTTGATAGTTAAAATTTACCTCCACAACGTGTTTTCCTTCTACTTGATCTCTATTATACCAAATATATTGTGCAAGAACTGGAGCTGCTGGCCACGTAAACATTCCATACTGAGGGTCCACAATCTAAATGTGTTGAAAGGAATTTCATCTAAATTGGGCTGACATTGACAGAGATTCCAACCCTCCCGATTTGATCGGGAGTCTCCCGATTTGATGTCTTGCCTCCCGCTCTCCCGATTTTTACCAAATTCTCCCGATTTATCATAAAATTCTGAAAACTAGGGGAAAATTGCTAATCTTTAGAATTTTTGGCGATCTGTCACTGTGAAACACTCATATTATACTTACTTTCTTCGCGAAGAGCATTATGGTATGTTATAACTCAGGCCGGAATGATGTCAAAATTCAGGAAATGGCACTTGAGAGAACCTAAATTTGCAAAATTTCCCGGGGGCATGCCCCCTGACCCCCCTAGAAGCTCGCGCCTTTGGCACTAATAATTACTCCCTATTTTCCATCACATGGGGTTGGAATCTCTGCATTGACTACAGCTGTGTTGGAAAAGCATAAACTATATAATAAAAATATAAACAAGAACTTCACTGATCTTTACCTCAGGTATCCGCACTTCTATTTTATCGCTATTGAATTCGTCTTTAAATGAAAAAACCCGCTCAACTTGCATTAAGAAAGATGGTGAAAAATGTCAACCGAAGAAGAAAAAATCAACTAGGCGTTCTCGGTAGGTATTCAAGACGACTGGATACGAGTGTAGTTTACTGATTACCAGTGTTACGCATAATTCAAATCCAATATGGCGTTGTTGTCGTGTGTATGTGTCCGTGTAAGTGTTGTTCAGCTTGTGTTGTGTCAGAATACTGTTTTGTTGAAATTTTTGTATAATTTTGTGTTAATTCATATTGTGTTGTAAGCATATAGGTGTTTTGTTGTGTATTTAAGTGTGTGTTTTTTTTTAAATATCAAACACTCATTGGTTTATCTGACGCAAATATTGCGAATGATCTTTTATTGCTCTTAAATTGACAACGACCTCTCGATGTTTGTGGTCTTTACTCATATGACACCAATAGTTTGGTGCATGATTTGAACAAGTCTTTACAAAGAGGGCTTAGTCGTTGTCATCCTTACATTAGATATGTTGGTTTATGATGACATACAGATCTGAAACCAACCAAAACATATTAGTCGGTCAAGCCATTGTTCTTGGACTGATTTCTCTACTCTATGTTAGCAATCAGAGTAGATCATTAACATAATGATCCTTTCATTATTTCTGTATTCCAAATGGACGCTGTAATTATTCTGGTTTTGGTTTCACAACATTCAAATACGCTTCTGTAGAGTAGGAGACTTCACTTAATTATTTTGTCCACTACGTTGTGATCGCTCTAAATGGTAACAGAGTGGACTTGACTTAACTCGACATTTTTCACTTTGCGCCCAGCCAGCCATCTCGAGTTTTGCTTTTTCTTGATCTGATGTTCACGATTTCAAACTTTTCGCGTGGAATAAAAAAGTCTTTTAGGAGCTCAGGATGGTCAAGGTGGTTTACAGCTTGTATAGGCAAGTGGTCATTTTCTTTGCATTAATTTTCCTAAACTGTAACAAAAGCAATCTTTTCCGCTAAAAAGACCGTCAAATAAAAAGTGACAGTGGGTGACTTTTCAATCGTCAAGTAAGATATATAACATCATCATAACATTTAAAACTAAAGTGATGGGTTGACGGAGACTACCACAACCAAGATTGTAACCTTCCGTAAGTTTCCTTTATCCATGACTTCCTTTCTTAAAACGTATAAATAACCTTTCTTCAGTTAGATATTAGTTCTGGGATGACTTATAAAATGCAAAAAAAAAACTTACGTTTAATTCAAAGATGTTTACGATCTATTGCAGTTTCTTAGGGGCATCAATTTGCTTTTCTAGGGCAAATCAGACTTTCTTTGTAAAAGCTTCCCGAAAGGATAAGGAAAGTTATCGCGATACGAGTTGAACGGCACCGTATTTTCGACCTCGTATACCATAAGTTTTAGTGCTGGAAAAGATGGCACGCAGAAAAAAGCTTAAATTGTTTTGTTTTTCTTTACATCATTTTGTTACACTTTTTCATTTTTTCGACCTAGCAGCCAACAGAAATTGATTTAAACCAAGAGCTTTGAGATGTGACTCTGGACACAGCTGAGAATTTTGTAGCTCTTTCCTTAAAAACACACGGTTTAGGAAACTTTTTTCCAGATCCGTAGTATCAACCGTGCCCTTGTCGGCTAAGAGAAGCAAAATCTTGAAAGCCTAGTGTCTATCTCAGCATTAATCAAAACAGAAGCCCATCACTCCCTCAGGAGTTTATGACAAATTCCTAACTTAGGCCACATTTCAGGTACGTTGATATTTTTGAGAGAAAGTGCGAAGCGTCTTCGAGCGAACACGGCAGTGATAAAAGAGGCATACCATCGTTTTGCCTAAGTTTATTATTCTAAAATTTTTTAAACAGAAAACTGCTGCTCCACGGATAAAATTTGATTCTGGTATTGAAAGATGTCAACGTCTATGATCTCTGTGGTGTATGCCATCTTTCTTGGGGCCATGATACTATTCAACATGGTAGGTAATTCAATGGTCTGCATTGTCGTATTAAAGAATAAAGCCATGAGAACCTCGATCAACTGGCTTCTGTTTTACCTGGCCATTGCTGACGTACTTGTTGCAGTATTTTTCACACCTTGCATTCTGAGCCATTTTATCAAGTTGCCAAGTGGTATCGTTGGAGATATGCTGTGCAAGTTCCTGATGGGTGGGGGCTTTGGTTGGGCTTCGGCTTCAGCCTCGAGCTTTTTGCTGGTGTTGATAGCATTTGAGCGCTATCACGCCACGTTACATCCTCTAAAAATGCTTTCTCGTGGTCGTTCCTTAATGCTTGTTCCAGTGCTCTGGATCGTGGCAATCCTTCTGGCCGCGCCAATGGTATTATTGTTTATTTACCGGGAAGAAATTCAAGCGTGCGAGATAGTCTTCCCAAATTACTTGACGTCCCGATTTTATCACCTTATTTGGTCATGTTGCAACGAGTTTCTGCCGATATGCATCATGGGATACCTATACACAAGAATTGTTCTGTGTCTCCGCGAACGTTCCCTGGTCTCAGCCTCCTCTCAAACTAAGGTCTTACACTCCAGGCATAAGGTAACTAGGATGCTTATTTTGGTGTCTGTTATCTTCGTCCTCTGCTGGACGCCTTCTGCAGTCCTCTGTGCGCTGACCCCGTTGGTTCCTGGTCATCGTGTCACAGTGGATAAAGTGGCGGAAGCGAGTGCGCTGCTGAATTCCTGTCTCAATCCACTGTTATACACCTTGCATAGTCAACAGTTCAGGAGGAATCTCGCTTCGCTGTTTTCTTGCTCGAGAAGAGAGAAAAAAACCAAATAGGTTTTTCTGGCCCTCAGGGAACGGTCATCAATTATCTCCGGAGGGGGGGGGGAGGCGGCGGAGGATTTTTGTTATTTCCCGATAAAATTTACCTGATCCCCCCTTAAAGCTTTGTAATATTCTTGTGATCCCCCACTCACTGGCAGTTAGTTAGCAATCAAGTTTCCATTTCCTCCCTTTTTACTCTGTTGGCGACGACTGATCCCCCTTCCGTCCCCCCTGAAAACCATGTGATCCCAACATCCCCTCCCTACTTCCTTCCAGGCGATAAAATGATCACGACTGGTCTCTTAGGTAAACTGATACATTTTGTAACTCTTTTTCAACACCTTTAACGCGTGGAATCACAGACGCGATGGACTTGTACGAAAATAGCTAGAAACTAGGTGACGAGGAAAAAAACGACAGTATCATCAAGAGTGTTTTCTTGATTTAAGACGAAAAGCTTGTCACTAATTATCGACAACGAAATATGTAACGGTTAGCTTAAAGGATTGGTAATCATATCAAGAGAGTTAGAGTTGCCATTTACTAAGGGTAACGAAGAGAAAGGTGATAGGAGATAAGTTAAAAACAGTAAGTATTTTCAAAATAACTGGGAGAAATTGGGCAGTGCAATCAGCTTTAAACTCACAGTGAATGGGAAATTAATAGGGAAGCAGAAAACCATATGCTGTAGATATTTTAGCTCAAATAAAATGCAAAGTATACGACTAATGAGGTGAATTGGTAAACCCAGTTGTACATGAAGATTGTTAATGAATCTTTCTCGGTCAGTATGATGCATTGTAACTAAGGTAATTATTGTTCTCATTGATTTGTTTTCCAAACGCAGCACACCAACCGATGTAAAATGGTTCTGTGCCCATGGCAGGAACAATTTCCAGCTTCGACTAAATTTCAGTGTTTTCGGTAATTTTGAGCTCACGAAAGTCAAAGAAAGAAAAAACCAAATGAAAAAGTTACCCAGAATCTTAAAATCCTCACCATATCATGGAGGGGAAATAAAAAAAAAGAGAAAAAATATCATAAAATAAACACAGCAAATATCAAACAGAAACGCTTAAGAACATTTTTTACCACGCATGAATATGTATGTAGGAATAGTATCTATGAATATGTTAAAGAGAGGTGTCAAAGATGAATTTTGGTCTGCTCCCGGTCTTAACACAGGTAATGTGGGTTTCCATAGCAGTGGGTTGAGACATCTGGAGACTTCTAGAGTTCCCTATCACTGTTAAGAAAAATTTAAGTGCGTGAAATTTAAACGTCCCAAGTTTAAATTGCGATCGTGGCTAAGATCCCATAACGTATAAAATTTCGAGACATTGGATTTTCAACAATCGACGAACGATGCTCGAGTTTACGAATGAAGGATGCCCGTGAACCCCGCCAGCTGTCTATTGATATAAATTAAAAGTCATTCATTTTCAGAGCGAAAAAAATAACTATGCATTTCCACAGGAGCTAAAAATTAGAATTAGCCGTATCGGATCAGTGGGGTACCATAGGCGGACAATTTTTATTATTCTTCCGTTTCACCATACGCATTCGCGTGACTTCCGCCTAGCCTACGCTTCTCTCCATCCGCTGAAAGGAAATGGAAAAGACTGCCATGCAAGCCTATTAAAGAGGCTCAGAGAAATATACTGTGGTTTGTCGACATTTATTCCGAATAAATGATCGCTGATCATGTTCGTCTTTTTACCATTCAGTTAAAGTGAGAGCAATAAAGTGTATAACTTCATTTTGGCCTCCGCAGGACGGCATCCAACTCAGGCATCAGTTGCAATTCGAAAGTTGCCAATCACAAAAGCGGCACGTTTCATATGTCCTGTGTAAATTGTTTCTATGTCCTTCTATTTTGTTTTACATACCAAATTGTTATTGTTATAGCTTCACAGAGTATAAAAAAAATATCAATCAGTATATTAAACAGCATATTTAAACGTATGTTTAGACAAGGAGAATGAATTTAAAAGCTTGTTATGCCGAATTTCCTCCAAAATTCTGAGAAGTAACTGCGCTTACTCTTTTAGGTATATACAAATTTATTCATAGAATTTTCGTCATCTGTTCTAACGAACTCATTTTTCAGACAACTACATGACCTTAGATAACCATACATAACTTGAGCTGAGGCTTTTAAGAATTTTGTATTCCGTTCTCACCAAAGCTAAAACACATTCTAAAGCTGTTGGGTTAAACACGGCTAAAAATGTTTTTCTTCATAGCCTTTGCTAATACTGACGTTTGTCAACATGGAAATACAAGCTGGTGATAACTTGACCCCTGTTTAAAATTCAGTTGTTCAGTTTTTTGTTGCTGATTTTCATTCAGTTTAACTCTTGCGTTGTTGGTTACTAACGTTTGCGTATCATAGAGAATCAAGAGCGCTAATGCAAATACAAATGCACATGATACCCATGCTGAGATCACAGAAGCAACATCAAGTTTGTAAGTCACAATTTCCTGGTATTCGATATGAAGTGAACAGCTAAGAACCTGTCTACACTTACAGCTACCACACCTGGGAACGGAGCTAAAGCAAATAACCGAGTAAAGACGAGGAACATAGTTTAGGTGATAGAGATGATTTTGTTCTCTCGTAAGAAGCTGACCAGAAGTAAAGTGTAGATTGGGTGGGCAAACCACCGAACCCCAACATCTGAAACAGTGAGACTCATCAACAATGTTTTCAAAGTCTTTGGTAACGAAGATGTCTTTCGTATGGCAAAGACTGTAACAATGTTCAACATAATGGAGATATAGAAAATTGTTGAAGACACAGTTAGCAATGAAAGTCGAACGAAGGTCTTTAACTTCGTAGGCAGATCCGATAAAATTTAGAAACAGTTCACAAGAAAAGTTGTTCATGATGTCAGCTGATGGGAGTTCGTTTGTCTGAACTCCGCGTAGGACCCGTGCCAACTGATATCAAAAGTGCTACTTTTGCGATTGGCAACTTTTCGAATTTCAACCGATGCTTGAGTTTATTGTCATCAACCAAGAAGCAAAATACCAATTATGATGGGTACAATCTTGCAGAGGCCAAATGAATTTAAACAGCTTACTGTTCTCGCAAGAACTGAATGACATTAGAAGAAAATGATCGGATAAACCATATTGAGTCTAAAGACCTATAAAACTGCAGTAATTCTATGTGCCTTTATAAGCTCGCATCGAAGTCTTTTTCATTTCCTTTTAGCATACGGAGAGAGACGTAGGCTAGGCGCGAATCACGCGAATGTACAGGGTGAAAGGAAGAAAAATTAAATACATTGTTGATATCAGTGTCTGCCGATGGTTCTCAACTGATCTGTAACTCTGCTAACAAATATAAACGAGGAAAGCGCGCGAAAGTACGCTCGTGGAAGGTGGGAACTCTCTTTATCTTCTTCCTTCCCATCGTTCCTTTTGTTGTGGTAGTGCTAGTCCCTCGCGACCTCGTAGCCGCGTCTTAAAAATAGGAGACGCCTGAGGAAGAACTACGGAGTGAATAATTTGACGTGTCGTTCTCATTTCTTCCAAGAGTCTTTGAGCCTTAATTAACAGACATTCACTAAATTGAAATAAATCTTTATTCCTAAATAACTTCAATTATCTTCTGATCTCAACCAAATAATATTAAAACTCTCTCTTTACCGTACTAAAGGCGATTTTTTAATTTGCAAATGCGTTACGTTATTGAAGTCAGATATTTTTCTATTCTGTTCAGGTCTCTTAAGTTGCGCGGCCTTTCATTAAAATAATTAATTTTAAATAAATAATATAAAACTAATATTTATACACATAACTGGTCCCCTACCAGTGGGAACGATGGCAGTTCCCATCGAACTCTTTCTCTCCCAAGTGACCAAAAGGCAATTTCTCCTTACATTATTAATACCATTATCGAGTAGACAGGTGATGAGAATTAAGCTTTTCACTCTCAGGAGCGACAAAAGAGGAGTTCCTCCCTATACTGTCAAGAAATCTAAAGGGAAGAAGGTAATGAGAGGAGAGATATTGTTTGATTTAAAAACCAAATTCTCAGGGTTAATCTGGTGAGAAATGCATAGTATAGTATAGACAATTGATATGTTGATGTCAGGAGTGAACGGGTTAGAAAAATACAGGATATACTGGTCTATTAACCGGAAATCGCGGTCGGATTATTGTCACGTCCATCTCGAGCGCTCATTGCTTGCACCTTTCTTGCGCGACCAAGCGAAACTTAGGGAAGTAGATGTCATCTTTTGACCTTATCAGGTGGCTAGGTGTATTGCGTTATCTTACGCAAGGATTGCACGATTTTGGACGGTGAGCTCCTTCAAGTGTCACGCGACTTAATTTGTCACGCGATGAACCTTGTTGTAAGTTCTGCTCAAACTGCAACTGATTGCTGTATGTCTTTAAATTTAAGCAAGACAGACTCTTGACTGGATTGAGCGAAATGGATTCTTTGTTCGAATGTACTTGCGCACTGTGAGGTCGCATCTTAGAGATCTTTTCTCGCGCTTGCTGTGCGCTCACCATGATCTTATTCTCAGGCACTTTGAGGGGCTCCGCGGCAGATGTAGTCCAACCGCGTTTCCCTGGAGGTAAAACTTGAGTTCGATACGCGGGTGCTGAGCGACTGCGCGTAATGACCTGAGAATGTCTACTTTCTGAGAATGATGAAGGTTTGGAGGGTGACCACGTGAATTTGGTGATAATCATGCTAGATCTAAGATCACCTTCGATGTCTGTTGGTGGCACGTCATAATCTGCCCGCCTTCGTGTTCTTTGAGAGGTTATGACCGGCGAAGATTGGGGACGAGACGTTTGGTCTTTGTGAGCGTTTAAAATTCTGTGCACATGCGCATTCATGCTATTGATGGTGCTCTCTTGATGTTTAATTCGTGGAGGGGCGCTTGAGATCCGCAACGGTGAGCTTTTTGGTGGAAATAAGGTCGTGACATGATCGGACACTAAAGGTGACTTTGTCCGTGAGGGAGGTCGGGATGCCAGACTATCTTTGGTGTCAGCGCGCAAGAGTTTATGCGCGCGCACGTGTGAACGTGCCAGCCGGCGAGGCGGTGTCTTGGCATAGATGTTTAGATTACCAAGCCCCTCGGGTCGCTCGGGATCTAAGTTGTAATCCCACTCGACCGCCTCGAAGTTGAATATCAAAAGATTGCTCAACGTGTTGACTATCATCCTAGAGCAAGAAATAAATCGAGAGAAAGTAGTAAGAATTATGAAAGATTGTCAAGAAATAAGACGATATGGAAATAGAGTAAAGCGCAAGAAGTCAAAATACTATGGTGAAAATTTGCGTTGGAAAATACCTCATTCAAATTATCTTTGGTTAGCAAAATGACAGGCGTTGGGCACATTTTACGTCCCCAGCTAGTTGAAGTCTAGCCGTGTTATTCGGCAAAGACTCAAACAACAGCCACGGTGATAATCAGCAAAAGAATAATTTCATTTGCTTTATGCACAAACACCATACTTCAAACACCTTAGAAATGACAAACAGACCGGTCAAACATTTTCGCATGGGCGAACCTTATAATGACTAGGTGGCGTGCTTTCAAGTCAAGTTGTCTCACACGAGTTACAAACAACCCCCCAAGCCAGTAAATCACGACGTTTCAATAGCATATAACGTTTTTGATGAAACGCAAAACATTGTGGTAAATCAACAAGAAACCCGTACTTGAGTGAGCTTTGTATTTGAAGACTCGAGTTTTCCTTTTCCCAACTTGCGTTTCCTTTGGAATTTTGCGCGGGAAAATGGCGCGCGACCGGCCACAATGGATCCCCTCGCGCATGTCTGAAGTTTGACCGACGAGTTGACGCGCCCTAGATATATTTTAGCGCGCAAGGTAATCCACGTGACATTCTTGCTAAATATAATGACAAAACAAAAATGACGTGCCGAGGTTGACATCGTAAACTTACCTATCTCCTGACGCTCTGATGGTGCTGATAGCATCATTCTTACTATTTCCACGTATAATCCTCAAACAGTCGCCATTCAAGAGATTCCAGATGCGTAGCTGAAAAGACAAAAACTTAAATCGAACTCATCTTCACAAATACCCAACAAGTGATGTATCAAAATATATCTTTAACATAATAATTTAAACCAAACAATCTAAAACCTTACCTTTCCGTCAGCAGAGCCAGTTACAACTCGACAGTAAAGGAACTCCAGACATAAAACTTCCCTGAAAATGGCAGATGGTAAACTTATGAAAAAATTTTATAAAGTTAAAAAACTAAAGTCAGTTCACAACGTTAATAAACTATACGTACTTTGGGTGTCTAAATGCTTGTAGACATTTTTTGTGTTTTCCAACAGCGCTCCAAGCCATGGCGTAACAATCTAGACTGCCGGTTAGGATGTGATAGTCGTCGAACTTCACGCACGTGATTGCTCCGTGATGACCGTCGAGGGACTGGTGACAAAATCCGAACATCAGTAAAAAAAACAACAAAAAAACAATGTTTATAACCGACAAAGACTTAAGCGAGTGAGTTTCTTTTGAGCGACTGAGGAAAGTGATTCGTTTGTTTTGGTTTAACAATAATAAATTGATGAATCATTGCTTGAATTTAAAAGAGTCTAGCGATTAAGCCGTCTTCTCTCAAAAACAAACTAAGGGCCTGTTTACACGGAGGCAGGGCTCGAAATTAGCACTCGCAAACTCGCGAAATGCGAGTGGTTTTTCGAAGTTGCGAGTCTAAAAAATATCCTCTAGCAAACATTTGCTAGTTAGGTTCCTTCTTTTGCTAATAAAAAAAATCTTACTAGCAAAACTTTGCTAGTAGACAAAAAAGTTAAGTTCGAGCCCTGCACGGAGGTGGGGGACCCCAGGTAGATGAGGTAACCAACCTCGGTGGGGTACCTGCCTGTCCATTTCTTGTTATCTCACGTAGGTATGATGGGCAGGTTTCCCGGTCTGCCGGGTACGGTAACCCAGTCAACCGGGGCCACAATTTTCCATGTAAACGTGTCAAGGTGATGTAACCCGTCTAGCTGGGGTCGCTTTCATGTTACATTTACAAGCGTTCCAAAAACCCATGGAAACTTTATCCTTGGATCAGAATTGTAGAATTGTACGTAAACGGAGGCTATTTTCCGCCCGCGGAGGGTGAGGGTGTTGGCGCTCTTGGAAATATAACATGAACGCGACTCTGGCTAAGCGAGTTACCCCACCTTGAGACTTTTACATGGCAAATTGAGACCACCTTTCATGTAAATGTGATCGAAACAAAATAAACAATTTTATGGACAGGCGGGTCTCCCGCCTCCGTGAGAACAGGCCCTTAGATTAACCGTCAGGAGGAGTCTACAGTACGTCAGCAAACAAACAACAAATGAAAAAACAAAAACAAAAAAAATCAGTACTACAACACGAGTATACAGGGGTAGTTAGGACGGAGTAAACTCTTATTGCAAATAAATAAATTGAAAAACTCACGGCAAAAATACTTAACAAACGAAACACATGCGAGGTGTGAAACGAAAGAGTTGATATCTTATTCCAGCGGTTACCTTTAGAAGTGTTGTCTGCTCTATGTCCCATACTTTTACTTTCCCTCCTTCACAGCCGCTTACAACAAGAGTGTCAGATACCTACAAACGAGAAAAATAACTCTGAATAAAGATTTTGAAGGAAAGCTTGAAACTACTGATTAAGTCTTGGTTTCTCGTTGCTGCATATAGGGCGCATTTCGATTGACTGTCGTAAAATCAAAAAACAAAGTAAACGAACGGCTAATCAGAGCAAAGAAATTTTACAAGGAGCCAATGAGGACCTGAAGTTAAACCAAGCAAACTACCTGAGGCGCGGGAAAACGCGAGTGACAGTGACGCTTGTTTACTAGAAAATCCACACAGCGGTGTGAATAAAATGCATTGCATTCCTGAAGTATTTTAAAAACTAAACGGAAAATTGCTTTACAGTGAGAAATTAAAATAACGACACCATCGTGGACAAAAATCTTTACGCAGAGAGACAATCTAAAATTCTGTTGCTTGTAGCTCATCAAAATTAGTTAATAATTCTTCAATGCACTTAGTCAAAAACACACCGCTCCGCTATTCCCACAAAACCGTTTTTTTTTTTCGTTTTTTTTGATACGGGTGCAGTATAGCGTTTGGCAGGAATAGTGCCGAGTTTACACTTGGCAATTTTTCCCACTGAAAGTTTTCCTTATCTGCCTTATTTCCTTCCCTAGCCACAACAGCCGATCAGAACTAAGGAAATGCAAACCACATGAAAATTTACTTACATGAACCGTTTGTACCACGTGACGATGTCGAAAGGTCCTCCGACACTTCCCAGTAGCGAAGTTCCAAACTGTTAATACAAGCAGAATAGTTTTATTGAAAGAAGACAACCTTTAGTCTGCGAGCACACCCCAACTATAAGCGCTTCATCACGAGCGTTCCTTCGCCCGCGGTAAAGGTTTGAAAGGTGTTAGGCATTGATAATTCCACACACCCGGGAAACCTCTTCCCGACTCGACTCTAGTCTTCCCGCGGGCGGAGAAAGGCGCGTCTAGCTGTGCGTATAAAAAAGGCCTGCTCACGAGCTAGACAACCTCATTTATTTATGTTAAAGGAACAAATAAGTGACAGGACTTTCATAACCAACCTTTCACGCTCTTGTCTCTTGATCCTGAGGCCAGATGGTTACCATGGAGAGCAATGCAAAGAACTGTGGCTCGATGTCTACAAAAAAATGAAAAAAATTGGTCATACATGTTGGTCAGCAGATGTATCTGTTTCCGTTTTCATAGGGGCGCTTTTCATTTGAGTGTCCTAAAACCAAAACCAAAGTGATAACGATGGCCAAACTGAAAGAAGGAAAACATCATAAAGAACCAATGAGGACCCAAAGCAAAATGAACTGCTCGAAGCGTGGGAAGACGGAGTGGGCCTCTTTTTGCCTCAATAGCAAACTGTGGTGAAGCAAACTAATGATATCTCAGATTACATTTAAGTGTCGAAAGTAATCCGGATGTCTTTTTTGATCTACTTTGCTCTGTGATTGGACCTGAAAACTTGCGCCATTCTCTTAACCAGTTAGATGCAAAACTAAAATTAACCACAACTTAGTCGACTGAAATAAAATAACAAAGTCTTGCCCCCTTCCATTTCCCTGTTGCACCGGGGGCAAATTAATCTGCGTTTTCCCGCGCTTAGGCGTTTGAGTTGTTTTTATTTTGAGTTCTCATTGGCTCCTTGCGCTATTTCCTTTCTTTTGATTGGCTGTTGTGATTAGTGTTGTTTTGGTTTTATGACACTCAGTCAACAAGCGCTCTATACTCAGTAACATATTGTAGCGTGCGCTCGAGTGGAGTGGGCGTGTCTTTCTTTCCTCCGTTTGTAACTCATCTAAGAAAAACCAAACAAGATGACTTTGTAATTAAATTACGTTAGTTAAAAAAAATTGGCCCTCAATTAGCATTTGCTATCTGCGGGTCAAAGGCTGAGATTCACACATTTGGGTTCAAGCCTATTCGGATCACCTGCTATCTTTTTTACTTTTCATTACTTTGAAGGAAATAGTGTGCTTTACTGACATATCACAACTCAGACTTACCCTCTGAAAATACACTTGCAGTTTCCCCTGCCTATATCCCAGCATCTATGGCGAGCAAAAAAAGAGATTGCTAAGAATGTTTTTATTAATCCACCTCGCTTGTAAATCAGTCTGTTAAAAGTTTCTTTGTCAGCAAGAGTTTTAATGGTCTATCAGTGGTACTCCTGATTATTGATAAAATATAGTGGATCCTTGGAGGGAGGGGTAGGTGGCTGTTTTTCAAGGGGCTGACATCGTAAAAAGGTTGAGGTATGAAACCTCTTTTCTTGGGGGTAGAGTGAGTACAACTGTTTATGAAGGTTCAAACATGGTCACCTTGTGGGCTGGTCAGTAAATCAGTGAGTCAGTGAGTCAGTCAGTGAGTCAGTTAATCAGTGAGTGAGGCAGTCAGTCATTGAGTCAGTCTGTCAGTCAGTAAGTCAGCCAATGAGTTGGTGAGTCAGTCACTGAGTCAGTGAGTCAGTAAGTGAGACAATTAGTCAATGCGTCATTCAGTCAATCAGTCCATTTTTGAGTGGGTCACTCATTCATTCACTCTGTCAAGTATGGCCATATGCTTCAAAAGTCACCCAAAACACCTGAACCCCCTGGAAAGCAAAAATACAGAAATCAAAACACTCCTTAACCAATTACATTTGTATCACTTGTTTAGTGTATTTATATGTTATTAACCTTATTGATGTATCATAGCCACCACTCAGAACAATTCCCCTCTCCTCAGACACATAAACACAGCGGATGGACCCTGCATGGCCTTGAATGGTCCTCTCAATCTTGCCTGTGGCTGCATCTATGAGTCGAACGCGTCTGTCATATGATCCAGACACAACCAGTCTCCCACCATTGAAGTTTGCACATCGGTTAGGGTCCTCCCTACATAGCAAAGCACTTGGTTAGAATGAATTTCAGAGCCATGGAATTAGGTATTCTATGAACTCTGCTTAACTAATATAACCTCCTATTTGAGACAAAATCAATTTATTTTGCTGACCTGTTCAGGAATGAAATAATAAAATTTGACTCCCTTTATAGGAGTAGCAACCCTGGTAACCTAACCCTGTTTGATGGTAAATACACAAGGGTGCTAAATATGCTGGCAGCCAAATAATTAATGTGATCAGATTCTAGTGTCCTGCCCTGATTTTGCCTCGCCCCAACCTCTAGAGGCCAAATTGGCTTCAAATAAACCTATATGTACTCACATGTCTTGAAGGACCAGCACATTATATGCTCCACAGTAAATGTTTCTCTCTTCCATCCTGACTTCTTTGGTTGGAATCCCATCGTAACATTCTTGCAGGTTGTGACGTCCAACCTCTTTCTGTCTGCCTGACTTGAAACCAAGACTAAGCACTTCTTTGGCATTTTCATCGAGGTCTAAAGGTACATGAACAGGAACACACTTAGCATATCTTGGGTTCATACCCTTTGCTGATGCTCCCTACAAAGAAATAAATGAATATAATTTAGTTAAGAGGGCTAAACTAAACCCCTAAAATTCTGTTAGATCCACCTCAGGGTAATAAAAGAAGCACCAATTTTTTAGTTTACCTGCATCAACATTATTTCCTCAGTCATTAGCTGATGCACCATGTAGTCTTGTTTGACTTCTTCAGCAAGACTTCTCCAATGTTTACTCAGACACAAACAATTTGTTAAACTGTTCTTGTCTAACATACCCAGAATCCTCTTGGACAAATGAACAGGTAAACATCTTAAAAAGTCTTTGTACTTTTCAAAGCCTATACAATCAGACTCCACAGATTCCTTCTGTGTCAAAGAGTTAATAAAACTTTCATCATCCCCTTCATCGCCTGACATGTAATCTTCAGAAAAAAATTCCCTTTCAAAATCTGTCATGTCATTTGCAAGCCTTCGTGAGGACTGTCTAGAAGGTGGAATGGACCTTGAGCGACTGTGTGACAAAGGACTTCCTCCATATCCTGTGGAGGCTAGCGATTGGGTACCCAATACTATGTCTTCTGAGTTTGTTCCTTTGTGAGATTGAGATTTTGCTGCACTTGATTCTCGTGAGGATTTAGATTTGCTAAATTCAATTTCTTCACTAATTAATGAGTTAATTTCTATGGAATGAGCATCATTTATGTCTGAATGACTTGCTAAAGATTTTGTAGCCAGGGATTTGTCACTCTCAGTTTCTCTCTCAAGTGGAGCTTCACTGTTAGACAAATAACTGTGCAAGGACATGTACTCGTCATCATCTACAAAAAAACAAAGTGTTTTTAAGAAACATATACACCCTTAGGTGCAGTTGTTAACATGTTAGACAGAGTTTGGTTTTTTAAGCTCTTTACTTGTATAAAACTGACAAGTATTTATTTTTCCACTGAAGAAGGATGGTCAATGGGGGCAATGAAAAACTAATTCACTTTATAAAGACCTCATCAGTGAACTAGGCCAGTATTTGGCAATCTGCTGAACATATAACACCATTCAGTGAGCAGAGTAACATTCTGCTCTCAGCTAAAAAAGCAACGGATTTGTGGCATAATGTAAAACACCAATCACAGCTACAATCATCATGTTTTGGTTAAAACCATTGTAAATATATATTTCTGACTAAAGTTTTTTGTTGTGGTAAGGTCAAACAAATCTGACTGTCATTTATGATTGACTGGTTTTGCTCACCACATAGTGAAACAGACCACATAGTTAAGATTAATGTTCGTTAAAAAAATGTACGCTTCAGAGAAATTTGTGAGTTAATTGGTTCACAATTCTCGTGAAGCCAACATATCAAATGACGTCATAGCAATATCATGTCACGCAACGTTGATCAATTTCAGATTCCAAAAAATTTCTCGGAAAACATTTAAAAGACCTTCTATTTAGATGGTATACTACCTTTGTTTTGTTAATGATCTACAAAGAAAAAACGCATACCTCTATCAATCACTCCATCCTCAAAAGCTCTCTGTTTTCTACGTTCCCGTTCGCATAGAGCTCTGGTCTTGGTAGCTAAAATATGTAGAAGATGGGTACCACACAACTGCATTAAACCCAACATATAATTTGCTTTAGTCCAGTAGGTACTCCCTGAAAACCACTCCATGTAATCCTCTACTGTCTGTGATAATTCTTCTTCGTTCAAAGCGTGATTTGTCGGTGCGCTGGAACCATCAATGACCAAACTCGGTTTACTCCTTGATCGCATGTAGGTGAAGTCTTTGTACTGAAACGATTGTAGCAAAGAAGTGATATACTCGAACAAATCCATAGAATCAAATCGTTGGACAAGACCCAGTAGGTATTTTCTTTTGACGGGTTCCCCACAACGACAAAACCATTCCTTCGTGTGATTCAGTTTCACGCCTAAACAACAGTTCTCGCAAACTCCACACGATTTTACGGGGCTGTTAATGCAGCGTAGTTCAGGTGCTCTGCTAATACTAAGCTGATATAAACTGGATCCTCGACCTGGTTGACGCATTCTTGGTTTAGAGAAGATCTCTATGGCAAAAATAATGGGAAATTAATACTGTATCTTTCTAAAGATTAATCAATTGGCTTTTGCTTCCATTTTAACAGCAGTCATCAACTGTCCTTTTGTGTGATACAACAATCACGAGTCCGTAACCTAGCAACACATGGCGCGGCGGCATCAGATAACAAAGATACGTCAGGTCACTGAGTTCGCTTCTAAGAAATATTGTAGATTATATCAAGGCCTTTTATCGAATTTTTCTTCACAATGCAATTCTTATCATTACTTACGTTTTCTTGTTATCATTAATTTTTTAGAGGGAAAAGAATGGAAATGTTATCGAGACAGACCTAATTTGCGTTTACAGTTCACCAGATGTTTCTTTCTGATGACAATTCCGACATCCTCCTCACTAATAACTGTTTAGGCTTTTTTCCGATTTTCTATTCTTTTACGATACATTTTTTAACACCTTTCGCATAATTCATGGTTGGTCCTTCAATATGATGTCTCAGTACGAACATTTAAGACATCTAAAAAGTCTTTCACAGGAAAAAGTCTGTGGAAATCCATTGCAAATTTAACAAGTATATTCTTTGTTGTTCTGTTCAGTAATGCAGATCACAGCAAACAAGTGGCTTTTGAGGAGAGGCCGTCGTCTATGCATCTGTTTTGCAATAGATTATAAGTAAGAACCATTCAAAGTTCAAGATACATCTTCACTCCAATTTGTCCTTTCATCACTCTGATTCTCGGCGCGAAAATCGAGGAGAGGGGTCCTACCATATAAAAGGAAGTCTTTGCCTGAAACTCTTTGGAACTAACACTGTTTGTCTGGATCTGGTGAAAGGCAAATCTTCAGAATCCCAACTCTCTTGATCAAATTTCGTTTTGTCCAACTAACATAGGTATGATATTCGTAATAGCTTTTATTTCAATTAACTAATTCCCGATTTAACGTAAGAATAATGATTTAAAATACTTTTTAGTTCATCTAATGAACATTTTTCTTGTTTTTGGTTTTTTTACTCATTCAACTAGATTTTTTCTGTAGTTAAAGCAGGTCAAGAAAAGGCATACATAAACATTTTTTGATGTTGTGTTAAACTTTCTTGCCAAATGAAGTACGCATGTATGTTAATGTGAGAACTTGGATACGTTTAATAGGTGTTTGTGAGAATTTAAGTTTCATGTGTTTTGTCCAAGGAACACTCCCGTCTCTAAAGACTCCTTGTCAAGCACCTAAAAGCTTAAAGCCGGAACACGAAGATCTCGAACCAACCTATGATGTAGCGCTCAGTTTGATAAACAAGCTAACTTCTGTTTGGATGTTGCTAAAACATGTTGTAGTAATTCATATTCCTAGCAAAACCGGAGTAAAATGGATAAGCGTTTGCTTGCCTGCAAAACAATCGTTAATTTTTGCGTTTTTCAGGCAAACAGAGGCAAGCGCAAAGTGAGCGTGAGGCGTGAGTCATGCGCAAGGGGACTAGGAGCCTTGCGCATGACTCACGCTTCGCGTTATTAGGCTCGCACTTGCCTCTGTACGCCTGAGACACACACATACACAAATAAAAATTACGCCTGTTCTACAGGCTAACGGTTTACTTAAAGCTAGTCCCATATTTGTTCGCTTTAAGATAGCTTTTATCTCACTACGCCACATTTTGCACAATTCATTGTCTCATTCTTCATTTATTTGAAATCCAGTTTCCTGTAGTTCGTTTTAGCGGTGCCGTTTGTATGAAATATACTATTTAACATATCTTCAAATCCGTTTTAAAAGGATTAGCTAAATATTCATTACAATAAACGATGCATAAAACAGAGATATTTGACAGAAAATAACAAATTCTACCTCTTGCCACGCGTTTCTTTGTAATGGCCGTAGATAATAAATAAGATAAGATTATCTAATTGTACTTTCATTTTCCTTATACCATTCCTGATTCCAAATGTTGTATAAACGGTAAAGGAAGTTACTTTCAGTGGTGACTTTTAGACAATTAATCATTGTCGGAGTTCTTCGATGAAAATCTTTCCGTAGAACTGCTTTTGTTTCAATCAATTTTTCATTTAGAGATCGAAGTAAATTCCTGTTTGCCATTAGCAACTAGTGGTGTTAATATAAAAATGAACAGTATTGAAAATTGATTTTATCTCGTAGAATGACCTCTGATCTGAGTGATTAAAGGAAAATCCTAGTAAATGATTAAAATAATTAGTTACATTTTTATAGCAGATATTTGTATACCCGTATATCCCCAAAGCTTCTGTCGTTTTAGTGTTCTGAATCAGTCAAAGTATTCAAGAGAAAAGACAAACGGATCAAAGCTGGACTTAGGGCAAAATCGACCACAGTTAGACATTAAAATATTCAATTCATCTAAACTGGCTTCAAGGGAAACTGCCTTAGAAGGATTAACCCGGATTCGGCAAAGAAATTAGTTACCACTGAATTTATCATTAAAACAAAAAAAAACATCTTTTTATTTTACGTTTCAAAATTATGGAGTTTCCCGTGATTTTGGACAACCTCGTCACTGACCGATTGTCGGATAGGTATGGGTCAGACTTCAAACGTACATTTGAGCGTTTTTGCAGCCCAGTGTTCTGTTAAATTAGTTGTTGGTGTTTATCCGTTAATGAGCAGAAGTCGAATAAACTGGGTTGCTGTAAAAACGAGAAGCATAAATGATATCTAACGAATCGAATATCAGAAGTTTCCAAGCAAACATGTCTACACAGTTGGTCTAAAAAAATGAAGGGGAAAAGAGTCAGAGCCGAGAATCGAGGTATTTTCCTGTTACGGCCCGCTACGGTTATTAACATTAATGAACTTGAGTGTTTTATGAATAGTGTTGTCAATAAATGGTCATCAGGCTGCCAAAAAAAGAAATGGTGTTACCTTCTGGAATGACTTCAAGTGTTGTCATTTTGGAAGAGTCTCCAGAGTTTGGTGGTCTCAGCGGCCGAACTGTTTCTGAACTGTTTTCTGTTTTCGCTTTGAATCAGTTGTCGTTCGTTTTGAAATTATTAGCATAAAAGTGTCTTTGTTGATTCTAGTTGTTATGGCGTCCTTATCGTTATTCCAAATCCTATGGGACTATTTATTTTGATGACGAGTGTATAAGTGCCGTGGTTTTTATCCCGGTTAAGTTATTTGTACACATCGGCTTTTAGAATGGCCAATAACAAAGAGCACTTCTGGATCAATTGTTAATTTCGCACTCACATCCTTAAGTCACTTTAGTATTGTCTTGAAGTTGATTAGTTTGAACAGCTGAAAGCTAGAACACTTGTTATTGAATATGCTTTTCAGAATATTAAAACATGGGTCTTAGTGCGACGAATATTGGGTCAATAGAGCAGGCTTAGATTGGCTTGAGAGGGCATAAAAACTGCCTCCGTCCTTTTTTTCAATTTATTTTATTTCAGTAAATTAATATTTAGAAATAATTTTAGCAAGTTTTCTTTTATTTTGAACATGTGACAATTTTGTGCTCTATCTCATTAAAAATTGAATATTTACCCTAAAAAAGCGACAAAATAATCGTCACATCACCGCCTTGCTAAGCTTAATGGTGATACTTTCAGTCTCATCTTTATACATTTCGCGCACCAAAATTTTACCTCATTCAAGATTAACCTGATCGCTTTATCTTAGATTTGACACAATATTTCCACTCCCTTTGTGAATATTAATGAGGCGGAAGAGTGCGTTATGTTATTCGTGAAATTTTGAGTTACGCGCGTTTCCGCGGGAGCGTAGCAACGTGACGAGACAATGGGTAAACATGACAACCTGGAGTCCCGGATGAAAATTAATAAAGTGCTAAGGAAGAAAGTCAGAGTCAAGCGTAGAAACTTTTGCCTTACTTGCAAATACGTTTTGAACTAGACATCCTGGCTTTAACACAGGATGTAAATAATCTCTAAATTATTGTGATAAGGAGGTAATTGCGCAGTTGGCTAAATTGCGGATTAACGAACTAGGGTAAATCGAAATTGATATACACTTCGAGGACTTCTGTTATTAGCCTCTTCGATTCCTCGAGATAATTGAGCATCCTTCAAAATGCAACGCGTGAAGGCAAGTACAACTAACAGACTGCAGAGTGAAGTGGCCGTTTCATGCATCCTAGTTATTTTCAAGCTGTGTCTAAATGTTTTTATAACTTTAATCTCAGTATGCCGACAGTGGCGTCTTCAGTTGCTCACAGACTCGCGGCTTACCGGGGTTGCCTCCTTTACCGCCATCTCACGAAACGCCTTCAGAATTATATCAGGTTGGTTTTATTTTATACAGCTGCTGCAAATTGATGGAGAGATTACCGATGTTTTTAAGAAGTCAACGTTGGTAAATTAAGTAAGCCAGGCCAGCTGCTTCGATCATCAAAACATATTGTTTTGTTTCCCAGATCTCACTGGTAGTGAATCATCATAACATTGTAGTTGCGTGGTAAAAGATATACTTAATTAGTCTCTTCATTCATAATTTATCTGATTCGGAAAGTCGTAATTTTTTCTCCATCCGTTACCATGCAAGCCATAAATTATATTAGAGAGAAGAGAAACGAACAGATAAAGAAAGATCTGTGGTTGACGAATCAACGGATCCGAAAACAGGTAACTGTGTGGTGTAAATTTCGGATTATTTGCAAATTATCGGACGATGTATGATTACCAACTTTGTTTATTTTAAATCTCCGTTTGTTTACTCGACTAACTTTCACAACATAGCACGTTTATAAAATGATTTTGTGATATAAGGCGATCGAAAATCATTTGCACAACTGCACAATTTCTTTAATTTTCTACGAGCAAAATGTAAAAAAAAAACCAATGGAAAGATCACTAGGAACATTTAACATAAATGTCGCTTGAACTCGGGATCAATTGAAACAATATCATACAAGTGATTTTTTTTGTTTCATATTATCTAAAGTGATTCAAATCAATAAATGCATAAATAGATTAACAAATATACACACAAAAATTATCCAGGAATATAATAATAAATATGTGATATTAACCATTTAACTCCTAGAGGTGATTAAAATGTAACTACTCCCTGTAATATTCATAGACCATAGAGCAAATAGGTAATGAGAATAATCAAAATTGTTATCTTGATCTAACACCAAATTCTCAGCACTAATTTACAAGGAAATATCTAGAAGCTAGAGGGGAGAATTAACAATCAGATCTTGAAAGTTAATGGGTTGAAAAATAGTCACATTATGGCATACAAATAGGATGGTGAATGATAAAAATTGCTCTTTACAAGTAAACTGCAATTGAAGTCAGACTTTCATCTGATTAAAACTGTGCCTAGTTCCCATTTCCTTGTTGGATGTTCACACTGGCTAAGCTCTGATGGCACATGTTGCATGAGACTGGGCAAATTTAATTTCTCTTAGTTTGTAAAGTTTAAGATAGAGGAAATAGTCACTATTGTTACATTATTTTTATTGGTTACATGTAATTCTCCAATTGATATATTAACCTTTTAATCTTCTAGAGTGATAAACATCCAATAGACACCCCTGAATCAAACACAAAGGTCTCCAAAATAGATTAAATGATCATCAGCTCCAGAAGCTCTTGATTATTTAACAGATTCTCTTTGTCAGCACCTTAGGAAATGTATAGAGAACAGTATGGAGAATTTGCATGGTGATATCAAGATGTAGAGGGTTTCATGGCATGAATGATACCCAGATTTTGGAATTTTTTTTTTTTTTGAAAGTCAGCACTTATCTGTTGGTTGTAGATTGTGTTACGTCACAGCGAGCATCCCCCTATAATGAAGGATCCCTCCTGGACCAGAGCGGCACCCTTCAAAGAGACAGCCCATGCTAGGACGCCTAGTGAATCAATTGGTAATAACTACACACCAACAGCAAGCAGCCTGAAGATTAGAAATTTAGCCAAAGTACAGCCTCCAGTCAGACCACCTTCAAGAATTCCAGCACAGCAAGGTTGTATCCTTCAGAAAAAAATATGATTTTCAATTTTCTTAAATATGGAACTATTTTAATTAAGCTATAAGAGACTCAGTAGCAGAGAGCTGCTAGTAAGAGATGATAACTGGCTAAAAGAAGTTCTCTATCTTTGTCACTCAATGGGAGGTTAAAACCAAGAGTGTTAGTACCAAGAAGTAAGTTACTTTATGGACCAGTCATTGACTTAAAGCTACAAATAAAATTTATGTACATGATTTGTATGGTCCTTGATGTGTTAACAGCTAAAGAACCAACATCACCTAGGAAAAGACCTGTTGTGGGTCCACATGCCAGAAGTAAATCAGAAGGAGAAAAACCTCTGTAAGTTCATAGAAAAGTTTTTTTTTGTATAAATGATCTGCTCTATTTTGTGGAAGGCTCATAACAGATTCTCTCTTGTCCCTTTGCCTAGCAAATGAAGCATTTTCTTTATTGGACAATGGAGCTGATAATTTGTGATATTATTTAATTTAAACACAAGAAGTTTTCTTTTTTGATTCATACAGATTACCACCCAGCCGAGCCATGACTCCAGCAGAGCAGTTGGATATCATAAGATCCTGTGAAGTTGTAGAAAGCGTGGATGAAGGGGAAGTATCTAAGCGTGACTTAGAGGTAACTCACAGGTTTTTGATTGGCTACTATTAACAAAACAAATAAATGTCTAAAGCCTGCCCTTGAAGCTTACAACAGTGTCCTCACAGTTAGACATGATGTTTGGAAGGAAGAATTTGGCAAAATGTTCCAGGATAATTTACATAGTGAACAGGCTGCTTGGTTATATAGCTAACCCTTTCATCCATTTTATATTAATTACTGATAAACCAAATATTAATGACTGTTCATTTGTACAGCGTTACCAGTACTACATTTCCTGTGGAGTACCTGATCACTCCCTTGCAGCACAGGATCAAGAAATAATGGAGAGAATAGTGCAAAAAAGAATCCCTGATAAACTAGCAAGAAATGCTGAACTTGATCCTCTTATAACGAAACTCAAACAAGAAATTGGCGGAGACTATGACTTCAGTGTACGCAAGTCTATTGGTGAGTTCAAGGGAGATTAGAGTTATACAGTCAAATTTGTACCCAAATAGTCTTAGTGCACTACACAATCAACAGTTTTTCTCAGTATAACACTATAACTGGTAAAATGCCATTTTCTTTTGATGAACAATAATTGTTAATTTTTTTGGTCTTGCAGTGGACTATATTCTCATGGATCCTAGTGAAAGACAAAGACTACACATCAAAGAAATACCAAAACCTTTTCCTCAGAGGTACCTATTCCACTGGATTGACTTTGTGTCTAAAAATGAATATTGAAATATAGTAATGATTGAAATTGAGAGGAATAATGTAACTTCAACCTAAAAAGATGCTGTTCATCCCAGTTACTGAACACAAATTGTTGGTGATTGTGAAGAAATTTAGGAAACAAACTCAACTTTATAGTGTAAATTTAAGCAGGCTGGGGAGTTGAGTATAACTTGCTGAAGTGACCAGTTCATTATATTGTAACTGAAAATAGTATGCTGAGTATTTATTCCACCTTAAAATAGCTGTATACATGTTAATGCATAATCAAAAGCATAACATATAATTGCTTCTGGCATAATGCAGTGTGTAAAGCAACACAGCTCCTATGAATATCCTTGAGCTCCATACCTCACAAGTGTGAAGAACTCCTTCATTCATCATTCTTTTAGTCATTTGTACAATCTGAATGTGAAACTACATGTGCACACTAATCTGATGGTTTGACAATGGTTATACACAGGTCAGGCTATTAGAAGAATGACACCAAATTTTTGATGATTAAATTTTATTTTGAACAATATATATACATAGGACTGTTAGAGCTCCTGTTCCATGGCACAATTCGTATCGATCAGCGAAAGAGGCCTGTACAAAGAACTTGTTTATCACCAACCCAGTGATGATGAAGATTCAGAACCTCTGGTATGACAGGTATGTGAGTTAAATTGTCATCATTTATGTAATTATCTTCCTTTTACTGATGATAGATATGGAATATATATACACATGTCTTTCCAATTGTCTCACAATCCTTTCTTTTACTTTTTTCCTTCAGTTTCTCCGAGGTGCGTTTTGTGGATGGAGACCAGCTACTTGCATCAGGGCTTCCTGTTACACCGGCAGAGTTTGAATTGCTTGTTAAACAACAGTGTGCAAAGACAAGAGAATTCCTTAAAAGAACGTAAGTAATGGCAGCATCAGCAATAGTTTCTCCTTTAACATATTATATTTTAAGTTGTTATTTTGTATTCAATATTAAACCACAGACCAAGTTTTAGAGGCTAACTTATCCAAGGGAATTATCCATCCCAAAAGGGACTCATCCACAAGACCCAATTCCCTGGGACTTATTCCCTGGGACTGACTTCTGCTATCTTTGGCATGAAGCAAATTCAAGTCTGTATATGTATTCTCCCCATGGATGATATCTGAGGTCATCATAGGTAATAACTCTGTGGTATTTTTTTGGATTTTCCATTTCTTCACAGTTGAATTAACATTATAATCATATTTTTGACCTTCTAATGATGTAAAAGAAGCAAAATGAACCCTGTAAGTGACCTGCAGTTTAAAAAATTAAAGAAAAAAGGCCTGAAAAATTTAGGCTCTGATGAGATTAGAACCTGTGCCACCTAGATACAGGTACTAAGTGAGAGTTCCCAACTAAGCAAAGCAGCCTTGCAGTGAGAGTGGGTCAAAATAAAATAAGGTGGCCTCATCCCAACTTCAAGGATCATTTTTTTTTCCCCTTTACCATTTGGTGTAACTTATTTATATTCCAGGGGTGGAGACGTGCATGGTACGAGAGTGAACACTGAAATCCAGACCTCTCGAACTGGAATCCAGTACAGTTAAACATCTGACCCACTGCATTTTCCACCAATTTTAATCAATACTTGTACAGTCTGGTGGTTTTTATATAGACTACATGTTCTGTGAGATTGGATAATTCAAAGACGTTCTTTCTTTATACTTGAAATTAGGTGGATTCCTGCTTGTGCCAAAATCCTTATTGAACAACGCCAGGAGTGGATGCACTTAGTGCCAAGTTCTGAGGGTGAATCTGCTACTCTTGTGCAGCAGTTCTTTGCATGTCTTGCGGCTCTCATGTCAACACAACTTCGAAGTTTAGTCATCAATTCCCTTGCAGACTTTGTCAGGTTTCTAAACATGTACAAGGTAAATGACATTCAGAGTAAATGAAAAATTTACAGATAAAAAGAAAATCCAATGACCTCTTACATAACTTCCCAGCTTAGTTGTCAATGCTTACATGCATCTGAATTAGTGTTCATGGCCATGTTAATGTGCAAGAATGGTAAAATTTCAACTTACGATTGAGGATAAAGAAGCTTTGAAGGCTCGTAATAAAGCCTGCCAAGAGGCTTATAAAATCTATAGCATCTGCCACTGATTTTCCTTAATTAAGGCAATGACCAATCACAGGGTGTACAGTTTTTAGTTCATTGTATGAATATTACTGGAAATTCTCTTCAAAGGCTGTTCCTAATCTCCTCTGGTTTTCATTTTTTTCACTAAAAATAAGTTTTTTATGTTTTAAAAAAAATCACTTCCTTTCAAGACTCATGTTACTTATTTCATGAACTGGTAAATATATTTTTACCAATGTACCTCAGAAGAGCGTTACATGAAATTATATAATTTGTTTATAATTATTTAACAACATACTCCTTATTTAGGATGGGAATGACTTTGGAGAAAATTACTCAGACCTTCGATATGTCATGACTGAGGTGAGCTGAGATTTTTTTCCCTTTTAAATTCTATTGAATGGTTATGAAAATTTTTCATGATCTGTTTTATGAAAGGTGTAATTCAACAACCCAGAGCTTAGACTATAAAATTCTGTTTTTCTTTTTGACTAGATTATGATTGTTCAGCTGAAAATTGATAGTGGAAAGTTGACATTTGATCCTCCATTCAGAGAGTTACGAGATATCTTGCTCAGACTACTGACAGACATTGTTCAAAATGCTGAAGACCTACCAAGGGTAAGTAGAAAATGTCATGCAGGGATAAAAAGGTGTGGTGGTCATGGCATGGTTGGGTGTGTACCTCACTGGACTCTGGAAGGAAGTTGAAGGTTTTAAGATTGAAGGTGAAGATTGAAGCCCTGGCCAGGTCATTGTGCTGTATTTGTAGGCAAGACACTTTGTCCTCACAGTGTCCCTCTCTGACTTGGAGCAGAAATTGATACTGGTAAACCAAGGGATTCTGCTGGAGGGTAACCTTGGGTGGACAAGCAACCCAATTGGGGTTATGTAGCACTAGTCCTTACTACTTAGTGCTATGGAAACCGAAATGACATCTGATGGCATAAGCCCTTTGTTAAAATATGCCAATTTCTAAATACTTGTTAGTGCAGGAAGAGTTGGTAAAATAGATAGTCTTTCCTGTAGCCGAACTAACCCATTTCTAGTATTAACTTTTGGACATTTGTGGTGAATTTGAACTGGACAACTGTCATGAATTCCAAGTAAATGCATCCTCAGCCACTTGAAAGCACAGAAGAAAGCTATTGGACCTGGTAATAGCTGAAGGTGACAATTAGTGAAAAACTGAAGCAACGGCTTCAAAGACAGAATGTTTTGTCCAGAGCATTGCTTAGAATGTGCCAATGCATCGAGCAACTTTTGTTTATTTATTTACATGTGTTTTAGTGGGTAGTAACTTCTTAGTGGCACTTTTCACAGGGGCTATTTGTGTGACTATGAAATTTCATAATATATTTTCCTTTGCTGCCATCACTTCACTTAATGCCTCTCACGCAAATGATTTTTTTTATACTCTCCCACTTTGAAATTCAAGAACTTTTTGCTCATCTTCTCTACCACAGCACTTTATTCTTTATACTGACAAAAGCGACTTTCCACTTAGCCTCATCCTCACACCGTAATTTTGTTACCAGATCGTTGAACTGCAAGTACTCAAAAGAGGCAAATTGTATTAAGAAAACATAGGTGTTTTGTTGAAATACACTGTTTATGCACCTTATCGATAATAACATGTTTTCCTCTCCTCCTAGGTTGAAATTGAACTGTTTCCTGACATGAAAGAAAAAAAGCTTTTCCTGCGCTCTGTACACGTTGATGAAGCTCTTGTTCAGGACTACATGGATCAGGCTGTTGATATCTTTAAACTCAACACTGTTGGACCTCAAAAGTACGTGCAAATGTTATTCATAGTGTGTAATTGAAATGAGTCAGGTCAGTGTTGAAGATTGAAAATATCAAATAAAAAATGATTGCATTGTAAATTACACATTTGTCTAAACCTTCAAACTTGAAATATTTATATTGCTCGATAACTTTGGCAATAACTCTTTATGTAATTAAAAGAAATACAAATATGCATAGAATTGTGATTATAATTTTTTGAAGGAAGTGAAGGTGAGTTTTATTTCGTTTTGTGAAGCGATCTCATAAAGGGGCTTGATATGCCCTTTACACCCTTTACGAAATCATTTCACAAAAAATTTAGCAAGGAGAGGATAACATTATCAGTATTGTGTTTTTTGATATCCTTGTTGACTTTGACTATAATCTTAATGCAGTGTAGTGTAGTGTAAAAATAGTTCAACTCTCACAATCAGTATGAAGTATGACAGTAGAGTAAATACATATGCATGTTTAAACTTGTGGTGTTAATCATTTAAAAGAAGTACAGATAAATTTTATCAATCTCTATCATTTTCTATGAGGTGATTTTATGAAGCCCATGGAATGAATTTTATGTCCTATAATAAACAAAGTCATGTCAGGGTAATAAACAAAGTTATGTCAGGTTTATTACCCTGACATGATGTTATCTATTACCTTACTATGAGGGTATGGTCACTTTCATCTTTTCTTCCCAGAAAGAAGGCTGATACTTGCAGTCTGTTACCAGCACAAGTGTCTACTGGAACATCTGTTAATGAATTGATTACATGCATTCTGTATTCCAGGTATCTAAACACATACAAGAAATATCAGGACTTGCTTAACAACAAAGCTGACACAGAGATTAACACTTTCATTCAAGATGAGCCAGTTTTGTTGGCTTTATCCAAGGTACTAAGTTTGTAGTTGTTTGTAGTTAACAACAAGATGTATGTACATGAGCACATTTATACTCATGGTCAATGAATAATAAGCCTTGTGCTTACCACTGCTAAGTTAATCACTTTCTTTTCTGTATCCAAGAGAAGTTGCTACTACAATTAAATGAGTGGCATAATTTTAGGTTTTGGTTAATTGTGGCAAGGGGAAACATTTAATATGCAAAATTAAAGAACACATTACAGTATGGAATTCTGTGCAGGAAAATTTAGCATTTTGGGAGCTCTTATTGACACATTAAAGAAAAATTGTTGTGAATGCTGATTGTAACAGGTAGAGGAAGTTTAACATTTTGTGAGATCTTATCGACACAATAAAGAAAAAATGGTGTGAATGCTGATTATAACAGTTAGAGGAAATTTAGCATTATGTGAGCTCAGAAATGACACATTCAAAGAAAAATTTTGTGAATGCTGATTGCAACGAAACAGGCTGAGTTTAAAATTACTGACGTTGCTAAAATTGTCACCACGTCCTCTTTCCTGATCCACATCAGTGGCGACTACATCTACACATGAACAAAAATGTTTTGTCATTTTTGTATGTCACCACAATGAATAACAAAAATCTTTTTTTTTTTTTTTTGCAGAAAATTGATTCCTACCTGAACCTGTCCAAGGAGATCGCCTCCTTACATATTACTGTTCCTCTAAATATGCTCTGTTTGAATTGTGATGATGTCAACCAGGAACTATCTGCCCGTGCTGCACGACTGGCTGACAGAATGATACAGTATGTTGTGGATCAGAACAGGGACAAAAATAGAGGGTATGAACTTAATTCAGTTCCTTTTACCCTTCCTATTCAAATTAGGGCTGCGTTCCAAGCTGGAACTTGTGTGTTCGCACGAGTTGCCAGTTTAGCGGCTTGTGTAGGACTGTTAAGTTACAGGATGTATTATTTTTACGGTTTACTTTTTTATAGTCTGGAGTCAAAAAGAGATTAACATTTTCATAAAATATCACTCGTGCTTAATTGTATTATTGCACGAAGTGTTTTTTTCTGCGATACAAATTTTACTTCTGGTGACTACTTTATTATCATTCAGATCACCGAAAAAAATTGAGCGTGGAGCGATAAAGAGTACGTCAAAGAGTCGCTAATGTGTTGATGATTTGGTTTTTGAACATGCTAGCTACGTGTATTGCTCAAATAGAATTGCGAAATGCGGATCATTGTACACGGGAAGAGCCATTAGATTTTTAGGATGAAATTTTACATTTTCGTAGTTTATTGTAATCGGGTTTTGAAAGTAGCAGAGAGTTTTTCATCCTCTCTTGCAAGTAGTACATGTACGGTATTGCATTGTAAGTAGCCATGATTAAAGTGATGTTGATATTTGCCGTAGCTGGCCAAGTATTGCAGGCCTTCGGACTTGATGGTTGACGTAGGCCTCTTTATGTACAGGTTGTGTAAATCGTATGATGAGATATCAGACAAGGTGCAAGAGATGCCAGATAACACAAGCGACTTGGTAGCACTGACCCAGTTCTTGGAGAATGCCAGTTCTGTTACTGTCGTCAACTTACAGACTGCTGTTGATGAGGCTGGAGAGAGGCTGCTGTTTTTACTTGATTATGCTACACTTCCATGTATGTTTAAATTCTTTGAAACTTGTCGGTGATTGTGTTTTGACCGTGGTGAAGTGCAATGCTTAGTTTGGGCAATTTCAAGAAGATCGGATGAAGTTGTAAAGTTTTGTTTGAGAAGTACGATGGTTAGACTATTATTTTTTTCATTGTTATGTCGTGATGATTGTACTCTGTTTTCAACTACAGACGAAGACCTAAAACTGAACAGCACTGTATTTCACTGGCCCGAACATATTCAGAAAATCTTTGAGCTCAGCAAAAACCGAATAGGACACAGGAAGGATCTGGCTATGGATGAAGTCAAAAGAAAGTGAGTTTTGTCTCTCTCTTTAGTTAGTTGTTTTGAAAATTATTCGTGGCGTAATGTTGTTTAAGACCATAATCCGCAGTGAAGGTACAATTTTTTTAGGAAACACTCACAACAATATTTCTTTATGTTTGGCTGCCATATCTGGCGAAGGTCTATCACTCGAAACATCAGCTTTGGAAAATCTTTACAGTGGCCAATTTACGTTATTAACTCAGTTAATAACACCAAATTACCTTGTAGTACCCTCACTGACGCAGCACCACCGTTTCTTTAGAAACTCGTCCCCTTTTCCATCTCAGGTGTCTGGAGTAAAAGACATGTTACTCAGATAATGAACTCTACAATATTAGGTGATTTCTAAGCGGTTAATTGATGAAACTCAGCAATGAATAAAAGTTTATTTATTGGATGTTATGCAAACTGTACATTAAATATCGAAAGACAGTTGAAATAATATATTTTTCATTTTGAAACTTTAACCATAAGCATTGTGAAACTCTTTTCACTTACGATGTTCGTGAAATAATCTGTTATTGCATATGCGTGTTACATGTGAACCGTAAAAAGGTGCTATAAAGTGTCATTATCATCACTGTGGCTGTACAACACGATTAACGTTGGCAAAAGATATCATCTTTCTCTATTTCTTTACTGAGCTCAAAACTCACCATCTCTCTTATTCTATTTACAAACATGACGCTATCGCCATTGCTGATCCAGTAGCTGTATGCAGGACGCGTGTCATATGAACTTCGTAATAGACCTCGCTCACCGTAGAGTCTCTGTGGCTCAGTGATAGAGCATCGGTGCGCGGAATCCGAAGGTCTGAGGTTCGATTCCTTATGTGGACTCAGAATTTTTTCTTAGTCCCACGCTTGTGACAAGACGAAAAACATCTTTCTCGATATCACAAATTGCTCTCAAAAAAAAAATTTTAAAGCATGTTCAAGCGTATATTAAAAAATCCCTGATATGTTCTCTATGCAGAGTCAAGGCGTTTGAAGAGAAACTCAATGGGTACAACAAAGAAGTTGAAGCCTTTAGGAAGAAAGAGGCAAGCTTTAACTTTTTACTATTAAACTTATTTTAAATATATTAAACTATTACAAGTTTATTTTTTAATTGTACTCATATGATGGGCACACACCTGAGAGTGGTCAGGAGAAATAATGTTTCAGTGACTTTTCTCTGTGTTTAGACCTTTGCAAAATGATAATGAATTTATTTTTTTCTCTTTCTAGATCATGGCAGCTGATGAGATGAAAAAGAACGTTGAGAAGCTCGATGAACTAGAGGAGTCACTGAAAAAAGCGCAAGAGGAATTGATTGTATGTTTTGTTCCCTTGTTTACATCTGTGTACAAAACGAATGACCATAATCTGTTTTGTTTAATTGGGTAGAAAGGTGAACCCTTGTATACATGTATCCCGAAAGTACATCCCGATTTAACCCCTTTACACCCTTGTGTCAGTGTGCATATTTTCCATACTGTTTTCTCCACATTTCCTTACATGCTGACAAGGAAAATTTGTTTAACAATCAAGAGCTTCTCTAATTGGAAATCATTTCCTTTATTTTCATGACCTTAATATTTGATTTAGGGCGATAAAAGGGAGAAATTAGATGCCAGTCACTCTTTGCGGACTGAAAGGACTCATGCAGTTGGTTATATTTCAGGGCGATTGGAGAAATGTGTCAAAAAAAAGTCAGTAGTGGGACTTCAGAAATCTCTCAAAGGATAGGGTTTATCATTAGTTGGAGGAATGACTGTGTGCTTCCTTGAATTACACGTTTTTACAGAGAGTCAGTAACAGTAAATATACCAAATCTACTTATGTTAGATGTCGAGAACTAACATGCCTATAATTTGATTTTTCAAAGCAATTAAATACAGAAGAAGAATTACTGGAATTTGAGGCCACACAGTTCCCAATACTTCAGGCTATGATTGCATACAAAGAACCGTATGACAAACTGTGGAGGACAACGCTGTCTTTCCACAACAAGAACGAGGCTTGGCTCAATGGTAACGATGTGTTTTTATATTATTTGATGGATACTCTCGTTAAAACAAGTGGCAGAAACCGAGGTGCTTCTTTGTTTAGAATCAGTTTAAGGCCAGTAGACGCTTAAGTTGCGGTTTGAATGTCGGAAGTTATCCAGGATTGTACCTTTTTGCTTTTCGATGCTCTCTGATTGGCCAACGAAACTTGCGCCACCTTCGCAACCAATCAGATTCAAAGCTCACGCGCGTGCTACGACTTTTCACCCGCCTATTCCTTTGTTCTGATTGGCTGGTTTGATCAGTTTGGTATTTTGTATGACAACCATTAAATTGAAAAGTGCAAGCAGTTTCGCGCTCTTTTAGCGTATGCTTGTACTTCATGGTCCCATTGGCTCCTTTGGGTGTCAAGCTTCGCTCTGATTGGTTGTTTTATTACGCCAGGTTTGGTTGTTGAACACGAACAGCGCTAGCATTTTGCCGCGCTTTTCAGCTTGTACTTACTTCGTGTCCTCATTGGCTCCTTGTGGTATAAAGGTGTTCTCTGATTGGCTGTTAGAATTCTTCCAGGCTTTGTTTCAGGATACACGAAAAGCACTTTGTACAAGGCTATGACATTGATGTTTTTGTTTTGTTTTTGCTTTAAAAGGTCCATTTACGGACATAAATGCAGAGGAGGTTGAGGAGGAAATTGGTGGCATGTACAGAACAGTATTGAAATTGACCAAGACATTTAGTGATGCCCCAGGCCCCAGACGAGTGGCTGATAGTGTCAAAAGTAAGGTGGACAAGTTTAAAGTTCACATTCCACTGTTGCAGATCATTTGTAATCCTGGATTGAGAGAACGACACTGGGAACAGGTACCTGAGTTTTTTCTTAAATTCGTGGCAATAACGTTGCAAGATAAGTTTGGGTAATAAGTTTGCCTCTTCGCGTGTAGCTTCCTTTCATGTCAGCGGGAAAGGAAGGGAACACACCGTGTAATTCTTGTTTGTTACTTGAGCTTATAAAAATTGTGAGAAGTGTTAGGTGGACTTGTAAACTCACGGCTTATGCGCCAACAATTTGAGCTGATGAGAAATCAATTTCAGACAAGAAGCATCAAGTTTGCACAAACATTTTATCTGCTACCTTCTCTGAATTGAGCGTAAGTTTAAAAGGCATTTAAAACAGTAGGACGCCGGTACAGAGACTGGAGTAAACTTGCATCTTCGCGGTTTGTCCCAACGTGGGATTTTGTACCAGTTTTAAGTGTACGAACATAAAACAAAATAAGTGAATTGGAGTCACCTTGTAGTAATATGAAGGTCTCTTATTCGCATAAGTGCCCTTTCAACAGCCTCTTAGATTTCTGTGTAGCTCCTAATGAGATGTAACGTTGTTTTTTCAGATGAGTGAAGTTGTCGGGTTTGACATCAAACCTGAGCCAACGACCTCCCTCTGTAATATGCTGGAATACAATCTTCACAAGTTCACTGAAAAGTAAGGATGTCTGTATTAGTAGTCTATTTGCCTGCCTAGTTGTGAGAGTCGTTTAAGAATGGCACTTCACTAGCTTACATTGTACCTACTTATGTTGAACTTTGTTAGTATTAACTTGTCTCGTACATAAATTTCATGTATATTCATACACGGTATTCTTGTTACTTGATGGGTCAAGCTTTAGAGCAATTTTAAATCGAGTGTTAACAGTAATTCGGGATTGCAATCGTTTTAGTTCTGAGATTGGGCTTAAAAAGTCCAACGATACGCGTAGCCTTTCAAAGGCAAAACTAAAATCAATCGAAACTCGTCCCAGGCCGCCAACGTATTTCTCATAGGCTCTTTAAAATATGTTCTTTGTTTTGATTGGCCTTTGTGATGCTTTTATTTTACTTTTACGACATCATCGGAAAGCACTCTATCATGAGCTCCGACAATGTTTTAACCTTTTGACCCCCTAGAGTGACTATCATCTTATTTCTCCTTACAGTAACTTAACAGGGCGTGAAATTGCGCCTAATACAGGCGCCAATGCGACTAAATTTTTAACTTTGGCGACCAAATTCTGAAAATTAGTCGCCAAATTGGCGACTAGAACGTTTCATCAGAATCTTACCAAGAGATAAAGTGAATTAAAAAAATCTGCAAAGATAAATCCGCGGCAAACTTCCCCGTTGAGTTTGTTTCTAAAACGCCGCACTTGAAACTCTATCGCCATCTTGGATTTAGGTGAGCTTGAGCGTTGTATATCATCCATCCTGATGTCCACTTTGTAGCACGTTAAAGATCTTTTCCCCAACCTAATTTTGGAGGGTCTATCTAGAACGCTAACAGCGTAAAAAAGGGTTTTGTCTGTCTTTGAAAATGGCGACACCAACTTTTTTTTAAATTGGCTACCACTTTGAGGAATTTAGAAGCCAAGTGGCTATCAGAAAAAAAAGTTAATTTCACGCCCTGCAGTATCATCCCTGAATCACTCAGTAAGGTCCCGAGAATAAAGGAAATAATCAGCAACTTAAGAAGCTCTTGATTGTTTGACAAATTCTCCTTGTTATCACGGTAGGGAATGTACAGAGAACAGTATGGAGAATATGCATCTTGTAAAAGGTTAAACTGTGATACTTAATCGTGTTGACTTGTTCTTCTACAGACTTGATGAGATAAGTGGTGCGGCCAGCAAGGAGTTTGGTCTGGAGAAGGCCATGGAGAAAATGAAGGTTGAGTGGAAAGATATGTACTTTGAACTCATTCCCTACAGAGACACGGTGGGTTATTTTTAGCATTGATATTGTTTACATTTTCATTATCGTCGTCCTCCTCCTCCTCATCGTCATCGTTAACATCCTTCTTATTATCGAGATCATCATCGTCACCAGCATCATCCTCATCATCCTTTTATTTCTCTACTTCCTACTTCTTACTTTTGACGACATTTTCTGACTGTGAATGTATGAAAATCATTTATGTGAACTGCGGATAAAGAAGTGAACTTTGCAGTCATGAACACTACTTGAGCAGTAGTGAAAATAAGGCCTGAAGAAATTGCAGGCCTGTACGGTATCGTAGAGGTCATGGGTTCAAATCCTGTACAGGCCTGAATTTTTTCAGGCCTTATTTTCACTACTGCTTACGTAGTGTTCATTACTACGAAGATCGCTTTCATATTCACGACGTTTTCTGTTAGTCTCTTGTTATCTCTTTCTTCATCCACATCGTTCTTGTCTTTGTTCGTAATACTATTATACAGACTTGAGGCTACGTTCAAGTGCAAACTTGAACGGTAAGATGTACGTCTTGGTTGTTTAATTTTGTTCAAAACAAGAAATGTATCCTACAGAATATTTTGAAAAATATGTCCTCTTCACAACGCCATTGCGTGAGCTATTGTATTGTTGCATGCACAACTGATAGCCGTTTGAGTTAAGGTAGTTTTAATCTCTAAATTTCCTTATCATTTACAGCTGCTCGTGCATTCTTCATAGTTTTTCTCATTCTTGTATTGAACAAATTATTGATGTTTCATTAATGACTTGAAGTCAGGCAGTGATATTTCAAATAACCATTTTGATATTTTTCTCCACAGGGTGTGTCAATCCTGTCCGCTGTGGATGATATTCAGCTGTTGCTTGATGATCATATTGTCAAAGCACAGACCATGAGTGGTTCTCCGTTTATTAAACCTTTTGAGGCAGACATTAAGGTTTGTTAATTTATAGGCAACTTTATAGACACATCTATTCCTTTAATATTGTGAACATACTTACTGGACATTGAAATGATATTGGAGGAGTCTGCTGAGTTGATAAAAGACTAGATCGTGTTGATCGCGAGTGCAATTTTGTAGTCTTTACTGGTGCTTATTTACACCAAATTGCACTCGAAATCATGTAATTACTTGTTAATAATTTTCATGAAAAACAAATCACAGAATATCAAGAGAGACGAAATTTTGACAGCGCGCGCGCTTTTTGTAATTTACACTTGCGTTACAACTTTGCATTCGTGTACATGAAAAATGCACTCGTTTTCAGCCAATTAGACGCTTGTAATTTTTCCATATACATTATAAGAATCTAAAGGTGTACCAAGTTTGACAAATGCTGTAAAGGGGAGGAGAGAGGGAACAGGAAGACTGAAATTGGTGGGAGTCAAGATGACCGAGGGTGTATGTCACATGTACTTCGATGCTTGTCGAAATTATACGATCTCTCATTTTACACGAGATTTTTGATGCCCGAAAGAATCTGTTCTATGAAGTCAGTCCTGAGCGTAATTGTTGCTCGTTGGCTTTTAGGAATGGTGCGAAAGGCTCATTGAAATGCAAGATATCATTGATGCATGGCTCAAGGTTTGTTATTTTATTGATTGGGACTGTGCTTTATCAAAACATGGGTACCACAGACGGCTACCTTTATCTTTTGTTTATCTGAGTAGGAGCTACTTACAAGCCTATGGCGACACCTTTAAGGTTAAAACTCCCAGAAGTTATTTGGTGCTGTGATCACGAACGCAGAATGATTATTAAAAGTGATTTTTACAAGAAGTTTTTATTCGAAATTGTTGATGTGAGATTTTTATAACGAAAGATCTTTCAACTTTTGGTAAAGCTTTGTCCAACGTTTTCTTCAGTTGTTTTCACCATTTTTATAAGATTTTACAGGGAATATTTTCAGCTGCAATAGGTGCGTTTTGGAGGGGTTTAACCCTATCGATAAATATGAAACAACACTTACGAGTTTAAGAGAAAGTTACAATACGGAAAGTCCACTAAAAAAGCGTTGAACTGAATTGTGATTTACAAAGGTACTTGTCAGGCTGACCCTTTTGTGTGGTTTGAATAAACATCCTTGATATTCTTGTGGATATGTTTATTCTAGTGTCAGGCCACATGGTTGTACCTGGAACCGATTTTTAGCTCAGAGGATATCATGGCACAGATGCCCGAGGAGGGAAGAAAGTTTGGAATTGTAGACAGCTACTGGAAAGACATCATGAGTGAAGCGGTGAGTTAGTGTGTTTTAACTATTAAAACTGATATATTTTCTGAGAAACAGTCTTTCCTAGATATGGTTTGAAGCTTCCCCTTTGTAGCTTTTCTCAGTTTCGGAGAGCAGTTGTCGGTTAAGTGTGAAAATTAATCCCGGATTGCATTCATTTTGCTTGCTTCGCTCTGTTCTTGGCCTGGAGAACTCGGGTTACCCCTGCTAATCAGATGCAAAATTTAAACTAATCGCGACCTAGTCACTCGCCAGCTTTTCGCGGGTACCAAGCAATTTGCATATTTTCAGTTTCGGTGTTCATTGTTACTTGCTTGTGTTGTGACTGACTGCTTATATTTCATTGGTTAGTGCTTTGGGACTCCTAATCAAAGTGTGCTTTCGTGTGAAGTTTTGTTCAGGTATTAAGAGAGTAAAGTATCATTGGTATAATTGGGTTTCATGGTGGCACTGATAGGGAGCGTTTTTTTACCAGGGAAAAGACACACAAGTGCTTGTGGCTACGGCTCAGCCTAACATGTTGGGAAGACTGAATGAGGCTAATCAACTGCTTGAGGAGATTCAGAAGGGTCTTAATGCCTATCTGGAGAAGAAACAGCTCTTCTTTCCGAGGTAAAATAACGATTAAACGATCAGCTAATTCATTTTGCTAGCAGCGTGGAACAGAAAAATAATCTAAGTCGTCTTGAGAAATCGAACCACTGAACCTCGGATACTGGTTAATTTTAAATTTGTTTTAATTGTGTGCTAGGTTTTTCTTCTTATCAAATGACGAGTTGTTGGAGATCTTGTCAGAAACCAAAGATCCTCTACGAGTACAGCCGCATCTGAAGAAATGTTTCGAGGGAATAGCAAGACTTGAGTTCACAGAGGATCAGGAAGTGGTGGGAATGATCAGCGCCGAGAATGAAACTGTTCCCTTCTCCACTAAAATCATCCCAGCCAAAGCTAAGGTATATGGTTACGGATCAATATCAGTATTTCAGCAACTGCCCACCTACCCCTCCCTTAACCCAAGATAATCCTAACTTGTTATCGGTTGACTGTTTTTTGAATTAGGGGAGGGGTAGGTGCGCAAATGCTCAGATACCGACTTTGATCCATTGGCTACTTCTTTACATCCAAAAATTTCCAGTGTCATCGTAGTTATCTCGGTCATGGGTGGTTGAGTTGTAATTTCCTTTACACTAGCTGGAAAAGTGAATAAGACGTCGAACAGTTCAGAAGTGAATTCTAAAATACATTTTTCAAAATATGCAAAATTGGAAAAGTTTATCGAAGAATAATTTGAAATAGCTTTCACTTCGTAGGTGCTACATCTAAAAACTCAATACTTAGTACCAACTATTTCAAGGGAATGATTCTTGATACTACTTAAACTTTTCACTCAAATTTCACGCCTTCATTCCATCTGTCAGTGTTTCATCTACGAATGCCTTGTCGGGTTTAATTAGGAGAATCACTGAGAAGTGCTGATCAATAGATTTCTTACGGATAGTCACGCACTAGAAGCTTTTCTTAAATGTATGATTCGGCTAGAATCTCAGTGATAATTTAATATTTAGAAGTCCCATAGATCGGATCTTTTTAAGGGCTAGTTTGTAGAAAGCAGAATTATGTATGACGTTTTGCACATACCTTACCAACTTCTCGCTGCTTTGTAACTGTAAATGCATATTTGGGTGTTATCAAGATGATTCAAAGTGCTGTTGTTATCTTTTTATAGGGAATGGTAGAGAAGTGGCTGATTCAAGTTGAAGAAGTCATGATCAACAGTCTCAAGAAAGTCACAGAAGATGCAGTAAATGCCTATAACCAGACTCCCCGGGGCAAGTGGGTCCAAGAGTGGCCTGGGCAGGTAAGACAGCGTAGAGTTAATTTCACCCACTGGCCTTTTTTCTTTTCTAAGTTAACTAAGTTTTGTTAACAAATTTTCCCCTCTGTTTGGAATTTGGATATTTAAGATTTAACTGAAACAAATAGCAGTGCATTTTCGTTTGATTCAACTAACTTTGTCGTACAATGAAAATTACATATTGTTTAATTTGTCTTGATCGCATTGACCGTAAATCTAAGAGGTTAAGTGGTTTGAGCTACTTTCGAGAAGATGTGTACAAATGAAAAGTGTAACAAATTATGGATGTACTTGAATTTTGATTTCCTTAGATCATTTTGGCTTGTAGCGGTATATTTTGGACTTCCGAAGTTTCACAAGCCCTACTGGAGAAAGATGGCTTAAAGGTAATGCGCGATTTTGAACTGCGCACTAAGAGGCACCGTTTTCTAGTGGTACATCTACCCTTTTGTGGATTAATATCAATTATACTCCTCAGCTTTAACCCGAACTTCAGCTGAAACTGCTTTCTATTTTTATAATCCCCGCAGCAGATACCATGACCTTCTACCGTCGTTGATTCAGTTGTATGTGTATCTTTTCAGAATTACCTTGCCAAGTCTAATTCTCAGATCGAGACCATTGTTGCCCTTGTCCGAGGGAAACTGGATTCTGGTATCAGGATCACGCTTGGCGCACTCACTGTAATTGACGTGCATGGTAAGGAATTCAGTTATCTGTTTCTGCTGGTGGGAAATTTAAGACTAAACGGATCCTTATGCCATTTTACCTCATCGTCAAGCATTCTTGTTTTGTATTAATTATGCCAACTTACCAAACTTTTTCATGAGGTATCCTTCTTTCGAAAAAGGTAATATGAGTAGTACAAGGGGACACCATGGCACACAACCAATCAGAGAAGTGTAGTTTTTACCACGAGATGTATAATCCTCTTCTTTGATTGGTTGTGTACCACAGTGCCCCCTTTTTCTACTTATCTGAATTTTGCCGTCCCAAAAATGACAATAACTTGGTAATAGTAACTTCATTGGTCAACGAACTAGTAAAGATGACATCGCTCTTTACTAAGCTTATCTCTGATTGGTTTACATTGCGGGCGGAGGGGGGGGCGGTTCTAGAGATGATCTGTGCTGTAACTTGCTATCCAATCATTAATTACTGATTCACATTATCAGCTCGTGATGTGGTGGCAAAGATGTATAAAGATGGAGTCAACAGTATAAATGATTTCCAATGGCTGTCACAGCTCAGATATTACTTTGAGGAAAAGAAGACCATAGTGCGAATGATAACAACCAGTATTGACTATGGATATGAATACCTTGGTAACAGTGGTCGTTTGGTGATCACACCTCTCACCGACAGATGTTACAGGTACGTTATGACCTAAGTTTGGTTTTTGATGTTGTCTCCAGTGGTAAAATCCTGAAATTTCTGAAAAAAAAACATATTCTGTCGAGTAGTTTCGAAGAGGGGACCCAGATTTCCTTCTGTCTTCTCTTGATTCGGTGCTAAACAAATTATGTGCTTTGGTTCACAGAACTCTGATGGGCGCCATTAAACTCAATCTTGGTGGCGCTCCCGAGGGGCCTGCCGGGACAGGTAAAACAGAAACCTGTAAAGATCTGGCTAAGGCTGTTGCCAAACAGGTTTGTTAGTTTGTTTGTTTTTCTGCATAGCATACATTTTCAAATGTCAATGGTTTATCATTACGTTGCAATTTTTTTTCTTATTTTAAGTGCGTGGTTTTCAACTGTTCCGACGGCCTCGACTACAAAGCCATGGGTAAATTCTTCAAAGGATTAGCGCAGGCGGGGTGCTGGGCCTGTTTTGACGAATTCAATAGAATCGAACTTGAGGTGAGCTTATCTCTTTTATCGTTTATAGCCTGGAAATACTTCTAGTCTTGAAAAATCTTCCCCAGCCGACCTGCCTTATCCTTTTTGTTTGTTTGTTTGTATTTTGTGGCATTGCAAGAGTTCGCGATGTTGCAGGTCCTAATTTTTTTTTTCCAAGTAACGACCTTGGGAAGCAGCCGTAGGACAATCTAAGTTTAATTTACGTAAGATCAGCCACCTCTTCTAAATGGTACTTGAATCTGCTTGTAGATGACAAGCTCAGTTCTTCTTAATTTTATAGCTTGTCACATAGCTCTCTCAACCCTGTGACCTCTAAGAGTGACTGGCATGTAATTTCTCCTTACAGTATCACCCTTGAGCCAAAAATTAAGATCACCTAATAAAGGAAATGATTATCAACTAAAGAAGCTTTTGATTGTGAAACGAATTCTCCTTTTCAGCACCTTAGGAAATGCATAGAGAACAGTATGGAGAATATACATATTGATCATAGGGTGTAAAGGGTTAATGCGACGTGTTTTTCGACAGGTGTTGTCTGTAGTAGCGCAACAGATTCACACGATTCAGAAAGCTATTGCAGACAGAAAGGCGAAGTTTATCTTTGAGGGAACCGAACTTGTGCTCAACCCAACTTGCACAATGTTTATCACGATGAACCCTGGCTATGCAGGGCGACAGGAGCTGCCCGATAACCTCAAGGTACCTTGTCTTCGAGCTCGTGAGCTTTTTAATTGTTAAAGTGACTTTCACTCTCCTTCTCGGCCACGATTTGTGACGTTGTGCAACGCTCAAGCTGGGACAGCGTTGTATTACATTCTGAAGAACAGTACCGGTCACGAACACTGTCTCCATTATTGTGACTGACGTTAGTGGCATATGTAGGACTGCGCATGTACAATACCCTTTTGTTTTCGCCCTTAGGTGGTGATTTACAAAATGTTCTGGTGTTCTCTCAACAGCCCATCTGTGCGATAAAATGATAGTGTGTTCTCTTGATTTTCTAGAATAGCTATGGGTTTGCTGTTACGATAATCGATCGGTTTTGAACCAATGGGAGTGACTGCGCTATTTCTATTATTTTTATGGGTTATCAATCAACGTCATCTTTACCTCAGGTTCTTTTCCGCACCGTGGCGATGATGGTTCCTGATTATGCATTAATCAGTGAAATCTCTCTCTATTCCATGGGATTCTTGGACGCACGAAGGTAATGCATTCTCTTCTGCTCATGTATACTCCGTGACATATTATATGATTCCCTATCATTAATATAATACGTGGGGTGATGTACCATTGCTTTAAGTGAGGCCCTAAAATTCTCAATTTGATGGATTAATCTTCCAACCATTCGTCGATCCACTGCATCAGCCTGCAATGTGCCGAGGAGGGCATTGAAGATAAGTTGATCAAACACAGTTGTAAATGCCCTTCTTAAAATAAAAGTATCTCGTCCAACATTATTATAATTATTGCAAGTATATGACCTTAGTCCAATCTCAAGAAATACTGGAAATTGCTAGTCCTTTGTAGCTTGTCTTTAGGGGGTCTATTTAACGAAACAAATGCAAATATAGGAAGATGTCAAGGTGACTGGTTTTGAAAGTCGCTAATGATTGGTTATAGCCAGGGAAACACAGTTGCGCTGCAGTTTGTGTCGGGAGTTCTCTCTGAATTAGCTTTTGTGCTCATTTATAGTGACAGGCTAAATCAGTAGGGTCTTTCTATTGGCCAGTTAGTTCAACTTGACTGGAACGTTAGCAAAAAACAAAAAACAAACCAAAAGTATGATTATTATCTCAGGTAGGATAGATAAAATTGTTCAACAAGTGAGGAGTTAATTTTTTTCGCGAAGATCACTTATTACTTGTCCTCTCTTCCACCAGTCAAAAATACGATTGAAGTCAGAGACGCCATTTGTTAATTTATGGTTTGGCTTTGTCTGAAGTAGATTGTGTTTTGCTGTTTCTTAGTTTGGCACAGAAGATTGTAGCTACGTATCAGTTGTGTTCAGAGCAGCTCTCGTCGCAGTCTCATTACGACTATGGCATGAGGGCTGTCAAGTCTGTTCTTACTGCTGCTGGGAATCTCAAGCTTCGTTATCCAGACGATGATGAAGCGGAGCTTATGTTAAGAGCTGTATTGGAGGTCAATCTTGCTAAGTTCTTGGCACAGGTATACTTTCTTTTTGTTTGATTATCATTGCTTTTACTTGGCAATTTGGTAAGCCATGTTCTTTAGTATTGGTCTTGGTTTGGGAGTCAGTCGTTGGAGACTTCATATTCGAGAGCTTCACCTTTTGTATTGCAGGATGTGCCTTTGTTCGAAGGAATCATCTCGGACTTGTTTCCCGGCACCAGTTGGCCCAACCCTGACTACGGAGTGCTGATGGACGCTCTCAGAGAAAACTGCAAGATTCGTAATTTACAGGCGACAAAGTGGTTCCTTAAAAAAATAATTCAAGTATGTTTTAGATAGTGAGCTGATTGTTGTACACTCAGCTATTTTCAGTTAATTGTCAACTTTCCAATAATTAATTGCACTCTAAAGGGTGATCATTTTGATATAAGCTGTACATACCTTTTATTTCTAGGTTTACGAGATGATGATTGTCAGACATGGTTTTATGATAGTTGGAGATCCGCTCGGAGGGAAGACAATGGCGTTCAAGGTAAGTAGTAAGCGTGACTCCAGGTTTCGTAGTTCTGGACACACTTTAAGTCCGAACCACCTCTTCAATTTCAGTGCCAACTTATCAAAGTGTAGTGATGGTTGATAATGTAAGAGGTGATCACATATGATGTTTCTCTAGGTGCTGTCTGATGCAATGTCAGATCTCAAAAAAGCAGGATATCCGTATCAAAAGGTAAGCCCTAATAACATTAAGATAGCTTCGTTCAGCTTTTCCGTTAAGCCCGATAATGTTTATGATAGACATGTTAAGATGGCCAGATTGTTTATGGCTTTAATTGGTTGCCGGTTAGATGGGAACATTTGTCACCAAGAACAGTTTTTCTTTTCTCGTATCATTACCTACAGGTGATTTACAAGATCATAAATCCCAAGTCCATTAGCATGGGTGAGTTGTATGGCTGCTTTGACCCAGTCTCCCACGAGTGGTCAGATGGTGTCCTAGCGAACTCTTTTAGAGAGCATGCGTCGTCCACCACAGAGGACAGGAAATGGTTGATCTTTGATGGGCCTGTAGATGCTGTTTGGATCGAAAACATGAACACTGTGTTGGACGACAACAAGAAAGTACGTATCCAGATAAAGTTTACTCAACTTAAGGACGTTTTCAATTTAAATCACTCATGGTATTCACTTTTCTCTGAAACATATAACATGACGCATAACTGGTAAAACTGTTTAGTGCTTTTCTGAAGGTTTTTGTTTAACGTCCACGTGAACAGAAAGTTGCGGTTTCTTCCTCAAGAGACGTTCGGTAAATCGATTTTGATGTTTCATCATCTTGATACCCTGTACTGAATGCCACTATGCACAATTGCAATATGCATGCGATTGCGCTTGAAGGAGTGGTGTCATATGGGTTGAAAGCTCCACTTTTCCTTCAATTTTTCCCTTTGCCAATAGAATATCGACTATTAAATTAAATTGTACGTAGACTCGATCGCCCTTTTTTATTTCAAAAAAAAAGCAAAGCCACCATTCTTATTCATGTATTTTGAAAAATGGTTGCAAAATGAAACTTACGTTCTTCTTTCTCTTTTTGTCTCCAAAAAAAACGGTCCTAGTAATAAAAATTGTTTGACCTAAAGGTGAACATTTACATGGTTTGTCATGAAAGCTCATGCAGTCATGGCGGCGTTTTGTTTTCAGTTGTGTTTGATGAGTGGTGAAATCATCCAAATGAACAACAAACAGAGTTTGATATTTGAGCCTGCAGACTTGGAGCAAGCTTCTCCTGCTACAGTCAGTCGTTGTGGTATGATCTACCTTGAACCACACCAGGTAAGAATCGTGCAATTATAACTCTTATACAACTGATCTAGTGCTGAACTAATCACAACGGTCAATCAGAGTGAAGGAAAATACCTCAAACGGCCAATGAGAGCTCAGAGATGAAGGAAACAAACTACCCGTAGCGCGGGAAAACGCAAGCAACTAAGTCGCGATCGGATTTAGTTTAGCATATCATTAGTTGAGAGGGGGGCAAAAGTTTCCTTGACTATTAAAGCGAAACAAATGCTAACTTGGTTACTTAAGACACCTTGAAAAAGACTCAAAACTAACAAGATTTCGACGAAAGTTTAACCTAGAAAAGTTGTCGTCCGTGCTGCACAGTAGGACTATACGCCAATTCGTTCGAGACGAGTATATTGTTCAATTGATCACATTCTAGGATTTGAACAAGGAGACAAATTGTTCTCAATGCATGGACCGCTAAAGTCCAAATTAATAAGGACACATAATTCGCACTTATGAGGTCCATCCATTTGGAAAAATTGAAATGACCAAATTAAAAAGTCTTTTCTACGATCATTTAAACAAGCTATCAAAAAAAAATGGTTGTTGTTTTCAAGGAAAAAACTTGTCAAGGCCAACCCATGGTTATCCTAAACACTGCGGTCTTCTCAGTTTGTTTTTGTGGTTAATTAATTTTGTTCATTCCTTAATTTTATTAAGCTTGGTTGGGAACCACTGATGGATTCCTATATGAACACGCTTCCTAAGAGCTTGAACGCGGAGCATTTGGAAACCATCAGAGCCTTGTTCATGTGGCTTGTGCAGCCATGTTTGTGTAAGTAGTGATGGCAACATTTAAAGCCGAATGCCCGAAACTTTTACATATAGCCATTCATTTGTGTTGGCCTGACCGAAGAATTTGATGTGGCATGCAAACAGGAACACTCCAGTTGGTGATATTACTCATTCTTATTATTTGTCAGCACGATAGTGTATCGGGATTGCCACGAGAATTTTTTACGGCTTCTAGCCGAGATTTTCAAACTATTTACTAATTTCAGACAGCAGTTTGACTTATCTCCTTCAAAGTTCACTTGTAATATCAAAAACCTTCACGCCCCTATGCAAAAGAATCAAAATCATGTTCGTCCTTCGAGCAACCTGTTTTTACTTTCAGCCTTTCTCCGCCGTGAGTGCAAGTTTTTCATCAATACGTCCAACATGCATCTCGTGAATTCCTTTATGAATCTGTACACGTGTTTGTTGGATGAAATCGCCATGCAAGATCAAGCTGAAGGCGCTGACAGAATGTCAAGCTCACAGGTATGTACAATATGAACCGACACGATCCAAAAGTGTTATTATCCTAGTGACACGATGTGAGTTAACTTGATTCGAGTCATGTTAAGTGACATTACACGCACAGACGTTTTGTCACGTGTACTGCAACCGTATGGAAACTACATATGCTTCTGGCGTGGCGCGCTGTGACAACTGGAAAGCCTTTGTTTCAGTACTTTATAGTAAGTGCGAGACCGGCGCTACCGCTGGCATTTTATACATAGCAATACGACGTGACAGTACACGACATCGCACGAGGGATATCCGTCTGGTGCTAAAACCTTTGTTTGGCTTAAAGAGTTTGATGCGAAAATTTATTTTCGTGCGACTTGAAGCGGCTTTTTTTTTGGCTTCTCTTTGAAGAACCTTTTATCCAGGATCATGCAGTTTATGATATATATTTTTTATTTATTTTCATGTTCTGTTTCATTTTTGTATAGATCACCAACTGGCTTCAGTGTCTGTTTATCTTTGCCCTGGTTTGGTCCATTGGTGGCACGATAAACGGCGACAGTCGCAAGAAGTTTGACGCATTTTTCAGATTGCTGATCAGCGGAACAGATAAAGATCACCCCAAACCCAACAACATCAAGATGACCAAGGTAACAGGACGATTTTATTCTCGAGTATTGTACAAAACCAGGCCAGTGAAGTTATAATAATCCAACGAGGAAAGTGTGCTGTTGATATGGCGTTTTGTACTCAGGATCGAGAGGTCATTGTTCTGCGTTCCTGTTTATGATACTCTCTTCGTTTCACTGTATATTTTTCCGCTCAGGAGTATAAATGGGCACCAAAAAACTGTCTGGAAGACCTGAAGAAATTCTTGACTAAGGGGGGGGAGGGGGGGGGGAGAGGGCGGGCGGTGTGAATCTGTAATGGAACAGTTCCTCATAGAGGGGGAGTGGCAGTATTTAGGTCTGAACTTACTCATGAAGTAAAACCAAATGAATATTCTTTCTTTTAGCAAAATGTGTTTCCTGATCGTGGAACTGTATACGACTTTTATTTCGTGAAACAAGCCAGTGGCTCATGGAACAACTGGATTGAAAGAGTAGACAAAGCAAAGAGTGCCATTCCAAAGGATGCAAAGGTGTGTTGTCGTCTGCCCCTTCCCTAAAGCTTCCTGTTATTCCTGCGGGTTGTAACTTGCCCTATTTACAGTGGCACAGGCCTCTGTTGATATGTTGTTCCTCGCATGAAGACTTCACTTTTTAAGCCCGGCAATACATGGCCCTAGAAAATTGGTTTTTTTTCTTTTTGCTCAAAAGGAAGCTTAGAAGGTCTCAGTTTTTCATCTGACTGGTTGTCATTTCTATACTCGGGTCAGAGGATAATAAGAAGCTTGTTTTCCAATTCGAAAATTAGCTCAATTTACTCAAGTAATTGTCTCAGTCTAACCTATCCAATTAGTACGAACCTGTACTAAGCGGCACTGTATTAAGCGGGTCGGTTTTCAAAGGCCTGAATTTTTTTCATCCTAGTCACCGTTGTTTTCACCTCTGTTAAGCGGTCACCTCTATTAAGAGGACGTGGTCACCAATGAGCGAGTCCTCATGGCCTGTTTGTATTGTCCTCGACCTGTGCTGAACTGTCACTTATTGTAGAACCACTCAAACAAAACTAAGAATAATCTCTCAGATAAAATTAAATCCATGTTTATCTTCCGAAGTCAAAATTATAAATATTCTCGAGCGAGTTTCTGTAAATTGAGAGATGGTGCAGGTTTGACTGTATTAAAACATTTTCAACTTGAATTTTCACTCAAATGAAAATTTGTCCCATGGGAGTTAGACTTTGGAATAGCTAGGATAGAAAAGCACCAGGATTTTAAAAAGTTTAAAACAAGGATTTTAACACTTTGTCGGATTGACAGGTCAGCGAGCTGATGATTCCTACAGATGAAACTGCTCGGCAGATGTTTTTCTTGGAAGCTTTCCTCACTCATGGGAAACCATTGCTGTTTATTGGTCCGACGGGAACAGGAAAGTCCGCCATTACTAACAACTACATCGTGAGGATGCCGAAAGAAAAGTAAGCTGTCCACGATTGTGTTGGTTATTTTTGTATATGAAAGAAGTATTGATTGAAGAATTTGAGAGGTGAATTAAGAACGATATCCATTTACACCCCTTCTGGTTATTGTAAAGACTAAATAAATGATTAATAGAATACATAAATATATAACACTGGCTTGGAGACCTTTTGAAGATTACATGTTTGTAAGCAAAAGACAGCTTTTACATTTAATTTCAATCGTTTAATTAGTTTGACTGATGCAAGATTTTCGTCAAAGACACAATTGAGTTGGCCAGCCGTTTCACATTTTGAAAGTCAAGACGAAGTCTGAATTCAATAAGGATAAAGCTGTGATAAATTTATGACGAATTATTGCATATATTTCAGGTATCTTCCGATCAACATAAATTTCTCAGCGCGAACCAGCGCAGGCCAGTCCCAAGACATCATTATGGCCAAGCTGGACAGGTGAGACTGATCAACTTGAAAATTCTTTAACTTGGCCACGAACGTTCATATACTTCTTAGGAGAATATCAGTGTTTATCACTATGGTTAACTTCACCTAATTTCTCGTATTTTTTTATATCCTTTAACCCTTTTTTCGTAGTATTAAGTGATTATAAGCGTATTTCTTGAATCAAATTTTCAAATTGAAAGCAAAACAGCAATGATAGTGTCATTTGACAATCTAATTGTAAACTTCTGGCCATGTTCATCTATTGCAGGCGTCGTAAGGGAGTGTACGGTCCCCCTCCCGGTAAGAAATGTGTTGTGTTTGTCGATGATCTCAACATGCCGTCTAAGGAGAAATATGGTGCCCAGCCCCCTATTGAGTTGTTGAGACAGGTAAGGTTGCGAATTAGTTGGAAAATCGCGCATGCCAGAAACTGGCTTTTGAATCCATGGCAATAGTTGACCCAATTAAAATGACGGTAATGAAGGAAAAAAAATATAAGAAAGCGGTGATGTCTTCTATTCACCACAAGGGTTATATAGCAAAGTTAAGCAGGCAAGTCTTACTAAAGAGCGCTAAACACAAGTAACGAGGCTACTATAGGGTATATTTCACAAAATACATTTTTGCTTGGCCATAGAACGACATCATTTTCCACCTGAATACCGGTACGTGTCCTCAAATAAAGCTTTGTTGCTCTAAACGTCTATTTCCTCCTTTTGCAGCGTTGTTTGTCGGGAGTTTTCTAACCTTAACCTCTGTGGTTAAGTCCTAACCTGAGCAGTTATCCCCGTCATTTTTCGTTTAAAACGACACTTCCCTCAGTTTCCGGTGTTGCTATGGTTTCGCGCTTGGGCCCGCAGAAGTTCGTTACATGCCAAGACTTGTCAGACCTGTCGTATTCAATCGGTTTTGACTTTGTTAAAAAATCTTAACGTCTTGCTTTTACACCACATTTTGAAACCAGAAGTCTTGCAAACTATAATAAATTTGTCATACGTTGCATGCTTGTATTTTGCGTTAAAATTAATTTTGTTCTTTTGTCCAACAGTGGTTGGATCATTCTCATTGGTATGACCGCAAGGATACATCCAAATTGGAACTCATGGATATGGTGGGTAGTCTTTGTAATTTACAAACAACTTTATTGGCAAAATAAACATTAATTTTTATTGTAAGAGTTTGTGGGAAATAAGATTTTCTCATGTTAAGTATGTTTGAAAAGGTTTTTGTCCGACATTTCGTATTATAGTAATTTTTTTTTGGGAAAAAATCCATCTCTATCCATTTGGCGACCGAACTAAAAAAGTTTACCATCCTTCTCTATCTCTTTCACACACGGCGCTTTTAGTCGTGGAAAGGAAAGTGCAGGACGCACGTCACATGTTAACATATGAATATGTAGCTCAGTAGAGGAGCATCGAAGATTGAACTTTGAAGGTGTACGGTTCGATCCCTCATGGGGACTCGATTTTTTTTCTTTACCCCACACTCGTGAGAAATGAGTAGCACCTTGTGATGCTTATTCGACGATCAAACTAGATAAGAATTAACGTCCTTCTTCATCTTAGCTGTATGGAAGAAGTGCCATTGTCTACGGGGTTGATCTGTCGATATTCCACTGTATTCTAGTACAAAGTATACAAACCTTTTCAAGCCTCATCTATTTCTTTATTTCAGCTGTTCGTGTCAGCCATGGGACCCCCCGGTGGCGGCCGTAATGATATCTCTGACCGGTTTACTCGCCATATGAATATCATATCCATTGACTCATTTGATGATAACACCATGACCAAAATATTCACCTCCATTGTGGACTGGCACTTTGCCAAAGGATTTGACTCTTCCTTTGGAAGACTGGGAAAGGTAAGGCCGATGTTACCATGGGGTGCGTATCCGTACATGCACTTTGATGAAAATTCTGAAATGAAATGAGTAGATTTGGATTTTGGTAGTGCTGGATTCACGAGGTAGGACTGCGGCTGCTTTTATTCGGTAAAATTGTTCATAGGGGTGTTGAGCTTTTGGAGTGAGGAAACGCGTAGGTTTGATTGCCACCGATTTCTCGAGTTCGTTCTTCGATCCACTTCCTCTTCGGGAAGAAGCGCGGGCTTGTTTCCCGAATAGCAGTTAATAAACGAGCCTTAGAAAGCAGAGAGCCTGGAGAAAACCTCTGGAGCAAGGACGAGAACAAAAACAAAACAACTCGATTCAAACTCGATCCAAACAGCGCGAGAATGAAAATGAAGTGTCAAAGGGTAGTTTAATGGCTTTACGAGTTGTTAAAATCTTGATTAACATTTTTGAAATAGCATACTTTGGGATTCTTACAGATCCTTGTTCAAGCAACAATGCACGTGTACAAGTCTGTCGTGGAGAAATTCCTTCCCACCCCCAGCAAGTCACACTACGTCTTTAACCTGCGTGACTTCGCGCGTGTCGTGTTTGGAGTGCTCCTTGTTCCCTCCACGCACCTCCAAGAGGGAGACAAGTTGATTAGACTGTGGATCCACGAAGTGTACCGAGTGTTTTACGATCGGCTAATCGACAACAACGATCGAGTGATGTTCTTCGAGATGATGAAAGAGACAACTAAACAACAGTTTAAGAAAGATATGGATGGCTTACTGGACCACATTGTACCAACAGGGCAGAAACTCAAGGATGATCATATCAGGTGATTTTTTTTGTCTTTTTAGAACGTTTTGTGGACACAAAACCAAGATGATCACAGCAACCACTCAGAATAAAATAGATCTCACAGGAAACGAATGAGAACTCGAAGTAGAAAACGGCAAGCTGCTTGAAGCGCGGAAAAACGCTGGTAACCAAGTCGTGACAGGTTTTGGCAATGCAAAGTGAGGTCAAACTAGTGCAATCCTGCATTGCTTTAGCAGAAATGATCTTGATCCTGGGCCGTAGAAAGTATGTTTTCTCCCCTGAAGAAAAAACTCTCGCTGATGCGCAAAAAAGCCCCTTTAAAATGAAACTCTCGCGAAATTTACACTGATGCCACAAGGTGTCATATGTTGATTGTGTTATGTTGTTGGTGTTTTTCAGGAGTTTATTTTTTGGTGACTACATGGTCCCAGATAGCGCTGAACGAATCTATGATGAAGTTACTGATATAACATTGTTGACTCAACAGATGGAAGGGTATGTGAACATTTATTACTCACTTTGTTGCTTTTTTTGCCGAGAATCGGTTTTGATCACCATTATGTGAAGAAGCCTTCGTAAGCTGATGTTTTCAGTTTGTAGTCGTGTAATACTTTTTAAAGGTCTGCCGGTTTCTCTAGAGCGTCCGTGACGCGCGCTTCTCGTGTGATTGCAGGTATTTAGATGAGTTTAATCAGATGAGCAAGACGCCCATGTCTCTTGTTATGTTCAAGTTTGCCATTGAACACATCTCGCGAGTAGCTCGAGTGTTGAAACAAGACAATGGACACGCTCTTCTTGTTGGTAAGCACTTGGACTGTTGTGACGCAGATTTCAGTGAAACCAATTTTTTTTTCGATTGAATGTTATAAGAGTAAACCTATGTTATTACTTTGGCCTATCTGTACAAGGGTAGAAAACAAAAAAAAGTTCAACCCGGAAACAGGCAAACTGCCTAACGCGCGGAGAATTCTGATATACTTCGGCACGGGATTAGTGATCGTTTTTTCGTCTGATTGTTTGGGAAGGTGCTGTGGCGCGCGTTCTCAAGACCAGTCACGTAGCTGATTGAAGCAAATTGATTGCAATGCTGTCAGTAATCTCGATACTCAAAATTGCTTTACTTGAAGATAGTTATTGTACCAATCAACCAAAGCGCAGTTCTTGATGACCAATCTCTTTAATAGAGAGTAGCATAAACAAGAAATAGGAAGTCTTGGAAAACAACGGAAAAGTAACGAAAACCAAATATAAAGAGGCACGTTCTCTCGCGCTAAATAATTAGTAAATAAAGCAGAAAGTGCTTTATTTTCATATATTTGTAGTAATCTTGTAAGTATTGTTTTTCAGGTATCGGAGGTAGTGGTCGTCAAAGCGCAACCCGTTTGGCTACATTCATGGCGGACTATGATCTTTTCCAAATTGAGATCACTAGAAACTACACCAAGAATGAATGGAGAGAGGACGTCAAAAAGGTAGCAGAAAGGATTTTTCGGTTTCACTCAAGCATTGTTCATTATACAACAATTCTTACCACTGTGAAGTTTGAACCTTGAGCGTCCAAATTAGTATAATCTCTTCAGTTTAAAAGTGTCATCCTGTAGTAGTCATCTATTTGTTTGTCGTTTATCGCAGAGGGTATCGATTAGATGACACTTGTTTTTGACGGTTGAATAACTTTCCACTTTCTTGCAGATGCTGATCAAAGCCGGAGTGGACGGAAAGCAAACAGTGTTCCTATTCAGTGACAATCAAATCAAGGAAGAGTCATTTGTGGAGGACATCAACATGATTCTGAATACTGGTGATGTTCCAAACATCTTTCCCGCAGATGAGAAGGCGGACGTTATTGAAAAGATGCAAACTGTGGCCAGAGTAGAGGTAAGGAAAAACAAAGCAGTGAACTTGAGCTTTAATATAGACGCAAAAGAGCCTCAGAGATCATTTGTGAGGGACATTTAATCCAAGTCCACACGGTCTTTTCCCTTAATATTCAAGAAAGAACCCTTGACCAGTAAAATATGAAGCCAAAAAGGCCCCAGTTATAGCTTGTTGCCTTAAACAGTCAAAATATTTTCTAATTAAAGCGTGAATAACTTAATTATTGTTAGTGAATGATCCTACGTATGGTCCGTTTGCCGGTAGAGGAAATGATCTTTTATGACATCCAAAGTAATAATTATATCTAATTTTCTGCTGAATCAAAACCTTTGTAAATCACTGAATACGAGGTATGCGAAAAAACGCACAAAAACCACAAGTCAAACGCGTGCGCGCGCAATGAAATCTGTACTCGAGCTGACGTGTGCAGACGTCATCGCATTTGATGATTGTGACGTCAGTTAAATCCGTTTTTCTTCTCTAGGAACAAGGCTGGTTAAAACCACAACCGATCAAAAGCTAACTTTTTCACGCCTGAGCTAACGTGTCTCTAGAGGAAATCAGCGCTACGTTGGCGACCGCCTTATTGAAACCACCTAGCTAGTCTGTAAACCGCATTCTTCATTTTAACAGTGTTTTGGAAAGAAGAAGAGACACAAGAAAGAAGAAAGCTTTGAATACAAAGAAACTGCATGAACAATTTTCTTTCAATGATTTGTTTCAGCGCGCATCGGAAGCAAACGTGTTTTCCTTACAATACAGCGAACAACCGTTTAAAAGTAAGAAGCACCTCATTTACAAATGTTTTGAACTCATACAGTGTTTTTTTTTCTTGCAGGGCCGTAAAATCGACGCCACCCCGCTGGCGATGTACAACTTCTTTATCGAGCGAGTTCGTGCAAACCTTCATGTGGTGTTGGCTATGAGTCCTATTGGTGATGCTTTCAGAAGCCGAATGCGAATGTTTCCTTCGCTCATCAACTGCTGTACCATCGACTGGTTCCAGGTAAAAACATCAGAGACTTTCAGTGAATAGACACATCTAGGGTTCGTCAGAGCGCAAACAACGAAAGGAGTGAATAATCCGTAATACTGAGCACCAACATTTCAAACAAGTGATTTTATCTCTTTACTTTTTTTAAACACTGCATCTATGTCAACTTGCGTTGTTTATTTTCCAGTTTATTTAAATTTGAGGGTCATAGGTTTATTGGTTCGCAACTGTTTAGTGTTACCGTCTGAAATTATGTCTTATTTTTTAGTATTATTATTATCATTATTATTATTATTTCTTTGCTCTATTCCGCTTTCCCGCTTTTTTCTTTTGAATGTTTCGCGTCCCTTTGCCGATATTATTTAAACGTTGTTTATTGACTGAACGGTAGGGAAAGGCTCTTCCCAATACTTCACAGTTTATTAATACTTTTCTTGGAAAGGTCCAAAGCTTAGCTGAGCTGAAAACGCAGCGACGTATACCAAAATGCAACTTAGACAGGTTCACTGACGCTGTAGTCAGGTTCCCATGATTATCGAACATAAATTTGTATGCGCGACATATCCGTCATGAGTTAACAGAGTGAAAGATCTGTGGGTAGATTCCTGTAACAAATTATGTCTTTGTGTCCCAGGCGTGGCCGGAAGACGCACTGGAAATGGTGGCCAATAAATTTCTTGAAGAAGTGGACATGGCTCATGAAGTTCGTAAGGAATGTGTGTACATGTGCAAGTATTTCCATGAGAGTGTCAGAGAATTATCAGACAGGTGAGTATGTTACAACTTATTTATGATAGGCAATAAGAAAGGTTTTTAGAGCGCTTTTCGGTTGAGTTTCGTCATCCAAAACCAAAAAGGATCCATCTACAGCTTATCATCTTTCGTTTTTCCACAGCTTTTACGATTCTCTCAGACGCCGAAATTACGTCACGCCAACGTCATATCTTGAACTCATCATGACGTTCAAGAAACTCTTGGACATCAAAAGGCAAGAAATAATGACACTCAAACAGCGTTACGTCACAGGTCTGGAGAAGTTGGACTTCGCTTCCTCCCAAGTATCTGTCATGCAACAGGAGCTCAGTGATCTGCAACCAGAGCTCATCAAGACTTCGGCGGAGACGGAAAAGCTGATGATAAAAATTGAACAAGACACTGTTGAAGTTGAAGCTAAGAAAGAGGTGAGGCCGCGATGGGTTTTTTCAAACGATCTGATTTTCGAGAAAGTCTAACTGAGATTTTTCTTAATTGCCATATATTTCTATTATACTTACTGTCAGGGAATAATATTTCTTTCCTTTTTGTTGTTTTTTTTTATCATTTATTGTGTAAATGGTTTTTTTAAATTTTGTTTTTCGATATGAGTTGTGAACCTGTAACTTATTAACCCTTACATTCCCTGAAGTGAGTAAGGTGTAACTTCTCCTTATAATTTCCATATACAATCCAGCAAACACGTAGTGAGAATACTCAAACATATCATTTAGAAGTTGTTATCGTGATCGAATACCAAATTTTCCCAACTGAATTGACAATCAGATCTTGGGAGTTAAAGGGTTGAATAGTTCGAGTCAAATAACTTCAAGTGTTTATGTGTAGACATTGTGCTTGTTGTCGTAGCTGTAGTTAAAGAAGAAATTTTTTGGCTTCCTGAAACTTAAAATGCACACAAAAAAACTGAAACAGGTTTAAGCTTTTTGGAAAACTTCAAAACTTTTTAAATTATAAGTTTGGATACCTCGTGGTCGTGTGTCCAGAGTAAAAACTGGGGTTTTTCAATAAAAGTGTTATTAGTATGGCATTTCTTGATTGTTCACTCTGGACTGTTAGGTTGTGGCAGCTGATGAGGCGGTAGCAAGTGAAGCAGCAGCTGTAGCCAAAGGAATAAAAGAGGAATGCGAGAGTGACTTGGCAGAAGCCATGCCGGCGCTAGAGGCCGCCATGCAGGCCCTGAACACACTCAAACCAAGTGACATTAGTATGGTTAAAACAATGAAGGTAATGGTTTTTTTTTTTTTACTCCGTGAAAATAATACCACTGCTGATTGCGTTTGCAGTAAATGTAGTTCTTCATCTATCTTTGAAACGGAGAATGTATGCTTTTTAACCAGTCAAAATTGAAAGTAATGAAAATTTGCGTTACATGCGTTTTCTGTTGCTTGCTACCAGGGGCCGGTTGTTGTAAAGGTGGTTGGCGATTTTTCAGGATTAGAAATTAATGTTTGTCTCTGCTTCTAACAGCGCTTGGAGTGACTATCGTCTTTTGAGGCATCCTCAAAAAGCGGCTTTAGGACATGACTGATTTTATCTTATTTGATTGGTTAGATCAGCTGGGCAGAATTGGATGTTTAACTTTAAAATTATGCTGAAAAAATTTTGATTTTTTTTCCGTGTATAAATAAAGTTACCAATCAATCAATCAATACTATCTTAGTTGAAGGCAGAAACTGGAATACGTTGTAACAGTGAAATTGGTTAAAACGCAGCAGTATCATATTAATTGAAAACTTACCCAAAACCTGGGTTAGCCTAATTGTATGTTGAATTTTCCTTTGAAACCCCTTGCCTTGCACTAACGCATTGCGTGCCTACATTTTGTAGAACCCACCTGCTGCAGTGAAGCTGGTCATGGAAGCTGTATGTATCATGAAAGGCCTCAAACCCGAAAGAAAGCCTGATCCCTCGGGCTCGGGACGAATGGTGGAAGACTACTGGGGTCCTTCTCAGAAGATGCTGGGAGACATGAAATTCTTGGAGTCTTTGAAAGTTTATGACAAGGACAACATTCCAGCCGCCATTATTAAAAAGATCAGAGAGAAGTAAGTTGTTCGTTTTGAGGTTTGCTTCTTTTAAATTGACTTCGTTGGTGAGGAAGCATTTCCCTTCTCTTTTTATTAAATGATATTTAGTTTTTACATGGTGCTAAAGGTAATTTCTACGAGCTCTAAATTGCATCGTGGTAGATCTTGTTATCATATATTGGCGAAATCACTTCTTCATAACGAAATTAGTTTTCAAGCGTCATACTTAATAATGAAAATTTTTTGGTTTTAAATGCTCATACTCTCGACTTGTTAGAATTTCTGTGTTGCTTTGAGTTTTCTCTTGCTCTTAGCAGAAATTCAGTTGGGTAGAGCCGAAATTTATGTACATTTTTGTCGCATTCCTTCCAACATGTCTTTTTGCTATCATTTTTTTTCCAGATATGTAACCAATCCTGATTTTGACCCCAATAACATTCGTTCAGTCTCTTCAGCCTGCGAAGGACTATGTAGATGGGTGCGCGCTATGGAAGTGTACGAAAGGGTGGCGAAGGTACGCTTGTATTATGTTTCCCTTAAGTCATTATGACAACGGGATTCTTCGTTGGTGCTGTGCGTCTTCAGTTTTAACGATTCACTAAGGGAGAGTACGAATTTACATAACAGAGGGTAATAATCCGGGAAGCGCGCCTATGTAATGTTACGAAGTACTATATATAAAGAGTAGTTTTACCTTGTGACCATAATTTTGCTATTCTTTATGGAGTGGACGACGTGTACGTAGTAACGGACTCTGTTCTTACTTCTATTGACTTCCATGACACGAAAGGTTCTTTTTCTCTTCGTTCAGGTTGTCGCCCCCAAGAAGATAAAGCTTGCTGAAGCAGAGGCCGAACTTTCCGTGCAAATGGAGAAATTAAACGCCAAGCGAGCTCAACTGAAAGAGGTTAGTTATTGCCAAGTTCTTAATAACAGATACATCTACATCCTCATACACTTGCACTATCTTCTTTTAGTATATACTGAAGGAGTGGACAGGTTTGAAGGTTCGCTCTGATTGTCCACTTAAACTCCGAATGTCCTTTGCGTTTCACCTCCGTGCAACTCGTGGGATTTGGGCCCGAAAATGTAATTGTAATCGTTGCAGGAATAATCAACTGGTAACTCTATTCTTTTTAAAACATAACATAACGCCATGTACGTTTTTTAGATCAAATTACACCGTAGGGCAAACTATGGTGAGAACTCTATTAATTTGCATTGTTCCTATTGGCTCTTGGAAGCACTGTCTGATAACCGTTCACCTTTATTCATTAATAACCTTTTGGACCTTCTTTTTCTTGCGAAGGTTGTCGATAAACTTCAAGCACTGAATGACGAATTTGATGCAATGACCAACAAGAAGAAAGAATTAGAGGCCAACATTCTGATCTGCGAACAAAAGCTGGACCGAGCCGAAAAACTGATTGGAGGACTGGGCGGCGAGAAAGACCGCTGGACTGAAGCGGCGCGGGTGCTGGGTGAGAGATATGACAGGATCACCGGTGATGTGCTTCTGTCCTCTGGGGTGGTGGCGTATTTGGGCCCTTTCACTGTGGACTTTAGAAACGTAAGTTGAAACATGTTGCATAGAGCAATGTTTTAAAAAAAACAGCTCACAAAAATTGTGTAATGATCTTTTTTTACATCATCTTATCACAATATTGCATCCTTAAGGCTGATATTAAGCTTAAATTGTGAGTTACATCGTGCACTTCTTAGCCACACAAAGGTGTCCTGTGAAAGTGTAGCCATGTCCACGGTTTGTATAGAAAGTTGCGTTTCGGCTCATTCGAAACAATGTTAACTTTAGCTTGCGTTTTTGAACATGAGTTTCCAACTGAGTTGGAGTCACTCCTTAAAAACAGTGTATCTTATTTCTGTTTTCGCTCTCTGTTCTCAGGACTGTATATCCAGTTGGGTAGAACAATGCAATGTTAAAAAGATCCCCTGTTCGGAATCGTTCTCTTTGAACGCGACTCTTGGTAGTCCGGTTAAGATTCGCGCGTGGAACATTGCTGGTCTTCCTGTGGATTCGTTCTCAGTTGACAATGGTATTGTTGTGGACAACGCACGAAGGTGGCCGCTTATGATAGATCCTCAAGGTACGTTTGAAGTTCAAGATCAACAACTCAATTCTTTACACAGTTTTCTACACAGCTTGCATTATTTTTGTAGAGAGAATTTGTAGCTAGATCTATCTGTGTTTTATCGTGTTATATTCAGGTCAAGCCAACAAATGGATCAAGAACATGGAGAAAGAAAACAAACTGTCCGTTATCAAGCTTTCTGACTCAAACTATATCCGTACCCTGGAAAACAGTATTACGGTGAGAGAAGAGTGAAAAAAAAATCGTAAAAAAGGACGAGTTTTGTTTGTATCGTGAGGGGTCCGTTAGGAGGGGGAAAACTCGAGGGCAAAAATCTAAACTTTATGATAAGGAAAGTTTTCTAAAGGTGGTTCGCACTGAATAAGAGCAGCGGAGTGGGTGTGAAAGTTCACGGTCCACCAAGAGTTGCAACTTGAAGTGGTTAGTTGTTGTTTACTTACAGCGCATGCTGAATTAGCCCCTCAGTTGTGATCTGAGCAACACGTTTTTCTCTGGTAAACGTTCCTTTCCAGCTAGCATGACTCTGAATTAGTGAAAACTCCTCTCTTTGTTTTCTTTGTTTAGTCCTTAGCTTCAGCGTAAACGGTTATAGCATGGACTTTTGAGTCGAATTGTAAAACTTCTCTTTGTGCCAGTAACAAAAACAATGAACGGATTTATGATCACCGCATTTCTATGGTAGATCGCCTCAGTTTTAAGCAAAAAGACACCCAGGAGAAAACCCAAACCCTCAAAGTAGTCGAAACTTTCAGAAGTATAATGAATTTTTCTTAATGAGTTGTTCGGTGTATTTAGTTTGGTACGCCAGTGTTGATGGAAAATGTTGGAGAAGAATTGGATCCTATACTTGAACCGCTGCTCCTAAAACAGACTTTCAAACAAGGCGGTGTAGAGGTATGTTGTTCCTTAGGACCCGAAAAGTTTTGGGGATTAAATAAAAATTAAGCTGATATCATCATAGAATGAAGGGGGTAGTTTTCTAAGGATACTGTGGTACTGAATCGGTGGAGGATATAAAAAGATGATTAGGTTTTATCAACTGAGTTGATAATGTAAATTGTAAGAGTTTCTAAGGCTGAAGTTTCGAGCGTTAGCCCTTTGTGTGATTGAATGTTGATAAAACCAAATCATAATCTTTGAATGATAAACCATTCTGTTTTCCGTGAAGTGGTGATTGGTTGTGCCTCAACTAGTAATAAATAGAAGTCTTGTCAGTCAATATCTTTATTTGTCGTTTTATCTTGCTTAGTACCTCAAACTCGGCGAAAACAGCATTGAGTACTCACGTGACTTCCGATTTTACATCACGACGCGCCTGCGTAATCCGCATTACCTGCCGGAAATTTCTGTCAAGGTGACACTTGTGAACTTCATGATCACTCCCCTGGGTCTGGAGGATCAATTGCTGGGGATTGTGGCCGCTAAAGAGAAACCTGAACTTGAGGAAAAGAAGAATCAGCTTATTTTGGAAAGTGCTGCAAATAAAAAACAGGTGCGTTATGAATAGTGTACTGGAGGGAATTGGGATGCTAAGGTCCTGAGGTAATAGCTACCCCTGGGATTTTCATGATGATAAGACAACATGAAATACCTCCAGAAATCTGTAACACATCAGTACTCCTTCCCCCCACATTCCCTGTCCCTTGATATGAACACTCATATCAAGGAGCAGGGAAAAAAACAAAGAATACTCATGACCACAAACGAGGCTAGTTGAAAAAAATTTAGAGGAGAATTTGTTTGACTTCTTGGCTATTTATTTATTTCATATACATGTATTTATCCATTTGTTTGTTTACTTTTAGCTCAAAGAAATTGAAGATAAGATTCTAGAGGTCTTGTCGTCGTCTGAGGTAACTTTTTTATTCTTTTAATGATATGATTTACTTTAAAAAGGCGATATATTCTTTGAACATTACCTAATAACAAACGGTATGACTTCATTCACATCAGCGTACTCATTTTTTTGAAAGGAAAACGTAAGGGTTTGTAGCTAGAGCTTAACTAGGTTCAAGATTATTTTAACTTGGCAGCTTTAGAAGTCAGTTGAAGTCCAACTCCCTTGAAACGTTTCTCAAAATAGTTCCCTTTCATTTTATATATCACTTATTTGTTTTTATTTGTGCTTGTTTTTTTTTACAAAGGGAAATATCCTTGAGGATGAAACTGCAATCAAGATCCTTTCGTCGTCTAAAGTTCTCTCCGAAGAAATCTCTGCTAAGCAGGTTAGAAAATTCAGTCCATACACACAATGACGCCCCACTAACTCTGAATTTTAGAAGAAAACATATTCTTACCTGCAGTGTGCAAATGTTAGTGCAGGTTAGCCAGTCTCACGTTCATAGTTTCCCAGACTCTTTGTTGAACGACTTATTTATCTCACTCAGTTTGATCTAATTTTTTCAGATTACGAAAGATTGTCTGACATGTCATTGCCAAAACAATTCATATAATATTATACTAAATGCAACTTCGTTTATACTCTTTTGGCTACAGTCCCTCTTCTATCGCTTTCAAAAAGAACGAGGTCCAAAGATTGCTGTAAAATGTTGATGTTTAACAGTGAATGTCAACACACTGTCTTGTGGACGCTTTACCTGATATTTTCCATTCTACGTTTTTCGACGTAAAAGCAGCGCCTTTGGATAAATGTAGCAAGTATGAACCTTAAGGCATTAACTATTTTACTTGATCCGCATTAATTTTTAGGAAATCGCCACGGCAACGGAGAAAGAAATAGACGAAACACGTAACGGCTACAAGCCTGTCGCAGTACACTCGTCCATATTGTTCTTCTGTATCTCGGACCTGGCCAATATTGAGCCTATGTACCAGTATTCACTCGCTTGGTTTATTAACCTGTACCTCCAGGTATGGAGTAATGGAGTGCGCATGTCACTTTTCTTTATAGCCAAATAATGGTGTAAAGTGCACCTTGATTTGTCGGTTGTTCGCCTGTTACTCCGTTTCGTTTACTTTACATTATAACTTTTTTCTTTGAATTTCGTTCTGTAACAGTCTATCAGCAACAGCAGGCCTTCAGCTGACTTGGAAGAAAGAATCGGAAATTTGAACGATCACTTCACGCAAAGCGTTTACTCTAACGTGTGCCGCTCATTGTTTGAGAAAGACAAGCTGTTGTTTTCAATTACTCTTACCATCGGCATCTTGAAGGGAAGGTAAGTTAGAGTATTTCTACACGAGTATAACAGATTAAAAATAGAGTGCGTGTTTTTGTTAGTCATAAGAGAATAGAGTGTAGAGGTTACATTATTGGCATAATCGCGAAATGATAAAAGCTTGGTTGAGTCTAAACTCCCGGGCGTCTGCCTATCCTCTGGAGGGAGGGGGGGGGGGGGACCCGGTACCATACAGGTAGTCACGTTCGATTTCCGACCGAAACCTCCAGAATCAATCCCGAGCGTTATTATCATGTTTTGCTCTCGGGAAAGACACTAAACTTTCGCAATGCTCCACTATACCACTATACCCATTTATAAAGGGATATAAATATTTGATTGATCAATATAACAGAGTCCTTACTACCATACTTGAGACTCATGCTCCACTGCAAAAAAAGTTAGTTACTTTGCGTCCCGCTGCACCTTGGTATTCTGAGGAGATAAATAATTTAAAGAGATCCCGTAGAAAACTTGAACGACGCTGGCGAATGACCAAACTTCCTTCTGATCGTAAGTTGTTTATTGAGGGATGTGATGCTGTCAACAACTTAATTCGTGATTCCAAGAAGAATTATTTCGCATCATTAATCAATGAGAATCAGTCAAATTATAAACAGCTTTTTAAGATAATTGATAAACTACTACAAAGGAAAACAGATATTCAATATCCCCCCTGCAAATCGCCCACTGATCTTGCTAACAAGTTTATTAAGTACTTCACTACAAAGATAGATAGAATACGGGGTAATATAACGTCTGCTGCTTTCTCTCATCGAGATACAGTTGCTGTTGTTGACAACGCCTGTCCATATTCTTTTGATACTTTCAAAATGGTAACAGCGGATGAAGTTCATACATGTATCATGAATCTGGCTGCTAAGTCATGTGCTCTTGATCCTCTTCCTGGTTATGTTACAAGAAATGCACTTAGTGTTCTGTTGCATTTCATTTCCAAAATCATAAATATCTCATTGGAATCTGGTCAGATGCCTTCGCAACTCAAGGTTGCAATGTTACGCCCGCTCCTTAAGAAATCTTCTTTGGATCATACTCAATTCTGCAATTATCGTCCTGTATCGAATCTTTCATTTATTAGCAAAGCAATTGAAAAATTGGTAGCTAATCAACTTATCTCCTACATTAACGAATATGAGTTAAATGAGACACTCCAGTCGGCGTACAAGAAATATCACAGTGCTGAAACTGCACTTATTCGTGTTCACAATGATATTCTTTCTGCCATTGATAATCGTCGAATCGTAATCTTACTGTTATTAGACCTTTCCGCTGCCTTCGATACAGTCGATCATACCATCCTCCTCTCTCGTTTACGTGTACGGTTTGGGATAGCTGGGAAGCCTCTATTATGGTTGCAATCTTATTTATCGAATCGCACGCAATATGTCTCCGTTGATGGTGGTACTTCGACGAAAATGACCTTAAATGTGGAGTGCCACAAGGATCTGTCTTGGGACCCATTTTGTATTTGCTTTATACTTCACCGCTTTCAGATATCGTAAAGAAATTTAACCTGAGCTATCATTTTTTATGCTGACGACTCACAGCTTTACTTGTCTTTCCAACCAACCGTACTGGGTGATAGGGATCAAGCGGTTTCTAGCATCGAGAGCTGTGTGGATGAAATCAGTCATTGGATGATGGTTAATCGTCTTAAATTAAATAAAGACAAAACTGAATTATTGGTAATTTCCGCTAAACATCTTCCAAGACCACTCCTTCACGAAATTTCAGTTGCTGGTGAGACTATCCCTTCCGTGCAAAAAGGCGAGGAATATCGGCACTATGTTCGACAGCCATTTTTGCTTTAAGGATCATATTACTGACATTTGTAAATCTTCATTTTATCATTTGCGAAATATTAGCTATATCAGGAAATATCTTTCAGCGACCACTACTGAATTGCTGGTTCATATGTTTGTATCTTCGAAGCTGGATTTCTGCAATTCCCTTTTGTATGGCCTACCAGCCTACGCTATAAAAGGCTACAACACGTCCAGAATGCCGCGGCGCGCCTCGTCACACTTACAAAAATCATGATCACATTACGCCTGTTCTTTTCAATCTTCATTGGCTTCCCGTTAACCAACGTATTATTTTTAAGATTTTACTAATAACCTACAAGGCACTTAACAACTTGGCACCGTCGTACATTTGTGATCTGCTAACATCTTACACCCCATCGCGTCAACTACGCTCATCATTCAAGCACCTTCTGGTTTCTCCATCCTATAACTTGAAAACATATGGCGCAAGATCCTTCTCTGTAGCAGCACCATCATTATGGAATGCTTTGCCAAGTGAAATTAGAAATGCTCAGTCTGTTTCTGTTTTTAAACGTAGATTAAAAACTTTACTCTTTAGAAAAGCCTTTTATAATTAATATTAGCTGTCTTAAGTGTTAATGTTTAAGCTTTTTTGTTGGCGCCGTTGAACAGTAGGATACTGGCGTGGTATAAATCTTTTATTATTATTATTATTATTATTATTTATAATTAATATTAGCTGTCTTAAGTGTTCAAGTTTTTTTTTTGTAGGCGCCTTTGAACAGTAGGATACTGGCGCGGTATAAATCTTTTATTATTATTATTATTATTATTATAAATGGTAGCAGCAAATTGTCAAACAAACGTGGAGGAATGGCCGGGAATTATCTGCCGTTAGGGATCAAATCACCTGGAAGACGTAGCTATGCTCGTGACCGCTTTGTGCTGTTGAAACTGGGATAAGCTCCGGCTGCCCTATGAGTCAGTATCGTATGCAGGCGTTGCCTGCAGTGCTGACACTCTTCACAATTTTTTTTAAGGGGTAAAGTTGATGATCAAGTTTGGAGGTTCCTACTAACTGGAGGTGTTGCTTTGGAAAACCCATTTCCAAACCCGTGCTCAGAGTGGTTGAGCGAGAAAGCCTGGTCCGAGATCGTAAGGGCCTCGGATCTACCCAACCTAAATGGACTCAAAGACAGTAAGTGATTGGAGTCTTATCACAAAAACTGCTGCATTACCTTTTATATGGTTTGGCGAAACGTGCATTATGCTAAACAAGCAGGAATGTTGATGGTTCTTGATTTTCCCTTCGGAAATATTTGAATGATATAAAGAAAATTCTCAATATCTTATATACCTGTAAGGAATTTAGTAGGATTTAACTAAGCTTTTAAATATTAGTCTAAAAGTCTTACTTGCAACTATAGTTTTACAGGAATTTGCAGCAACAAAGAAGTACTATACGTGGCCAACTAACTGTACATGGTGTGATTTTCGTTCGTAGGTTTCCCAGATCCAGGTTGGAAAGCATTCTACGACTCAGCAACTCCACATTCAGAAAAAATGCCCGATCCTTGGGATGCGGTGTCGGGTCTCGACAGGCGAGTTTTGTCTCATTTCATTTTAATTTCTCAAGCAAAGTACCTTTTTTGTATTCTTTTTACGGGTGGATTACGTGTTGCGTCACGCTCGTCGTGCGTCTGCACCCCACTCTAAGTTGACACACAACAAGCTATGAAAAGTCTCAAATAAATAAGGAATTTTCTTTGCGAATGGACACATCAGGTTATCAAGTTCACTTCTGGGTTGTTGTAAGCGCCTGATTATTCTCTGAGAACGAATCACTAAAATCGCCTTAATCACACGGGGTACATTTAACTGTATGTGACAAGCATCTCTGTGTTATTTCAGGCTGGTGATTCTGCGTTGTCTTAGGCCTGATAAGATCGTTCCCGCAGTTCAGGTATGTATTATATTGTGTCTGTGTTCATGTATGATTTTAACTGATTGCTTACGCGTTGGCCTAATACTGAAGGGAAAAAGTAGTGTCCCCGGTGTGATGAACCCTATGAGTCCTCTTTGTTATTTTTACAAGGAATAGGAGTTTCCGTTTTCGGAGAGAAAAACGCACCCCAGAGGAACATATTTTTTTGTCATATTGGTAATTATTTACCAACTTGAAAAAAGTACAAGGCAGTTTTGGTACAGCGGATAAACTTTATTTAAATAAATTGTACGCGAAATAAGCTTAACGTTAACGCACAGCTAAATAAGTGGTCTCCTTTGCCGCCAAGCCTGGTAGGTATTCGGTGAAACCGCGAGCGTTTACGATATACTGAAACGCGTAACGACGGATAGGAGTTCTTTCGCACGTCTGCTGTTTCTTGAGGTTCTTTCTTTCGATTTTGTTGAGCGCTTGCTAAGTAGGTTACCGAAGAAGAATCAGATTAACTAAACATAAGACATCCTCACTTTATTTTGTTATTTGCAGGACTATATTGTGGAGAACATGGGTCGTTCGTACATTGAGCCGCCAACATTCAATCTTCAACTGAGTTATAATGATTCCCATTGTTGCGCACCTCTGATCTTTGTGTTGTCGCCTGGGGCCGATCCAATGGCTGGTCTGCTGAAGTTCGCCAGTGATAAAGGCTTTGGAGGAAACAGAATTCAGACTATCTCTCTTGGACAAGGACAGGTAATTCCCGGGTTTATAAAGCAGTATTTGTAAGTAAGTATATATATCTTATACCTTACGGCAGAAATGAGGTGGCTAAGAGAATCATGCAACATACATGTATTTTCGAATTTGCTTCCTACTGACACAATCCTTTTCCTCTTGACTTGAGTACAATTGTTTTTCTCATCTCAGGGTCCCATAGCAGCTCGGATGATAGAACAGGCCCTAAAGAAAGGCACATGGGTGGTGCTGCAGAACTGTCACTTGGCAACCAGCTGGATGTCAAAACTGGAGAAGATCTGTGAAGACGTCCTTGTCCCTGACAACACTCACAAAGATTTCAGGCTATGGCTCACCAGTTACCCGTCACCAGACTTCCCCGTCTCTATTCTGCAGAATGGTTAGTGTCGTGTTATGTATCTCTCCATTCTAGCGTGCGTCTGAATTGCCTAACGGATCTTGGAAAGGAAATTTTAAAGGGTGAACGACGCAGTGAGATCATCTTGATGGATTAAGCATGAAGTTTTTAGTTCGTCTTTTGCTATTCTATGTAACTCATCCATTCTTAGCTATCTTAGTTCCTCCTTGTTTCATAACGAATTAATTGTTATCCTTTTATAAAAAACGATACAAAATAATTTCTAGATTTCTTACTGAGGAATTGTGGAGACAACTGTTGTTTCTGGCTGTTTTGTCCGATGTAGTCCAATTGATACTATTGTATACTTGAAGAGAAAATGTAAATACCAGTAAACGTGACCTATACTTGGTCAACCTGCAGTAGTCGTTTACTACGTGTCAATTTTTTTAGGAGTGAAGATGACCAACGAACCTCCGAAAGGTCTGCGCTCGAACTTGCTGCGCTCCTACTTGAACGATCCCATTTCAGACAGGGAGTTCTTTTCTGCCTGTAATAAGGTGAGCCACGTCCTTTCTTACTGGTCGTTTAAATTCTCATCTATCAGATCATGAAAGAAACCATGACAACGCTGAAGTATAGTCTGGAAAAATTTTCGAGATATTGAAAAAGTGGAAAGGGTTTCTGCTCAAGTAAAGACGTAGGTTGAAGAAGTTTACTACTACTACCACTCGAACACATCTTTGAGCACTCACTCAAAATTTACACAGTTGTTCAAACCTTTTCCAGACAGATTTTATGACTTGCGTAGACTTTTCACCAGCCAATCCTTTTCAGCACTTCTCCTTCAAAGCAAAATAACAAAGAGATTAGCCTCTTGTCTCTTTCAGCTTGATTTTTGTTATGGAATGTTTGATAGTTACTAACATTACAACCACAACTTAAAAGTTATTTTTTCTGTTGTTTTTCCACTTTAGCCAGCACCTTGGGAGAAGCTGCTGTTTGGTCTTTGTTTCTTCCACGCCTTGGTGCAGGAGAGAAGGAAGTTTGGTCCTTTAGGGTGGAACATTCCGTACGAGTTCAACGAGTCAGACTTGAGGATCAGCATGAGGCAGTTGCAGGTAATGTCCCATGAAAACAACTAGGTTTTAAAGTGCCTTTTGGTTGAGAGTCGAAAGTCCGAAACCAAAGTCATCAAAACGTCCAATCAGGACCTAAGAAAATATAGATCGATTACGGTATCTAAGCGACTGTACACCCACCCCTCCCCTAACCCAAAATGAATCCTAACTTATCATAAGTTGACTGTAGTTGGGTTAGGGGAGGAGTAGGTACACAGTTGTTCAAAGCGAAGTAAAGCAAAATTAGTTCATTTCATGTGTTTAAGTTTTAGATTCCTGGCTCTTTGTGAATGTTTATGTTTGTATTGTATTTCGCCATTGATCATTACTGGAATATGGCTCTTTAGGGATGCGATTTGATTTAATCCGTGGTATCCTTGAAATTGAATTTACTAGTTATCGCGAAAAACACAGTTGTCATTTTACACCGCCACACCCCACCCCCCCCTCCAACTCTTAATGACTCTCTTTCTACTCCGTCTACACTAGGTGGCCTTTGCGAAAAAATTCCATTGCCATACTCTAATCGGAGTTGGTAGACCCAGTGTCTAAATTGAAAGGTTTTTTTACTCCTCTTAGATGTTTTTAAACGACTATAGTGAAGTTCCCATGGATGCCCTGACCTATCTGATTGGCCAGTGTAATTATGGCGGTCGGGTGACTGATGACAAAGATCGTCGACTGTTGGTTTGCCTCCTGTCGATTTTTGTGTGTGACGAGATCATACAAAGTGATGATCACAGGTGAGTCCAGAAAGATGTGGCTCTGAAGATAACTCTCTCTAGACTATGTATGAATATACTCGACATCTGTAAACTGTGTTTTGAATTTGATTGTAAATCAGGTCACAGGTGTTTCACATGTCACGTTTGACTCGTTCCAGGGCGACTATCGCTTATCCAAGATTGAATTTGAAACTTGTATCAAAGCGTTTGTCAAGCTTAACACTGTGTGGGTTTTTATCTCGTTGAAAGGCAAAACTTAAAAGAAAAAAAAAGATTTACACGATGAAACGTTCTACAAAGCCACTAATTTTAATAAGGATTTTCCAATGACCTTGGGTTGGCTTAACCTTTTGTCCCCCAAGAGTGACTGGCTTCTAATTTTACTTACAGTATCACCCTTGAATCTAATGTAAAGGTCATGAGAATGAAGGAAATGATCACTAATTCTGGAAGCTCCTTTGAAGCAAACTGAACGGAGAATATAGATAGTAATGTAAGTTATAAAGGGTTAATTGTGTTACGAAGCATCCGACCAGGTAAACATTACTGTCCACAGTGTACTTACATTTTCTTACCTTCTGACAGTCGTTTGGCTCTTTTTTATCAGGTTTTCAGACAGCGGTACATATTACGCGCCTACTAAGGGAGATTACGAATCATACGTGGACTACATCCGGGACTTACCTCTCATTCCTCATCCAGAAGTGTTTGGTCTCCATGAAAATGCAGACATTACTAAGGACCAGAAGGAAACTCAGGAGGTAAGTGGATGACATCTGTCAGTCACAGTGGGTCAATTGAGGACCTGTTTCATTTAGGGTATCCTGCAATCATTTTTAATAATGTTTTTTTTCTTTGAAGTCTTGAACTTTTTTGTCATGTCCTTAATGTTTGTTTCGAATCTTGCATGAATGATAAAGCCCACCTGAAGCGTCCAAGCTTCCAGAAGGACAATCTGAATTACTTTACTAGTTCTCAGAATCAGTAGTTGAAAAGCGTAGAGTTTGTTTCACTGTAAACTCATCACTATTTGAGTTCCTGAGCATAAATCTCTTTGTCTTTTTCTCAATCCCTTCAGTTGTTTGACAGCATCTTGTTGACCCTGCCCCGTCAGACAGGAGGCGGTGGGAAGTCGTCAGCTGAGGTGATAGAGGAACTTGCCGCAGACATCCTGTCGAAGTTTCCTCCCCCGTTTGACATAGAGATGGTGATGAACAAGTACCCTGTGGTTTATGAGGAGTCCATGAACACTGTGCTGAGACAGGAACTCATCCGGTTTAACCGGCTCACAGAGGTGGTGCGAGGCACGCTGTTTAATCTGCAAAAGGCTATCAAGGTAATTGAAACATGGAGTGAGCCACGATCCAAGCAATTGTATTTAAACCTACATACTTAGAAATTAAACTTAATGAATTTTTTTCTGCTTTGTTTGTACTTCAGGGTCTGGTTGTTATGTCTGGTGATCTTGAAGATGTGTTTAACAATATGTTGGTCGGCAAAGTCCCGGCTGTATGGTCTGCTAAATCCTATCCGTCTCTGAAACCTCTCGGAAGCTATGTAACTGATCTGTTGGAAAGGTGAGGAATGACGATGAGTTGGTTGACTCACTGACTCACTGACTCACTGACTGACTGATTGACTGATTGACTGATTGACTGATTGACTGTTTGACTGAGTGACTGACTTACTGACTGACTTACTCACTCACTGACTCATCGACTCACTGACTGATTGTGTGTCTGACTGATTGACTGACTGACTGACTGACTGACTGACTCACTAACTCCGACTCACTCACTGACTCACTGACTAATTGACTGACTGACTCACTAATTGACTGACTGGCTCACTAATTGACTGACTGACTAACTCACTGTTTGACCGACTGACTGACAGCTCACCATCTGGCTCACTCACCCACTCGATAGTGTATGATAGTCATAAATGTCGAGAAAAGACAAAACCCAGAAAAAATTAATTTGACAAATATTTTTGGTCCGTAGATTAACATTCTTCCAAGACTGGATCGACCACGGCGTGCCTAATGTGTTCTGGGTCTCTGGATTTTACTTCACTCAATCGTTCTTGACAGGTGAAGCTCTTTGTGAATTAATTTGTCTCTCTTGTCGTGTCAGTTACATTGGCCCAGGGTGTGGTGCACCGGACTCCGAGTCAAGAAACAACACTTTTTGTCTATCATACCTTATAAGTGGAGGAGTAAATCAAAATTGATAAATTTATGTCCCAATTAGCCAAGTCACTCATTAATCGTATGCTATGTTTATGTTTTAATTGCTGATCAGCGGTTCATTTTGTTTTCACAGGCGCCCGCCAAAACTTTGCTCGTAAGTACACCATTCCTATTGATCACGTGGGTTTCCAGTTTGAAGTAACGAAGAGCGAAAGAGAAATGGAAAAAAAGCCAGAAGATGGAGTCTATGTATACGTAAGTATCGTGCTATGCACTTGTGGCTGAAACTATTTTATGTTAAATGAAACAAATTTCAGGAAAACCAAAACCAGTGGGATTTGATCGCATGTTTTGCTTCAGGATTGATTTCAAGGGTATTTATAGAACCTTTCCTTGATTTCGGTTTAGCTCTTTACACCCCAGCATCAGCATGCATATTCTCCATACTGTCCTACAAACATTCCCCAAGGTGCTGACAAGGAGAGTTGTTCAACAATCAAGAGGGTGACCATTTTCTTTATTACTAGAGTGAACTGTTTTATAAAAAAAATTAAACAGTATTTTATTTTTTTCCTTTTTCGTTCTTGTTTATTGGTTTGCTTTATTTCGTGCATTTTCTTTTTGTTGTTTTCAGGGCCTGTTTTTGGAAGGAGCCCGCTGGGATAGAGACGAAATGGTTGTGTCTGAATCTCAGCCAAAAATCTTATTTGATACTTTACCTGTGGTATCCTTTAACAAATCATGTGTAAATGTAGTGAGTGTCTTAGAAAGGATCATAAAAGAGACTTATCAACCGACTGACTTACTATCTAATGAACATATAGTCAATCGACCAAAGAAAAACCCGAAGAAAAAGACTGGCTGACTGACCGACCTATTTACTGACTTAGTGACAGCCTGTCTGTCTGTCTGTTCGGTAGTCTGCCTGCCACTTACTGACCGGCTGAGTGGCAAAATTTCTTATTGACTTGCGGTTTTCTGTCTGTTTCTCTGAATGACCGACTGAATGGCAGACTTACAAGCTGACTGACTGTCTGTTTGACATATTTATTGTCTGTCACACCGACTAACTGAGTGACTTACTGACTGGTGGTCACTATTTATGACTATATTCACCCGATGTTTAAGGAATCCTTTCCCTTTCTTATTTTTCTTAACCACTCTTCGTGTAGATGTGGATTATCCCTGGTGAAAAATCTACTTTCAAACCTAAAGCAACCTACTCCAGCCCAGTGTACAAGACAAGCGCTCGCCGGGGTACTTTGTCCACCACTGGTCACTCGACAAACTTTGTTATGTACGTGGACTTGCCGTCAAACAAACCCGAGAGGCACTGGGTCAACAGGGGCGTGGCACTGCTTTGCCAATTAGATGACTAGTGATGAGTGACGGATCATTTATATCGCTTTAAATGGCTTCTCTTTGTTCTGCTTTTTTGGAAGAATTTAAGCTTGGAGTGTGTGGGATTGAATTATTGCTTATTTATAAAATAAATAACTTATTGCCTTTAAACGAATCTTAATGTGAAATAGTTTGAACTTCAGGCGCAGTGTGAACTTTTTCGGATTTATTTTCCTTTGTCTTTTCTAGTTTAAAGTTGCTTCAGTGTTTTGAAGTTTTTTTTTTACATTAGAAATCATACGTTCATACGTCCTTTCCAGTTTCAAACAAAGTTTTACATACATGTACGTAGTTTGATATCCTAGCTTAAAGAGTGAAAACGTATTTATTTACAATAACTGTTGTAGAGCAACAGGGTTAAGGTCTTCTCAGTTGTACATAGCCAGAGATATTTTGAAAAATGCAAGGTAACTTAAATTAAAAGAGTGGTTTGTAACCAGGCTTAAAACTTTATCCTAGTTTTGTATGCAAAAAAGAGTGAGGTAAACCTGAATATGTCAATAAACACGGTAGTGTTTTGCTATACTAATTGTTGGCGTTTTATCTGTTAGATCATCACGATAATGACTGAATACAAACGAGCGACGATGGTTTTGTTAGTAGCATGATAAGTGCTGCAAGACGCGCGTTTCTCCGCCCCTGGGAAGATTGAGACGAGTCAGTGAGAGGTTTGCTGTGGGTCTGGCATCAGTAATGCCTTTATCATTATCTGTGCTAGACCCATGGTAGACCCCTCGGCAACAAAGGAGACTTTTGTCTGACTGGCTGAGAATAACTCGGAAAACCTGGGATTCTATCGGCTAATCCAAAAAGCCATTCGAAGCGCGGGAAACCGAGAGATGGCAGTTCCTCTCGCCGGCCGGCGTTACTCAAGGCGTCATACTTTCCCGCGGTCGAAAAAACCCTCGTGCCGCTATCTTGTCAGCTACGCTATTGTTTTGTATTCTGCTTAATATTTTAAATTCAGCACGAACGGCTGTTAAGCTTGTTTACAAACCAAGAACAATAACTACCAGTCCCTAATAAATGACTTATTCATGACATTGACAACGAAACGATCAGAACCGAATCGCTCATTTTTTTACTCACCAGATTTATCAGCTGCCTAACAAGCAACGTTTTACTTGACTTTAACGATGAATTTGAATTCAACTTTCCAAAGAAATACCAAGAAGATATATTTTCGTTAAGCCTCTACTCTTCATGGCCAACAACGTTTGCAAAGTAACAGCTTTTTGCCACCATAATTTAGCCCATTATTGAGTGAAAAATTGAAAAACTGCTGACTTTCCCATTTCCCTTTTTCTTTGCCCTCGTTTTAATTCTATTGTGTTAAAGGCTAGCGCGGTTTTCCCGCCAAAAAAAAAAACGCGGGCTCACACGCGCCCTCATGTTTCACTGCGGAAAAATCCTGAATTCCTTTTTTTTAATCATCTTAGCATTGCCTCAGCGCATAAACCAAAATTTGATTCCTAGGTGTCCATCCTCTGTCAGTATTCTTTTAACTTTGCAACAGTATGTCAGTATTCTTTCAACTTTGCAACAGTCTGTATGCATTTTGGACCTACATGGAGAGCTTTAGTCTAGTTACACCACCAACTTTATTGGAAATGGGGATAAAACTGACTTTGGAAATCACTGTTAAACAATATGGCCGCCTTCTGGCGGTCTTGAATGCGAGCGACGATTCGAACAGAAACGAGACGGTTTTGGTGAAAAGCAGTCTTCGCTTCATCTGGAAAACGGAGGATTTAAATGGAAACATTTTTGGAGGGAAACATCAATCTATGAAGGTATTTTTCCCTATGAAACGACAAATTCATCAAAATAAGTTTGGATTATACTCATCACTATTAAGTTTTAAATATTAACTGATAAAAACTCTTGAGCTTCCCTGACTTCTTGAATGATCGAATGCTTGATATAATGGGTAAACTATTTGTTGCTGCAGTTTGTAAACATGTTTTTGAATGCAAATGAGGGTGAATGTGTAAAAAATAAAATGATGCAATTGCTTGTGTTAATTCGAAGTTGCAATGAACCTCTGTGGTCCGAAAATCAATTCAAATGAAACAGTATTGAGTTTCAGGGCTTCAGTTGTACTAGAGTCTTCATCACTGTACATAAATCATTATAAATTAATTACTCGGTTCCTTGGCTTGATTCTTAAAAAGGGAAAATTTTATTCTTCAAAATGAGATTAAAATTATTTTATTTAGACTGCATTTGATGTCCTGAAGATAAAATGTAAACATCAGTTACAAGAACGCTTTAAGAAAATTAAGTGCAAGGATTTTTTTTTTTTGAAAAAAAAAAAAAAAAAAAAAAAAGGGGAAAAAACAGAAAAAACAACTTAAGCAAAACAGGCAAGGAAACCAGCCTTCTTTGACACTCACTGGAAGTGTAAGATGATAAAATGTGTTTCAACAGCAAGTCGTGTGTATTTTTGGATGCAAATTGTACTGGTTTTGTCATGGTTTGAGTACAATTAAGCAGTCAGCGTTCTAGATAGACCCTCCAAAATTAAGTTAGGGAAAAGATCTTTAACGTGCTACAAAGTGGACACTAGGATGGATGATATACAACGTTCAGGCTTATCTAAATCCAAGATGGCGTCTAGTTATCGATCGAGAAGCACGTGCTACGTTTTAAGAAACAAACTTAATGAGGAAGTTTGCCGCGGATTTATCTTTGCAAATCTTTTTAATTCACTATGTCTCTTGGTAAGGTTATGATAAAACCTTCTAGTCGCCAATTTGGCGACTAACTTTCAGGATTTGGTCGCCAAAGTGAAAAATTTAGTCGCATTGGCGCCTGTATTAGGCGCAATTTCACGCCCTGACTGTGCAAAATTCTTGAGACATCTGTTCCTTGTGCTAATTGCTGTATTGTTGATTAGCAGCTGTTTTAGCTTTCTTTGTCTTCTAAATCAATCATATTAAAAAGGTTGTTGAATGGTTAAGAAAGACCAGTTAATTTCAAGCAATTTTGTTTTCAAGCTGAAAAGGGGCAACCTCACCACTCAAGATTTTTCCTGTATTTTGATTGAATAGCATGGATGAAACTGTTAATTCGGTATAATTAGACTGGTCCTATGCAAGCAGCTTCATCAGTCTACTCAAGCAGTAAAAATGACCTGTAAGAACCAGTCACATTCAAACATTCTGTACCTAAGAAGATTAATTACGTATGATAATTCTCATTAATCAAGAAAGATTCACGATAGAATCCTTTGAGAAACGCTCGACTTAGTTTAACCGTGAGCGACAGTTTTGTGTACTAGGTCTCTTGGTAGTTAGGTGATAAGCTTATACGATTGTTGAGAGATTGCAAGGATGTGAGCCAAGTCAGACAATCACGCAACGTTTCTTACGTCCTCCTTTTGAGAAACTGAATTTGTGTGAGCAGCAAGTGTTGAATGCTCTTAATGCTAAGATTTCATTAGAAACACGAACTTCAGTTCTAGCATCGAACGGAAATTCGTCGCGTCATGTTGTTTCTGTATTGAATCATGTTTTGTGACACATTGCTGCAGTATTTCCCTTTTATCTCCGAACATAAAGAACTTCGTTCAAGTTACATTGCCATCTGTGTCTTCAATAATCTCCTAACTTATACCGCTGTCATGTTGAACATTGTTACGATGCACGCCATACGAAAATCTTCGTCGTGGCCAAAGACGACAAAGACTTTGCTTTTGAGTCTGGGTGTTTCTGATGTCGGTGTTGGTTTATTTGTTCAGCCTTTCTACACATCACTTCTGGTCAGCTGGCTGCAGAAAAACAGCCCAACTTGCTTCTCTTATCGTATGTTTAGTAACGTTGGTCTTGTATTTTCCCAAGCTTCATTCCTGGGTGTTGTGGCCGTAAGTTTAGACAGGTTCTTAGCTGTTCATCTTCATCTCAGATACCAGGAACTTGTGACACACAAGCGTGTTGTTGCCGTGGTGACTTCAATCTGGGTCTTGAGTGCATTTGTTTCTTTTATAATATTAAGTGGTCTGCGTGTTATACAGATCGCAATGCAGTCCATTGCAGTACTAACTGGTCTTGCTGTGACCACAGTGGTTTATATTAAGCTTTATTTAGTTGTGAGGCGCCATAAAACTCAGATCCATTCCTTGCAAGTAGAAGGAGTTCCGTCTGGTGAAATGACACAATTAGCTGGCCTTATAAAATCTTCAGTTAGTACATTTCACGTGTATGTAGCGTTTTTGGTTTGTTATTTGCCTTACTGGATCTGCTTGACTGCCGTGAGATTCAACGGTCCGACCACAACATTGAAAAGATTTCATCTTTTCTCATTGATTCTTATTTTCGTGAATTCATCTCTGAACCCTGTAATTTACTGCTGGAAGATGAGACACATCCAACGCGCTATCATGGATATACTACGGAATATGGCTTGGAAAATCAGCCTACACCGAGTGTAGCAAAGGGAAGTCCTGAGCCAGTTTTACGCATGGATTTAAGAAAAATGTAAGCTTCACGTGTGCTTTAAACAGCATTTCACGCCTCATGAATTTAAAAGGGAAAACTTCTGATCTCTCTTCTGGTGTGCGAGCTTTTAGGAAAAGATTGACTGGAAGTGCATAAAAATAGTGGAGTAGTGGCTTGTTGTGCAGTTGGCCAATCATGGCGTCTCTCGATGATGCTGTTTGAAACATGCTGCAGTATACTTTCAATTATTTAAAGCCTGCGCGAAAACACAATGAAACCAAAATTCTCATGACTGTGTTTCGCACATTTACTTTTATTTCGATGTCGATAATTCAAACTTGTTGCTGTGACTTTAGTTTCCTTCTGAGCCAATCTTTTATTCACCCATGAAACTCAAATAACAAATTACCGGACGGAAGTTGACCGAAGACGACAAAACCTTTAAAGATGATGGGTAAGGAGAAAGATTTAAAACGTTATGTGCGCCTTTTCAATTTTCACGGACCTACCGTTTCCTTTAAAGCAGGCTGCATGCGCAAACTTTATCGGTGCGATAGTTACTGATTAGTCAGTAGTTTCCCGCAGATTATTCCGCCTTGTATCCAAAAGCGCCTTTTTTGTGTAAGTTTTTCTAGATTACTTCAGTTGGTGGAGACGCGAAGAGAAGTTAGCTTTCCGCGCTAGTCTATCTTTCTCTGAATCTTAAAAGAGCTAACTAATGACAATTTGAATATAAATATTCCAAAAAGGTAAATTAATTTGAATATTTCTAAAACCGCATTATGACAGATGTTGTTCTATTTATCTTTCTGGCATATTAAGTGCTTGGCATATTTAATCAGCGATGGTGCCATCTCCTCGACACTTTTGTAGCATCCCCTCTTCCTTATTATCTGACCTCCTTGGTGACTGCTCTCAAATGAGATTCTATGCCTTTAAATGTAGTTACGCATTGTTTTAGTCTTAGTAATATGAAACAATACCGCCGTCGTTTGGTTAATTATCGTCTATTCAATGCAACTGTAGATGGATATCGATTAGGTGTCCACCATGAAGTCTCCTTTTTAAATACTTTTTGTCAGTACTTTAGCAAATATATACCTCTCTACCAAAATTGGTTGGTGACAACCTACCTCATTTTAATTCATTTCCATTCAACCAGATGGGGTATCGTAAAGTGTCTAAAGAAAGAATTTTTTTTCGGTTGCGAACCTAGCAGCTTTCTTTGCTGAGGATTAACACGTTTGAGAGTCCTGTCACTCAAAACTTTGACTTTCGCGACGTTTCTCGATTCAAGGCATTACTCCAACAAACAAATGCCCACCCATTAACTGTTTTGTGTGACAACCACTTCCTAAAATGTAGAAATAGCATTAGGTTGAGATAAAGCCCAAATGAGAAGAAATTTTTATGCTATCATCGTAAAACATGTAATTTCCCCAAAGTTGCCTTGGAGAATTTGCGGAGATTCGTGCCGTCAATAATAATGAACGATTTGCAGTGTAAGAAGTTTCAGCAGTATTATCCCTCTCTTCCCGACTCAAAAGATCTTTGTTTCACCTTCATTGCTAAATATCATTTCAAATGGGATTGTAAGTTTTGAAATGTGGATACGCAGAACTTTGGTCTCAGTGCTATGAAGCAATACTGCCGTCATATGGTTAATATCGATCCTAATTATTCTCTATACAACTTTTGATGGCTTTCCATCAAGCCTCCATCATACAGTCTCGATGATCTCTCCAATTTACATACTTTTGTGAGTAAAATTGACTCCTTTAAACCCTAGGAGTGACCAGCATCTAATTTCCTCATACAGTTATACTGCTGAATCATTCATAAAGATCATGAGAATAAAGGAAATGATCGCCAAACGAAGAAGCTTTGTTTGTTAAACAAATTATCTGTGTCGGTTCCAGAGGTGAGAGAAGAGTTTAGAGAATATAGATACTGATGCAAGGGCGTAAAGTGTTGAGCGAATATCAACTTCTATACCCAAAAAGTCTAATAAAAGCATCTATTCACGCTTAGATCTGTCATGCAAATTGGTCAATTTACAAATAAAAATAAGCAGAAATTATTTTGTGAAGAAATTTGTTTCCCTAAAAATCCCCTCTATGAAATACGAGAGTAAGTATCGTGCGCAACATGTATTTAAAGTTATCCAGTTGTGTTAGTCCTCCTACTTCGATTTTATAGATCTTCGTTGGATTTTCAGCGTCAACTGAATTGTCAACAATTTTCAACCTTATACCGCCATGATGTTGAAAATTTTGGAGGAAAAAAATGGCTGTGTTTTATAATTCAAACGGGGTGTGCGCCTTTCAATTTCGCTTTAAACGGACAACTTCTCCTAAACAACGGGGGTTCGTATTTGAATACGAAAATAGAGAGGGCTTTTATTTGATTTTTTAGTGAGTGGTCGGCAGACCTTCGCAGCTGGCTCCGGCTTGTACCGAGAAGGGAAGTTTTAAGAACTTAATTTTAATAATGACTATTTTTTCATTTCGTCAGTTTTCTTAGGAGCAAGTCAGGTTAGTCCAGGCTTTTTAATTAAGTTAACTTTGTTCGATTTCTAAAGAGTGAAATACTAATCTCGAAAAATTACTTTAAAATATCTCATGACATGAAATTGACGGACATGACAACTTTGCTTCCTCTTTTATTGAGGATTTTGAATTTGAAATTCTGTTCAACTTCTGTTAAACAGATGTTGATTCTGTTCTATTCCCAGAAAGTCGTAACTTAATAGGCTCTTCAGGCGTTTAGAAAAACACCCCTTATTTTCAGAGACTCTCATTACTCAGATGGTCTCGACGTTTTTTCGATTCAAGGCATTACTTCGACAAGCAAATAACCTGCCGTTAATTATTTTGCTTTATTGAGGACCGCTACTTCTGGAAATACAGAAATCGCTTCAGGTAGAAATGAAGACCAAATAAGAAGAAGTTTTGATAAGACAAGTAATTCACCGAAAGTTTCCTTGGAGAATTCAGCTGAGACTCGTGGCTCAATCATGATGGACGAGTTGCAGTGTGAGGGCTTTTTTAAGTATTACCCGTCTCTTCTCCAATTAAAAGAACTTCGATTAACTTTCATTGCCAACTGCAGCATTAACAATTTTCTGACGTATACTGCGGTCATGTTGAACATTACAACAATTTATGCGATACAGAAAACTACATTGTTGCCAAAGACTTTAAGAACATTACTGCTGAGTCTCGCTGTTTCTGATATTGGCGTTGGTTTATTTGTTCAACCATTTCACTCATATTTTTTGGTCATTTGGATGCAACTCCAAAGTCCCAGCTGTATAACTTACCAAATAAACAATGTTGTTACCACGCTATTTGCGGTTGCTTCTTTCCTGGGTGTTGTGGCTCTAAGTGTAGACAGGTTCTTTGCCATCCATTTTCATCTCAGATACAATGAGATTGTGACTCACAAGCGCGTTGTTGCTGCAGTGAGCTCAGTTTGGATCTTCAGTGTTTTCGTTTCTTCAACGAAACTGTGGTGTCCTGTTGATACTGGGAAGATTGTTCTTTTGGTTATTGTAGCTACAGGTCTCGCTGTTACCACTGTTGTGTATACCAGGCTAAAGGTAACTGTTCAACGGCACAAGAATCAGATTCAGTCCTTGCAAGTACAGGAAGTAGCTCAAGCCAGTGATACCAATAATTATTTCGGCCAAATCAAATCTACGGTTTGTGTATTTTACGTATATATCGTGTTGTTAGTGTGTTGTTTTCCATACGCTATTTGTATCGTTGCTATTCAAATCAATGGCCCGACTATCTCTTTAAAAGGATTTCATATTTTTTCCCTGACTCTGGTACTCCTCAATTCATCTCTAAACCCTGTAATTTACTGCTGGAAGATGAGACACATTCGACGCGCAATCGTGAACATACTGCGGGACATGTCTTGGGCCAGAAATTTCCCATTGCGATTACACAACAATCGATCGTCGAATGTCGTACATGTTGAGAACTGAACGGCAAAGCAAATCGAGGGAGGACGAACGAGAATGTTATTGAAACAGACTGATACAAAGGTGCTGGAACAATTTTGCAACTTCAATTTTTAATTAAGTATTTTATTGTCAAATTACATGCCAAACGGTGAAAGAACTAATCAGACAATAGCCACAGAGTGGAATCGGAGTGAAACAGGATTGCTTGTGTCATTTTCGATAGAAATTGAAGTTGCGGCCATTTTTTAAATAAAAATTAAAGTAACTTGTTTGACGTGTTAAATAGCGTTTTTTTTTTTGATATGAATATCAAAGAACAGATGGTTTTCTTCTTCCATGGAAAAGAAACTTCTCTGTGGCATAAAAAGGAAATCAAAATTGTCTTTTCCGACTTCGAACTTTGTCTAAATTTTTAGCTATACAATAGTTGTTCGTGTCATACCTTGACGGAATAAAAAGTCGTTTGTTATGGATACAACAAGCAGTTATTCAGTGAGGCTTGCGTGGAGAATTTGAATGACATAAACTTCCGCTTTTGGATTACTTTGAGCTGTATTGGCTTTTTTTTTCTAGTATGATGACTCGTATTTAAAGTTGCCCACCGTTTGTAAAGACGTTTAATTTTGGAAAGAGAAACTAAACAGAAATCGAGTTCTGTTGTCTTAAACCTTTACTCAGTAAGATTCGATGCTTGAATTCCTGTGCCCTATCTTGCAGAAGTTGACTGAGAAACTTATTTTTTCAATGGGGAAAAACCAGGTAATTATGAATGGTAGAAAATTGTTAAGGACAGAAACGATGAACAGGACTTAAAAACGATTCTGTATTGATAAGATATTAAGCTATTAACATTTTTTACACCAATGAGCTTTCCAAGGACTAGTCCTCTCAAAAAAACACATTATTTATGAAAACAAGAGCAGTAGTTGGCATCATTCGAAGCCGCGTCACCATGAAGGCTCTTTGTGCCCTCCACCCCTCCCCCGTCGTCTGAAACTTCAAGTTCCTAAAAAGGACTATTTCTCCTTTCTCACCCTCCATCCTGTACGGAAACTCTAGAATAGTGTTCTTGTTCTTATTCCTTTAAGTTAGGTTGTGTTGTTGTACAAAGTATTCACGTCTTTGAAAGCCTGTATTTGTTTTGGCTCTAAGGATCGTAGGTTTTTGATAAGGCGTGCAGCAGACAGTAATCAGTTAATCTGGTCGACTATTCAGAAAGACAATGAATCGCCTTGTGATAAGCCTTTAATCTCTAACAAATTCCTTTCTCAAAGAAGCCCTCTTTCCCCCCCTCCCCCGCCCTGAAACCGGGGGCTAATGAGAGTGTCTATGGTAATAAGACCACAGGTCTACCAATGTGGATGCGCTTAATCCTGTTTTTTTACAGCTTAATTTCAAAAAAGGATTGACAACGCTACTTTTGTTATTGGCGATATTCGATATTTTCCTACGAAATTTCTATCCTCCATGAGCACTTTTGGATTATGTAGACCTGAAACGCCTTTTTATGATCCTCCGCGAGTCATTTACGTTTAGAGAAGCTGGCTTCGACCTCTATCGAAAACGAAAGTTTTGAAAACCTAACTTTGATCGGAGTAAGTATTCCTTTACAACATCTGTTTCCTTACACGCGAGTTACCGTCTACCTTTCTTGTTCGATTAACTTTGTTCGAATTCTAATACTGTGAGGTAAATTCAATTTAAAAACTCACTTTGACTTGTCAAGCATGATGCTAATTTTGTGGCCTAATTTACGAGGATTTTGACATTTTTTAAAATAATATTTGACATCACAATGAATTTTTGTAACAATGTGAACACCCGCTTATTGCCCGAAGTAAATTATCTTTACCCATCGACGAAGTACATGAAGTGAACTATCACTCAAAATTCCGAAGTAAACGACGTTTTACTATTAAGAGTAAAAGGTTATCGCCATCAAACAAAGTATTTCGTTTTACTTAAGACCTTTTCCTTATGAAGTAGAGAAAAGCTTTAGACTTAAATGTTTGATCATGAAGAAGAATTTTTGAAGCGTTGTCTTGAAACTTTCAGTTCCCTTAAAATTCCGGATCTCCCCTTAGATTTGATACAGGTGACTTAATCATGATTAATGAACTGAAGTGTAAAGAGTTTCTGCAGTATTTCCCCTTTTCTTACGACTTTAAAAAATCTTCATTCTTCTTTCTTTGCCAGCTGCGTCTTCAATAATTTCCTAACCTATACTGCGGTCATGCTGAACATTGCGACAACGTGCGCGATACGAAAAACTACATCATTGCCAAAAACGCTTAGAACACTGATGCTGAGTCTTTCTGTTTCTGATATTGACGTTGGTTTATTTTTTCAACCACTTTACTTATCACTTCTGGTCAGTTGGTTGAATCACAACAATCCTAGCTGTAAAATTTACCGGATATTCAGTGTTGCTGGAAATTTATTTTCTTAGGTGTTGTGGCTCCAATGAATTCGTCAGTGAAGTGAGAAAAAAAAATTTCAGTGAGCGAGGCGTGAAAAAATGGCGGAAAATTGTTTTACCCCAGAGCTTACAACTAAAGAAATAATAGAATATGCGACTCCATATCCACTAAAAAAGCCACTTAACTGGGTATAAAAATATTCCAAGTAACGTAATACAAAATCACGCAGTTTTTATTTGCTAAATGCATAACAGGATTTGTTAACATTTTCGACCAGCGAAAGTCTTCCGGTCATTGTGTGCGAATTTACTTGAACAGTTATTCTGCCCAGGCTCGCCGAATATGAGATTATTATAACCAACTCATATTCGGAGCGCCCTTTTTAGAGTAATTGTTATCATAAGTAAAGTGAAAAAGTTTGCGGTCTGTCATCGTGATGAGTACACTTGTGTAATTTGTATAATCGTTTGTCCCGTTAGGCTCAAGCAAAAGTTTACGGTAATCATTCCACAAATATCAGCAGGTGTTTCTGACCTGAAGTGAAAAAGGTGTCAGGAGTGTTTTTTTTTCATTTCGGTTCCTTTTGAATTTTGAAGAAATTGGGTAAATATGACTTTTAGTCGAATTCTAGAATTTTGAAGCGGTGAATAATATTTAAAGGTTCGAAGAAAATAATCATATAACACTTTTTTTGACATACATGAAATCTAAGTTTTAGTCATTGTAATTTTGCGCCTTTCACTGGCCATTTTTCAATTTTAGATCAATGAGTGCCTTTATTCTCTTAATTGCTCTATGAAAGTTTTTTTCTGTGACAGAACATAACTGGGAACTTTTACTAGTCTGAACTCTGGATGCGCTAAATCCTGGGATCTAAAGCTTGAACCATTAGCAGTACTGCCATCAAGTATCAATTTTTTGGGGCGATACTAGATATCTTTGCTTGTAATTTCTTTAATCCACAATCAGCTTTTGGTTATCCGAATCTGTTTTTTTGCCACCTTGCGAAGCATGTGGCTGCGTTAACTTACCTGTCAATTTTGAATATAGCAATCACACTTTTTAAAAAGCAGATGTTTTAGTGTCATTACAAACTACACATGCGTGAGATTTTCAGAAACACGCTTGAGTTTCATTTGAAAGTTTCTTAATTTCGTTTCACTTAAGATTATCGCGTTCGGTAGGGAAAAAGTTGTCTAAAGATGAAACGAGAGTGACCACTGACACTGGAACAGAAATTAACTTGGGGCAGTATCGGTAAAAATTTATTTTCCCTTGCTTCCATTCCTCTATTCATGATAATAAATTTGATATCATGGACGAATCGGTTTGCAACCAGGCAGAGTACTTTCCTTCGTACGCCGACTTTGCAGTTCTTCGCTCGACCCTTATTGCCAATAGTATCTTCAACGTTTTTTTAATTCATACCACTATCATGCTGAATATTGTCACAATCTGCGCAATACGGAGGGCTTCGACCTTGCCAAATAATTTGAAAACGCTACTGATGAGCCTTGCCATTTCTGATGTTAGTGGAGGTTTGCTGGGCCAACCCGTTTTCACCGCATTTCTGGTCAGCTGGCAACGACTAAATGATCCTAACTGCAACGCTTACCGAATGCTGAATATTTCTGGGTATATGTTTGCTTCTGCTTCGTTCCTGGGTGTAGTGGCTGTAAGTGTGGACAGGTTCTTAGCCATTCATTCGCATTTAAGATATCTAGAACTTGTGACTCCAGTTCGTGTCTTTGCTTTAGTGATCTCAATATGGGTATTTAGTGCATTTCTCTCTGGTACGGTATTTTGGGCTTCGGTCAGCACTCGTGATATTATTATTATAGTTACCATAGCCTTTGGTTCAATTCTCACCATTGTGTTGTACCTCAGGATATATTTAACTGTCCGACGGCACAAGAATCAGATCCAGTCCCTACAAGTGCATGACATAAGTCAGTCTGGTGAAATGACAAATTTGGCTGGTCTTATTAAATCTGCAGTTGGCGCATTTTACATATATCTGTTTTTTTTACTTTGCTATTTGCCTTATTCTCTTTTGATCGTTGTCATCAAAATTCATGGGCCGAGCATCGCTTTGAAAAGAGTTTATCTTTTCTCAGTAACTCTTGTGTATCTTAATTCATCACTGAACCCTGTAATTTACTGCTGGAAGATGAGACACATTCGGCATGCTATCAGGGACATACTGAGGAACATATCTTGGAATATAAACAGTCCATCGCATTCATTTTACAGACAGTCGTCTGGGTGACCAAAAAGGTGCATTACAAAACACTTCTTGGCCTCTGAGAACAGAGGCAGCAGGGAAAGGCGCGAGTGTAAGTGAAACAATGAATATGAATTTGTCGCTAAGCTCCTTTGTTCATTGTTGAGAGGTAAGACAGGTTCGACAACCATGATAGACTGAAATGAGGACAAGCGTAAACTGAAACTGAATCTGAAACGTAAGAATGTGATGGTGCTGAATCTTTTGCATGTGGAATTTTTCAAATAATTTATAATAGTAATAGGACGGTGGAGTCCAGTTTGGTCTGTAATTAAACGAGTGATTACAACTTGAATCAGACGACTGCAAACTGGGATGTCCAACTTGTCAATCACGAGTATGATTACATACCGAATTGGATGACGCGTAGTCCTGTTACCAATTAATCATAACCATTACAATTGCCGAAAAAACAAATTAAATTTATTTGAGAAAATATCTCTCGAAAGGACTTTGTCTAGAGCAAAAATAACCGCCACTTTGGAAATTCCCAGTTTTGTGGGGTAAGTGGTTGTTGCTATGATCATTGTAATCAATTCTGTGATTGGTGGATTCAGCAGAATGGACTTAGTGTGATTGGCTGCTTTAACTGTCCGATTACGGCCAATAGTCCGATTGAACTGCCCGATTACAACTCTACAGAATAATTAAGGAAAAACAAAGCAGCTAATGAACCAAATTACAGTTGAGGAAGTTGTAATGGTTATGGTTAACTATAACATAGCGTGCGCGCAAGTCTTACCAAATTCTTAAGGAGCTACTATGGCAAAAATCCTTATGCACGCACGGCTGTGCAGCCATAACATGACATGTGCAGTTTCACTTCATCTGAAAGTTCCCGTCGAGTTTAGCCGCACAGTTTCAAAACTTTCAAGATTGTTTTTCCGTTCTACCCAATTGTGATAAATCTTTTAGAGCCCGAAATGAAAAGAAATATGCTAAATAACCTTCATTTGGAAAAACAATGAGCACGTAGCTCTTTCAAGCCACGAAATTAGTTTTGGAGTTTACGATACTTAATTCCTAAAAACACAATAAAAACACAATGCGAATTATGGCTGGATATATGATATGCCCCAAAGGTACTGTTCGATAGAAGATTTTGTTTTGAATTTTCAACACAAAGCTGCGCAATTTTCTGGCCGTAAATTCTGGCAAACAACAATTCAAGCAGGGTAAATGTACTGCACGGGTCACGAAGAACTGTTTTACCTTTGCTCCCTAACGTTAGTATGCTTTTTATCCATACTGATCTCCGTACGTTTCCTCAAGTGCTGACAAGGAGAACAGATTCATTTAACCATCAAAATGTTCAGTTGGTGATCATTTCCTTTATTCTCAAGACCTTAATGTTTGATTCAGGACTAATAATGTAAGGAGAAATTAGATGCTAGTCACTCTAAGGGATCAAAGGGTTAAAGGAGGCATTGTACATAGCCATACAGAGCAAAACGAGTTGAAAATGTGAGCTTTTTTTTTTTCATCATCTCTGAACGTTTTCTTGTGGCCACAATATTAGTACTCATGAAATGTACTATATAATTTAACATTATTAATTATCCAAGACTATCAAACGACATGTGTATTGGTTTCCGTCTCTCTAAATTTTTAAATAGTAAAAATTGAAACTCTAAATTGTTCCATTTCCTTTTGAAACTGACCTGAATGGCAATCTTTTGAATTTAAGCTGTAGTTCCGTCGGTTATTAAATACATGAAAAAAGGAAAGATTTACCTTTTACATGGAAAATACGAATAACAATCGTTTCTGCAGTTAATTGACTTCAACGTATAATGGCTTGTTTTTTCTAAGTCGACTTTGTTAATTTGGAGGCGTTTTATTCTGAAAAGAGGAACTGATTACAAGCAGTGGTCCTTGTTCTTAACTCGTGAATTCATATCATTAGAAGCTTGGATGCCGTAGAGATAACCTCCTGAACCGCTCAGTGTTCTATGTGGTGTCTCATTAAGTCGCATAATATCAACGTCAACACTTAGTGCTCGGGAAACAAACACTGGCGGTTGTGTGGGTGACTAGTAACTTCCGTTAACCAACAGTTCTTGTACTCTCAGAACAGAGGCACTAGGGACAAGTACGAGTGAATTAGTCGCTGTCTAATGTTTTATACTGCTAAAAGGTGAGGGATACTCAACACACTATCACGGAAATGTGAACAGAGGAAAGTATAACTGAAACTGGCGCATTTCGCTGTGTTAACTGTTGTTTCTTTTATCATGAAAATGTGTAGCCGATGGCTAGTTTCTCGGGTGATTATAGACTATTACCATTACAAAGCTGGTGATAACCAATTTCGTCCGAGAAATTTATCATAGTTTTGATTAGGTATGGTAATGGGACTGAGTGAAGTCCAATTCTGTCTGCAATCATGTACAATTTATACGACATCTGACTTTCTGGCCGTCTTATTTTGCGGCATTCATCGTCCATTGGCGCTTTCTCCTCTTTAAAATTCCCGTGAATATCAGAAAGTACAAAGCGCTTGTCCTCCTGACCGCTTGGTGTAAGTCCTTTTTTGTGACTATTTTGACTGGAAGCCTTTACTTAGAAGTGTGGATGCGCTTTATTTCTATCGTTTGAAAGGAATGTCAGCATCACTTATTTTTTTTTTATGGTATCTTTCCGTGAAAGTTCTAACATCCACAACGTGTTTGGATAATCCAAAACCGTAACGACTTTTGTTTGTAGCCTTGCAAACGTCTCATGAAGGTCTTCCGATACACCTTATTGTCCACCTAAACAAGTTATTCACAAAAATTCAAGTTCCAGAATAAGCAGGTGTACTAGCATCACCATAAACTGTGCGCACAAAATTCAGTAAGACGATTTTGGAGTTTGGCTAGAGAATTTAGCTGCTGTGTTTCGGCGAAAGTAACCGAGTATCTAAGTGAAAGAATTATCCTAAACGGATACGAAGGAAGGCGAGTGACCATAGACACTGTACAAAGAAGACTTAATCTAAGCGTACATTCGAGAAAAAAGATTGTCTTTCCGAAGCTTCCTTGCTTTATTCAAGATACTTAAGGTTATATCATGAGCGATCTATATTGTTATCAGTCATTGTATTTCCCTTCCCTCGCCGAACTTAATGTTCTTCGTGGGACATTCATCGCCAACTGTATCCTCAACGGGTTTTTAACCCATACTGCCATCATGTTGAATATTGTGACTATCTACGCGATTTGGAAAACTTCAACGATACCAAAACCTGTAAAAACTTTACTGCTGAGTCTTGCTTTCTCTGATTTTGGTGTTGGTTTGTTGGCTCAACCCATTTACACTGCATTTCTGGTCAGCTGGCTACAACTGAACGATCCCAGCTGTAACGTTTATCGACTGTTCTCTATTTGCGGTTATTTGTTCTCGATGGCTTCGTTCTCAGCTGTTGTGGCTGTAAGTGTAGACAGGTTCTTAGCTGTTCACCTTCATCTCAGATACCATGAATTTGTGACTCACAAGCGTGTTGTCGCTGTGGTGATCTCCATATGGCTGTTTAGTGCATTTGTTTCTTCGATGGTATTATGGGCTTCGGTCAGTACTTTAAATAATATGATTTCATTTACTGGTGCTTTTTTTTTTTTTTGTAAATGCTGTGATGTACATCAGGATTTATTTAATTGTCCGACAGCACAAGAATCAGATTCAATCCTTGCAAGTAAATGATGGATCTCAATCTGGTGAGATGACAAATTTTGCAAGCCTCATTAAATCTACCGTTGGTGTATTCTATGTGTATCTCGTGTTTCTGATTTGCTATCTGCCTTATAGTATTTCTGTAGTTGCCATCAAAATCAACGGTCCGAGTATCGCTTTCAAGAAAGTTTTTCTCTTCTCAATGATTTTCGTGAATCTTAATTCATCTTTGAACCCTGTACTTTACTGCTGGAAGATGAGAAACATTCGACACGCTTTCCTGCACATATTGCGGAACATGTCGTGGAACAGAAACAATCCTTCACACTAGATTTACAGTCTTAAGGGGTCTTTCTGCTAATAGTTGTCAATAACATTCGGACTGAGTGGCATGTCTCACCGTCAAACAATTCTCAGCACCGTAATGGAACATCGACATTCGTGGAAGACGCAGTTTAATTGAAACTTTAAAACTGAGTGCTTAAAGACTATGGGAGGGAAAAATAGATCAATTGGAGCTTTCACAAGCGATTGTTTTTATTGATTCTCCAAATCTAACGCTGTGTGCGTTTCAGTGTAAACAGATTTGGCTTTTTGTTTAATGCTATGATACAGTAAGTTTAAGACGTCGTGTAACGGCAAAATGGTCGTTAAAGAATATGACACGGACATTTTAACACTAAAACATGTAAAATTAGCATGGTTAGTTGAGTGAATATATCTGGGTTGCATTGAAATGCACCTTTTTTTTCCTTTTATTAAAACCCGTTATCGTGGTATGTATCAAAATGTTCAACGGGTAATAGGTCAGATTCGATCAGTCCTTGGAAGTTAATGAAGTTACACAGTGTTGTGAAATGACAAGTTTTACATATGTTATTCTTACCTCAGTGTTTATAATTTAGGGATCTCTCAAGGTTTTCTAAATAAATTGGTTTTATCATATAAACTACGATGTTAAACAAAGATTTCCAACCCTGAAGAAAGCCGTTACAACACACGTGAGAAAATATCGTATTTTTTCACGTGTGTTTGATATTGCCAATCAGCTGCTTACACGTCACTCGCCTTTTGCGCCAGTGGGTCAGGTTGATGAATGAACGGCGAAGCCTTCACCATTCTCAACCCAAGGTCGTTTGACGGAAACTCTTCGGATTATGGCTGCTAAAACACTAAAACATCAGTATCGCTTATAGATAGTGACGTTCAAACTTTCCTAGAAGGAGAAGAAAACCAAAACACGGAAAGAAAAACCGAAAGCTACGTATTCAATGGCATTTCTCTCGGCTGAGATTGAAAATTGACAACTGAAAGACTTGCCATCGGCGGATTTTGGCCGTTTACCTGAAATATTGGTATTAATCAATAGAAGATTTTGTTTTGAATTTTCAACACAAAGTAGCGCAATTTTCTGGCCGTAAATTCTAGCTAGCAACAATTCAAGCAGGGTAAATGTACAACACGGGTGTCATAGAACTGTTTAACCTTTGCAACCTAACATTAGCATGCTTATTCTCCATACTGTTCTCTATAAATTTCCTCAAGTGCTGAACAGATTCGTTGAGCCATCAAGACATTTTTCAGTTGGTGATCATTTCCTTTATTCTCAAGACCTGAATGTCAGTGATTCAGGGCTAATAATGTAGGTTATGCTAATAAAGGGTTAGAGAAGGTATAGCACATAGCCCTACTGAGCAAAGCGACTTAAAAAACGTGAGCTTCTTTTTTTCGTTATTACTGAACTTTTTCTTGTGGCCACAATATTAATACTCATGAAATGTATCTGAAGAGAATATAGATTAACGTTATTAATTATTTAAGACTATCAAACGATATGTGTATTGGTTTTCGTCTCTAAATTTTTAAATAGTAAAAATTGAAACTCTAAATTGTTCCATTTCGTTTTGGACCTGACCTGAATTGCAATCTTTTGAATTTTAGTTGTAGTTCAGTCGGTTACTTAATAATTTGAAAAAAGGAAAAATTTACCTTTTGACAATAAAAAAGGGAAGGTAAAACACGACGTTTCGACCAAACTTCGGTCATTTCCAGGTGAGTAAAGAGAAGTCAGATGAATCAGGGCGTGAAATTAATTTTTTTCTCTGATAGCCACTTGGCTCCTAAATTTTTCAAAGTGGTAACCAATTCGAAAAAAGTTGGTCGCAATTTTTAAAGACAAACAAACCTATTTTTCTTCGCTGTCAGCGTCCTAGATAGACCCTCAAAAATAATGTTAGGAAAAAGATCTTCTACGTGCCACAAAGTGGACACTAGGATGGATGATATACAACCTTCAAGCACACCTAAATCCAAGATGGCGTGTAGTCATCGATCGAGATGCACGTGCTGCGTTTTGAAAACAAACTGAAGGAGGAATTTATGTTTGCAAATCTTTTTTAACTCACCCGCCAATTTGGCGACTAATTTTCAGGATTTGGTCGCCAAAGTGAAAAATTTAGTCGCATTGGCGCCTCTATTAGGCGCAATTTCACGCCCTGTCAGAATATATATGTATACACACACACACATTTATATATGCGTATAAGAAGTTTAAATTTTTTAGAGGTGTAAACTGACAATAAGAACATAAAAAAAAAGTCTAGATATATATATGCGTGTAAGAAGTACAAAAATTTTTTGGAAGTGTAAACAGACAATAAGAACATACAAAGAGAAGATATAATTAAAAAGCTGATTGAAAACAAAAACTAAAAACCTAATTAAAAACCTTTGCACGAATTGAGTCCTACTACAGATTGAGAGCAGGTCTCAGTTCTTGAATAAAAAACATTTAAAAAAAGTAAGCAGTCAAATTTGTTCTTATGCTCCTTTAAGCACTAAAATTCTTCGTAAGACCCCGCGGGACCAAAGAATGCTTGTCGCGCAAATGCTTGCCAATCGATGAAGTCGAGTTTGGCAGCCTAAGCCGCCATCTGCAGTTGGTGCAGATGGTGGCGTGTAAGACCAACATAACGTGCATCGCTCAGGTCACATTTAAATTTGTTGAAGGCACTGTTAGTTCCCAACCGGTCCCTTCGCTTCTCGTAACTTGAGATCTTGTTCGATCCTCTGGCTCACAAATACAGGCTGTACGGTCGTGTGGATCTTCTGACTCAAATCTTTAAATTGGCCTCTAAGAACAGAGGCACTAGGAACACGTGCGAGAGTAAGTGAAGAATTAAGAGTGAATTAGTTGCTGTTTACTGTTGTTTATTGCTGAGAGGTGAGAGATATTCGACACATTATCACGGAAATGTGGACAAACGAAAGTATAACTGAAACTGGCGCATTTCACTGTGTTAACTGTCTTTTCTTTTATCATGAAAATATGTAATTGATGTTTAGTTTGGTTCTCAAGTTCTCTTGTAGTTTTGATTAATTGGCAACAGGAGTTCATGACGTCCAACTCTATCTGTAGTCAGCCCTCCGATCTTGTTAATCACTAAGATGTTTACAGACTATTACCATTACAAAGCTGGTGATAACCAATTTCGTTCGAGAAATTTATTATAGTTTTGATAGATTATTGTAATAGGACTGAGTGAAGTCCAATTCTGTCTACAATCATGTACGAATTATACGACATCTGACTTCCAGGCAGTCTTATTTTGCGGCATCGTCCATTGGCGCTTTCTCTTCTTGAAAATTAAGGCGAATACCAGTAAGTACAAAGCGCTTGTTCTCCTAACTGCTTGCTGTCAGTCCTTTCTTTGTGACTATTTTGACTGGAAGCCTTTACTTAGAAGCGTGGATGCACTTTAATTCTACCGTTTGAACGAATGTCAATACCACTTATTTTTTGACGGTACTTGATATTTTTCCGTGAAAGTTCTATCATCCACAACGTGTTTGGATTATCCTGAACCGTAACGACTTTTGTTTGAAGCCTTACGAACGTCTAATGAAGGACTTCAGATGCACCCGATTGTCCACCTTAAAGAGTTATTTACAAAAATTCAAGTTTAAGAAAAAGCAGGTGTACTAGCATCACCATAAACTGCGCGCACAAAATTCAGTAACATGATTTTGGAGTTTGGCCAGAGAATTTAGCTGCTGTGTTTCGGCGAAAGTAATCGCGTTTCTAAGTGAAAGAATTATCCTAAGCGGATACGAAGGAAGGCGAGTGACCATAGACACTGTACAAAGAAGACTTAATCTAAGCGTACATTCGAGAAAAAAGATTGTCTTTCCGAAGCTTCCTTGCTTTATTCAAAATACTTAAGGTTATATCATGGGCGATCTATATTGTTATCAGTCATTGTATTTCCCTTCCTTCGCCGAACTTAATGTTCTTCGTGGGACTTTCATCGCCAACTGTATCTTCAACGGGTTTTTAACCCATACCGCCATCATGTTGAATATTGTGACTATCTACGCGATTTGGAAAACTTCAACGATACCAAAACCTGTAAAAACTTTACTGCTGAGTCTTGCTTTCTCTGATTTTGGTGTTGGTTTGTTGGCTCAACCCATTTACACTGCATTTCTGGTCAGCTGGCTACAACTGAACGATCCCAGCTGTAACGTTTACCGACTGTTCTCTATTTGCGGTTATTTGTTCTCGATGGCTTCGTTCTCAGCTGTTGTGGCTGTAAGTGTAGACAGGTTCTTAGCTGTTCACCTTCATCTCAGATACCATGAATTTGTGACTCACAAGCGTGTTGTCGCTGTGGTGATCTCCATATGGCTGTTTAGTGCATTTGTTTCTTCGATGGTATTATGGGCTTCGGTCAGTACTTTAAATAATATGATTTCATTTACTGGTGCTTTTTGTTTTATTGTAAATGCTGTGATGTACATCAGGATTTATTTAATTGTCCGACAGCACAAGAATCAGATTCAATCCTTGCAAGTAAATGAAAGATCTCAATCTGGTGAGATGACAAATTTTGCAAGCCTCATTAAATCTACCGTTGGTGTGTTCTATGTGTATCTCGTGTTTCTAATTTGCTATCTGCCTTATGTTATTTCCGTGGTTGCCATCAAAATCAACGGTCCGAGTATCGCTCTCAAGAAAGTTTTTCTCTTCTCAATGATTTTCGTGAATCTTAATTCATCTCTGAACCCTGTACTTTACTGCTGGAAGATGAGAAACATTCGACACGCTTTCCTGTACATATTGCGGAACATGTCGTGGAACAGAAACAATCCTTCACACTAGATTTACAGTCTTAAGGGGTCTTTCTGCTAATCGTTGTCAATAACGTTCGGACTGAGTGGCAGGTCTCACTGTCAAAGAATTCTCAGTACCGTAATGGAACATCGACATTCGTGGAAGACGCAGTTTAATTGAAACTTTAAAACTGAGTGCTTAAAGACTATGGGAGGGAAAAATAGATCAATTGGAGCTTTCAAAAGCGATTGTTTTTATTGATTCTCCAAATCTAACGCTGTGTGCGTTTCAGTGTAAACAGATTTGGCTTTTTGTTTAATGCTTTGATACAGTAAGGTTAAGACATTGTGTAAAGGCAAAATGGTCGATAAGGAATATGACACGGACATTTTAACACTAAAACATGTAAAATTAGCATGGTTGGTTGAGTGAATATATCTGGGTTGCATTGAAATGCACCTGTTTTTCCTTTTATTAAAACCCGTTATCGTGGTATGTATCAAAACGTTCAACGGGTGGTAGGTCAGATTCAGTCCTTGGAAGTTAATGAAGTTACACAGTGTTGTGAAATGACAAGTTTTACATGAGTTATTCTTATCTCAATGTTTATAATTTAGGGATCTCTCAAGTTTTTCGAAGTAAATTGGTTTTACCATATTAACTACGGTGTCAAACAAGGATTTCCAGCCCTGAAAAAAACGGAACAACACACGTGAAATTATCGTATTTTTTCACGTGTGTTTGATATCGCCAATCAGCTTCTGACACTTTACTCGCCTTTCGCGCCAGTAGGTCAGGTTGATGAATGAACGGCGAAGCCTTCACCATTCTCAATCCAAAATCGTTTTTAGGAAACTCTTCGGATTATGGCTGCTAAAACACTGAAAAATCAGTATCGCTTACAGATAGTGACGTTCAAACTTTCCCGGAAGGGGAAGAAAACCCAAACACGGAAAGAAAAACCGAAAGCTACGTATTCAATGGCGTTTCTCTCGGCTGAGAACAAAAATTGACAACTGGAAGACTTGCCACAGGTCGATTTTGGCCGTTTACCTGAAATATTTCGTCCATTGTTTGTTTTTGTAGTGTTTCGGCGCAGTTTTTCATCTTGAGCCCTAGCGCCAACGCTCTTTACGATTTTTAATCGGGAATTGTCGATCCTTTTATTTTCGTTCCTTAATCAAATTGACTTTTTGGTCAGTAAAGGGCTATTGAGTACATATATATATGATAAACCAAATAATACATGGTTGCTTGTTGATATGAAATTACTGTTCTCGCGAGCTATCGAGTTCAACACTCGAAGAGAAATTCCATATCTACGCGCGCCCATGTGTTATTCTCTAGTTATCAACTAATTGATGATGTGAACTGGCCACTGTAAAGAGATATATTGTGAAGCTAACGTTTCAAGCGTTAGCCCTTGTCAGGGCCCCGTTTCGCTTTTGATTTTGGGATGAAACAATATATCGAGGAATCCCACGAAGAATTCTGAAAGAACTCATCAGATATAGGCAGAAAGGAGAAAGTTAGTAGAACACTTTAATTCTGATACAGTTTTGGTGCTGTAAACTTACGGTTTGAATTACATCTGAAAACAAAACAAAAGGTTTTATGGATTTCGTTTCTATTACTAATGAACTCCATCGACATACCATTATAAAAAAAGAAAATCAAAACTAATATTAATGGCGATCCTCGCAGTTATGAACACTAGACCTGAAAAAAGTTCAGGCCTGCACGGGATTTGAACCCATGACCTCTGCGATACCGGTGCAGTACAGGATTTGAACCCATGACCTCTGCAATACTGGTGCAGTACGCGATTTGAATCCATGACCTCTGCGATACTGAGACCCCTGCAGCGGTATCGCAGAGTTCATGGTTTCAAATCCCGTACGGGTCAATACTGTTTATAACTGCGAGGATCGCTATATTCGTTTCTTCAACCGCACTAAGTGTAATATCTTCGAATAGAATTTAATCAGAAGAACTGTGTCGAGCACACGATACTACAAAAGCATGTGCTCCTACAAGGTCACGTGATATATAAAAATGATTACGTCATTACATCGCTTTCTTCCTTAGAAATATAAACAAAGAGTAAAACTATAAACGGTTACAAAGAAAATCGTTCATAGAGTTCTTGATACAAAATAAACAAACATTATGTCCATGTGAATAATTCTTGAAGTGTTCAATGTCTCTATAAGTTCAATCTGTCAGGTGGTTTGCGAATCCTCTGCGGATAACGCCTTGGTGAACCTTCCTGGAAATCAGTACTTCCTGATTTGACTGCTGTGTCCATCTCAACTGAAGCGGGAGTGGTGTTTTTCTCCTAATTAGCCTTCGTATCACTGAGCTGATCATCAGTAGGGTGGTACTGCTTGACTTCAGTTGTGTTTCGGTGCAAAACCCTCACGGGATTGTCGCTATCAGACACAACAACCTGATTTCCTTTCTTCTCTTTCACTTTGTACAGCTGAGGTTCAAATGTGGTGGACAGTTTGTTCTTCTTATCCTGTTTCATGAGCACAAGGTCACCTTGTTTCACCTCACTCTTCTTAGCATTTCTTGAAGCATCTGCATACTGTTTGCTCTTAAATTTCATCAGTTGATCTCTGTCTCTGGTTTCCTCATCACCGTGGGTTGGTTGTGATATTCAGGTAACTTTGTTCTTGGATGTCGGCCCATCAGAAGAAATTCTGGTGTCTGTCCAGTTGTCTGGTGAGGAGTTGTTCTGTAAACAGCCATATACCTGACCAGTTCTCTTCTCCAGTCCTTTCCTTCTGCATGTGCCAACTGTAATCTTTTGAGTATGGATCTATTCTGTCTCTCTACCTCGCCATTTGCTTGAGCCCACCGAGTTGTTACACGTCGATGCTTAATACCATTTTCCTTTAGGAACGCTTCGAATTTCTCTGAGACAAGGTTTGGCCCATTGTCACTTACAAGCACTTCAGGCAGTCCATGTCTGGCAAATATGGTTTCTAAACACTCTATGGTCTTCTCTGATGTAATTGTCCTTACAACAGACACCTCCTAATATCTGCTATAGTAGTCAACAACTACAAGTATGTGTTCACCTGAGGGTAACGGTCCCAGGTAATCAATTGCGACAGCACACCAGGGTCCTTGAGGTAGTTCTGTACTTACCACATGCTCTGGAGTGTCAGGTCTGCCCACTAACTGACATCGTGTAAAAAGAGAAAAGTAGAAAGACTGAATACATTTATTCGTAGTTCCGATCCCCTCAAGGTTTTACCAAGCTTTGCCTTGCGCAAGGAAGAAAGGTATTAGAAATAAACTCGTTCTAGGCCCTTATGGCGCGTAGTTAAAAAAAATATATGTTGAGAAGGGTGGAAAGACGATAACTCGACTTACCGGCACCAAAACTAGAAAAAACCCGAAATAGATTCGAACACTTGAAAACGTCGCACACTTTAAACTTTAGGAAGACAAGTTTTCTTAAAACAACCGTAAGGGGAATAATTCAAATTCAGTTTATTATTTAGTCGTTCAACTAACAACGTTTGCTATTTAACCTATCATGTACGGGTTTGATGCAACGAAAGATCAAAGATGAAAGCGTCTCTTTCCAAACAGACTGAATACATCATTCTTAATTCCGATCTGTTTAGGCTTTTACCGTGCACTTCCCCACGCAAGGGAGAAAGGCATCTGAAAGAAAAGCGATCTAGGAAATGGAATTTTAAGTGATAAGTCGCACACTTCAAATGAGTAATTATTGGCCGGACGTAAAATACATTTTATTGGAGTGGGATTGGCCTGGAGGATTTGAATATACCTGATTACTTTCTTGATCAGTTGTGCCATTGTATAGCGCTGGATACAATTATCTTTTGAGCAATGATTCATGAAACAAAAATTTCATCAAATTAAGCTCGAAAAACTTTAATGGAGTTCCCTAACCTCTTTTTTTTCCGTGATATGTCGTTTTTTTACGCTCATCCTTGACTATGTTTTTCGAAAAAACTTCTAGGGAGAGAATGTAAATTTGACCTATCGTTTTGAATCCGACACTTTCCTTTCCTTATTTTTTTTTTTTTTCGTGCAGTGATCCGCCAGGTAAAATCAATTTTGGTCATTTGAAAATATAGTTTTCACATTGACAATAAAAGCAGATGTTTCAGGATCCTCATAAATTATGCGAATGAATATCAGTCCGGAATTAATTTTAAGTTTTGGCGTAGAACTTCACAGCTTTGTGTTAAGTGAAAGAATTATTCAAGCAAGAAAGGAGAGTAATCCACAGAACTGAAAAAAGAAGAAATTTTGTTTTACCAAGGCTCTCTTCTCCTAATCAAGATACGCGAGTTAATATCATGAACGTGTATTGCGACGAGCCTTTTCAATTTTTCCCTACCAACGCCGACTACCAGGAGCTTCGAGGGACTTTTATCACTAACTGTATCTGCAACGGTTTTTTAACTTATACCGCCATAATGTTAAATATTGTGACAATCTGCGCAATACGGAAGACTTCAACGTTACCAAAAAATTTAAAAACTTTACTGGTGAGCCTTGCTATTTCTGACGTTGGTGTTGGTTTGGTTGGTCAACCAACTTACCTATCACTTCATGTTAGCTGGTTAAAACTGAACGATCCAAGTTGTAACGCTAACCGATTGCTGACCATCTCTGGCAACTTATTTTCACTTGCCTCGTTCCTGGGTGTCGTGGCTGTAAGTGTAGAAAGGTTCTTAGCTCTTCGTCTTCATCTCAGATATCAGGAACTTGTGAGTCAAAAACGTGTTGGTACTTTGGTAATATCAATATGGGCATTTAGTTTATTTGTTTCTTTGATGGTATTTTGGAGTTCGGTCCATATTATGTCAATAATTATTTCAGTTGCGGCATCTTTCAGTTTCATTGTGAGTGTTGTGTTATACCTCAGGATTTATTTAACTGTCAGGCGGCACAAGCGTCAGATCCAGTCTTTGCAAGTACAAGACATAAGTCAGTCTGGCGAAATAACAAATTTTTCACGTCTCGTTAAATCTGCAGTTGGTATATTCTACGTTTATCTCGTTTTTTTATTTTGCTATTCGCCTTGCTTTATTTCCGTGGTTCTCATTAAACTATTTGGATCGAGTGTCGCCTTGAAGAGATTTTTTCTTTTCTCAGTGACTCTTGTATATCTCAATTCCTCTCTTAACCCTTTAATCTACTGCTGGAAGATGAGACACATTCGGCGCGCTATCGTGGACATGCTGCGGAATACGAATTGGAATACAAACCGTTCTTCGCAGTAATTTTACTGTTTGTTTGGTAATATTCCTCTGGATGACTATATATTGTCATTGACAAACGATTCGTAGTCTCAAAGAGCACAGATACAAGGGAAAGGTGCGAGTTTAATGGAGACTTTTTTACTGAATACCTAAAGATTGTTGAAGGAAAATAAACCAGTGAAGGTATTAGCAGCTATTATTTTTATTTATTTATTCTCTAATCGGTCAGGCTGTATGTATATTTATGTCATACCTACAATATAAATAAATATTTTATGTTATGATACATTAAATAAAGAACTTGTGAACTTGCTTCTTGATTAAATATTAGTTTAGGAACACAATAGTGGCAACTGAAAAGTGAAATATGTGATACAAGCTGAATTTTTGATGAACAAGTATCTCAATACCAAAAGATAAGTTTGAAATGCTTCTCTCGCTCTTCTGATAAGATTCTCACTGTTTTGATAAATCTAAAGATTCAGTCTTAGAGAGTACAGGAAGTTGCACAATCTGGTGAAAAGACAAATTTTACTTGTTCCGCTAAATTTGCAGTTGGTATAGTCTATATATGTATTGTATTTTTACTATTTATTTGCTTGGAATTTTTGCTGCCATCTGAATCAAAAGCGAGCACTATTTCGAGAGAGGTTTCATAATTTCTCAGGAGCTCCCGCATTTCTTAATTCACCTCTAAACCTCGTTGATTACTGCTTTCACTGCTTGAGGGTGCGATAAAATAATTTTTCGAAAAGCTCTCATGAACATTCGATGCCAAGTGTCATATGTCAGTATCGGTTAGTTTCCAGAGGAGTTAATGAAGAGAAGCACGTAAAGTAATATTATTAATTGAAAAACACTATAAAACGACATGTTTCACAGTTTTACTTTCTCGACGTGCGGAAACGTTTTAAAATACACAAAAGGGAATCCAAGATTGTCTCCATTTCGTCGTGAACTTCAGCTGAATTTAAGCCATGGATCAGTTGGTCATTATTTAATCCCTTAAAATTACCTTTTACGGGTAGGAAAAAAAAGTATTTATTCGAGTGAGGCTCGCAAGGAGAACTCAAATAACTTCCGTTGCTAATTGTTGTTAACTTCAAAGTAAGATCACAAGTTTTTCAAAGTTGGCATTCACTTGGAGGCGTTTAATTTTGAAAAGGAAACGTAACATATTAATCATTCGCTCTGGTGAAGGGCTAATGCTCGAAACGTCAGCTTCAGAAACTCTTTACGCTGGCCAATTTACATTATCAACTCAGTTAGTAAAACAAAATTATTTTGATATACTCCCCTGCTGACGCAGCATCACAATTTTTATAGAAACTTACCCCATTTAACACATTAGTTCAGTTTTCTTAAACCGTGAATTATTGAATTATTATGATCGGATGCAGTACCTAGCAAGGTAGCTTTCATAACCGCCACGTTGGTAAACCACTTTTGAGATATATTTGACCATCACAGAACTGCGTCAATGACATGTCAGTGGTATCTAATTAAGTTGCTTCATTTCAACGCCAGCACTTAGTGCGCAGGAGACAAACAGCTTCCGCTTGAATGACAGGTTACTCTTTCACCCGTCAATGGCGATTGCATTTCAGATACTTGACAAACAGACAAGTAATGAGTTTGAATCATGAACATGATATACTAGCTCGTTCGGCCTCGACATAACTCTAAATTCGTAGAACTGGCCGGGCAAGAAAGAGATGCATGTTGTTATTTGGGAGAACAACGTCGGATTTAAAAGGGTTAATGTTTGTAAGACTTTTCTATCGCCGTATTTTTGGTTTAGAGAGTTACTTAGTACATCGTTGATTCACTGGTATATGGTATATAGGGCTTCTAATTAAATAATGAGATAGGCGCGAACGGAGAAAAAAGGTGGTAATGGTAGAAACGACTAACCCATTTCAACGGTATCAAAGCTATAGCGGATTCAAAACGATCGAAAAACTCGCATGTGTCGCTAACTCTTGGAGAAAAGCTTTGTGAAAACAACTTCTCTATATGTAAACACGGACATCAACTGGTCTAACTCGGTATAGTCAAAAAGTCTGGGGGTGGTTTTGGATTGGGTTAATGTAACTTGCTTAGTCAAATTTCAGAAGGATGAAAAGATCCGGATTTAAAACTGTTAGAAGTAAAAATTTGGTGTCAAAAACTAAACATTAAAAGCTTATTTTGACACATGAAATGACATCTGATATACGAACTTTAAGGCAAGCTGATTTTTCAATATCTTTTATCAAAAAATTTTTATTTGAATACTTAATTAGTCATCCCTAAGAAGAAAGTTCTCGTTCCCGGCACTGGGTGCCTGATTTAAGTTCTACATCTTTTAGGTTATAACTGGTAACTTGTATCATGAAAATTGGACGTACACAAGTTTCATTTTTTACAACTTGTAAATGCTAACCAGCTGTTATCTTGTCATTTATTCTTCTGATAATATCGAGTACCTGTCCATAAAATTTCCATCATTCACGATCAATTTCGATTATCTCGAGCTGGAAAGGTTCGATTTGATTGCAACCTTTTTAGTTGTATACTTTTGTGTGTCCGATGTACTAAAAGTAAAACAGCATTTACATGTCACAGTAGGTATTAGTTAACACTAAAAGGCAGCCGACTCTCGGAGTATATGAACCTGTCATTTACAATTACAAGGCTGCTAGAAAAAGAAAATATTTCAGTATCATCACATGCAAATGAACCCCGGAAACTTTTCGGTTTCGGTGAAGAACTTCGTTTGTTTTTCTGATGATCATCACACTCAAGTTTTCTATTTTAATTGCAAATTTGAACGAAAGAAAGATCCACGTCAGAAAGGAGATTGGCCACAGACATTGACTCAAGGAGAGATCACCTTAAACAAAGAATCGAAGATCTTTTTGGTAAAATCGTTTCAAGGTACAGTACGCAGGGCAACATAATGAACGGATTATTTTGTAAAGATTCGCAGTTTTTTCCCACCAGCGCCGAGTTAAAAGATCTTAGTTCGACTTTCATCACAAACTCTATCTTCAACGGTTTTTTAACTTATACCGCCATTATGTTGAATGTTGTCACAATCTGCGCAATACAGAAAACTTCGACCCTACTAAAGACTTTAAAAACGCTACTGACAAGTCTTGCCTTTTCTGATTTTGGTGTTGGTTTGGTTGTTCAACCGACTTACTCTTCATTTCTTGTCAGCTGGTCAAAATTGAACGATCCAAGCTGTAACGCTTACCGATGGCTAACGATCTGTGGGTACTTATTTTCGCTCGCTTCGTTCTTGGGTGTGGTGGCTGTAAGTGTAGACAGGTTCTTAGCTGTTCACCTCCATCTCAGGTACCAGGAACTTGTGACTCACCAGCGTATTGTTGCAGTGATGATCTCAATATGGGTGTTTAGTGCATTTGTTTCTTTGATGGTATTTTGGGCTTCTGTCAGTATTCATAATATTGTTATCTCAATCTCTGGCGGTTTTGGTTTCATTGTCACTATTGTGGTGTATACCAGGATATATTTAACTGTTAGACGGCACAAGAATCAGATCCACTCCTTTCAAGTACAACAAGTAAATCGGTCTGAAGAAACAACAAGTTATGCTGGCCTCATTAAATCTACAGTTGGTGTATTTTACATATATCTAGTGTTTTTAGCCTGCTATTTACCGTACGTTATTTGTGTCGTTAGTGTTAGAATAAACAGCGCAAATATCGCTCTAAAAAAGTTCACTCTGTTTTCCTTGACTCTCATATTTCTGAATTCATCTCTGAACCCTGTGATTTACTGTTGGAAGATGAGACACATTCGACACGCCGTAATAGGAATACTATTGAGTAGAAATCGTGCTTCACACTAACTCTTTGGTGAATTCATCATCATTGCTGATAAGTAAAGCATTGTGTTTAACTTTACGTGACAAGGCTCGTTAATACACTTCTCTCCCGCTCAAAGGGCTTTGGATGGCGACAGAGCTAAACCAGACTGTCATGGTACCACGCTAGTATCAGCGTCGCCAATAGAAAACATCGCAAATTGGAACGCCGCTGGCGAGCGTCGAGATTGTGCGTCGACATGTTTGTCGATCAATGCCAGGTTGTGAACCAAATACTTAGGGACGCGAAGTCTTCCTATTATTTATCTATTACCTCAGAGAATGCATCAGATCCAAAAATACTTTTCAACACGGTTGACAAGCTGTTACATTGCAAAGAAGGGAGACGCTATCCGGCCGCGCCCTCAAAGATGGAGCTTGCGTACAATTTTGCCGCCTTTTTATTGCAACTATAATAACGAAATTATCGACATGCAGCACTCACTCCAGCGAAGCACATAGAGAGCCGTACCATGTTGGTTTTGCAGAGTTCAGAGTTATGTCAGAAAAAGAAATCGCAACTTTTGTGGACACAATCGGTATAAAATTGTTGTGATCTTGATCCTATACCGGCGTCCATTCTAAATAAATACAAATCAGTTCTCCTATCTTTCCTAATTAACATGGTAAATATGTCGCTCCAATCATCTTGCACTGAAGCAAGTAACGATCAAACCGAAGCTCAAGAAGGACAACTTGGACTTCGAAGATTATTCTAATTTCAGACCCAAAGATAATCGAAAAGGTAGTGTCTTGTCAATTGAATGATTACTTACGTGATAATGACTCAGAGGAATCTCCCCAGTCGGCGTACAAACGCTCTCACAGCACGGAGACCGCACTTTTGAAAGTGCAAAATGACATTCTCTGTTAAATGGATAATCAGAAATGCGTTGCCCTATTGCTGTTGGACATGTCTACGGCGTTTGACACTGTCGATCATGAGTTGCTACCGGAGAGACAGTCAAGACGCTGCGGTGTGGAAGGAAATGTGCTGAAATGGTTCCGATCCTACCTCCAGCAGCAAGATAAGAGAGTGTTTATCTCTAGCAGACACCGAAAAGTTAGTTCACGCTTTAGATAATGCAAATTCGTTAATGTATGGACTACCTAAAATTTCTGATAGATCGCCTACACAATATTAAGAATACTGCGGCCCGCGTTATTACTCTTACTAAGAAGCATGATCACATCGAGACTGTCCTAAAGCAGCCACATTGGCATCCAGTTAACCAGCGAATTAATTACAAGATATTACTACAAACTTAAAAAGTGCTCAACGGCCAGGCTCCGAACTGCATTACTGAACTGCTCGAGCCCCGTGTACCAACCAGGAATTTGAGATCCTCTTCCAAGAACTTACTTAAAATACCATCTGTCAAGCTTGTAAGTTATGACAATAAGTGCTTCATTTTTGCGGTACCCAGCGTATGGAACTCTCTTCCCAACAATATCGAACTGAGCAGCTCATCAAATTTTAAGACCCTTCTAAGGACAAACCTTTTTAATCAATTTTACAATTAGTTCAGCATTGGTTTTTTAAAGTTAAACTCTCCTACTGCTGTTATTGTGTTTTTATTTCTCTTCTCTCTGGGGAGACATTTGTGCCAAAAATATCAATCTCTAGTGATAAAACTCAATCGTTAATGCTAAATATCAATCTCTAGTGATAAACTCAATCGTTGGTGCTAAAATATCAATCGCCAGCGATAAAACTCAATCGTCAGTGCGAAGATATAAATTGCTAGTGACAAAACTCAGTCGTTAGTGCTAAAATATCAATCGCTCGTGATAAATTTCAATCGTAAGTGTTAAACTATCAATCGCTTGCGATAAAACTCAATCGTTAGTGCTAGTATCGATTTTTTATCGATTCTAACTTGAACCAGTCTCCCGCCTGTTAAGCAGAGATGAACCAATCAAATCTTGCTTACTTTCTTGAAATCTGATGAGGGACATTAAAATGAGAATAAAGGTAAAGACAGACCGGCACGGACTCCCCTCGTGGCTTTTGTGGTCACATCGCACTATCGCCTTCAAATTATATTTTTGCTCTCACAAGCGTGTCGTGGGTTTCCCTTTTGTGTTTACCTTTATTCTCAAAAAAAAGTCATCCACTGTTTTTTGTCTGAATTGCCTAAAAGCCTTTGGTTTGTTATTAACGAGCTCTTTTTCATCAAGTAAATTCTATTTCTGTAATGAGCCCCTGTTTTAAGTAAGCCCTCGGCCCCTCCTTCGTGAGGCCCTTGAAATTGATAAGCCTCGGAAGGGCTTACATGTATTAAAGGTTGTAATCAAACAAAGCACAACTCCCTGCTGATAGTTATGCCATAAACCAAAACAGGAAGTTTTTGAATTTTTTTTTTTAATAATTTTTATCATTACATGTGGAGGCGAGAAATGCTTAGGCTGGTTAAACTTTCTATTCGAATTCCAAATGGTTGAGAAGTGATATCAAATCGTTTCAAAAAAACAAACCGCATATTAAAATTGTTTAAACCTCTTTTTAGCAGAAATGAAATTTGACTTTCAAGCATAATGATTTTAGCGATTTTTCGTTTTTAAAATTCAGTTTCACTTCAACAGATGCAAAGCTCTTGTTCACCTGAATACTTGACGGAAGTTCTTTTATATATATATGACTGATTACGAATGGCACCCCTTACCACGAAATGTTGATGCCTGCAATTCTGGTTTCCACAGTATTAAACGACTTAAAGCACTTGAATGAGAGATACCTTCCCCTCAATTTTTTATCAGTCATGATCAGTTTATGAAGACGCATCACGTCGATAAGGTACTCGGGTGGACTAAACAAATGATGAACTCTTCTTTTTACCTTATACGTACACCCTAATAACTGTATTCATATTCACCATAATGTTCTTTATACATTTCCTGTGGTATTGAAAAGAAGAATTTATTTAAAAAATTAGGAGCTTCTTGAATAGGTGGTCATTTCCTGTATTCCGGCGGAACATTTATGCTTGAGTCAGTAACGATAGGATATGGAGAAATTAGATGCTAGTCGCTGTTAGGAGCTGAAGGGAAAATAAAGGTGAAGAAAAAGTAAATTTCTTAAAAGGGGAAAAAGTAGATAAATAACTGAACAATAAATACCAACAAAAATAAGAAGAGGAAATAAATGCAAAGATACGAAAAAAAAAATAACCACATGCTGCGAGAAATATTGCAAACACGAAGCATTCGAACGGAAAGAGTTATGGCACAGAACCATATATAAAACACACACTGCTATGGCAGGTAAGAAACATGGAAAATATAGGGTAGCGTAATTTGCGAAAAGTGCGAAAGTAATTGCACGAGTGAAAAAAAAAACGAAAAGAATGCGTGTATATTAAGTGGTGCTAGGTTCATTAGAAGTGTGAAAGAAAATAAACAACTTTAAATTCGACAGTTTCTATTATTCCGAACTAGAATAACCATTGTTTCTAGTTAATTGTCAGAAAGTGCAGATGGTTTAGCTTTATAACAAACTACGCGAATCAAACTCGAACACTTTCGAGTTACGGTCGAGAACCTTACAACTCTGCTTTGCCGGACACTCGTCGCCTTGTTCGAGAGTGATTCCCAGGCATGAGTTGAGAAGGAATTTTGTTAGACTGAAGCTGCCCTCTATCAATCAAGATTCACGAGTTAACATCATGATCGAATCGTATTGCAACGAGCCCTTTCGGTTTCTTCCCTCCAACGCCGACTATGAGGATCTTCGTGAAACTTTCATCGTCAACTGTATTTTAAACGGTTTTTTAACTTGTACCGCCATCATGTTGAATGTTGTCACAATCTGTGCGATAAGGAAAACTTTGACTTTACCAAAAACTTTGAAAACGTTACTGACAAGTCTTGCCATTTCTGACTTTAGTATCGGTTTGCTGGGTCACCCAACTTACATCTCATTTCTTGGCAGTTGGTTTGAACGGAGCGATCCGAGCTGTAACGCTTACCGATGGCTGTCGATGAGCGGGTATTTATTTTCGCTGGCTTCATTCCTGGGTGTTTTGGCTGTAAGTGTAGACAGATTCTTAGCTCTTCATCTTCATCTCAGATACCAGGAACTTGTGACTTACAAGCGTGTTGTTACTGTGGTAATATCAATTTGGGTATTAAGTGCGTTCGTTTCCTTGATGATATTGTGGGCCTCTCTCAACACCATTAGTCTAATTATTTCAGTTACTGGAATTTGTGGTTTCATTGTCACTATTGTGGTGTATATCAGGATTTATTTGATTGTCAGACGGCACAAGAATCAGATTCAGTCCTTGCAAGGGTTTGAAATATCTCAGTCTTTCGAAAGAACAAAGTTTACCTGTATCTTGAAATCTACAGTTGGTGTATTCTATGTGTATCTCGTGTTTTTAGCTTCTTATTTACCTTATGCTGTTTGCTTGATTTTAATGGGGATTAACGGCTCGAATATTGCCCTAAAAAAAGTTGCTCTCTTTTCAATGACTCTCATATTTCTGAATTCATCTCTGAACCCTGTAATTTACTGCTGGAAGATGAGACACATTCGACACGCCATAGTAGATATGCTGAGGAACATGTCGTGGGCCAGAATCCGTGCCTCACATTAACGCTATAGTCAATCTGCAGTTTTTTAGCTTCATCGTTTTGGCTGATTGAAGCTTATAGAGTTTGAATTACAAGAGGAGTGTGTATCTGTGACTATAGGCTTTTACGGGCAGCCGCGAAAGCGACAGAGTTAAACGGGGATAAATCGCAACTTTGAAGCTTAAAGATACGAAACTTTTTTGGCTCAATTTGTTGATGTTTGGATTATAAGCACTATGTCGCTGGTTATGGACTTATGTTTAATGAAAGCAAAAGGAACAGGTGAACTCTTAAAATTATGAAATGCAGTTTATTACGGGTGTGTAATATATTTGTTACGAGAAAAGGAAAAGCCACTGTCGCACCTTTAATTAAAAAGTTATAAAAGGGAACAAATTGCGCTTTGGAAAGAGGGAACCTCGGTTCGTGCGTCGACTACTTTTGGTCGATGTTACCACAAATCTTTTTATAGGACAGCTCAAATGCTGATCGGAAACTCGGCTGAGATCTTTCGAGTAATCGTTTCGAGGGCCAATGTGCAGCCAAGCGGGTTATCCTTAATTTAAGTAGCGAATTACCAAAAACAAAGGCTTCTCTCTCTCCTCCTTTTCTAAAAGTAGAAACCTTTCAGGTGTGCTAAATGTGACTTGAGAGCTCAATTCCAAATTATGAACAATCGAGTAAATAGCAGCCACTTGTCTTTAGGGCGGCAACCTGTACCACAATACTCCCATTTGTGTTCACACTTTCATTCATTCCCTAAAATGGCAATTTATTAAATTTCCATCGATCGGTTTTCATTAACAGTCCGAATTAGAAGGATTTTCGTTTGTAGCCTTTAACACGTTTCAGTTTCCATTATCGGAAATTTTCCGATATGAAATGTATTTTAGCTTTTGCAATAGCTACAAGTCAGGGGTGTTTGTCAGCGCGACCAGAAAGTATGCGACCGATTATGCAAAAAAGGGAAAAAAAACTTCATTGCTGTCTTTCACTTAAGATACAGTTATTGTAGGTGGGTGGAAAAGTCACCACAGGTAGCAAAATAGAAAATACGACGACGACGTTGTGAGAGAATGTCGTGTACAAATTGGTTAGTAAAAAGCTTTTATCACCTCTGCCCTCCTATCACCACTATAAATTTAAGATCTTCGTTCCACATTCATCTCCAACTCCAAAGTATACTCATTCCTATTTTATACTGCCATAATGTTGAATATTGTGATGATCTTAGCGCTATCGAAAGCTTCGTCGCTTGCAAAAATGCTTAAAACTTGCTGTCAAATTTTTCTGATGTTGGTGTCGGTTTTCTAACTCAACCAATTTACGCTGCTTTTCCGGTCAGCTTGCTACAACTGAGCAATCCTAGTTGCAAGGTCTATCGAATGCTGAAAATTTCTTGTAATACATTTTGTCTGATGTTGGTGTCAGTTTTCTAACTCAACCAAGACGAACCGGATTTAAAACCATGCATATACTGTGAACGTAAACACTTCCACAACAACTGTAATATAGTGAAAAAAACAAAACAGAGAAAAATGATACTGAATCAAAAACAGAGATGTTTCAATTGCCTCCGCTCAGGCCGCACAAAATACCAATGCCGCTCGATGATGCCTTAATTGTGGACTAAAACACCATACTTCAATTTGGGAACCACGCGAACCAAGTCAAGATTCAAACAAAAAACCGAGCGAAAAACAAGAAAACTGGGTGGCTAGTTAAAATAATTTCTTGTCATTTTTAATTTGTAAATAACTGTTGGAGTAAAAAGTTGTTCTAGCGCAGCATAACATTGTTCCAGCTGGGAAAATATGGCCAATTTTTGAGTCCAAAATTGACTCAGAACTGCCCAGAAAACAGGTCGAAAATGTTTTTCTATCATCTCAAATTACTTTTTAAACTTTCCTTTAAACAAAAACCATAGTATCTAGGAAAAGGTTAAACTGAAATACAATTTTAAGAACACCTCGTGTATGTCACAAATAAATCGCAGACTATGACCAAGAAAAGCTTGTTTTACTATAATTGGCGATGATGTTCGGCATTGTGAGATTGCGCATAAAACGGTATCCAACCAACTCAACTATTATAATACTTAAACCTTTGAAAAATCGCGAAAGATGTACATTTACACGTTTGTTTTGTCTCTTTTCTATACTTCCTTTTTTCTTTAAAAGGTTAGCCAAGTCAAGTCACATTACGTCGGCTATGAATTCTCCAGAGCAATAGATAGAAAGGTTTAAGGAGGCCCGCCGCTACTTTCTTTTCTAGAAAATGTTGTTTGACCCTAAAATCTGGCAATATCTTATTTTATTCGCAGTGAGATATGATACCTTCTGGAGTCTTAAATTTTGTTTTTCTGAATGCCAAATATCAAAGAAAGTTGTTTACGTTTAAATGCCGAAAATTCGAAATAGACCTCTCTTAGCTCCCATCAATATCCATATATCTTTGGTCAAAGTTTATCGTAATTTGAAACGTGTGGTCCGTCGCCATGTTGGTGTTGGAAGCAAATCCTATGGTATTTGAACAGGTTTGTTTACTAAGCAATTTCTTTTATCCCTATAAATTTGCCTCGTGAGTGAACTGCACTCTACATTGGTCGCATCGGTCAAGATAAAACGCAGACCGCGCAGACCATTCAGACTGTGCAACTTTTTTGTTTGCTTTCTTTTAAACTGTGATTTACACATGATTAAGGTGTATACACCTTTTTCTTACCTTTTGTAACGTTGGAACTGTTTCCGATTTTTGGACAACACATGACGAAATTTAACGAGTTTATTTCGTGCTCACGTTACTCAGCAAAACAAAATCGCAGGCTCAAGTTTTTCGAACACATGGAGATGAGCCCCACGCAGCAAAATGTATTGCAAATTTAATTTGTGAGGACAGTGACGCTGATTCAGAGGTAAGCTGTGTTGACGAAGTAGAGGACTGATTCATAGCTAGTAGGGAACTGGCAATGACAGTGTCGAAGTAGACTGGGTGATAGATCATGAATGAATTTGTCAGTGTATCGCGAGCTGTAACAGTCGAAATTCTCTAGCGAAATAAGCGCGGTCTGCATGGTCTGCACGGTCTGCACTCTGTGTTTTAGCATGACCGTGGTTGCATGGATACGCGTGAAAGCTGTTATTATGATTTGAAATGGGTTTTCAGCAAATGGATTCTGGATTCCAAAAGCTGCACTCTGGATTCTAATGCCGAGTATTCCGGATTCCAATAGCAAAAAATTCCAAGATTCAGGAATCCGGATTACCTTACATGGGGTGACTAATCTATTGAATGTCATCGATATCACCAGATATAATACCTTGGAGAAAACACTCAGAATCACAGCCCTTGTTTTTCACTTTGTCAAAAAGCTGAGAGGATACACAAACAGTCAAAACACTATCACTTCTATGGACTTGAACTACGTATGCGTCACCCTATTTAAATATGTGCAGCAAATACACTATGGAGAGATCATATCGACACTCAAACACAAAGACAAACAGCAAACAAACCCTCCACCAATAATTCAACAGCTTGAACTCTATCTAGATGACAACAACTTAATCCGATACAAAGGGAAAACTGCAAAACACACAACTCCCCCTCCCCCTTAACCCTATAGCGCCAAATACCCCGTTATGATTCCAGCAGAAAGCTACTTAGCAACACTTATTGTCAGAGTCACACACCTGATAGTTTTACACGGCGGTGCACGCGACACTACAACTCAGCTTCTACAATCGTTTTGGATCCCTAAAGGCCAACAACTATTAAAAAAAGAACTAAAACGATGTGTGAACTGTAGAAAAGTGGTAGGACTACCATTGCGCTCAGTTTCCTCTCCTCCATTACCAGAAATAAGAGTCACAGGGTCCCAACCCTTTCGAGTCACCAGAGTTGACTACGCAGGTTCATTATACATCCGTAGCAATTTCATAGAATTACAAACCATACTAACAGAGGTCGAGGCTACACTCAACAGTCGCCCACTCACCTTTGCGTAAACAGATATTAATGATGGTCCACCCCTTACTTCATCTCATCTGCTATATGCACAATGTCTTTTAACTTTGCCAGATATAGCCAATGATTCAGATGATTCAGAGTACACACCACAAGTATCAACCCATGAGTTATCAAAGCGAGTGAAATACCATCAAAAGATGATGCAAAATTTCTGGGAACAGTGGCAAAAGGAATACTTAATCGGTCTCCACGAACAACACTCATTACAAATAAACAAACATTTCTCAGGAGAAACTGTCGCTGTAGGAAAAATCTTCCTGATATATGACGAAACACCACGCAATCAAAAACACAACTACACCAAAGAAAGGATGGTTTTACAAGCTCTGTAACCTTTAGAACAGCAAACAGAAATCACATTTCCAGGCCGATTGAAAAACTTTACCCTATTGAAGTGTCTGGGGACGGAGTTGAACTTCAAGACTCACAACAGAAAAAGAATGAAGAGGAGAACATCCCAAGAACAAGACGACCAGCACGAGCTGCAGCACAAGAAGCTAGTAAAGGAATTAAGCACACTCTGAACACTTAATGTCGAAAATTCTAGACTGATATTCAATACCACGTAACTGTAACTGTTCTTACTTTACTCTGCACCTTGTTGCTGGGCCGGGAGAGTGTCATGAACATCTATACACCCGTCAATCACTTATGTTACGTCACAATTATTAAGTAATGAATTACTTCGCTGTCATTGTACAGTTCAGTCTGGTTGATAATAAACTTAGTCTGATCAGCAAAATATCTCTGAAACACGCAGATCAGAGACCACTGGAAAATTTAATTGGCTAACAGATCACATCAAGTTTCAATTGATCTGCTGATTCATATTAAGTTTACAGTAATTCAAATCAGTTATGTAAGAAGGAGCAATGCTCTGAATAAAACCGATTTACTGAGCTCTTAAGGGAGCTTGTGCTGCATCATACTGGTTACTGCTAATTCTAAACCGCCCAGCCCATAACTTAATAATATTCGCATTTCCTTGCAACAAGTTTGCGTTTCGTGATTAAGTCACTCTCCAAGGGAATTGAATGCAAATCGCGCCCCACTTTTCTGTATCGAGCTCTGTACTACGGAAAAATTGCAAAACAGACTTCCTATGTGTATATTTGTATTTAAATAAATATATATGTATGTGTATATATATATATATATATATATATATATAAGTGTGTGTGTGTGTGGGTGTGTGTGTGTGTGTGTGTGTATTTCAAATACATTTCAATGGTCTTATGGACTATTTTCTCGCACACAAATTTCCTTCGCATATAAACATATTTCGTATTCTTTCGGTTTCCGTTGTGTATTTATTGTCTTGGAACTCATAGATATGGCACAAAAGTAGCAGACGAAAAATCTGTTTAGTTTCTCTGGTCAACAAAAAGCATTCCCCCTTTATATTTTCCTTTGACAATAAAATAACCTTTTCCAGGCGTTCATTTAATAAACCGGAGGAAATAGTAGCAGTAGAACGAAAGTTAAGGATAGTGAGTATACGAGAGGAATTTATGAGCTAGCAAGAGTCTGTGTAAGGATACAAGAGGGTCTGAATGGGGGTACTTCGATAACACTAAACACTTATTTTTTGACTGTATAACATTAAACAGTTAATTTTCAGCCATTTTAACACTAACATTAAAAAATGCATTGTAACATTTTTTTTTTTTTGCCGTAAACAAAAAAACCGCTCCATAAAAGGGGAAATATCTATGTTGGGCCTATGTTTATGGTCTCAAAGAGGTTTTTTCGGCCATTTTCCAACAATTCGGGATTATTTCAAGACTTTCAAGGGTGAGGAAGATATCCGAAAGCTGCCGAAGATTTCCGAAAGCTGTCGAAGATGTCTGAAGGCTGCCGAAGATGTCCAAAAACTGCTGAAGATGTCCAAAGACCGCCGGAGATGTCCACTGAGACTGCCAAAGATGTCCACAGACTTATGACCGACGATATTTGAAGACTACCGCAGATTTGGCTTGTATAACTCATAACAATTCTATTCTTAAAGCGCTTTTACAGCGAGGATTCACCAACCGTGACCACTTAGAGAGAATATATTAGTAACAAATCAGATTACGATATTTAAATCAAACATCCAATGGGATAGAACATCGACATAAACAGCAAAATTAAGCAAATTTACGGACTGCCATCCGTTGTATGAATACCTCAGTATGATTGGTTGGCTTTTATGAGATGGTCCCAGTTGGTGTATCTGCACTGTAAACAAAAAGAGATAAATACGAAAGTTACAAGGAAAATGAAAGTTAACATATATGAGTGTTTAATTTTGACTAGTAATGAATGCAATAACAGAATATTCTTTTACCAATAAGATCGGCTACAGTGCTCACAATGTATAATGGTCAACAAAAATGACAGACATTTCACTCCATCCTGGCCAAAAACATTTGATTATATTCCATACCTGAATAGTCGCGATTGTCCCAACTGTTTCTAGAGATCAAGGCGGAAATGAGCGCGGGTGGTGCTAACAAATTTGCTGAACGTTATGTCTGTATCATTATCCGCATCGCTCTCCGAGTCGGTGTCGAATTCATCCTGTTGCTCGGGGAGGTCCGTCACGTCACCAACTGCGACAACTCCGAGCATGCTTTCGTCAACAAAGGTGATTCTCGGTACTTCGTTTGTAGCTCGTGGAATATTTGTATCCTGGTCGACTCGTTCTTCATTGTCAGTCCCTGGATCATCTTAAACATCCTCTTGGAATGTTACTCTAGTACACGATGGCGTACTGGAATATACAGCTGGCGGCAGGGCTCCCGCTTTGTCTTTTGTTGATTCGCTTCTTACTGTCCTTGACAGGTCGATACCTGTCAACCAATTCCTTCATGGCTGCCTCAATGTTGGGGTCAACGTTATCAGCTGGAGGAGGTTTCACCAAATCTACGTCTCGTAACTCCACACTGGATTTAGGCACTGGATAATAAGAATTCTCAAGTGTGAAGTACTTCGTTGTTCTCTTTAAAGATTCCTTTAAAATTATTCCAAAGTCTTGAGCATACTGAAGAGCGGTGAAAGTCTCATTTTTGAAGTGGAAGACTGCATGAAGGTTCTCCACCTGAGTTGTTAGCAGCCTACGCAGGTCAATGTCACCAAGATAGTCCTCGTTTACATTCTTAACGTTATCTCGTAGCTGTTCCATACCTCTTTCGAGAAGCACCAATGACACCTGTGTTTTGCTGGAAACAGTTCCTTCAGGGCCATTTATTGTTGCCGTTTCTTTCATTTTATAGTGCTGCCTTACTTCAGAGACTGTGTTTTTAATATAAGCATTTACAGATGAAACATTGCATACAGCATCTTGAAGAGATAATTGGACCGCGTCGATCGTATGTGCACCAATTCCAAAACTATCATAGAGACATTCGAGGTTGCGAAGAAAGGACACTTTGCCAGTAAGCCCCGAAGCTAGTTTGATTGTTTCAGCAGCTATGTCGTAAACAAAAAAAAATTTTTACAAGGAAAAGATTGCATGAAATTGTGTAAATAAGCAGCTTTCTTCAGTTCTATCAACGGTTCCTTCATGGCCAGTACCAACAAGGTCTCGACTGTTGCACTTAAGGGATTAAAGGTCTTAACCTTTTGATCTTTGTTGTCGGTGAAAACAATGTTGCCCTCATAACCATACAGCCTCCTGATTTCCTTACAAGAATCTGAAGAATTCCGCAAGAGTCGCTCAATCGAGGTTACAACCATATAACCAAGTATGCTGATTGCCGCAGAACATAAAGAGATTCAACACTTGTCACGTCATTGGAGTAGTTTATCTGTCTCAGCCTACTACCGATGATAGCCACTCCATTGTACTCTAACTCCAGCTGCATTATGCTTCTCTACTCATCATCTGCACACAAGAGGATATCCTTACTTGCCGCACAGATGGAAGTTGATTTATTTAAAGGTGGGTTAATCTGGACAATTTGTTTTTTCAGTTTTCGACTTGTGCAGCTAAAGATCTCAGATGTGTCGTCAACCACTTCTGTAGAACTGAACCTGTACCCTTAAGTGACAATCTGAAACGACTAAGCTGCGAGAGCAAATCAGCTCGCTATTTTAGGCGTCCGGGTTAGAAAAGTACTTCGCCTTTCAATTCAGTGAAACGGATTGCTGAGGAGCCTCTCTCTGCAACGAAGACTACGCCATTGGTAAACCATAGGTCCCGCGCATCCTTGAATACTTCCCTCCGAACATTTACATCGACTGGTCGGTGTAAAAGCAGTTCTACGAGACCATCGAGAGTCGAAATCGTAGGCTAACGCCGTACTTTGCCTTGGGGCCCAATTTCATGTGCAATTGGTCTTTTGCAAACACTACTTTGGTTGGATTTCCAGAAGCGATACTTTTCAGGAACTATTGTGTGGATTACCAAACGTATCCCCTTAAGTACATCCAGTACTGAGGGTCTAGTAAGGCGCATTATCGGTTCTAAGGACAAGAGCATTTCAGCTTTGGCTCACTGTTCGCGAGTGATTTTCTTGCAGAATTAAAAAGAGCAGACAAAATTTGAAAATCCTAAAAAAAACTTTGGGGTCTCCTTTCAAACACTAAACAGTATTTTTTTCAAGAACAGTAAACATTAAAAAAACGGCCAATTTAACAGCAAACACTAAAAAATATGGACAAATAACACTAAACACTAAACCCCATTCAGACCCTCATACAACGGTATCTACGCATTGGGGTATCGATTAACACTTTACACCGCAAGACCAGTATGCATATTCTCCACACTGTTTTCTACACATTTCCCACGGTGCTGACAAGGAGATTTTTCTTAACAATCAAGAGCTCCTGTACTTTTTGATGATTTCCCTTTTTGTCATGACCGTAACGTTTGATTCAGGAGTGACACTGCTAGGAAAAAATTAGATGCCAGTCACTCTTAGGGGTAAAAGGGTTAAATTGATAAAACTACTAAGGTATCTATGAGAATACAAGGGTTTGCATCACTATACTATACTCTTTTTTCCTTTATTTAAAATGTCTTTATTTTGGCATGTTAAACCAAAATATTTCTTGTCAAAAGCTTTGCAAGAAATTTCCAAAAATTTAAGCTTTAAGTCAAACGTTTGTTTAAAAGTCTCTTGAATTGACTAACTGATCACCTTCGGAAAATGATTAAGAATTTTCTTTCCTTGACGAACTAATCGCGTTCGAAACTTAAAAATCGTCACACTTTGCGAGTAGCTTGTTCACTGAACTAATGACTTAAAGGAAGGAAATATTGGAGTTTTTTAACTTCGCTACTCATATAAAGAGATAACACTATACGCTGTCTTGTTTCAGATTATTAAACTTAGATGTCTAAAGAGAATTTTACAGAAATGCTTTCCTCTGTATATCCAACCGAGTTGTCCTTCGCAGATGGCGTCCTCTTTCTACAGGCTAGTAATTAAATAGTTTCGAGCCTTACTAAGTCTAATTCATTCTGCTACAGAGGTTTTATCAAAGTCGTGGCTCTTAAGGTGCGCTAGGCACCGGCCAATTTCCAAAATCAAATGTTACGTTGTCGCCCATGATCATGAATGGCGCCCATTGAGAAACTTTGTCAAAGCCATTATTTCTCATCCACTTCCTGGCCTTGTGGAGAGATTCACTAGCGCTTTCGCCGCGGAACAAATGTTTGTAGAAACAAGTCATGAACTGCTCTGTGGCTGTGTCATCCAGGGCCCATCGTGCCGCTAACACTGAACGAGCTCCGGACCCTAAGAACGCTCGGGCAATTCCAATAACTCCCTCGGTTCTAATTTGTCCACGAGCACTGTGGCAACAACTAAGCACCACTAGTTTAGCTCGCAACCGAGATTTTGAAATATCCGCCATCGTCAAAAGATAATCTTCTTCTCGAGGAAAAGGTGGGAGTGAGGAAGGGTGCTCAGGAGAAAGAGCAATCTCCCCTCTTTCGGGATCACCATGGGCAGCAATGTGTACCAGGCTCGCTGAATGAATCGCTTGGAGTACAGAATGCTTTGTCGCGGAATGTCCTATCAAAGGCGTTACGCCAAGAAGTGTTCCAATCATCTCTGCTTCCTTCCTTGCACACGGCAATGGTGCTATATTTCTGAGCCTTCCCTTGTAAATCACCTCTCCAACTACAGGGTCACCCACTATCAGCGCCCCGGTCTTACTGTGATAGTCTGGAGGACAGTCTTGAACAAGCTTGAGAGTCGTTAGAGAGGGAACCAGCCGAATCCTGCATGTCTCTGATAAATACTTGCCTCCTTCGTCAGCCAAGGCTGCAAATGGCACTTGGTACACACAGGATTCAGGGACAATTATGATCTCGGGCTGCTTCAGTAAACTGACCACAGGAGCGATGATTATCTTGTAACACAAGCGAAGACTTGTTTTGAAATGTGCGGCATCATAGTCACGCATTACTGAGCGGTTGTCGTAGTGAGGTGACATCAGTTCGGAGTCATCTAAAGATCGATCTTCGCAATTCTGTTCGGGTAAAATGGCGTGGCTGCGGAAGGCTTCTTTAAAAAACTCATCTAACTCAGGGACTATTCCGGTCACCTTGTTTTGGTCCAGGTTCACTTTCTTTTCTGAAAAATGAATGGCTCCCGTTGCTTTAATTATCCAAAACCGTACATCATTTTTAGCAACCGAAATGTATAGGCATGCACAGTCTGCTTCTTTTGGGATGATCCCTTCAATGCCACACCAAGATTGTGGATCGCTTGAGATCTGCTCTTGAACACAGTACCGAGCTGCCATCAAGTCGGCTAGGCCTCTGGCCCTTCTCAACTCTTCGACGTAAAGGGCGTCTTGCGGCTTTCCAGTGGAAGAAAGCAACATACTGAGCAACTTGTAGGGAGAGGTGCCGTGGTTTTCTAAAAGAGATATTTGAAACTGATCGTTTTCTCTAAGAAAACCTCTCAAAGTTTCGAACTTTTCGATGCTTTGAAAAAGATACGAAGAAGCCTCTTCAAGATGACCTTGTGACACCTTTAACGCCGATAGATAACAAAGGCCGTGAAATTCGTTCAAGTTTTGTCCAATATCCCTACTTAATAGGAGAGCATGCTTAAAGTATTCTTCGGCCATGTCATATTTACCAAGCGATAGGAAACACATTCCTAAATCGTTGTAGTTGATTACTACTCCTTCTCTCTCACCGATTTCCATGTGAATTGTAAGGGCTTTCTCGTAATATTCTTGAGCCTTGTCATATTCACCACGCTTAAAAGAAATTTTACCAAGGTGCCTGTAATTTGCGATATCTCCCCTTTTATCATCCATACCCTTTCTAACGGCCATTGCCTTCTTTAGATAAACGTCAGCCTTTGCATACTTGCCAAGTGAGAGAAACAAATCTGTGAGGTTTGCATAGCTTGTTGCTTCTCCATTCCTGTCACCAATTTCTATTCTGATAGCGAGTGCTTTCTCCTGGTATTCTCGGGCCTGGTCATACTGACTGAGGGATTTGAACACAGTTCCTAGGTTTCCGTAGCTTGCTGCTTCTCCGTACTTGTCGCCAATTTTAATTCTGATAGCGAGAGCTTTCTCCTGATATTCTCGGGCCTTGTCATATTGACCGAGTGACTGGAACAAAGTTCCTAGGTTTCCATAGCTTGCTGCTTCTCCATTCCTGTCACCAATTTCAATTGCGATAGAGCGTGCTTTCTCGTAATATTCTCGGGCCTCAGCGTACTGACCGATTGATTGGAACAAAGTTCCTAGGTTTCCGTAGCTCGTTGCTTCTCCATTCTTTTCACCAATTTCTATATTGATAGCGAGTGCTTTCTCGTAATATTGTCGGGCCTTGTCATTTTGACCGAGTGATTGGAACAAAGTTCCTAGCCTCCCGTAGCTTGTTGCTTTTCTATTCCTGTCACCAATTTCTATATAGATAGCGAGTGCTTTTTCCTCATATTCACGGGCTTTGTCATACTGACCGAGTGATTCTATCAAAGCTCCTAGGTTTCCGTAGCTTGTTGCTTCTCCATCTCTGTCACCAATTTCTGTTCTGATGGCGAGAGCTTTCTCGTGATATTCTCGGGCCTTGTTAAATTGACCGAGAGAATAGAACAAAGTTCCTAAGTTTCCGTAGCTTGTTGCTTCTCCATTCCTGTCACCAATTTCTATATTGATAGCGAGTGCTTTTTCCTGATATTCTCGGGCCTTGTCATATTGACCGAGGGATTGGAACAAAGTTCCTATGTTTCCGTAGCTTGTTGCTTCTCCGTGTCTGTCACCAATCTCTATATGGATTGCGAGTGCTTTCTCGTGATATTCTCGGGCCTTGTCATATTGACCGAGTGATCGGAACAAAGTTCCTAGGTTTCCGTAGCTTGTTGCTATTCCATCCCTGTCGCCAATTTTTATTCTGATAGCGAGTGCTTTCTCGTGATATTCTCGGGCCTTGTCATATTGACCGAGTGATCGGAACAAAGTTCCAAGGTTTCCGTAGCATTTTGCTTCTCCATTCCTGTTGCCAAATTCTATTTTGAAAGCAAGAGCTTTTTCTTGATATTCTTGTGCCTTGTCATATTGACCGAGGCATTGGAACAAAGTTCCTAGGTTTCCGTAGCTTGTTGCTTCTCCGTTCCTATCACCAATTTCTATTTTGATAGCAAGTGCCTTCCCATGATATTCTCGAGCCTTGTCATATTGACCGAGTGATCGGAACAAAGTTCCTAGGTTTTTGTAGCTTGTTGCCTCTCCATTCCTGTCACCAATTTCTATTCTGATAGCGAGTGCTTTTTCCTGATATTCTCGAGCCTTGTTACATTGACTGAGCGATTGGAACAAACTTCCTAGGTTTCCGTAGATTGTTGCTTCTCCATTCCTGTCACCAATTTCTCTTTTGATAGAGAGTGCTTTCTCGTGATATTCTCGGGCCTTGTCATATTGACCGAGAAATTGGAACAAAGTTCCTAGGTTTCGGTAGCTTGTTGCTTCTCCATCCATGTCGCCAATTTCTATTGTTATAGCGAGTGCTTTCTCCTGACATTGTCTGGCCTTGTCATATTGACCGAGTGATAGAAACAAAGTTCCTAGGTTTCCGTGGCTTGTTGCTTCTCCATTCCTGTCACCAATTTCTATTCTGATAGCGAGTGATTTCTCGTGATATTCTCGAGCCTTGTCATATTGACCGAGTGATTGGAACAAAGTTCCTAGGTTTCCGTAGCTTCTTGCTTCTCCATCCCTGTCACCAATTTCTATTTTGAAAGCAAGTGCTTTCTCGTAATATTCTCGGGCCTGGTCATATTGACCTAATAATTGGAACAAAGTCCCTAGGTTTCCAAGTCTTGTATTTTCTCCATCCCTGTCACCAATTTCTATTGTGATAGCGAGTGCTTTCTCCTGATATTCACGGGCCTTGTCATATTGACTGAGTAATTGGAACAAAGTTCCTATGTTTCCGTAGCTTGTTGCTTCTCCGTGTCTGTCACCAATCTCTATTTGGATTGCGAGTGCTTTCTCGTGATATTCTTGGGCCTTGTCATATTGTCTGAGGGATTGGAACAAAGTTCCTATGTTTCCGTAGCTTGTTGCTTCTCCGTGTCTGTCACCAATTTCTATATAGATAGGGAGTGCTTTTTCCTGATATTCTCGGGCCTTGTCATATTGACCGAGTGATTGGAACAAAGTTCCTAGGTTTCCGTAGCTTGTTGCTATTCCATTCCTGTCGCTATTTTTTATTCTGATAGCGAGTGCTTTCTCTTGATACTCTCGGGCCTTGTCATATTGACCGAGTGATTGGAACAAAGTTCCTATGTTTCCGTAGCTTGTTGCTTCTCCATCCATGTCACCAATTTCTGTTTTGATAGCGAGTGCCTTCTCGTGATATTCTCGGGCGTTGTCATATTGACCGAGTGATTGGAACAAAGTTCCTAGGTTTCCGTAGCTTCTTGCTTCTCCATCCATGTCACCAATTTCTGTTGTGATAGCGAGTGCCTTCTCGTGATATTCTCGGGCCCTGTCATATTGAGCGAGTGATTGGAACAAAGCTCCTAGGTTTCCGTAGCCTGTTGCTTCTCCGTGCCTGTCACCAATTTCTATTCTAATAGCAAGTGCTTTTTCCTGATATTCTTGTGCCTTGTCATATTGACTGAGTAATTGGAACAAAGTTCCTATGTTTCCGTAGCTTGTTGCTTCTCCGTGTCTTTCACCAATCTCTATTTGGATTGCGAGTGCTTTCTCGTGATATTCTCGGGCCTTGTCATATTGACCGAGTGATCGGAACAAAGTTCCTATTTTTCCGTAGCTTTTTACTTCTCCGTGTCTGTCACCAATCTCTATTTGGATTGCGAGTGCTTTCTCGTGATATTCTTGGGCCTTGTCATATTGACCGAGTGATTGGAAAAAAGTTCCTAGGGTTCCGTAGCTTGTTGCTATTCCATCCCTGTCGCCAATTTTTATTCTGATAGCGAGTGCTTTCTCGTGATATTCTCGGGCCTTGTCATATTGACCGAGTGATTGGAACAAAGATCCTAGGTTTCTGTAGCTTGATGCTTCTCCGTTTCTGTCACCAATCTCTATTTGGATTGCGAGTGCTTTCTCGTGATATTCTCGGCCTTATCATATTGACCGAGTGATCGGAACAAGGTTCCTAGGTTTCCGTAGCTTGTTGCTTCTCCCTGTCTGTCACCAATCTCTATTTGGATTGCGAGTGCTTTCTCGTGATATTCTCGGCCTTGTCATATTGACCGAGTGATTGGAACAAAGTTCCTAGGGTTCCGTAGCTTGTTGCTATTCCATCCCTGTCGCCAATTTTTATTCTGATAGCGAGTGCTTTCTCGTAATATTCTCGGGCCTTGTCATATTGACCGAGGGATTGGAACAAAGTTCCTAGGTTTCTGTAGCTTGATGCTTCTCCGTGCCTGTCACCAATTTCTATTCTAATAGCAAGTGCTTTTTCCTGATATTCTTGTGCCTTGTCATATTGACTGAGTAATTGGAACAAAGCTCCTATGTTTCCGTAGCTTGTTGCTTCTCCGTGTCTTTCACCAATCTCTATTTGGATTGCGAGTGCTTTCTCGTGATATTCTCGGCCTTGTCATATTGACCGAGTGATCGGAACAAAGTTCCTATTTTTCCGTAGCTTTTTACTTCTCCGTGTCTGTCACCAATCTCTATTTGGATTGCGAGTGCTTTCTCGTGATATTCTTGGGCCTTGTCATATTGACCGAGTGATTGGAAAAAAGTTCCTAGGGTTCCGTAGCTTGTTGCTATTCCATCCCTGTCGCCAATTTTTATTCTGATAGCGAGTGCTTTCTCGTGATATTCTCGGGCCTTGTCATATTGACCGAGTGATTGGAACAAAGTTCCTAGGTTTCTGTAGCTTGATGCTTCTCCGTTTCTGTCACCAATCTCTATTTGGATTGCGAGTGCTTTCTCGTGATATTCTCGGGCCTTATCATATTGACCGAGTGATCGGAACAAGGTTCCTAGGTTTCCGTAGCTTGTTGCTTCTCCCTGTCTGTCACCAATCTCTATTTGGATTGCGAGTGCTTTCTCGTGATATTCTCGGGCCTTGTCATATTGACCGAGTGATTGGAACAAAGTTCCTAGGGTTCCGTAGCTTGTTGCTATTCCATCCCTGTCGCCAATTTTTATTCTGATAGCGAGTGCTTTCTCGTAATATTCTCGGGCCTTGTCATATTGACCGAGGGATTGGAACAAAGTTCCTAGGTTTCTGTAGCTTGATGCTTCTCCGTGCCTGTCACCAATTTCTATTCTAATAGCAAGTGCTTTTTCCTGATATTCTTGTGCCTTGTCATATTGACTGAGTAATTGGAACAAAGCTCCTATGTTTCCGTAGCTTGTTGCTTCTCCGTGTCTTTCACCAATCTCTATTTGGATTGCGAGTGCTTTCTCGTGATATTCTCGGGCCTTGTCATATTGACCGAGTGATCGGAACAAAGTTCCTATTTTTCCGTAGCTTTTTACTTCTCCGTGTCTGTCACCAATCTCTATTTGGATTGCGAGTGCTTTCTCGTGATATTCTTGGGCCTTGTCATATTGACCGAGTGATTGGAAAAAAGTTCCTAGGGTTCCGTAGCTTGTTGCTATTCCATCCCTGTCGCCAATTTTTATTCTGATAGCGAGTGCTTTCTCGTGATATTCTCGGGCCTTGTCATATTGACCGAGTGATTGGAACAAAGTTCCTAGGTTTCTGTAGCTTGATGCTTCTCCGTTTCTGTCACCAATCTCTATTTGGATTGCGAGTGCTTTCTCGTGATATTCTCGGCCTTATCATATTGACCGAGTGATCGGAACAAGGTTCCTAGGTTTCCGTAGCTTGTTGCTTCTCCCTGTCTGTCACCAATCTCTATTTGGATTGCGAGTGCTTTCTCGTGATATTCTCGGGCCTTGTCATATTGACCGAGTGATTGGAACAAAGTTCCTAGGGTTCCGTAGCTTGTTGCTATTCCATCCCTGTCGCCAATTTTTATTCTGATAGCGAGTGCTTTCTCGTAATATTCTCGGGCCTTGTCATATTGACCGAGGGATTGGAACAAAGTTCCTAGGTTTCTGTAGCTTGATGCTTCTCCGTTTCTGTCACCAATCTCTATTTGGATTGCAAGTGCTTTCTCGTGATATTCTCGGGCCTTGTCATATTGACCGAGTGATTGGAACAAAGTTCCTAGGTTTCTGTAGCTTGATGCTTCTCCGTTTCTGTCACCAATCTCTATTTGGATTGCGAGTGCTTTCTCGTGATATTCTCGGGCCTTATCATATTGACCGAGTGATCGGAACAAAGTTCCTAGGTTTCCGTAGCTTGTTGCTATTCCATCCCTGTCACCAATTTTTATTCTGATAGCAAGTGCTTTCTCGTAATATTCTCGGGCCTTGTCATATTGAGTGAGTGACTGGAACAAAGTTCCTAGGTTTCCGTAGCTTCTTGCTTCTCCATCCATGTCACCAATTTCTGTTGTGATAGCGAGTGCCTTCTCGTGATATTCTCGGGCCCTGTCATATTGAACGAGTGATTGGAACAAAGTTCCTAGGGTTCCGTAGCTTGTTGCTATTCCATTCCTGTCGCCAATTTTTATTCTGATAGCAAGCGCTTTCTCGTAATATTCTCGGGCCTTGTCATATTGACCGAGTGATTGGAACAAAGTTCCTAGGTTTCCGTAGCTTGTTGCTTCTCCATCCATGTCACCAATTTCTGTTGTGATAGCGAGTGCCTTCTCGTGATATTCTCGGGCCCTGTCATATTGAACGAGGAATTGGAACAAAGTTCCTAGGTTTCCGTAACTTGTTGCTATTCCATCCCTGTCGCCAATTTTTATTCTGATAGCGAGTGCTTTCTCGTAATATTCTCGGGCCTTGTCATATTGACCGAGTGATTGGAGCAAAGTTCCTAGGCTTCCGTAGCTTGTTGCTATTCCATCCCTGTCGCCAATTTCTATTCTGATAGCGAGTGCTTTTTCCTGATATTCCCGAGCCTTGTCATATTGACCGAGGGATTGGAACAAAGTTCCTATGTTTCCGTAGCTTGATGCTTCTCCGTTTCTGTCACCAATCTCTATTTGGATTGCGAGTGCTTTCTCGAGATATTCTCGAGCCTTGTCATATTGTCTGAGGGATTGGAGCAAAGTTCCAAGGTTTCCGTAGCTTGTTGCTATTCCATCCCTGTCGCCAATTTCTATTCTGATAGCGAGCGCTTTTTCCTGATATTCCCGAGCCTTGTCATATTGACGGAGGGATTGGAACAAAGTTCCTATGTTTCCGTAGCTTGATGCTTCTCCGTTTCTGTCACCAATCTCTATTTGGATTGCGAGTGCTTTCTCGAGATATTCTCGAGCCTTGTCATATTGTCTGAGGGATTGGAGCAAAGTTCCTAGGTTTCCGTAGCTTATTGCTATTCCTTGCCTGTCACCAATTTCTATTCTAATGGCGAGTGCCTTTTCCTGATATTCTTGGGCCTTGTCATATTGAGCGAGTAATTGGAACAAAGTTCCTAGGTTACCGTAGCTTGCTGCTATTTTATTCCTGTCACCAATTTTTATCATGATAGCGAGTGCTTTCTCCTGATATTCTCGGGCCTTGTCATATTGACCAAGGGATTGGAACATAGTTCCTTGGTTTCCGTAGATTGTTGCTGCTCCATTCATGTCACCAATTTCTATTTTGATAGTGAGTGCCTTCTCGTGATATTCTCGGGCCTTGTCATATTGACCGAGAGATTGGAACAAAGTTCCTAGGTTTCCGTAGCTTGTTGCTTTTCCATTCCTGTCACCAATTTCTATTCTGATAGCGAGTGCTTTTTCCTGATACTCTCGTGCCCTGTCATATTGAGCGAGTAATTGGAACAAAGTTCCCAGGTTTCCGTAGCTTGTTGCTATTCCATTCCTGTCACCAATTTCTATTCTGATAGCGAGTGCTTTCTCCTCATATTCTCGGGCCTTGTCATACTGACAATGCGATTTGAACATTGCTCCGAGCTTTGCGTAACATAGTGCCTGGCCATCTGTGTTTCCCATCGTTTTCATGATGTTGATTGCTGATTCGTAGAATTTCCAGGCCTCCATTGATTTACTTTGTACCTGAAGTATTTCTGCCATTGAAAAATGTACCCATCCTTTTTCAGCGGTGTCATTAGAGTCTAGGTATGGGAGGAGTTCCCAGAGGTATTTTTCTGTTCTTGTGAAATCCTTTATATAAAAGTAAGCAGAGATTATTTCCTTGTAGATGGCTCGGAACATAAGGTTTGCCGATGAACTATCGATAGCCTGCGTCTGACTGTGTAATATAATCAAACATTCTTTGTACATCTCGATGGCTTGCAACACGCAATCAGTTTTGCGAAGGAACTCGGCGACCACTATACCTATGATGAAAGCTGATATAGCTTCTTTTATGCTGTCCATCTTGACCATGTTTCTTCTCAGTTCTGAAAAAAAGGAGAAATTAGTGAAAACTTAAACAAGGATCGTCTGTAGAAAATTATTTTAGTTTTAAATTTCCCCGCCTTGTAGTCTATTTGTATTCACACGCGGCGCACGTGATTTACAACTAGCAAATCACGTCAAAGAACTCTAACCTTGACATTGGAAAACTGACGTGGACATTTTTCGAGTAGTTTTGTTGTTTGTTTTGACGGAGCTTAGATGATTGTTTTTGAGCTTTCGTTTCGCGCAATTTCTTTAACCCTTACTTTTGAATTTTGAGAAGTTTCGGAGCGATTCTAGAAATTAAATCAGATAGTAGGTTTTCTTTGATCTGCTTCCTAAAATAGATTATGACTCACAGGTTTTGCATGTGTTTGGAGGTGTTCCATTTTAGCTACCTCTGAATGAAGGTCCTGATTTCTATGGAGTGGTTGTTATAATTGTCCGTACATAATCGATACGAACTTTATTTGATGATCTTGCATTTTTATTGTGTAAATCCTTGTTAAAGGTGCATTATTTGTCGATGTTTTTGGAAATTTATCATAAGGTATCGAAGTACAAACAATGATGTTTTTTTCCTTCATATAGTCAAAGTTTCTTTTCAAAGGGGGGAAACAGATTTCAATATGCTGTTGATGTTGTTATTCTTATAATTTTTCTTTGAAACTTTCATAACGATACTAGTGTTGTTTGGATTTTAAAACAAGCAGCATCGATGCAATTTACCTTTTGAAGTTATAAATGTTCCTTATTCATTTTGATGAAGGCTAAGGGACTTTAATAAGATCTACCGATGGAGGTAAACTTTCTCCTGGAAAAAAGAAGAAAACAAATCCACGGTGAAAAGTCGGAAATTTATCAAAATTATGTTTTTTGTTTCTTGTCACGCCATCAAACTGAAAGTAAACGGACTGAATCGGCTTAAAGCCAAGAATCATCGAGAAAATTTATACCAATCTGGCAAAGTCTTTCTTTCGGAACCATTATTTTCCACTGAATAGGCGATCGCCCGAATTTCGGACAAAAATCGATGGGGTGCATTTTGAGGGGGCTAATATTGTTCCCTTTCATAGACTGTAATGAAATGACCGTCAAGTAAATAAATATTGTTTCTTTCGCCATTAAAGGCAAAGACCTAGCAAGGAATTATTTGACGACTCAGGAGACAAACAATCACTCGATACGAACATTTTTATACATTCATGATATCTTCCTCAGCCAGCCATTTAAATATCTACAAATAGCACTGGAGGTCATGTTGATGACTGGCGAAAAGTTTCATTTTTCACAGGTTTTTTCCTTTCGGGGAAAAAAAAATACTCTTGTATGCCGTAATATTTTTAATTTTGGATTTAATAGCTTCAAGTGAAAATTAGCTAAAGATATCGCCCGGCACAATCATCCGTTGAGTGTTAGAGACATTTAACTTTCAAATCGTTCTAAGAGCTAATGTCAGAATGCATCAAACAAAAAGCGGCAAGTCACCCAAATTTGTTTTCCCTCCTACTTTTAAATTTTGTAGCCCAATATGTTCTAATAATTGTGGTGTAGTTTTTTTCTAAAAATATATTTTAGTTTTCGAGAAATAATTTTTTTCGTTCGACCGCTCAAATATGCAAATTTTCACCGTGAATATTACCCGAG